AGGCAGGGAGAGCAACAGCATGATGGACTTCAGATCCACCATTCATTTTACAGTGATACACAGCATTTAAAAATAGGCAAATATTGAGCATCCAAGTAAAAAACTGGGAGAGAATCTTCATATTGTGGATCATGTATGTTCTTGCAGCCATGTCTAGACCACCTAGTGTATTGCCGGCGTAGACTGTTCTCTGGTTTTAAGGCACCCCTGTGTGTCATGATGTTGGACAGATTGCAGTGAAACTTGATGAGCTCCTTCATGCTCCCACAGGGGGTTGATTACAATGACCTTGGGGCCTCTAACAGACGACTGTTCATTGTTCTGTGAGACATGCCGTATGGAGGAGGTAGACCATTAAGTGAGGTCCACAGGAGGTGGCTTTAAACCTTCACAGGTCCTCTTCACAGATCAGATTAATCACATTTACTGCAGGCTGTGAAGAAATCTGTGTGGAAGCTGAAAGAGGAAATGAAAGAGAAGATTAAATTTGTGTTAGACTTTAAAGAGTGGAGGAAAAAAGTGAACAAAAGTCTAAATATATGACATGATCCATAAATGTATGAAGGAGCTTGACAATAGAAACTTTGTCTAAACTAATATGGATTTAAACTGTTGTGTAAATGAAAAAAAGGAGTTATTGCAGTGGGTCATGCAGATACAGTCAACATCTACGATCTTTTATTTTTACTTAAATCATAAAGCAGAGGCTAGTCAGACCAAAGTGAGCTCTGTGGTAGTTTAATACACGTGTAATGCTCCCTGTATGTCCCTGTATGGCCCTGTACTCTGAGTGCTGCTGTAGGCTCAGACTTCATTACTGTAGCCTGAGCTAAAGCTTTTGGACTTGGTGGTTTGAACCATGATCTTGTTGTTCTTACACAGACACAGAGATCTGCAGAGAGAGCTCATTGGACCACACCTTCACGTACCTCCATGAACCTTGAATGTGAGAGTGAGAGCTGGACCTCAGAGGCAGGAGCATTTATACAGGAGTTAAAGTCAATCATGAGTCAAACTCAGTGAAGAGGCTGTTTTTCACTCAAACTTTATCGACACTGACACACAGACACACAGGACAGCTGCCGCCTGCTTGCCTGCTTTCATCCCTCACCAAGACACAATATTTGTCCTCTGCTGCTCCTGTAACAGATCTCTACCACAGTGTGTGTGTGTGTGTGTGTGTGTGTGTGTGTGTGTGTGTGTGTGTGTGTGTGTGTGTGTGTGTGTGTGTGTGTGTGTGTGTGTGTGTGTGTGTGTTTTAATACACCCTGAGGAGAGAGTAAAGAGAGGTGAGACGGGTCAGATTCAAGGCACTTAAGTTGATTAAAAAGACTGCTGCAGTACCTCCTCTTCTCCATCTCTCCTCCTCTCCTCATCTACCCTTTACTCCCCTCTTTTCCTCCCTCCTCCCCTCCTCTTTTCAGGGAGTGCTGCAGAATACAAACCTCATGGAGTAAAGAGAAAAATCTGATGAATTGGAGCTCACAGGAACAGTTGAATATTTAGTTAAAGTTTTTTTCCATCATCACAGAGAAGCTCAAACATGTTCAACACTGACAACACCATCACATGTGTCAGGTAGGTCCAGTCCAATTTAAAACTCCCTCAGGTTGGTCCAATCCACTTTAAAGCTCCCTCGGATGGGTCTAGTCTCCCTTAAAACTCCCTCAGGTTGGTCCAGTCCATCTTAAAACTCCCTCAGGTTGGTCCAATCCACCTCAACATTCCCTCAGGTGGGCCCAGTCCAATTGAAAGTTCCCTCAGGTTGGTCCAGACCACCTCAAAGCTCCCTCAGGTGGGTCTAATTCACCATAAAGCTCCCTCAGGTGTGTCCAGTCAACAGCAGAAATGGTTCATGTGTTGTTTTGAAGCAGACACTCTTGGTATGGAGAGTTTGGTGACCTATGTGTATAACTTTGTTCTTGTCAGTGTGGATCCTTTTCACTGCCTGATGTCCAGGGATCCCTGATTTGTACTCTTTAGGTGTCCCATTTTGTGTGCTCGCGCAATTTTATACCGGTCCTGTATGAGTGAAACTTTCAATCCCCCTTAGACAGTAAAACATAGACAGTAAAACTCAGTGGTGACCTGAGGGCGCCCCTCAGACCCAAGTCTTTCTTGTTCGGTATGTTTAGATGCACAGTCAAATGGAGCTGCAGTTTTAGCTTGTTGAGGTAGTATGATTGGACCACTGTCCTTGTCCCAGTGTATGAGCACTGGGAAAGACTGTGTTCAATGACAAATGTATGCCTGCTTCCACAACAGCTGGTGGTTCTATTGGGTCGTCTTTAGGTTGGCCTGTTATTTTACCTACCTGAACAATGGACAGTTAGCAAGATGCTGACTGGTTATATGTGGAATGGTGAAAACATGGGGAGACTCAAAGCTCTTCACTTTTCCGTGTACCCTGTCCTGTTTTTTTTTTTGTGCTTATGACATGCAAACTCTGGAGCATGCTCAGGATGCCTGAACCTGTCTGGGTCTGACTGAGGTGTATACATGCCTCGTTTATGCATTGTCCAGGTATATCTATCCGACTTCAAATTTTGACGAATCATGATTTCAGTTGAACATGTTCATGTGGATTTGAAAAGTATAGTTTCTGTCAGACTCTTACAGTAAAATGTTGTTTTTTGTGATATCATGTAAATGTTTAATAGTATTATTTATTCATTTATTTTACTTTATTCTATTTTTATTGTTTTGTTTTTTGTTTTAAACAGATAGCAGGGAAAATGCTGAGGCTTAACTACAGGAGCCTTAAGGGCTAAAATTCAAAAATATTTTACCAAAAACAAACATGTTGATCTCAGGCACTATTTTCTTTGTCATGAACATGTGACCCCCTGACAGCCCTGGTTTCAACTATCATACATGTTAGCATGTTGAGTTCTAACAAAACATGCTAAACAAAACCTTTTTCAAAACAATCAAAGTTTGTTAAAATATAAACAAAGAACAAAACTTGACAAAAGATGATTCACAGTTAATCCAAAAGATTAAAGTAAAGAAAGGAGGACTTGTGAACAGCTTCTGAGTGGATTTTTATCGCCAGATTTTCACCATTTCAATTTCTCTGTCAGCGTTTGCTCTCTAACAACCTCAGCTCCGGCTGTTTGTTGTGGTAATTTGAGACGTGTTGCAGTTACACACGGAAACCATCTCCTCTATTCTGAGCCTGACTTCCCTCACCTAATCCTGAGGGACCGTTTGCGGAACAGGTGTCGTCTCCAGAGCCAAAAAAAGACAACAGTTGTCCCTTTACAAACTCCAAGACCAGGACTGTGTGTGTGTGTGAAGAAGGATAGCCAATCGGGTTATTGATACTAATAAACTTTCTTTTTTAAAAAAAAAAAACCCTGCTGAGTCCTGACAGACTTTCACTTATTAAATATTATTAAAGTTTTTTAGGGAAAACATGCAAAATTCACAGTTTTCAGCATTTTAACATCACTACAGGAACAGGGTTTGGTCTGTCGCTGCTGCCTCCAGCTCCTGACATTTGTAATTGAAGATAACAATAGTAAAGTTTAGCTGCAGTAAGGATGCCCTGACAGAAGTTTGGTCTTTGCTTCTTTACCTTAGAGGCCAAAATTATTCACATAAATATCTTTCTGTTTATGCTTAGCGGTTAGTCAAAAACAGCTCTCCAAAAAATTCCCATATGGATGCGTCTAGACAGTTTTGATTTTTTTTTAACTTATTTTAAGTTTTATGACAGCAGGATTTCTGCTTTTCACTTACTTATATATTTTCTTATTTTCCTGTTTGTTGTCTTTGTAATAAAAATCAAGACAGACACCTCGTGTTTAAACCGTCAAAGAAACAGTTTGATCCTGGGGCGCAAATCAGGACTGCAGACAGGCCAGAATATCAGCAGGACTCTTCTACTACAGATCCATGCTGTTATAATCCCTGTTGTCAGAATGTGGTTTGTCATTGTCTTGCTGAAATATGAGGGTCTTTCCTGAAAAAGTCATTTTCTGGGTGGCAGCAGATATTGCTCATAAACCTTGGATATTGTTCAGCATTAATGGAGCCTTCACAGATGTAGAAGATACTCATGACATGGACTCTGATGATCCTCATACCACCAGGAATGCTGGATTTGAACTGGGAGCTGAGAACAAGTCAGGTGGTCCCTCAGTCCTTTAGAGAAGGGGATACAGTGTCCATGGTTTCCAGAAAGAATGTCAGATTTTGATTCATCAGCCCCCAGGACAGTTTTTGTCTTCCTCTTAGTCAACCTTAAACCGGCTCAGGTACAGAGAAGTCTCTGGTGTTTCTGGATCCTGTCTCAATCTGGTTTCCTCTTTGCATGGTTCAATTTGAACCTCATTTGTGGATGCAGTGATGATAATAAAATAACTGATCATATATTTTAAGGAAATAAGTCATCTTTGCACTTTTTCAATCTCATATAAATTTAAGATGATTTACAAACCTTCAAAATCTGTTTAGCTTAATATTTCCCACAGCATCTAACTGTTTATGAATCAGGGTTGTACACAGCTGAATAAATTACTGCAATCTTCATATCCTGTTTTAAAGTAGTGTTTGTGAGGGTTGTTTTTACTTGATGTTTCTCATGTGCACTGCTTTTGTAATTTAACTTTATTTTTTAAAAGCTGTAAATTATTATTATTATTTTGTCCTCATTTTTGAATAAGCCCGTCAGGACCCATTTCCTCCACATAGTGTTGTTTGATTTTCATTTGACCTAATTTTTGTTTAATTTTTCCAGTCAGTCAGTCATTCATGTCATTATAAATGTCAGTTTGACTCCCTGTAATACTGAGTGTAAGAGGCCAGTATTCATTTTTAATGTCTGCTTTGTGAAGTGAAAACACAGAGATCTGCACTATTCACAAAATCGTGGACTCACAGCTCAAACACTCTTTTCAAACCTTGCCTCTGGCAGATCTGACCCCCAGCCTGTCCATACAGTGTGAAATGAAACATACAGTGCGTGTTCTCGCGAGAGGACGCGTCTTTACTATGTTTACAGGCAGTATTTATTAGCAGCAGTCTCCCCCTGCCGTCACTGCGTTACGGTCCGGCTGAGTGAACGGTAAAACGCGCTGCCGCTTCTGCTGGGAGGAGGCTTTACCGACATTTCGTGTCTGACAGCCGGCTGGAGGCTTCTCTCCTGCAGGAGACGGTTTCGTCCCTCCACAAACCGAGCTCCGGGGTCGTTTTCCCAGCGAGAGGGGGAAGAAATAAGGCTGCAGCCCGTCGGTTCGCCTTGCAGGGTTAAACAGGTAAGACCGAAACACCGGAGCCGTCCTCCCTCTGCTGCTAATGCTGCTCGATGACACGACTGACAGCTTCACTAGCTGTGAAATGACTAGGTTATTAAATCTATTGAAATTCAGACGGGGATTTGTACTGGCTCTGACTGGTGTGGGTCGTGCGGTTTCTCACACTGTTTATCCCGCGCGTGACAGATGTGATGCCCTTTAATCTGTGCTACATCAACGGTAGTCATGGTAACTGTCCTTTCCGAGTCCCGTAGAACCGGGACCAGGTTAGGCAACGCTACTGTACGTGGGACTTGGAACGTCAAACCAGAGCCCATTTAAATTTTATCCAATTAAGAGTTTTCTCGTCTATCTCTGGGTCTACATCAAACTCTGAATATCGCTGGATGCTAGCCTTAAATCTACAGTAGTAGAGTGTATTTTCGGCTTTAAAATAACTCATGAAAAATATTTATTTTAAAGGAAATTGTGCTGAAACTGCTCACAAGCCTGCAGGCACAGCAAGTGAACGCCTTGCAGAAATGCATTACACATGCATAGAGATACGTCCTTTCACAGAGAGACATACAATTGTCATAACAGTAGGTGGGTGTAGTATCGGCTCTGTGTGTATTTGTGTGCATGCGTGCGTGTGTGTGCAGCTGGAGGAGACAGTTCTGGGAAATCGATGTGTGTGACGCGCCTCGATGGCGAGACGCATGTGGCCGCTGTGTGATGTTGGTCTCTTCTTTCTTCTCAACACTGTGTGTGTGTGTGTGTGTGTGTGTGTGTGTGTGTGTGTGTCCCTCACAGAAACACACACTTAGTGTTGGATGTGCAGACGGTTTTGTTTTGCAGGAATCTCAGACTGAGGCTCTCCTGCTCAGCCCTGCATATATCTGAAGGTTTTAAAGCTCCAGTCGTTTTTCTTCAAACATCACTTGTTTGTGTCTGACTGGATTTCTGTGTTTGATTATTTGGTCATTTATTTTCTTCCAGAGGCCAGCTTTCTGTACATCGTGACAGCCGTGCTCTCCTTGCAGAAGCTGCAGCTCTCTGTGTGTTGTTTGTAAGTGTGTCAGGTCTGCACACACAGGTGTTGTGTGTTAGATAAGCTTTTCGAGGGATGCTGTGTGTTGGCTGAGGTGAGAGGACAGATGAGGAGCCGGTCTGTGATGTATTGGTGTTTATGGTGCTTAAACTAAACTCTCTCTCCCTCCTCTCTGCTGCTCTGTAGTGTGATTTACCTCCCTCTATAACTCAGGACAGTTAATGCAGCTCTGACAGCTGGCTCTGCTCGCTGCTCTGACTGCCAAGTGTTAATCAATGCTGCAGGTTTTTATTCATTTATTAAAAGTTGCATTTCTGCACGGCGGATAATATCTGTAAGTGATCCTGACTCTGCAGTTTTTGGTCCTCAGGGGAGCAGTCCACTCAGTGATCTGTTTAATGCTGCGCCGTTTGTTTGACAAGCTAAGAGGATTTAAGAGTACAGCAGCTGTAATCCTTTATTAGGGCCTGCATGGTGATATGGGAAATATGATCACAATTGTAAGTGTTTAATAAAGACTGAACAGGATACTGTGATAATGCAGCTGATTCAAGAACAGACCTGACTGAGCTTGAAGACTCACATGTGCTGAAGACTCCATCACAGTTTCAGAGCTGTGTTTGGGTTTTTGTGGGATTTTAAAGCAGAAAAAAGAGTTGAAGAATATCTGTGTACCTTCAGTTTTGACCAGAGTTAGATCATATTTATATTTATGTAATCCACTGGGTCTGCTCTGGTCCTGATTCTGAAATGCAGGTTTGTGTTCTCTGTTAAGTATACCAGAGTCAAGCTGTTGGATTTATGCAAATATCTGATATGCTGATATATTGGCTGATACCAATATCAGCCCTAATTTATAAACTCCTTTTTTATTGTCAAAGTTTCTCTTGTAAGAAATTGATCTATTTAGTCTGATTATTTAGAGCCGCGCATAAAAGAAGACAAACATAAACCAAACTGATATTTTCATACAGTGTGTTTGTGTACCAGAGTATCAGCTTTACATCTTGGTGCACCATCCTTCTCCTCTTCATCACCGTGTTTAAAGTGTAAATGATCATGTTTAGCTGCGTCTGTTTCTCTGTGTTTGAGCTCATCCTGCACAGTTTTTCTTTGCAGATTTGTTCTTCGGAAAAAAGAAAACTTTATGCACATTGGCACAGTTTTCCCTAAATCCTGTTTTGGAATGATTCAAAGATTTTAGGTCTGCACAGACACATACGCTCTGTGATTTGGCTCCTCGTGTTTATCATCCACAGAAAGCTTTACAGACTTTGGCTCTTCAGTGGAAAGTTTGATGTCTTAGATTTCTTTACAAAGAAGATGAAAAAACTTCCAGACGTGACCTGGTAATGTCCTCTAAAAACATGATGATGTAGTGTTTACAGGTGCAGACCTTTATAATAGATTTTCATCTCATAGATTTCAACTTCTCGTGGTTCTGAAAGACTAAATGTAAACCTCAGACTTTCTCCAAAGACTCTCTGAATTCTGCCTCTTGCTTTTGCACAGGTGTTTCAGCACCTCAGGTGTTTTAATCGGAGCCCCACTCGTGATTTTGCAAAAGAGTAGTATATTCCATAACTGTAACAACTGTCCTGCAGATCGAAGCTTATACTACATAAAACTGTACTGTTTCACAGTCTGCAGCATCAACTCCACAGTGTGAGCAGCGTTTGACCCGTAACCTGCTCAGCCTGTGGGTGGGTGAAGTGTCAGGACAGGACGCAGAGAACAGTTTGATGTGGGAGTGGGCAGAAAAATACTCTAAACTCTGTGTTTATACTGAAGCTGTGAGTCCACGCTGTAACATTCACACTTCATCTTCAGCTGGAGGGTTATTCTGTCATGATTCAGAGGTACACCCAGCATTCAGCCATCAGAGATTTTAGTCCAAGCAATAATGATGGTTCATAGATGTCACAGCACAGTCTAAAACCACACAGAAAACCCCGTCTGTTAATGTTAGACAGCCTCTAAACTGAGTTATAACTGAGCAGCGTAGAGCTGAAGAGTGCAGGTTATTGATGTTACTGTAATATTTCACTGCGGGTCATTGAACCCTCAGTCTTTACTCTGTGAAGACAGGAGGACGCAGCGTTTAATGGTCACTGACTCAAGTCCGATAAAGGAGCTCTGCCTTCTTCTTGAGACTCCTCGCTACTCTGTTGCTGTTGAATTTGTTGACTCTCAAACCTGATCTTCAAGGCTTTGCCACTGATTTTTACCGATGCTCTCATTGTAGAGTCCCTGCCTCCTCCTCCCACTGTAGTAACATCACTCAAATATAATGTATTGCCTTTACTTGGGTGTGCAGTGCTGGATAATGATCTTCAATCAATTTTTTTTCTTCTTATCCAAAACGTCTCTGCTTGATCCCTCTGCCATAGTTAAGTTAATGTAGCAAAGCCTCCATGTCTTTTGACAAGCACTGCACATGAAGCCAGTCCTCCACAAGCAGCACTTTGTTTTATATTCTTGCAGGTTGCACCAAACAGGATGCAATGTCAGCTTATATATAGTAATATATAAGCTGACAGTGAAGCTAAAGAATGCAGCCGTAACAAAGCAGAGGGGGTCTTTGCTGCTGCTCCCCCTGCCTTTGCTTTTCATGTACAAGGCATAGAAGAAGAGGTGTGCTCTTCCCGCCGCAGGCTTTGGCAGTACAATACTAAGTGAAAATTGGCTTTTTATCATTTATCAATCACTTTGAACCAAATATTTTCATTTCATGACTTTATTAAGAAAATTATTTTATCACTCCATTTATTGCTCCTAACAGTGTTTCACTGTGAAAAGTTCCTCCTCCTTAAAAGCACTGTGTACACAAATTTAGTGATGATATTACAGCAGCTTATCATGAGTATTTTTGCATCATATTTTTATTTCATGATTTTACTCCTCAACATTTTATCATATATGTATTTTTCCGTTGTTCATAAAGACATAAATTTAATGGCCATAAGAAAAGCCAGGGATGGGAGAGCAGCAGCAAAGACCGGGAGGTACAGGACAGTGCGGGAGCAGTGACAGTCCATACAACACAGGGAAAATCAGATCAAGCAGGTCATCTAAGAAGATAAGATAAAAAAATTTCCTCGATTCAGGTTGCAGCCACCAATCTAGAGTACAGGTATGATTAATTACTGCAGCCAACAAGTATGCTCATAAAACAGGAAGGTGGTGTGCTCTACCTGCCTCAGGCTCTGGTAATCCACGTATGCACGTGGAAGGACAGGGATGACAGTGGTCCTAAGCAAAATTAAAGCTGTTGGAAATGTTGTTGCATATTCTAGGTCCCTGTTCTCAGAGAGAGGAACAGACCCATTGATATAACAGGGAGGGTAAAAGAAGAGACAGACACATCGCTTTCATTCTGTTTGGATCCACCCTGCCGCAGCATCAGACCTGCGTCCAGCTTTGATTTTAGTTATTGTAAAAAAGATGAAGTCCATTTATTATGTGGAGCAGAGATCCTCATACTCCAGATGCAAAAACGGTCAGGCTGGGAAAATCCTCCAAAACTGCTTCAGGGGCCCATTTATGGAGAAGAAGTTCTGGTTCAGTTCAGGATGAAATTCCCTGACAGTGTGCCCACACTGTCACAGACCCACTCTGAGTGTATTTACAGTGAAGCGCTCTGAAAACCCCGGAAGACCAAGAGGAAAAGGAGGAGAAGAAGAGGTAGAAAAAGAAATAGAAGATGAAGAAGGAGAAGGAGGAGGAGAAAAAGAGGAGGAGGACTGAGGCCTGATGACAGCTCAGTTTGGTCTGTCAGACAGGTTTCTGATCTATTCTAGTCTTCTTTTCCTACACTGTACTCTTCCCGTCACTGATGTGTGTGTGTGTGTGTGTTTATGTCCTGTAATCGTGGCGTGGTGTGAAACTTTAGATGGCCAAACTGCAAAATGGAAAATTCCAGTGATTCCTGGGCAGCCGGTGTGTCGGTCAGAGAGCCCAGAAACACCCCCCCACCCCCACCCACCCCTTTCAGTGTGTACTGTAAGTGTCAGAGTGTGTATCCAAACACACACTACCTTAATGCAGTGAAAACAACCTTTTCACCTCTCTGTGTTTGTGGAGTTTTGATCAGATGTGACTGATCCCAGCCCGCTCTGAATCTCTTATGAACTCCTGAAAGGATTCGGTCTTGAAAGGTTTTCTAAGTCCACAACTGAGGATTCTCCACGTTATTGTTATTGTAGTCATCATAAGAAAAAAAAGGTGTATTTGATACGTGCATGTAATGACAGCCTACCTGTCTTAACATGTCTGAATGTTCTAAACTCCACAAATGACTGTGGGGGTGTTTGAAAGTGGCATAAACAGATAGCAGACCCTGAACATCTCCATGTGGAAAATGATCAAATCGTGATCGTAATCAAACGTTGTTTTCCTGTTTCTAAAAACTGACCATTACAATAAGAGATGCAGGTTTTAAATTTACTCTGATCCTTAAGCATGTCTCAGTTTTTGGTCGGACACTCGTTCACTTTCTTGAGCTCCTGATGTCCACAGGCTCTCTCTGATCTCAGTCTGTCCCTTAGCTTTTCAGACACACAGACGCACCGACCTGCCTCCTCCTCCTCCTCCTCCTCCTCTCCCATAATCATTTGGTGCCAAAATCATTGTTGAAGTTGAAATTAATTGATTGTTCAGCTCTATGGTATTGATTTTGGTATCAATCAAAATGAGTTTGGGGATCAAATCCCTCAGAAACACTGTTAAATTTCTGAGAGCTGCCGGTCTCACAGAGCGAGTGGATTTGAAATTAAGTTTCTTTACAGTTTTAAACTGAAACTATCAACTCAGTTTCCTGTTTTATGTGACCTTGGTTTGAACCGTCCTCTGTCTCATGATTCATACTAAGATACTAGAGGATTATCAGATCATTGATCAGGTCAAAAGCTCTAATTGATCTAGGTCCTAATCTCTGAAACTGCATCTATAGGATAGTGTTAGGATAGAGTGGATCCTTCTGGACCAGTTCTGTGTGTTGTTTTTATTATAACGTTAGCTCCTGTGTGCTGGTCTGAATTATTCATGGATGTGTTTTTGTCACCAGCTGCTGTGGGGTACTAAGATGTATAAATCCATCTGGTCTCTGCGCTAATGATCATCAGGATGGGCAGCAGTGTGTTCTTGTTTTTGTGTCCTCCTCTGTGTCTGGTCCACGCTGGTCAGATTTCCACATGAAGAGTCCTTCATATCAGCATGATGTCCTCCACGCTCTCCTCTGGATGTCTCTGTCCAGGTTTTATCCTGACAGACATGTGACTCGAACCCGCCTCCAGTGAAACCAATCCTCCTGTGAACTTCAGACGCGAATTCCTTGGTCTAATTTAAGGAGTGACACACTTTCTCCCCCCTCTGTCTCCCCCGCCCCTCCCCCCAGAGTCTTCCCCTGCTCTCCTCTCTTATTTCCTGATTTCCTCACCCTCTGGAGCTAACCCTCACCCCACTCCCTCCCCCTCTGTCTGGTTTGTATTCATAGATTTCCCCTCAGCTCCTCGTTTACCCCAGAGATCACCTGCAGAAATGAAGTCACAGTGAAGAGGTCCAGGGTTTCACACCTAAGCTTGATGTCCCCCTCTCCCAAAAACAGACTATCTAAATCATTTTACATTTACTTTACTTTACTCATGTCTTCAAATCAGATCTTTACTTTGATTCCTCAGGTAAATTAGGCTCATATAAACTTATTTTTTCACACAACAAGGGTCAAACTTCCAAACCAAGGTCAAATGAATGTTTCTTCAACTTGAAATCGGTCATTTTAGTTCAGTCAGGACCTCTTCAAACACAGACACTGATTTATTTTCATGTAGTTAGTTATATTTGGAGGTAGGGCTCTGCTCTGAGACCACCCTGCTCTTACGCATGTGTATTGTTAAAGAGGAGCACACTTCTACATTCATGTACATACATGAAAAGCCGAGGAAGAGAGAGCAACAGCAAAGACCACCTAGGGTTCCCAAGCAACAAAAAATTGCTTAAGACTGGTCTATACAGGGAAGAGGATTGGATGTTATTTGATACAGCCTCTGTTAAATCTGTTAACTCTGTTGAACTGAACAGACACTTAAAATTGAGCATTAGGGCTGGGCAATAAACTAAAAATTTACTAATACCAAAATGTATAACAATAACCGACGTCACTTTGCCAAGCTCGGTATATTCAGTGTCAAAAAAATAGGTAAATAAAAGTTGGTTTTGGATGTGTGTAGGTAGGCTATGGTCTCGTGTCCCTTTTAAGATGCTGTCCTACGTCGGAGACATGACTCCGCTTGTGGGGTAGTTATCGACCATTTATCGTTATCGAGGTGAACTGCTCAACATATTGTGATGTTGATTTTAGGTCATATCGCCCAGCCCTATTGAGCATTATGAAATACTGTGTGTGTGAGACCAGTCAAGGTTCATCAGTCCTGCAGGTTTTCCTGTTCCCTGAACACATCAGCTCATCCTCATCCTTCCCTCTCTCCTTTATCCCTGTTCCTCTGTCGCCCCTCTGTCCCTCCTGTCTATACCTCCTCTCTGCTGTTTTTTTCACACAGCTGTTACTTCTATTAATAATGACTTTATGACGTCAGTTATCTGCTGTTAAAGAGAGTTTATGAAGCTGGGAATATGTGCTTCAGACGGTTAGAATAAACACAGAGGGATGGGAAATGGCTGGGATAATAAATCAGAGCGCAGACTGACTCACTAACATCTGTCTGTATAGATGTGAGGGTTTTAAAAACAGAGCACAGAGCAGACAGACTTCATTATTTATCATTAAAGGGGGACCCGTCAGAGACTGGCATCAGACACATTCAGTCCTCCTCTAAAACAGCAGCTCAATTCAAGGCTGACTCCAGACCAACCTGGATGTTGGTCTCTTTTTTTTTGCATTTTGCATTTATTTATGCCTAAATAATTTTATTTTTTTAATTTCCATCCTTTACCTCTCAGCTTTTATCCCTCCATCCTTTCTTTGCTGTGTGGGGAGCATCCTTTGTTTTTCTTTATTTGATTTGAGCATTGAGTGTTAGCTCAGGAAGGCCAAGAATTAGAGCTCTGACCACAGTACATCAGCTGTAGGGGTAGGAATAGTGGCCCCACGATACAATATTATCATGATACTTGGGCCACGATATGATATTACTACGATTTTTTTTGCAGTACAGTAAGTATTGCAGTACAATATATTGCGATTAATACAAATTTTTCAACTGTTTAGCTAATTTAGCCTTTGGCTTTCCTTTATGTTTGTTTTATTTATGCTGTATTTTATTTTCATGTAGCACATCTTGCAAACCTCTTATATTTGTTGTACTAACTTTCTCCTGCTCTATGATGTCACCTCTGCCAACCTCACTGGACAAACAATTGATTCTATTTTTCCATTATCATAGATTTGACTTCATATTAGCAATTAATTTGAATACTTAGTAATTGAGACAATACGATATATCATCAGACAAAATATCATGATACTATGCTGTATCGATTTTTTCTCCCACCCCTAATCAGCGGATCCTATCACCAGGCCTTATCAGGTTACCAGCTGAGCTAGTTTACGGGTGCTATATGTAAAGTCCCTGATGCTGCTGTGCTCTACAGCCCAGGGTCTTTGCTGCTGCTCTCCCTGCCTCACCATCTCACACATGCCCATGAAACAGAGAGGAGGTGCGCTCCCACCACTTCAGGCTTTGGCATTACAAATACGCACATGGAAAAACTCAGAGAAGACACACGACTGAATATAACTGACTGCATGAAAATGATGTTTCTCCTTATTAAAAAGGTCCGGACTGAATTCAGATGAGGTAATAATTAGGATCAGGTTATCTTGCTTTTGGTTTTTCTTTCAAATAGCCATTTATTGTAAAAGTGGTACAGTCTGCTGATTTATTGATATAGTTGATAGTCTTAGGGTGTTCTGATAAATGTTGTGTTCTGCTTTATTTTGACATGTAGAGACAGATTTGTAGGAGGTGCATGTTTGAGGCTACTTATGCAGGCTTGTGCATAAGTGCAGGGCTGCAGAGACCTTTAATTTATGATACAGCGCAGATTTAACATAGAAGTGTAAATCAGGCTCAGACAGACACATCCCTGGATCAAGACCAGGGTAAAGAGGGCGTCTGAGTCCAGAGTCTAGACCTGCTGCAGGACTCGGTCTGTTTTGAAACTGGATCACTGGATCAAGGGTTTAAAGCTGTACAGACTGAGCCGTATGAGAAAGATGTATTCAGGACTTCAGATACTCTGACTTTCTACCTTTAACTGTGAAGACAAACAGACGTAGAGGAGACCACAGAACCACCTCTTTCAGAGGGATTTACTCACATTATCAACATGAAACGGTTTCATAATCAGCCTCAGAGAAACATGAGGCCTCTGACTGAGAAGTTAACATGATTTCTCTTTGACTTTTCAAATTAATACAAAACAAGGTAAATTTTAGTAATATATATTTTTTACTACTTAAAGTGTTCTCAGTGGTCTTTAAATTGTGATTATTAAGGTTTTAGCTGAAATCGTGTTACCTGTGTCATTTTCAAGGGCTTTTCTTCTGCAGAACTCCAGTAGATCATTAGCAATTCGCCTCTGAGTCGTGGGCGGAGACAGCGCTGCTCTGCACCCTCCTCTTCACACTAGCATTCAGCCTAACATTGCCGGTGTAGTAGAGGTAGCTGGTAACATAGGAGCTATTCAGATCTTGGACACTAATGTCTTTAGGGAAATGATGAAAGTTAATATCATAATTAGCTTTCTTACGAGCATTGCAATCTGCAAATGCACACACTTGTTCTGCTGTCATCCTCTCTACTTCTCGGGATCTGGCCTGCAGAAGGGGATGCTGGGGGTGGAGCTTGAAATTGTGATGTAGAAAATCTTACTGTGTCTGAAACTGCCATTTGGATCTATGAGAGGATCACAGGTTTGACTGTAGAAATATACAGCAATGCAATTTCGCAGCCAGTATTCTCATGACAAGTCCTGTAGCATCAGAAAAATCCCATATGGACATAAAGACAACAAGAAAAACATGATTTTCATTGGAGTGGGTCTTTAAACATTAGACCACTGTCACTGAAGTCCAGTTTGGTCCTTTTCAGTTTTAAACACGCCTTAGATTTCTACAGAAATAACAACCATCACTGCTAGCTCCATCCTTCAGGTCCATGCCTGTAATCTGTGAGCTCTCTCTGCACAGAGGCATGAGGCTGCAGACGTGTGGATACTGGAGGACATTCATTTATATAAGACAACACGTAGGAGGCCTGTGTCTTACTCAGAAGAGCTTTAACAACATTAACAACCTGTGTGTGTGTATTTGTGTGTGTGTGTTTGAGGGACAGAGGAAGGTGACATCACTAAAATAGATCCTCTATATCGCTATACAGCCGAGGGTTCAAAAATAAAACACACACACACACACACACACACACACACACACACACACACACACACACACACACACACACACAGCTGCCCCCTATCCCTTACAGCACCTCCAAACTAATCCTGTCACCATGACAACCATACATCCCATAACACAAACAGCAGCCTAAGCGTGGACAGGTGGGAGCGAACTGACTGTTGTTCATTAAAAACATGGAGAGGAGAAGGATTAACAGCTCACAGATTAAATGTTAAAGATGATGATGATCAGATTAATTTCTGTTCACGATGTTAGAGGTCTGGACGTTAGTCTGAGAAGTTCTGACCAATCAGGTGTCAGCAGGAAAATCAGTCTGTATTGAGAGCAAAAGCAGGAGGAACACAGTCCTCCGTAATGACCTCCACCTCTCATGGTTGGTGATCTGAGGAGGATTTGTGTCTCTGCATGAAGGTCAGCGAACAATCTGTTCGAGATCAAACATTCACACTGAGACACTAATCTGACTGATGCTGAGTCACTGAAGACAATCAGAGTTCAGATTTACGGACTTTCCTGAATGCATCAGAAATGATAGATCTGGCTTCCATTCAAAAAAACAAACATTTTCAAAGTAGGTTTCTTCTCCTCTTCAGGACAGACCCGACGAAGCTGGACTGTTATTAATCCAGCAATCTACTGTCATAGTGTTGTAAAAGTCAGAGCTAATCATGGATTTAATTCAGGGGCAACAAAAAGAGAAAAAACTGAATGTACTACTCACCAGAAGCTGGATGGTTTAACAGTTACTGGTATTCAGCTGAAATCCTGATTATTCACATGATGTTTAGGACACACTAGTCTTTAAACAGGAATAAAAAGTCGATCCATAAAAACAAAGATTGGATCCAGCGTCCTGAAAGTGTGATTTCCATGACGTGTCATTTCTACTACGAGGAGAGCCACGAGGTGATCAGGGTGTCACAGTAATCCATCACACTGTGCGGTATTTACTAGGCTTTTACTCTGAAGCCTTTTTATAGTTCCCCCTCGTGACCGCACACCTGTCCCAGCCTTTGTTGCTGAGCTCTGAGGCTTTAAACACGTCTGATCGCTTAAAGACCAAAATGTTTCCTCCATAGTATAACAGAGGGAACTCAGAGATGAAGATCTTAGCTGGAGTTTCCACCAGGACACTCAGAGACTCTCTCACATTAAGATCCCATTTTGGCTCCAACGAAAAGTGATTGACTGTTTAAACTTTGGACCTGTTGAAGGACTTAAATATCAAATATGTCTGACTGCAGTAACCCTAACCTAACTGTATTAAATACTTGCTAGTGACTGGAAGAGCTGGGAGATAAAACTATAATGATATCAAAAATGAAATTCCCTTGATATCAATATGAAACATGGTCAATATCCTTTTTCGATAGCCAGCATTCTGCCATGTTTTGGTAGACTATACTAATAGCCAATTAAAAGGGGAGTTGCTCCGAGTCTGCCCCGCGCTGACACAATCATGTGCTGAATTGGAACCAAGTAGCAAACAACTGCGTAGTAGCAGGCTGCAACCGCATGCAACTATAGCACGCAACATATGAAGCCAACAGCACTGTCGGTGTGAAAAAAAGAAAATGAGTGCTACCCCCGTGAAAAATGCAGATGAAGGCTCAACCAATGACGACATCGTTGACTCGACTGGCACTCGACTGGCCTGTGCAGTTGAAACAACCGATCATTCAGTCCGCTTTCTCTAGCGCAACGCTTTACGACAAACATTTAAGATTGACAAGTGATTTTTTTTATATCATGATATTTATGGATATTGTCTGACATGAAAAAAATATATTGTGTCAAACATTTTCCCATGTCGCCCAGCCTTAGGGATTGGTCAAAAGCCCTCAACAACCCTTTCACAATTCTGCATAACAAGAGTGACAACATGCAGCTCACGTTCATCATGTCAAATCAGCCCACAGTAAAAAGTTCCAGCACATTTGACTTCTTCTTGTTGACACTGTGGCAAAAACGTAAGCACTTTGTTAGCGTGCTAAACAACCTGAACATTAGCCGTTGTGTGGTTTCTCTGTGCAAGGTCAGGTGAAGCAGCTGGACATCCCTCTGAGACTGTTCATGTGTGGAGTTGCACTACAGAGAAACCACTATGAGAACTTTCTCAGAGTTTTTGGGCTCATCTAAAATATGGCTAGTTTTCTGCAGTAGTGTAACTATAGAGAGTGTTTAGTAACAGGAGCGGTGTAACAGTATGAGCACTGGAGATGAAAATGCTATTACACCATCAAGTAATCTGATCTGTGATCTGTAAACAGAGCCGCAGATTGAATTAATCTCAGTCTTGGCTTTAGTTTTCTGTTTCTCCAGCTGTGTTCTATGTGTTCAAACTGGGCCTTAGATTCGTATTAGATACACACAGGTATGTTTTAGTAGTATACTCACCTGAGAATGAGAACAGTCTGTGGCTTTGTGTGGAGCTCTTTTACAACCAGAGAGAGAGAGAAAGCAGAGGTTTCTACAGCAGCAGACGGACTAACAGGAAGCATACTGCTGAGGAGTTTTTCACCATTTTCAGGATCAGAAGAGGAACTCCCTCCTCACTCTCTCAGATATTAGAAAGAAGAAATGAGCTGCTCCGAAATTCTTGACTGAAGTTTGTCTGTTTAGAGTCTTTTCTCTGACTTTAATGCAGACTCTTGCCTCGATCAAAACCCTGTGGATCAGGTGTGAACAGATTGGTTGAAGTTTCATAGATAAACTCTCAGTAAATGTGCTCAGCCTGTATCTCTGACACAGTTTAATCTGCTCTGTTCAGCAGCTAGGCCTGTCAGGCTGCTGTTTGTCTGACTGTTGAATATTTAATGAGTCTTTTCTGGGAAGCCACAGCCCGCCTACACGTACTCCATCTACTGCACCGTCCACTTATCACCTGAAACACACCTTCATCCACCACACGTCCAATTCCTGAAACAGCATGTACAGATGACACCAAGAGGTTAGACGTGTTTCACTGGAAGGACAGCTTTAAGATTCCCACCCTGGCTTAAGTGTGAAGGTGTGCAGAGCAAGGAGGACTGAGGTTTTAGTCCTGGTGCACTTTCTTTTTTTATTTACATTTCTTTGGTGCACAGTGTCCCTGCTTTCGTTCTAAAATATCAGCTTTTTTCTGATTTTTTCTTGTGTTTTTTGAGACGGAGGGAGATGAAGGTGTAAATATTGTTTTGCTTCATCTCCATATATCATGATACCACTTTTGGTATGAGGCCCGTCTTCAGGTCAAGAAGACAAACCCACTCACCTGCTTCACCTCAGCCCTGTGCGAGCTTCATCACGGATGCTCTGCACTGAAACAGACACACACTCAAGCACACATACACACCTAAAGGTTTTTGTACTGTTCTCAAACAAACTCAGTGCCACTATCCTAATACAGTGAGAACTATCCATAATGCACACAGCACAGAACCGGCTCTGTGATCCAGCAGCAAAAATAACAAATACCCGCCTGTCTTTTTCATGTTAACACAGGATATTTGTTATTATTGTGCTGCATTCCGGTTGCCTCAGAAGTCGGATGTCAGAGCTGGGAATGACGTTACACCCGAATTGACAGCGTTCCAGTAAACAAGTCGGAAAACCAAGATGGACGCCTACAGTTAGCCATTGTTAGCTGTTGTTTACAATCATCAGCTGTCGTTGGCCATTGTCAGTTGTTGTTAGTTGTTGTTGTAAACAACGCAGTACTTAACTCTTACTAACACCATAGCCCTGTGAGGTGTTCCTAGTCTGTAGGGGAGAGGAACAACCAGAAGAGGTTCAAGGAGGAAAATTTAGGGAACTGGGAACAGGGTCAAGGACCACCATGGCTCATCATGGTCTGATCAAACAGAAAGGTCCTGAAGCTCAAACAACTGAAAATCTGAATGAAAAGAAAAAGAGTCTGAACACCCAGATCAATGTGTAGATCAGTCCATGAGGGGACAGATCTCTGCTTCAGGTGGGTCTTTAAAGGTGCTTTTTAACCACAAACAAGAGAAATGTGGGGCCTTAAAGGGATCTGATCCATGGATCACAACAACAGTTTGGGTTTTAGTCATCCGCCTGTCTGCACAGATCTTTGAATCACAGTGACACGTCCAGACTTCCTCTGTCCCCTCATCTGATTCCTCTCAGTCTGTTCTCCATCACTCTAATCACATTACTCACTCTCTCTTTCCCTCTCTCTCTCTCTCTCTCCCTCTCAGATCCGACCCTGCCCTCGCTGACTGATCAGAGAGGAAATCACGACCACACAGACCGTCTCTGCCTCCACCATGCAGACCTCCATCCTCCTCCTCCTCCTCTCCCTGTTCCTCCTCCTATCTCTCCTCCTCCCCTCCTGCGCCTCTCAGAGTGAGTCAGACCTCACTGTTATGACTCGTAATGGCCGAGTCCGTGGCATCCCCCAGCAGGTGCCAGACCACGGCCAAGTCACAGCCTTCCTGGGCATCCCCTTCGCCGAGCCTCCGATGGGAAAGAGGCGTTTCCGCCCTGCAGAGCCCAAGCGTCAGTGGTCGGGGGTGTACGAGGCAATGGAGTACCCAAACGCCTGCTTCCAGTTTGTGGACACGTCGTTTCCTGATTTCCATGGCAGCGAGATGTGGAACCCCAACAGACAGATGAGTGAGGACTGCCTGTACCTGAACGTGTGGGTGCCCTCCTCCCCCAGGCCGCACAACCTCACCGTCATGGTGTGGATCTACGGTGGAGGTACTCGCTCATGACTGATTCAGAGTATAGATAGGTTAGACCTGAGTCAGTGTTCCTGTCAGGCCAGCTGGGATCATAAACAACACACAGAGATGTGTAATGGAAGGCTATGGTAGCAGAACAGAGTCTTTCTGTTGTTTTGGAATCCACACATTTTGGCGTCTAACTGACTAACAGAGGAAAAGAGTTTTAATAAAGTCCAGATTTCTTCCTCCTGCAGCAGGTCAGCTGTCTGTAATGTCTGTACCATAATCTCTGGTGGATTCAAGTGTGTCAAGTTCTTGCTTTGGTTGGGTGACCATACGTCCTCTTTTACCCGGACATGGGGACTTTTTTGGGGACTATCCAGCCATGTCCAGCTTTGTCGGGGGGATATATAAAATCCTTCAAATGTCCAGGGTTTTGTATGGAAGTTTTGAGTTTGTGTCACTTGGTCTTACTGAGTTAGAAGTGTGTTAAAAACACTCAATCCGACCCGAAAAACTCTTCAAATTTACTACGCACAACTCAGTGACTCCACCCCCACGTAGTCGTGTCCTGTTTTGGGGGATTCAGAGTATGGTCACCCTAGTTATGGTCCCTGATAGGCTCGGTTGGTTCTTCTTTTTTATCACCTAAACTGGAGTTTTAACAACCTTGCTTTTAAATGCTTTTAAAAAGCCCTGAAAACTGGCAGGTACATCAGTCCTGGTGAGACTTTGATATTTTCAGGGTTTCAGACACGAACATGAAAAATTGACCAAATGGAGCCACATAGAACTTTTTCAACAGTTCAGCTTAGATTTATTTATTTTATTAGAACAATGCACATTAATTGACATGTCAGCAAACGCATCAATGTAAACATGCCGGAGTTAGCATAAATGCTCATTTTAATCCTTTGTCCTTTTGCAGATGTTTAAAAACTTAGAAACAATACATTATAGTTGCACAATAAACTATAACAGATAGTTAAAAATGCAAGATCTTACATACAGGGTTAGTTCCAATTCACAAAGAAAAGATAAGAAGGTTACTCATGAGAGCAGGTCTGATTTATTATTAACCGCTGCTTAAGGGTTAATAGCCCTTAAGCAGTGGTTTAGCAGTTCAGCTTCATAAGGCAGTTTTAACCAGAGAGACAATATTTGGTGCCTGTATTCAACTTTTCAAGACTCGAGAGAAGTCTGTTCTTCAGCAGTGTAAGATTGAAGTCAGGAACTAGTGTCAGTATGGACCAGGTTTCGACTTACATGTAGCTGGTATAAGACCTTCTATCTTCTGTGGTGGATTTGAAGTTCTCCATGACCTCCCCTAGGTTTTTACAGCGGCTCTTCTTCTCTGGACGTGTATGATGGTCGGTACCTCGCTCACAGTGAGACTGTCATCGTGGTTTCCATGAACTATCGGATTGGAGCGTTCGGCTTCCTGGCCCTCCATGGCTCCTCTGAGGCTCCTGGAAATGTGGGTCTGCTGGACCAGAGGATGGCGCTGCAGTGGGTCCAGGACAACATCCACTTCTTTGGAGGAAATCCCAAACAGGTCGGTGTCTGATCCAATCGTTCATTTTGTTTGTGTGTGAGATCATCTAAACCTGACCTTTAACCTCTTCTGGATCAGGTGACGATCTTTGGTGAGAGTGCAGGTGGGGCTTCAGTCGGATACCACCTTTTGTCTCCAGACAGCAGGCCCACCTTCACCAGAGCCATCCTGCAGAGCGGGGTCCCTAACTGTCCCTGGGCCTCTGTCAGCCCCGCAGAGGCTCGCCGACGGGCCACACTGCTGGGAAAACTGGTCGGCTGCAACGGGGGCAACGACACCGAGCTGGTGGACTGTCTGAGGAGCAAAACCCCCCAGGAGCTCATCGACCAGGAGTGGCAGGTAACGCCGAGTGAACGATGGACCACTCTGCAGGGTACAGATCCTTTATACTATCAGAACCATTGGTCCACAGGGCCTCGTACCTTTACAGGTGTCACCTCTGCAGAGGTTTTGAATCAACTGAACCTCTGAGTTGAAGTTCAACTCTGCGGACCTCTGATTAGTCAGATAAGCTCATTTGTTCTCTGTCGCCCCGCTCTGATAGGTCCTGCCGTGGTCAGCCCTCTTCAGGTTCTCCTTCGTCCCTATGGTGGATGGCGAGGTTCTCCCCGACACTCCCGAGGCCATGCTGAACTCAGGGAACTTTAAAGACACTCAGGTGCTGCTGGGAGTCAACCAGGACGAAGGATCCTACTTCCTGTTGTATGGAGCGCCGGGCTTCAGCAAGGACAACGAAAGCCTCATCTCCAGGGAGGATTTCCTAGAAGGTGAGGGAGGAACAGAGACAGACACAAAAAATGATGTTCTAGGAAATCTAATAAAAGAGACAAAGAGGAACCAAAGTTATTCAAATAAAAAAAAAGTTTGAATGAGAACCTGAACCTGGGTTCTGAAAGGTTTCCTGTTCATCCCCTTCTTCTCCTCCAGGGGTGAAGCTGAGCGTCCCCCATGCTAACGACATCGGTCAGGAGGCCGTGGTGCTGCAGTACACCGACTGGATGGACGAGAATAATGGGCAGAAGAACCGTGATGCTATGGACGACATCGTAGGAGACCACAACGTCATCTGCCCGCTGGCTCACTTTGCTCGCTCATACGCCCAGTTCAACGCCCTGAAGGCCAATGGTGGGGCGATTAACAGTGGAGGAAACTCTCAGGGTGAGATATGGCAGGGTTATTAGACTTTCACCCTTGTATTGAGAGGCTGGCTTTGGGTACAGAGAGTTAAAGTGGGAAATAGGGGGTGAACTGAATTGACCACCAGATCAAAAATACTGAAATATCCCTTTAGAGAATTTAACCACTCAACAAACCTCTTAGTTTTGCAGAGGGTTAAGGTTAACCCTGAAGATCCAAAATTATCCCTGTCTTCCTCTAGGAAGCGTCTTCCTCTACCTGTTCGACCACCGCGCGTCTAACCTGGCCTGGCCTGAGTGGATGGGGGTGATCCACGGCTACGAGATCGAGTTTGTGTTCGGCCTGCCGCTGGAGAAGAGACTGAACTACACTCTGGAGGAGGAGAAGCTGAGCCGACGCATGATGAGATACTGGGCCAACTTCGCTCGTACTGGGTGAGGAACCGCAGCAAACGCTCAGGATTTATCCGAGCACTGACTCTGTCCTGCAGACTCCAACTTCTCTGTGATAGATGAGCTCAGTCTCTGCAGCTCAGAGGGAATAATTAAAGCTTTAATCAAATGATCTGTGTGCAGGGTTTCAGTCTGTTTCTGCAGTCTCAGCTCAGCAGTGAGTAATGACTCTGCTGCAGAAACAGAGCGCTGATCTCAGACTTACAAACACAGACTGACCTGATTTCTGTCTGAGGAGCTAACGCACTGTTTCAGATCAGATTTATAAACTTCTACAGAAACAGTGTGCTGCTGTAGGAATCTGACCTGGAAAATGCAAACCCGACATGTCTGCATTCACACCTCATTATGTTTACGCTGGTGTTTGCAGCTTATGAGATACTATACTAACTTTGCTCATGGTTTCTGATCTAACATTGAAGTTTTTTATACGAGATGGTCATATTTTGCTCTGAACAGAGAACCCATAGAGGTTAACAATTGGAACTGAGGATGAATGAAATCAGAGATATCACCTAGTGCTGATGTTCTCCGGGTGCAGAGTTGTTGATCAGGCTGATTTTGTTTTAGCTGAGATGACACTGAGACTACGTTTACACACGCTTGGCTTTTTTCATAATCGGACATTTCACCCTCTCTGTTTACAAAAACTGCGTGCACACCACTACGTTTTCAGAAAAGTCTTCGTTTACACAAACCCGTGTATATATGCTGTCAAGAGCATGCCAAACCTGTAGGGGGCAATGTAGTGAGAAGCTCAAGCCCACGGTAGCCAATCAGAATCCTGCATAGCAGCAATGACAACAATGTGGCTTCCTTCTTTCCTGCGCAGTGCGCATAATCTGCCGTCGACCTGATTTTTTTTCTGTTTACGTGCAAACGAAGTTTTACAAAATCTCCACTCTGGCCAGAGTTTTTAAAAAGCACAGTTTTTAGGGGCAAATTATCCATTTGCGTCTAAACGAAGGGTGCAAACCCACTGAGCATTTTTTGGTCTAAAAGAGGTCTAATAGATGTCTAAATGTAGCCTAGACGACTGGTCTAAAATCAGGCTACCACAGGTCTAAAAAGGAAATTTCTAAGACGAGTTAACTGAGGTCTAACTGTATATTGCTCAACAGCTATCATAATTATTTTGGTTAAGTACTTGGAGATCAGTTATGTAACTCACAGTTGCTGTTTGAAATAAATAGTTATTGTATCATGGGTTAAAGTGCAACATTTAAATTCTGTCTAAAAATATACGGAATCTAGACGGTTGAAATTAGGTCTAAAAAAAAATTAGACGTCTTACAGCTGTCTGTTGCTCAGTGGGAACGATGGGTAATGTCTCTGTTTTTAAAAATAACCGGGTACGTATAAACGGGGCATTTAGCTGCAAACTTCTGCACATTGCAAACGAGATGAACAGCTATGATTAACAAAGCAGGCGCAAAGAAGTAAATGCACCACAGACTGAGCTGCAGAGCAAAGAGGATCCCTGCTCCAGTGCTGTTTTCATGCATTTGAATGAGCCATTAGCTGTAGGCATATATTCATTATGATGCAGTAATGTCTCATATCACTTAGCGTGCAATAACATTTTATGTGCAATTATGCTCATAGTGCAATAACTCTTAGTACGCAACAGCATTCCAGGAAGGTGCAATAACACAGAAGGTCTCACTATCCTGTAGACTGCACTGAATGCTCTCCCTATCCTCAAACTGCATACACCGGCTTTTGAGGTGATGTGAATTAATGTGTATGTGACTGCATTCACACACATTCACACGTGGTACAACCAAGTCCTTTCTATCCGTTTGCTTAGAGTGAAATGATTTCTCCTTTTACATAAATGAGTCTCAAAACAAAAACTCCTGTTCACATACAGTTGATGTGAACCAGCTGTTCCCCTCTTGTTTGTAATCAGTCATTAAAGACGTGTTGCATCTTACTTGCATTTGTGTTGGAACTTTGTGAACTGTTCCTTTAATCAGAGGAGTATGATATTCGGTGTAATCCATTCTTCATGAACAGATGCAGAGATGATGTTTAAACCAGCTGTTATTCCATGTTGTAGGGCTGGGCGATATGGCCTCAAATCAATATCACGTTTTATTGAGCAGTTCACCTCGATAATGATAAATGGACGATAACTACTCCACAAGCTGCTCACCCCCTCCCATATTATCTTCATCTACTTCAGCCGCCGCAACTTTTGAACCGTCCTTTATTTATTTATTTATTTGACCCTGAATATACCGAAATGAAAAAATGACATTGGTTATTGTCGTAAATTTTCGGTTTATCGCCCAGCCCTACCATGTCCTATCTCTAATGATCCTTCTTCTCCTTCTTCTGACCTTCTCATCTTTACGTCCTCCTCAGGAACCCCAATGTGAATCACGACGGTATGGTGGAGAGCAAGAGGCGCTGGCCTGTGTTCACTCTGAGCGAGCAGAAACACGTGGGTCTGAACACTGACCCTCTGAAGATCCACAGAGGACTGAGGAACCAGATGTGTGCTTTCTGGAACCGCTTCCTGCCCCGCCTCCTCAACATCACCGGTAAACACGGCTTCACCATAAACCATCTGTGGTTAGTGCAGGACCAGGAACCTCAGCTAGGATTTGGATCAAAACTCAAACTCTGCAAAATGAGCACAAATGACTTGAGACCAGAAGGAGAAATAAAAAAGGGAGAAGTCAGAAAACACCATGTCAAGGCCGGTCCGTCAGAGATATGAAAGCCAAAGGGTCCAATCAGACACCTCATTACAGCCCCAGTGTCGTAGATATTTTCCACATCATCATCTTTGCACCCAGGGCCTACACTGAGTAAATAGTGACTTATCTTCACTCATGTTTGGGGTTGTTTGTGTGTTGGTCTTAAAATGAGGTGTGGTCTATCTAAAAAGAAAGTGGACCAACAGAAACCTGGTCTTATGTCAGTAGTGTCTTTCTTCCCTCATGTTTAGAGGCATCTCCTGAAGTTTTGAGGAGTTAGAAAAGTAGAAAGTCTGAACAGAGAGGCGAGCAGACACTGACTGGTTTGATTCACGTCCTGCTCAAAACACACCTTTGAGGCACACCCTGATTCCGTCTGCACCATGCATGCTAGACTGTGCATCATTAACTCAGATCCTCCAGAGTCTAACCTCTAACCCCTGCCCCCTCTCTCTGTGTCCAATCAGATAACATAGACGAGGCGGAGCGTCAGTGGAAGGTGGAGTTTCACCGCTGGTCCTCCTACATGATGCACTGGAAGAGCCAGTTCGATCACTACAGCAAGCAGGAGCGCTGCACCGACCTCTGAGCCCCCCCCACCCTGCAGAGGGAGAGAGAGCACCGAGGGAGGGGGCCGGCAGAGAGAGAAAGAGAAAGCGAGATGGTCACTTCCCTCCGTAACCCCGCCCCCTGCCCCTCCCCTCAGTGAAGTCTGATTTCCTGTATAGTCCGTGTTTGAGCTCCTACAGGCTGCTGACGTGTATTTATTTTTATTTATTTATTTATTCAGACGTCTCTGTGTGACTGTCCGGGCTATGGAGGGAACTGAAACCAGAAAGCTCAAAGATCTGTCATTACCTCGGGTGTGTGTGTAACAGTGTGTGTAACAGTGTGTGTGTGTGTGCGTGCGTGCGTATGTGTGTTTGCCTGGACGGGCTCTTGCTGGTTTCCTGTGGATCTCATAAACTCATCCTCAATTCCTTCTTTTCAACATATCAGGGTTTCTGTTTCTGTCTCACCTTTCCGTCCGTTTGCTTCTTTATTTTGACCTCTATTCCACTGACCTGTGCTGCTCTGCGTTACTTCGTCCCGTGTGTGTCTGTGTGTCTCAGTCTGTGTGTCTCAGTCCGGCTGTCTCGGTCTGGGTCTTTGGGTAAAGCCATAAGCTGCTCATCTCCCTGTGAACAGGCTGCACAGGGAGTCGAAACCAGTTTGACATCAGCTGTCAGAGAGGATGCATTTATTTCAGAAGAATATCTAATACAGTGTTAGTTCAGGCAGGCTTCAAAGTCAAGCTCCACCCACAACCCATCAGCTGTACTCATGTCAAACAAAATGGTCCTTCTAGTCATCTTTCTCTTTCTGCTTCCTCTGCAAACAACTTAACTACCCTCCTCACCCCAGCTCCTCCTTTTGATGCTGTGTCTGATTATAGCTGTCTTTGCTGATGCTCTCCCTGCCTCGGGCTTTGGTGCTCCTCGTACACATGGAAATGCAGGGAAGTCTCAGAGCAGAGCCAAACCACTAAATATAACTTATTGTATGAAAAAATAACCCTGTTTGACTAAAGCGGTCCTGACTCAAATCAAATCTGGTTTATAGATGGATGACATTTTGCTTTGTGTGAACCAGAGGAGAGGTGTGCTCTGCCCACCCTTCGGATTTGGCATATCCACAGGCACAGGTAGAAGGCAGGGAGTTATAAAACCAAAGCCATATCACTGAGTAAAACCTACTACATTGACTGAAGAGCATCCTACCATCACTGTAGACCAGTTAGTATGTTAACAACCACATTATTCTGTTCTGAGTCCATGAAAACCTCTGAACTGAGGAAGAAACACGGCTCTGCTGCAGTTTAAATATATCTCATTTTTTCCTGCATTTGAACAAAGAAAGACTCCAGAAGTGTTTCTGTTCATTTATTCAGTCTCAACCAAGAGAACCAAAGCTGTAATTCTGCGTCAGGCCTATGGAGGGCGCTGTACTTCATCAGGGGCAGAGTTGTCCTCTACCACTGACTCCAACTACAGTTTCATATTTAAAAGCATGAATTATCATAATAATCTCCAGTTCACAGGAGGATGTATTTATCTTTGTTAATTATTATCTGTCTCCTTTTTAGTTCATGCTGAGATAAATTACCTTCTCACACATGTTGTTATTCTTTTATAAAGATTTTAAAAAGATTATAAAACTTAGAACAAGTAATTAAGTCTGGAAACAGAGTTTTAGAAAATATTAAAGTATATCTGTGACGATAAATAAATGAATCTGAGTCTAAGAGAGATTATGAATATCTGATGTTAGAAACGATGAGACATTTTAGTTTACTGAAAAATGATTTAAAAAAAAAAAGAATTTATCTGATATTTCAGTTTGGAAAAAGTCCTGACAATTTAGATGAGCTGTTCTCGATTGAGGTAAAGGAGTTTATATCAGACAGACTTTGCTATTTAAACGTCCTCAGAAACATAAACAGGAGACAGACAGTGAACATGTGAGAATGAGGCAAACAGATGAAATATTCAGATGCAGATTGATTGAAGATTACATGAATAAATTTAATATTTCAGATTACTGTGTTATTCATATTTAATTTAAACAGTAAATAAGGGTGTGTGTGTGTGTGTGTGTGTGTGTGTGTGTGTGTGTGTGCGCGCGCTTGAATGTGTCTATGTGTGTGTCCACTCAGTGTCACACACAGCTGTCCTTCATCCTTCATCACTCCTCCTTTTTCAACCTCTCCTCTTTCCATTTTTCTTTCCTTTCCTTCATCCCCTCTCCTTTGCCACCTCTATCCTCCTCTTTCTCCCCTCCATCCCCTCTCTCTCTCTCCTCTCCTCACCCTCCTCTTCAATCTTCCTCTCCACTCCGCCTGTCATCTCCATCTTCATCTCTAATCAGCCTCCACCCACCCTCCTGTCCTTCACCCTCTTCCTCGTATCCTCCTCTCCTTCCACCTCATCTAACTTTTCTCCCCTTCATCATCTCTCCTTCCTCTCCCTCCCCCCTTGTCCTCGCCCTCTCTCTCTGCCCTCCTCCTCCTCCTCCTCTCCTGCGTTCTCGTTAGTCTAATGGAGGAAGAGTAATTCACTCAGTGCGAGGTAAAGTGACAGAGCGCTGGCTCAGCCGACAGGACGTGAAGGATGGAGGGATGGAAAATGGAGGAGAGGCGAGGCGAGGAAGGGGGAGGAGAGGTGGAGATGTGATGGAAAGATGAAAAGACGGGTGGAGGAATAGAAGGTTACATAACTAAGAGAATAAAAGTGAAGCTGCAGCTCAGAAACAGACCTGATGAAGAGGACTCAGGGTCACAGTCTGATTATTAATGATTTTTGTCCTTATTTGCAGTTTCTGAAATAAATGCTCTCAAAATTAAATTACAAATGTTAGATGAATACTAAAACCTGCTGGGGTCTGTTTTTACCACAAAGTAAAATAAGATTTCCCAAACTCAGAAACTGAGACGCCGTCACACACCAAAACTGGACTTTTTTCTCCGTGAACCACCTCTCTGTTTGTTTCTATATAAGCTCTGAAAACGTAAACATTTTTATTCAAATACTGACTGAAGAGTTCAGAAAAAGACTTTGTGTCAGCTGCATGTGAAGCCTCTGGAGGTGCATGTGTGTCCTGTGCAGACATAAGAACCAGATGTTCTGATCCAAAACCGGATCCTTCTGTCTTAGTGTGTCGCTCATTGTAAGTGTTTACTGTTAAAAACATAAAGTCTGTTTTTCAGATGAAGGTCATGAATATTCATGTCTCATCACTGCTCACGTCAGCGGTAGGATCACAGACAAACAGCTGTGAGGGTCAAATTTTAGTTTTAATGTGACAATCAGACGACAAATTAAAGATTCAAACTTGAAATTTATTCATCTGAGCTTTAATCAGGTCTCAGTCCAATGTACCTCCTGATGATAAATGAGATATTATAAAGAAACAGACCTGCTATTTTCCACATTTATGTGTGCTGAGGTTTTTTATTTCAGGGATTTATCACCTGATTTAAAAAGCTTCATATTAAATAAACACCCATAAATCTAATATGAAATATTCAGAGTCTCAGTTTTTAGGTCTAAATTTAAAGATCTTTCAATATTGAAGGTCCTTTGTTTCCCGACATGTCCAAAAATCTATTATCTGAATATATAAATAAATATAAACATTTTTATATTCAGATATGAAACACTTGAGGAGACAATGGCCATCCAGCTGATGTTGAAGCAGAGACAGACTTATGAATGTTCAGACAGTAAAAGGTCATGATGTTAATCAGCTGTTAGAGATCTGAGTACTCAAAGAGCTCAGGTGTTCCTGTACCTGAGGGTGGGTTCTCTGTATCTTCTGGACTTTTTTGGGTCTTTTTCTAAACCAGGACTTTCTGGGTGGACTTTCTTTCTCACTCTGTTGTCTGTTCTCTGTTTTTACCACCTTCAAACCACTGTACCTGTGTGTGTATGTATGTGTGTGAGTGTGTGTGCGTGTGCGTGTGTGCGAGAAAAAGATGTACCTGTGGGGTGAGGTGAATCCTGCGCTGTGATTGGCTGAAGCGTCTCCTATGGGCCTGCTGTAGTTTAATCGATGAAACAGGGATGAAGGATCATACCTGACGTCTCAAACACCTGTGCAGAGTGCTGTATGAGTGTCCGTGTGAGTGACAGCTCCTTTCATCCAATGGGAGACCTCGGCCCCCCCCTTGCTTAAGCCCCTCCCCCTCCTATCAGCCCCCCTGCATGTCCTGAAGTGTATCCTGCCAAACTTGGACTGTTATTTTCTGTAAAGTTTGTACTTTGGAACAAATATTATTGAAGTGAGTGATGTGAACCTCTCTCCTGTTAGTGTCATGTTAGCAATAACGTCAGTAAAGAATATATTTGATATTTAAATGCTGTGGTGATAAAACAATGATGACGGATAGAGGCTGTGTTTTCAAAGCAATATATTAATCTGAGTGCCATAAATCTGTTTCCTCTTCTTCTGTTGGTTTGATGAGTTCGTCCTCTTCCTCATCGTTGTCTCTTCACTCACTCGTCCTCTTCGTGTTCAGCTTCTGTAGCTTCACTGCGTCTCTGTGTATCATGAATGCTGACTTGGTTAAGCTCTAGCAACAGAAATAAAGACACCTGCTGCTTCTGTCTGTCCAAACTGCGCTTTTCTTGACTCTCAGTGATCTACAGAGGAGGTTCACACCTGCCCTGGTGTGAGTCTGAGAACAATCGGAGGATATGTGTTTAGTCAGGGTTATTTAGAGTCTTCAGATGGATTTATATTTAGGTTTTTTTAGAGGTTTACATCACAGACATAATCCAACCTGCTGCTGCTGAGACTCTTCACTCTTCAAACTGAACTTTAAAAAACTTGTTTGACCCCAAACTGTAAAAAAAGGATGTTTACACTTTATTGTAAGGTCCAAGTAATAAGCAAGGAAAGTTAATGAGCCACTAATGAGAATTATGATTAATTAAGATTTAATTAACAGATGATTTTCTCCACAAAGGGATTTCAAAGTCATATTGTGTCAGCTGTACAGAAACACAGCTGTTAAAAGGTGCTTATGAAGGAGTTATTCAGTCATTCAATCATCCTCACCTGCAGTAGTCTTACTCATATAAATAGCACTGAATAGTAACTAATATAATAACTAATGAGCTGTGTCTTAAATGATAAGGTTCCAGTGGTGTCTTGAGGGGGAACCATGTAACTGAAGATTTCAATAAATATTGCCATGATAATATCCAATTAAGAGAAAATAAATAAAGTAAAATCAGCAAAAGTCAAAACAAAGATTCAGTTCATCAGAAAATCTTTTATTGTACAGATTCAGAGAGTTTCCAGGTATGAATCCACAGAGGATATAAAGAAACATTTTTCCAACAAATCAATAAAATAAAAACCTTCTTTCACTGAGGTTTTTTTTTTTTTTATATCTGAGGAATCTCACCATCAAAATAATCCAGATGGAATAACTTCTGCCTGATTTCCATTTTTCTGTTTGACAGGATCCAAAAGTCAGTCCAGATAAATTTGACTGAAAGAGCCACTCAGAAAAAGGTGAGAGAGTGTTTGATTATCAGGGATAGAAAAGGATTAAAGAGGGACGACTTATTTGTGTAATGACTGAAGTGACAGAACAACATCTTCACTCACCTGAGACAGGAAGTATTTAGTCAGTGTCAGTATTTATACTAGTCTGAGCAAACACAAATTATTTCAGGTGTTCCTCTAGATTTTAACCCTCACACGGTTTTATTGGATCACACTCTTCAGCACTGACTCTGGGTTTATGCTGCCACCTTGTGGCTGCTCTGTTTATAGTAACCGCTGATTTAAAGAAGGAACAATCAATTGTTTCACATCTGCAAATTTAGGACAAATCAATCAGCAGACTTCATGTCAGTGAGGGTGAAAATATTTTTTTTAGTAAACTGATTTTTATTGTAGAGGATATATACAGTTAAAAATAAAGTTGAGGTGTTCTTGGATTTAAGGTCATAAAACTCAGAGAAACTATTTCAAACAACTTAAACTGTCTGTTCCCATGAGACAAAAAGCAAACATAGACGTTCTTAGTTCTTTGTTACAATATCGATAATAAATCCATATTTTCAAGTTTTAAACAGTAAAGTTTGAGTGTATGATGATCTGCTGTAAACTGAGAGTTTAAGGACGCTTGACAAACACACATGATGACCACATATCATCCTAGTGTAAAGAGGGGTTTGTTTGTGCGTGTGTGTGTGTTTGTGCGAACATTTCACCTGCATGTGCAAACTCGTTAGTCACGTGACATGGACCCTCACTTCTAAGGGAAAACAGCAGTAATAGAAAGTTTATATTTTTTATATAGATTTAAAATAATGAAAATTATTTTGTCTGTTTTGTTAGTTTTTATTTTTTCATTTATTTGTTTTCTAAAAAATCTGAGGTAGGTGACATGGACACCTCCTCCCCCTTCTTCTCCTCCTCTTCTTCAGGCTGTGTCAAGCTTGCGAAGATATCTGACCGGAAATACATTCATATACACAATAAAAGCTTTTAAATTTGAAATCAAAGCCTCTGATATTACGTATTTTGAAAAGCCTAATATTTAACATTTAAATTTTAAATCAATAAATCTCTTAAGGAGTTCAGAGGAAGTTTTAAAATATTCTTATATCTGTCTTATTAAGCATCCATCTTAATTTAAAATTTAGTGTTTTTTGTGCATAAAAGAATTCTCCTGACTTTTTTCCACGCACTAATACAGCGTTCCAGTTACCTCGGAAATCAGAAGACGGGGCTGAAAATGAAGGCACACCCGAGTTACCAGCGTTTCAGTTACCAAATCAGAAAAAAGCAAAATTGGAGGCTGAAACAAGATGGCTACATCTATAAAAGTTATTTTAGCACTTGCCTTGTCCGGCTATAAGGTAAGCGCTAAAATAACTTTGGTAGATGTAGCCATCTTGTTTCAGGCCTCCGATTTTTGCTTTTTTCTGACTTGGTAACTGTAACGCTGGTAACTCGGGTGTGACGTCATTTTCAGCTCCGACATCTAACTTCTAAGGTAACTGGAACGCACCATAACTGTGAGGATCAGGTTATTCAGAGGTAACAAATGTGCAGTTCCTCCAGTGTCCACTAGAGGCTGAGCCCTGCAGTGAGTCAGCCCTCATAGAGCCCCATGTTAAAAGTGAACAGAAGAAAAAAAAGATGTAAGCAGGCTGGAATAGAAACAGTTTGGGTCTCTAACTCATTTCAACAACTCATTCGTTTTAAATATAGAAACTCAATAATTCATGTATTTTTAGGAGTGAGAGAGCGAAACAGCATACACTTCTATCAGTAAGTAAGTGCTCGAACCAGCGCAGGACATCCTAAAAATGCTAACACTGCATCAAATTAAGAGGAGCTAAAGTTGATGAAAATTACCTTGGCACGAAGCTTTTATTTTGAAGGGCATGTCGGAAGTTTCTCTGTAAGAGTTTTTTCATCCAGCTTGTTCCTGAGCCATAAATTCCTGAAGTTTGTCTCTTTTGTCCGGGGTCCGTCTGCGCAGTTAGAGTTGAGAAATACAATGAAAATAGACGGAGAACCGAACCTGATTTTACCCGGATTTACCCAGTCTTTTGACTGACCCGTGTCAGCCCTGAGCGGGTCTGTGCAGGTCTCCAGGCCCCTGGTTTGAACTCCTTTAGGCGGGCTGAGGGTGAGGAGTTTGGGGGAGAAATCCTGATGGACGGAGAAGGAGGAAGAGGAGAGAAGAGGAGGAGCTGAGAGGTGGACAGCTATGTGGCATAACTTTCTCCTTCTTGACTGAAAAAAGCCGAAAATCCACAGAGGTGAGTTCACCTTTAACTCTCTGAGACTTCAAACTAATGTTTGAAAAAAGTTTGACAAATCTCAGAAAGTTTACAAAACAAAAACTGTTGCTCGGTGTGAAGTCTGAGTTCAGGGCAGGGCCGAGGAGGACTCTGACTCTTCAGGACCTCAAAAACAACAAAAAACTCCAACAAGACCGAAACAAAGAGGAGAACCTTCACTTTTCTTCAGTTTACAAAGAGCTGACATTTACATTTAATCAGTTCACTGTTGAAATCTGCGTAAACACGAGCAAACAAGAGTCACTACTCAGACTGAAACAGGCTAATAAATCCACGAAGAGTCAGAAAAATAACAGCAGCAAAAAGATTTTAGGAGCTTATTATTTTAACGGTAAAATGTCACAGCTTCCAGTTTATCTGACAGTATCTTAAAAACACAGAACAAAGATAAACTAACAAATAAATAAGAATAAGAACCAAAACTCTAAAAGTAAAGAATAAGACCAGTTTTTTACCATGTTTCATTTTTACTGACTAGCTGTAACTTAATCATGACATTTATGTTTACCTTCTTGCTTCTTACAAAATAGTTTTAAAAAAAAAATCATAAATACACAGAAGCTTATCAGGTCACATTTAATATACACACCCCTGTTCTTTGATAAAGAGATTTCCAAGTCAGAATTATGAGGAAAATTTTAGGACATAAAATCTAAGGCCCTGTTTTTTATTTATTTTTTAATTAATTAATTAATTTAATAAGATAATTATGTCAGAGTTCAGAAAAGTCTGGGTTAAAGTAGTCTGGTTTCTCTGGATAATAAAACAGCAGACTTTTTTATACAAATATTTATCCTTGTAATTTTGAGGTAATTATCAGTTGATTCAGAGAAATGTCTGAAAAATTAAGCTAACGTAGAAATGTTCGCACAGGCTAAAAAGTTTCCTTTCCGACAGAATGCCTCATCAACAAATCTGAACGTGAATTTTTTCAGAGTTTCTGAGTTGGAAATTCTCCATAAATCTGATCTAATAATAATTTATTTGTTTGTTTTTTGTATTTTTATTATTTGTAAAGTTTTCTGTGAACGCTGCTGTAAATTTTGATTCTTGTACAATACTTATGCAGGTGTGAACATGCCACCACAGAACAGTCTGAAGAAACTAGATCAGACGTTTTGGTGGTTAAAGCTCCTGTAAGAAAAGTTTTAGCTTGTGTTGAGTTTGGCAACCCCTGTGGACAAAGTGGGAGTAATCAGCATCTGCTAATCGGATTTAGTTTGTGTGAATTAAATTTTTAAGGAAAACAGTTAAGGAGGACATATGGAAAAGTGTTAAGTAGAAAACAGTTAAATTACTGTCGTATTTGTCGCTCTGCTGAAGATCACCTTTAAACATCAGATTCACTGTTTTTACTGCAAAGCCGTGTCACCGACATCTAGTCTGCAGAGTTTTCAGTCAGATTTGTAAATCTGTAAACACACTGATGATTTTCACCCCATCATACAAAAAGACTTCTATTTTCTAACAGCTCCCTCAGCGTTCACAGGAGTAGAAATAACAAAGATACAAAGAGTCTTCGCTGATATGGTCTCATTCCTGCAGGTCACACTGTTTCACAAGTCAGTATTTACGGCAGCCATCTTTAATTTCAGGGAGTCAAACAGAAAAACTCTGAGCTCAGTCCAGCACCATGTAGGATAGAAATCCCTGCTTTTTAATCAGTCCATCAGACCTGAACCCAGTTCAGTCTGTCAGGCTTTTGATATAAATACAGTCATAATAAAGTCTTAATGTTGGTGTAAGTGGTCAGTTACCTAAGTGAGCATCTCTTCAGTCTGGATCTGACTCACTCTGAGACTCTGCATTAGTCATGATGGAGTCAGTCTGGTGAGTTCAGAGCTGAGATCATACAGAGCTTTCAACCACAATGAGAGGAGTTAACACACACACATAAACACACCCCTGAACAAACACACAGTTTACAGATAAAACCACTGACAGCTTCTCTGAGTGAGGCTCAAACCTGCAGCATGGACCTGGTTCTTCAGAAGTCCTGGTTTATTGAACCCCTAGAGGTGACTCAGAGCAGAGGTGACAGAAAGATCTCAGATGTCAGAAATCTGTGACCCTGCTTTTTCGTGATCATGAGCCAGGCCTGCTGTTTTATAATCTTAGAGGCTGTTTGTGAGTGATGCTGCAGGACGACTGGAGAGGAAAATACCTTCAGGCTAGGGCTGGGCAATAAAACGATAATGATAAATACCAAAAATTGATTTCCGTCAATATTGATATGAAAAATGGTCAATGTGCTTTTCGATAGCCGGCATTCTGTCATGTTTAGGTAGACTATACGAATAACCAATGAAAAGGGGAGTTGATCTGGGTTCGCTTAGCGCTGAACTAATCATGTGCTGAATTAGAACCAAGTAGCAAGTAACTGCGTGGTAGCAGGCTGCAGCTACACACAACCATAGCACTTTAATAGGTGAAGCGAACAGAACTGTCAGTGAGATAAAAAGAAAATGAGTGCTACCCTCAGCAGAAATGCAGATGAAGGTTTATCAGATGACGACATCATCTACAACACTGGCATGAAAACGTCAGTGGTGTGGAGGTGTTTCGTTTTTTTTAGGTTAAAGCAGAGTAATGTGCACTGCAAATTATTTTGAGTACATGTGAAATTTCATTTAAAAGTAACAGGGAACATTTAAGATTAACAAGTGATTTTTTTATATCGCGATACATATCGATATTGACTGATATGAAAAAAAAATATGTTGTGATAAACTTTTTCCCATATCGCCCAGCAATACTTTAGACTTTTTGGTTAAGCTGGTGTAAAACCATTTAATCTGTTTGTTTTCAGAGATGGAGGGAGAGAAGGAGCGAGACAGGGAGCAGAGGGAGGAGAAGGAGAGTAACGAGGCAGAGGAGGACGATGAGAGGATCTCTGATGACGATGGAGCTGCTGATAATGAGGAGGAGGAGGAGGATGACGACGAAGGCTCTGAGGGAGCCGCCATGGTGTGGCAGGAAGGCTATGGCGAGGACAACCTGGGCCTTCCCATCATGCACTGGGAGGCATTGAGCCTTCGCATCGCCGAGCTGGAGAAACAGGAGGAGGAGAAGAAGGCGAAGGTCAGTCTGATCAGGTGTCCTCTGAGTCTGAAAAAATCTGACATTACAAAGAGGAAAATCAAAGATCGTATTTCATGTGTGAATATTAAAGTTTAGATTTAAAGACACACTGAGGCTGACAGCAGAGTCCTGAACCCACCAGGTCTCAGTCTTTATCAGTCTGAGCAGATTCACGTGGTCATTGTCAAGACTAGGGACCTGGACCCTGCTTTCATGTAATTTTGATAAGATCACTGTGTGAAAGTTTAACATCAGAGTATAAAATCTTTGCTGTATTTAAACCCTTTCAGTCACTTTACTAAAGCACAGAGAGCAGGGGGGTCAATATAAGAGGAGAGATCTTATATTCAGTGCATTTCAATTACGTTCATTTCAGCTGTAATGAAGCCCCCGCTCCTGTGGTGGCGCAGTGGTCTGAAAAGACAGACAGGCAGTCACTGGAGAAACGCCTCTAAAAGTAGATTTCTGACTTTTTTGACTTTTAGTAAAATCCACTGACTTTGTGAGACCAGCAGCCGTGTGACGTTAAACTTAGTGTGTTTAAGGCTTTTCTGTTCCACATAGACCATCAGAGTACTTTCAGAGACTGTCAAAGATCTGCATGAACCAGCTCAAAGTTCAGTTCACTCAGATTCAAATGAACCGGTTCAGAATTTGGACTGAGATCATGGTCCAAATTCCAAAAACAAAAACAGCTCATATCATTTTTTTAACTCTCAGAGCCTCTTGAAGCTTCAGTCCTCATTTCCCCTAAACTAGTGTGACCATATTCTGACCACCCAAAAAGAGGACATGACTACACGGGGGCAGAGTCACGGAGTCGCACAGAGTTAATTTTGAGAGTTTTTCAGGTCGGATCGAGTGTCTCTTACATGCTTCTAACTCAGTAAGTCCACATGACACAAACTCGAAACTTACATACAAAACCGCAGACATAAGAAGGATTTTATAAACTTCTTCGGACAAACCCGGACAGCCCCCAAAAAAGAGGACGTATGGTCACCCTACCCTAAACTGAGCTGGACTCCTGTTATCTACAGAGTCAAACAGAAGTTTCAAAACCATTGTGGACTAAGAAGCCTTGAACAGACCCACTTTCCCCCATAGTCCAGGGACATAAACCAGGAACATAACAGACCAGGAACATAACACTGTGTGTGTGTATTTTTCAGGGTTTGTCTCCTGATCGGAGCAGAGCTCCTATTGGCTGGATGGAAGAGAGAGGGAGGAGGGGGGAGAGCTGGGAGGACCGAGATGACGCCTGTAACAGCCATGTGCTGGCCCTGACATCACGGTAACACACACACACACATACACACCTGTGAATGTGTAACTCTGTGAGGCGTTTCGATCCTCTTTGAATTATTGAACAGAAATTAAAAACTTTAAATCAGAATCCTGGTGTTTTTCTCTCTGTATTTTTTTGTTGTTTTTACTTAAATTCACAAACTTTATTCGACTGTTTCTGTAAAAAAAAAAAACAGGCAGAAAGTGTTCACTCTGATCAGCTGTAATAACATCCTAAAGCCACCAGGGGTCACTGTCCTGCTGTTAGAGTCTGAAGCTACAAATACACCCAGAGCTCTAGCAGACCTCATCAGCTGATCACTGTCCTCACATATCTGTGTGTGTTTTGTGGTCCAGGCTGCAGACCCAGATGAACCTCCAGCTGTGCTTCATCAACAACAGTGAGAGTGAGGAAGAGGAGGAGAAGGAGGGAGAGAGCAGTAATAAGGAGAGCAGCAGCATCCTGGTAAGACCCCTCAGTCCTAATCTTGCAGGTTCAGAAATGGTATAAACCTGACCTTTTGTCACTCTTGTCTTCGTGTCTTTCCTCTCTGATGAAGAGGGGGACGGCTCAGGTCCAGAAGAGTCCTCAACCTGCTGCCAAACCTGAGAAACCAAAGTCCAGAGGCTTTAGGAACACTCTGAGGAGCCTGAGAGACCGCTTAAGGACGGACCACAAAGCTCTGGTGAGTCAGGGGTTTAAATAGTGTCCAAACCGGTCTGTAAAAAAAACAATTGGGACAAATCAGCTTCAACAAAAAACGTGGTTTAAAAAACAGGAAAACTGAACATTAACAACTGCTGACACTCCTCAGTGAAACATGCAACAGTCACTGATTAAAATCTGAGTTTGTTTTCAGTTTTCTTTCTTTGCTCGCTGTTACTCTGTAAACCCCTCCAAAGAAGAAAACACAGTCTTTGTGACAGTGCTGTGGTTTCTCCTGTTCTCAGTCTGCAGCTCGCTCTGACCCCGTTTCAAAGAGGAGACATTTGGAGCGTAGCGACTTAAAGAAGTTCAGTATGAAGGAGCTGAACGCCCTCAACAAGTCCCTCAGCAAGAACATTCAAGGTAGCAGACTAAGCCCAGAAACTCTCTATTCTCATACATCTCAAACCCCTGAGAGCTGATCCACTCTGATTTAACCTGTTTCTGTCTCAGACCTGAGCTCGGAGCTGGTGGGTCTACTGCAGGTCCGAGACCAGCTGAGGACGGAGCAGGACGCCATGCTGCTGGAGGTCCAGGACCTGACCTCGCTGTGAGGAGAAGGAGAAAGGAGGAGGTGGTCTCTGACACACAAACGTTGAAACCTGGTCTGTGGATGTTGTTGTGAGTCAAAGTGAATGTCTCAGACACTCAGCAGCCAATCGCAGAGGAGAGTCTGTCACCCGAGGACTCAGGTGTTTCATTAGAGGGATCATCTTTGTGACCACAGGACTGAATCCAGCAGCAGTGAACTTTAAAAGCAGACTGAAGTCCTCACAGTCCTGACACACAGAGACTGTGGTCACAGCCACAGCCAAACTCCTGATTTAATAGTCCTCCTCACAGACTCTAAACAGGACCCTACAGGAGTGAAGAGAAGTCTGTGGGACTGAGATCTGCGTGTAAAACTGCACATGGTACACCTGGAGTTTTTAAGCTTCAGATGATCTGCCTGGGGGTCAGACTGGATCATTGTGTTTTTATACTGAGCTGAACGAACAGTTAGTTTCATGAAATTTGAGACTCTTGGAGTTAAGTCCAAAAATCTGACTTTCAATCTGAGATAGCGTCAAACTTTGTCCAAACCTTTGACGTACCAACACACCAGCCGCACATTTCCACATTTCTGTTTCTTACAAAAAGGGAAAATTATTTTTTAAAGATGAAACTGCAGAGCTCAGCGTTTGTGTTCACTGTCTCATATTCTTTGTGATGAATCAGTGAAACTTAAACTTGAACATTAATCTAGACAACAGCAAGAACATATTAGCTCCCTCACAGTCTCTGCTGTAGCAGTCATTGATAAGAAAACGCTGGAGCACAGAGAGAGATGGTGACACTTTAATCCATCAAAAACATCACAAACTTAATATCAAATACTTGGTTATGAGACAAACATGAAGAAAAAACACTTAAATGAGAGAAACAGATTCAATTTAAAGTAGAGGCACACCTCTAACTCTGGCCAGCAGAGGGCGCCTATGTTACACAGAAATGATCACTGCTGGTGTAAATCTAACATAGGAAGAAATTATAAACACTATTTACTCAAATTAATGGAGTTTAAAAACAAAGACTGATGTAAAGTGGAATTATTATCTCTGCTGCATCTGCACGAGATCAGCGTCCGTCCACACAAGATAAGATAACCGCCTTATTTCCACATGATAACTTTTACACTAGAGACCAAGAATGTTTACATGATGCAAATCAAATAACAGACAAAGAGGATACATTTCTGTATGTGTCAGATTAAGATATTAACATGCAGAATAGATGTGGTGTCAGCCTAATATAGAAAACTGGAGCCTGCAAAGCCGAGAGGTGGTTCACAGATGATAATAATCATGATTAAAATGAAAACTGTCTGGGACTGCAGATATTCTATAGAAACAGGGTTTAGTCAGAAAATCTTGATAATGTAAAGTTAAAGTCTGGTTTGGATCTTGTCTGAGTCAGCTGAGTTCAGAGACTCTGGATCTGGTTTACTATAATTTAATGATGCCTAGACTCCATTTAACCCTAATCTGCAAACAGAACAATCTGAATTTTATTTTCCTTTATGTCAGAATTAAAAGTTCTTTTTTTGTTCACCTCTGCCTAAATCATCTAGTCACATGAAGCACGTTTGAATTTTTTACTAAAGTGCTTGAGTTTGTTTTTGGGATTCATGAGGGACGAGCAGTTTCTCTTTTTTTTTTTTTTTTACTGAATTCAGTTTGTTTTTGTCGGTCATGTTTTCATCAGTCTTGGCACAAATTTTTGATATATAGTCATTAACAAAAATTGAAGCGATATTGTTTACATGTTGAAAAAACTGATCATTTTTCAGCTTTTTATTGTCCTTTTGAACAGAAAACTGCTCTCATTTCTCAGATGTAACTGAGGTCAATGTTCCATGATTTCTCTTATTTTGAGCTTTTTTAAGGTTAAGTGACTGTATTAAACTTTAATAAAATGTTTTTACATAACAAGAACACAGAGTTTTCACTAATATCATAAGAGGGGGAGGATGACAGTAAGAACCAAGACTTTCTTCTTTGTCAGGACACATAAACAAAAAACTCAGTCTAATGTTTTCCACTGTCGTTATTTTCTTTCCTGTGATTTAATAATTTACAACCCTTGGCAAAAAAATACGGAATCACCAGTCTTGGAGGATGTTCACTCAGTTGTTTAATTCTGTAGAAAAAAAGCAGATCACAGACATGACACAAAACTTAAGTCTCTTCAAAGAAAACTCCCTGGCTTTAAGAAACACTAAAAGAAATCAAGATAAAAGATTGTGGTAGTCAGTAACAGTTACTTTTATAGACCACACAGATGGAAAAAATTATGGGATCATGAAAAACAAACAAACAAAAGAACAATTAAACACACCTGTAGTACTTTGTTGCACCACCACCCCTTAGATATTTTACCGTGGAGAAATAAGCCCCAGCAGTCATTGAGAGAATAGCTTACTGTTGCCTTTAGTGATTCAAATGGATAAATGGCGCCATCCGCTGGAAAATGGTAAAAACTACAGATTAGAAGTCTGAACTGCAGATTAAATGAATGTAAATCATTGCATGTTTTATCTTGCCATATGAGCAAAAATTGCAGTCATGATGGGTATTTTTTTTTTTTTGTTCAAATGAGCTAAGTGTGGCCATTTTGATTATACTGAGCTCTACTGAACTTACTCCTTCACCTGTAAAATGCTGAACTTGCCCCTGTGATGGAGGTGCCGGTTGCTATTGTTGCCAAGATGAGCGCACTGGTTAATATTGCACATTATCACATTAGAGGAGGAAAGCTGGGCTTAATCTACAACTTCATGTTGGTGTCTCAAAAGCAGCATTTACTTTCATGTGCATGTTTGTTAGTGCTTTCCACATCAGAACCAAGGAGTTAGGTTTAAACCAGTTCCTGAATTACACAAACTTAAAGCAAAAGAACTTTTAAATTGATCAAACTAAACACTTTCCCCATGGGGCTGATTCTTTTTACATTCGATTTCATTTTTGAATAGTTTAATCTCTGCAGAGACAAATGAGAGAATGGTTTTAGGTGTAATGTTATAGGAAGATAAAGGATTTTGCCTTCCTACACTTTTTCAATAAATAGGAGCTGTATCAATCATGAAATTTTGAGTTGACTCACTTTTTGCACCCCCTGTTGTCCAATCTATAGTTAGATTAAACCTAGTTTTTTCTGTATCAGCTTCACACATTTTTTTACTCTTATTCATCAATATTTACATTACTTATTAACTATTAAACAGGGTGTTGAGTAATTTAATGTGCCCCTTTTCCCTAGGTTTCATCAAAATCAAACCGGTATTTTCCCAAGACACTGCTGTCTAACAAACAGACAAAACCACAACATGGACACACACTCACACACACTCACATATGGAGCCCGTGCACCACAACAGTCCTGTTGTGGAAACAAAGGAGTACAGGGGCTGAAAACAGAACATACATGTTTTACTTTTAAAAGCTTTTACTGTTTTCAGTTCAATAGGTGAGTCAAGAGGCACACACACACACAAACACACACTGACAGGTGAGGTGGGTGGGGGGTGACACGATGAGGGACAGGGGGAGGGGCTGGTCTCCATGGAAACCGCTCAGCCTGTTCTCTGATCTGCAGAAAAAGAAGAAGAAGACAGCTGAAGACGTCCGGTGGTGAAGGTCAGAACCGTCCAAACTGGGAGCTCTAGTTCCAACTCAGATCGAGCTTTGAAGACTAGCTGAGAGGTTCTGTAGCAGAGGTCGGAGCCTTCTGGATGTTTCTATGATTATTCTAATGGGCGACAGATGACCAGCAGCCATATGGAGGCTCAGGTGAGCTCTTTGTCTGACCTGCGATGGCAGTGATGCAGGAATTTATGAGTTTTTCCTCCACAGAGACCCTTCAGTCTAATGCAATAAAAGACTGTTATTTTTAGCACAGCGCACTTATTTAGGCTGTAAAACAACAGCTCATATCATAAAAGTTTTCTTTGAATCATTTTAAAAACTCTCCTCTTGACTTTTCTCCAGATAGTCGAATTAACCATTCGCATTCAATAAATCTGAATGAACAAAGAAAATCAATTTTAACTGCTTAATGCTAAAAAACAAAGTACATCTATCTAATAGCCTCTGCTCTTAAAATCTATGTGTGCTTTACTTTAAAATACATTTGTTTCATTTGATACAGCCGTTTACTTCCATCTACTTCTGTATGATGAAAAGTCTTAGTGTAGATTCCTGAAACCTGTTTGAGTTCAAGTAAACATCAACTTTTCTCTTTTACTGACTTAACTCTGTCAGTCGGCTTTGTATGAAATGAAAAATCAATGGAAGTCAATGGAGACTGAAACAGGTGTTCAACTTTTTTAAACAGCTTTTAAAACTCAGAGAGTTTGTTGTCCTTGTTCTGAGAATGAGTGATGTAAAGGATCTTGTTTAATGTTAGTAAATTGACTGTTGCCTTCGATTCATTTTTCTGTGATTTAAAGCTTCTCTGTGGAGCTTTAGTTTGTGTTCATTTTGATGTAAACAAAGCTGTGCCTCCTAAATAGTAGTGCATTGTGTGGGTCAGTAAAGTCTTGTATATGGTTCCATCACTTCTAAATGCACCTCTCCCAAGACTTCTTCCTTCTGTGTTCTTGGTTTACCCTTCAGGAGATTGCATCATCAGCCTTTCCCAACATAACATAGTTTGTGATAGTTTGTGTACAAGCAACAGACAACAAGTCCACAAGTAAAACCTGCACAATACTTGATTTGATTGCATAAAAAAAGTCAAAGTTGTTCATAACTACCATTAAAAGTATTGCTCTTTACCCTTGTAGGAGGGGCAGCCATCTTGGATTTTGAGCTCAGTGTCTCAGAGTAGGAATTTGGATTTGGGAGGTGTTTCAGGTGACATACCCTGTAGGCATTTTGAAGTTTTCCACTTCAAATTAAAACAGTCTTCTCAGTCGTACATGATATAAACCTCAATAATCTGACACACTGTGGTCATGTCAAAGCTTGCTGATTGAAAGGCTTAGAAACTTATACAGCCCGTTAGTGAACCACAGGACAGAAAGTCAATGTTAATGTTAATGTGATTAATATTAATGCGTTCAAGTGTGCATCTGTGATATACATATAAAGTTTGGGTAAGATTGAAACACGTTTAGCTGAAACAAAACAACGTCCTGTTTCATGGCAAAACTTGCAACTTTAAGGCGTGTTTACCTGCTGCATCATCATCCTCCAAAACCTTCTGTTCCAGTTAGCCATTTATGCCCCAAATATTTAAAAGTAGAGCAAAGGTTAAAAATATCGGAAGTACCCTGATGTATTTTGTTAATAATTGATAAGTTAGTGTAGTTATTGGGCAGGATTTCCATCGCTTTCCATTATTTTTCAACATCAAGCAGATCCCTGAAACTTTTTGCTTCGCATTATTCATCACAGAGAATATAAAAGCATTGAAAATATTTTTTCCTCATCATTGGAACCCAGTGCAGACTTTCAAAAACCAATCATTATATTAGATCTTGCATCAGCAGACTTCTTTTCTACAGGAAAGACTACCAAACTTTTTTAAAAAATGTGCTTGTTGATCTTCATCCATTAATTTGCTCCCAGTATTATTTCAAAGGATTCCCACAACTACTAGAGCAATGAAGTATCGAAACTGTTGACAGGGAGCTGAGCAAAGTGTCGTAATTTGTTCTTTCCTTATATAGAATCATTAATTGTCTGCATATTGTTGAGTCTGCAACGGCTGAGATCATGTTCAGGTTAAAGGACAGAGACCTTTGTTGAACCCTGTGGTTAAGTGGTGTATCACCTGTGGATATAAGCTCTCTTCATGCTTACACAAACACACACAGTGGCGTCTCTCTGTGTGCTGATGCTAACATGCTGATAATGAAGCTTTCAGCTGAGAGCTAAAGCGTTTGCACCTGAATGAACCCTGTCTTTTCTGATATTATGGACTTCATGACGCTAGCGCCCAAATAAATGTATCGTAAATTCAGTTTGTGGGATTGGACAGTGGCGGATGTACGGCAGGGGGCAAAGAGACAACGGGGGGAGTGTGGTTACTTATTGCAGAGTTAATGGGGTGAGAAGAAGAACTGAATCAGCAGCATACCCTTGTACACAGGAAGGCAAACAAGCAGGAGAATCAGCAGCATGCAGCAGGAGGTCAAACAGATTGTGCAAAGGCCTGGTCAACAGGCAGGGAAGAGGGGGGAGGAGGAGGAGGAGGAGGTTGATGGGAAGCAACTCCTCTTCCCACTTATTACCCCAAATATGACACAAAACCGAGGAGCACTTTCTTCTGGGAAACAATGGAGACTTTCACTCTTAAGTGAGCTCTGTGTTTGTTTCAGAGAAAGTCCTCCTGTTGATCTGACCAAACCAGGAGGTAATGTGATCTGTAGATCTTCTCCGGTACCAGAATACAGACCCTCCTCAGTTAGGTTAAAGTTTTTTAAAAGTCATCAGAAAGTCTTGGCTTTGGCTGCAGCTGCACCAGTGGCTAAGCTATAACTGCCGTTCCAAAAGAGCTGAGACGCTTTGTGAAATGTTGATTATAATGAAATTTGATGGTTTGTAAATTATTAAAAGCCTATTTTTGATCGAACATAGTGGCAAGAAACTCAAACATTGACACTAAAATTTGTTATTGTTTTATTAAAAATGTTTGTTAATTTTAACTTTGATGCCTAAAAAGTAGTTTCAGGGTCATGTTCCTCACTCTGTGTCATCAGTTCTTTACATTTGTGAACCCAAGAGATCGGTGTCTGGGGTTCAGAGTGGGAAATTCTTGCATAATACAGGAGGCAGCGTCCATGATTTCCAAAACAAATCTAATATTTTGAGCCATCAGTCCACAGAATAGTTTTCCTCTTCCCCTCAGTCCACCTTCAGTGGGCTCAGGTCCAGAAAAGTCTCTGGTGGTTGTGGATCCTGTTTCTATCTGGTTTCCTCTTTGCATGGTTCAGTTTAAAACTCATTTATGGATGCTGTGATAAACTGTGTTCACAGACAATGTTTTTGGAAGTAAATTGGAGACTATGCAATGAGTTCCACTCCAGAGTCCTGTCTTTTTTAAGTGCTGCCTGAGGGTCTGAAGATCAGGACCATCTAGTCTTGGTTTTGATCCTTGTCCCTTTTGTCCAGAGATTTGTCCAGATTGTCTGAGTCTTTTAATGATATTATGAACTGCAGATGATAAAATCCACTCGTTCTCTCACATCTGACACTCAGGAACATTACTCTGAAACTGTTGAACTATTAGCTCACACAGTCTCTCACAGTGTGGGGAATTTCTTCCCATCTTTCCTTCTGAGAGACTCAGCCTCTTTGATATCATAGGTTGTAAAATTTAGTGTAAAAAAATACCAGAATCCCCCTTTCACCTGTGGTATAATATCTCAATCAACATGTATTTACAAATGAATGTGACCGATTTGTCTCTTTTTATTCAGGTATTTACTCACTCCTGGATCAGACTGTCTTAAACCCTCTGAGAACCTGCTACCAAGGACCCTATCAAACCATCACTAAAGGCTTCAGAGAACAAGCATGAGAGAGGACGAGTTCAGCAGAATCCCAAAAGTGCAGGCCTTCATCACCTTCTCTCTCACTTGAGAATCAACCAATCCTTCACCATGTCATCCGGAGAAGATAAAGCTTCTCCGAACATCAGTGCCTCAATACTGCAGAACCTCCTCCACACCTTCTCGCCCTCTCCCTCCATCATCCTACCATCTCCATCCTGCAGCATAGATGAGTCCTACAAGTACATCTTCCTCCCCATCTGCTACTCCTTCACCTTTATCTTCAGCATCTCCCTGAACTCCGTCATCCTCTACCGCTCCTTCCGCCGCACCAAACGCTGGAACGCCTCCCTGATCTACATGGTCAACCTTGCCTCCACTGACTTCATGTACGGACTGTCGCTGCCGTTCTTGGTGGCGAGTTACGTGATGCGAGATCGTTGGATGTTTGGGGACTTTATGTGCCGCCTGGTTCGCTTCCTCTTTTACTTTAACCTGTACTGCTCCATCTTTTTCCTCACCTGTATCTCCGTGCACAGGTACCTGGGTATCTGCCACCCAATGAGAGTCATCACACTGGAGACCAAGAAGGCCGTCAAGTGCACCTGCGTTGTGGTTTGGATTGTCGTGTTCGCTCTGACTTGTCCTATCTTCCGCTTTGCTCAGACTGGTCATGTGACTAGAGTGGCAGGGTTTGGTGGTAATGCGAGCAGCTCGGTCAGCCTGAGCCATGAGGTATCATTGATGAACAGCAATTTCAGCGATGGGAATCTTGGTGTGGTCACTGAGGAGTACCAGAACTGTTGGGATGATGCCATTGATAAGGAGTTTCCTGATTATGTGCCGTATGGGATCATCCTGCATCTGTTAGGCTTTTTTATACCATTCTCCATTATCGCTTGGTGTTACTCTCATGTTGTTCTGACCATATTTAGGAGTCTGCACAGTCAGCCCTCCTCCAGCAGAAGTTCAAGAGCAGGGGGACAAGAGGGGATACTCAGAAGAAGCAGCCCCGCGGTTGATGGACGGGGAAGAAGAGGAAGCAATGGCATGTCCAGGACACGAAGAAGAGATGACGGGGTTTCCATTTTCCTTGGTGCAAACTCACCTTACGCCAATCGCAGACGCAAATCCATCAAGACCATCATCACCATCACCCTCCTCTTTGCTCTGTGCTTCTTCCCCTTCCATGTGACCAGAACCATCTTCCTCCTGCTAAAGGTGACCAAACGAGTGCCCTGTCACACTATGACCATGGTCTCCATGTGCTACAAGATCACCAGGCCTTTGGCGTCATTTAATGCATGGCTCAATGCCCTACTGTACTTCCTGACCAAAGACAAGGCTGGCGCTCACTGCTGCCAGACGCTGAACACGGCCAACCACCAACAGGGCGGGCTTCTGCTGCCCTTGAGGATGATGGGAAAAGGAAAGGAGGCAGACAATGGTGGGGCAGAGGAGAGACTAGACAATGAGGAGAATAAAGCTTTTCACAACAGCCGGCCGTATGTGGACAGAGAAAAAGTCCGTTTTATAGTGGAGTGACTGATATTCTGTCAGGAAGGGAGGATGATGCACTGTAGTTTTATTTTATTTTTTTCTGGAAATCAGAATCTTACAAAAATATGATACGCGCACTGTAGACAAAAAAAAAAAAAACAATGATTAAAGAAAACTAAAACAGGATTCTCTGCATCTTTTTCTTTCTAATTTATCTACTGCTACACTGAGTCATCCAAATGTAACAAGAATGATGGTGATAATCTGATAATTCTGCCACAGTGTGTAAAAATTAAAATGTACAATTATTGTCAAATTATGGCTCTAAAAAATTTAAATTGTTTGATGAACATTACATGTAGACTTTAAATATGATATTTGCACATTTCAAGTAGATCCAGGTTTATGTTTCTTATTGTGTCCTCAGTTCTTTCACCCTCTGTAAACCTTAGTGAACTCACTAGACCGGGTTCTTGAGTCTGAAAATGAAATGTTGTCCCATTCTTGCCTGATAGAGGATTTTAGCTGCTCAACAGTTCAGGGTCTCCTTTGATAGATAGTGTTGAAGAGCCGCATGTTGTGGGGGAGAAACGACCTCCTCAGTCTGTCATTGGAGCAGGACAGTGACAGCAGTCTGCCACTGATGCTGCTCCCTGCCTGGGGATGGGGCTGTGCAGGGAGACCAGAGTTCACCCATTAAGTGTGCATGAAAACAAATATCAAACATTTTTACTGGAAGTTTCTGTGTATGTCAGCAAAGACACGTCACCTAGCAAGTCCAGATGAAACTGCTAGTTTATTCTGGGTAAGACTATTCTGTTTTATTGCTCCAAAAGGTTCTGGTTGAGCTGAGAGATGTGATAACTCATTTTATACTTTGCTTCTGGCGCCCCCTGCTGATTCAAACCAATCACATTCATTTCAGCTTTTATAGCAGCAAAATATAAATTGTACTTGTTCCTGAGAGCGGACTGATTTCATATATTCATGCATAAATCTTGAGCAATTATGGCACCATGTTTTTGGAGGCTGAGGTGAGCTTTTGGTGGCAGAGAGGGGGGAGCTGGAGAGAAGCAAGGGAAACCCTCTCCTTCTCTCTTTAATATTAAATATAAGCCACTCTGAGTCTATTTTTTCTGCTCTGTGTGACTCTAAAAGGACCACAAGTAACACCACTCTGTGATGAAGAAAACTGAAACAGCATTATGACACTAGTCGTTGGCTGAATTAATTACTAAATACTTGTATTCCTGTAAATATTTGACTTAAATCCTGTAATATAAAGACTTAAACCTCCACAAATAACTCTACTCTCAAAATCATAGTACATTTTTGTCAAGCCACTGTAAGGAACTCTCAGTTTGTGTCAACTTTAGGGCCTCCTTGTGGACAAAGTAGTGTTTGCTTATCTTGTTCTCTACATGCATAAGTGTCTTCTGAGCATAAATGTCATCTTACTTCCCTTCAACTGTCAAATGTATCATTTATTGGGAAAATTTGATGTGAAAATTGTAGAAACACAGCTGTTTCTTTGCTGCTTGACTGATTCATACACTGAACAGCATTATGAGACTAGTCTCAAATCTCTACTCTCAAAATCATAGTACATTTTTGTCAAGCTACTGTAAGGAACTCTCAGTTTGTGTCTACTTTGGTGCCTCCTTGTAGTGTTGTGTCGCTTGCGAACGATTTGTTCAAAAGAACCGAATCTTTTAGAAGTGAGCATACTGAACCGAATCACTTCCTCAAGTGATTCGTTCATTTCTCACTTTAGTTGAGCTGAATTGAGAAACAGCATTGCCAGACCAGCAGCCGGCGAACGAGGGACCACATGCACCGACGCCTAAATCACTTGGTGAATGAATCACGCATTGAACTTCTCTCTGGAATCATTTTTTGTCAGACAAAACTACCTTTTTTTCACTGCTAAATTGCCACAACAACTTGCATACAACAGGACACAGCATGTAACAAGTAGTGGATTAAACCCGCAGCATCCTATCATTCCAGCGGTTTGCGAGGGAACGGTGCAAGTTCAGTATTAATTCTTCTAAAAGTTCTGTGAACAAGTCACTCACTGACCCCAATTTACCAAGCAGACCTGGTAGATAGCATATCATAGGACAGTACACTTAAAACTTCATGACTTATAAACAAGTTCATTTTTACAAAACTGTTTGCCCAAGCAACACAGCCAAACACTCTTGTCTCCCAGTCCTCGAAGCCATGAATTGAACTGAATCCTGAAACGTTCAGCTGTGTATCAGTTCAGGAGGTCGGAGTCACAGGCTTCTCCCGCTAAATGATTCAGTGATTTGGTGAACGAATCTTTCTAGTGAACTGATTCTAGTGATTCAGTACATCTAAAAGAAATGCCGTGCCCATCACTACCTCCTTGTGGACAAAGTAGTGTTTGCTTATTTTGTCCTCTACATCAGTGTTTCTCAAGTCCAGTCCTCGAGGCCCACTTTCCTGCATGTTTTGGATGTTTCCCTGCTCCAACACACCTGATTCATATGATCAGCTCGTTATCAAGCTCTGTAGTGGCTTAATAATGAGCTAATCATTTGAATCAGGTGTGCTGGAGCAGGGAAACATCCAAAACATCCAAAACATGCAGGACAGTGGGCCTCGAGGACTGGACTTGAGAACCACTGCTCTACATGCTCAAGTGTCTTCCGAGCATAAATGTCATCTTGCTTCCCTTCAACTGTCAAATGTATCATTTATTGGGAATATTTGATGTGAAAGTTGTAAAAAGACAGCTGTTTCTTTGCTGTTTGACCGACACATACACCCTAATGTTGATTTAAGGCATTTAAAATTACAATATAAAAAATATTAGTCTTGTTTCTGTTGGTTTTGTTTGCTTTTGCACATCCTAAAAAGGCCTTGATATGAATGTCAGTCTTTTTCATAAACATGAAAACTCCTCACAGGAGCTTTAATGTGGCCCTTACACTCCCTGATAGTATGTTTTAAATGAAAAATTATGAACACCGTGAAGAGAACATTTTGTTCTTTGGAAAAGTCTGACTGTAATTCCGTTTTGGGATAGTTGTGAAGGAAGAGGGACTCTCTAATTATACAAAACTTATTTTTCTGAGTACAATTGTCAGTTTTAAACATTCACACAGATGTTAACATGTGCAGTTTAACACACACACACACACACACACACACACACACACACACACACACACACACACACACACACACACACACGTACACAATGTTCCTGCCAGGGGAAACACCCCCCTCCTTCTCCCCCCTCCGGCCGGTTAGAAATTCAAAACGCAACCGCCTCTCGTGAACTCCCGTGCTGCACCGCGGCCCAGAAACCCCTCTGACGGTTATTTTAATTTCACATAAAAATTAAATAAAAATCACAGGAGCGCTATTTTTGAAAAGTAACGACGGGGTTGGATTCTCCTGGTCCACAGGCATATTTTGGTGCGTGTGGCTTTTTGCTGCGGGCTCGTTTGGATTTCTATTTATTTTTTGTGTGTGTGCCGGAGTGTGGGGAGCAGAGGAGCGCAGCCGTTGGCGCCACTTTCAAACGGCGCGCGGACACAGAGTGAGAGTCTGAGAGACACTTTACACTGAAGTCACTGCGATTTTTATTACTATCGAAACTTTAGGAATACTTTTAATCACAGACTCTTTTGGACTGTTGTCGACTCCAGAAGGTGAGTAAAACACGAATTTCATATTTTACGTATTTTTGTTTTATTCAGGCTGGTAGAGTTAGACACGTGCCCTTACTAAATGAGTAGTTTTGCGATTCAGTTTTTAATTTTATCAGAAAAGGAGGAAGAACAGTGAGTACGGTACAGTAACGGTACAGTGAAGTGTTCATGCGCAGTAATGGCGTCTGGTTCAGGGACGAACACCCGTCCAGGGGCAGATTTCCTACATTCAGCAGTTCTGTTTCGGTGTCCAGGGTGACTAACATCGGCTGAATTGTTTTATATTTCTCTACAAAAGTCCTGAGAAGATAACTGAGAGAGCAGAGGAGGCGGACACTCCCACAGCCGGCAGTCACAGCCCCCTCCCCAAAGACCCCAGCCCCGTCCGCCTGTTTTCCGCTACCATCAGGAACCACTCTACAACTCTAAATAAAATAAAACCGATACACATAAAGCGCAATAAAATCAGAAATAGCATATTTTTGCCTTCTTTCACGGTTGAAACTTGGTTACAGAAAGTCTTAACGCAGAGTAGTTAAAACGGACTGCTCGCTCTGACTCAGCAGTTTTTCGTCCTGACATCATTACAGTCAGCAGAATGTAATACAGCCCGTTACATGTTACAGGTGCGGGGTTAAAACGCACTTATATACCTCTAACCTTAAAATAATGACGATTCAAACAATAAATGTCTTTTAATACCTTAAAATAGCTGATTGATGGTTAAAAATACAATCAGTGTGTTTTAATGGCAGCTGTGGTGTCACGAAGGAGGAATTTCAGAGAAAATAGTCACATTTACGTGTCAATTCTCGAGAAATACTTCACCTAAAACTAAAGTGCTTATAATGCTAGCTATGACGAGCTCTACAGCCTCAAATAAACCGTGTGCAGACAAATCTGTTCGTGTTATTGACACAAATGTAAGTCCACGTATTTATTCACCTCAACCACCGCGTACAGTCTCGGTTTAGTTCTTACTGGGTGTTCAGACGCTTTTAATGATGAAGTGTTAAACTGTAAAAACACCAAGATCTCAGTCCTAGACTCTTACCTAATGAAACAATGCCACCACTATAAGGAACTGTTATGATTTCAGATGTGAAATTGACTGCAGAGGTCGAACAGTGCGTTTTATTTTTAGTGTTCAGTATCTCAATTTCATTGTGAGTATATTTTGACATTATTACTTATAAAAAGCTTATTCTGCTCACATAAGAGAAGAGAGAAATGCCTTTTTACTTAATTCAAAAATTAAAGAGAGATGTTTTGATAAACTGATCTTGTGACTTTTCCTGTTAACTTCTTACTAAATATATAGGCCCCTCATAACTCATCCTAAAATGATAAAGAAGCAGCTTTTTCACTGAACAGCAGACTTAAAAATAGTCCATGACTTCTGAAAAACTTAGTTTTAAAATATGAAGCTTACTCTTTCATGTTGTATAGAAATTTTGTGGACAGTTTAGCCTCAGAATGATTCAAACGGAGCACATTGGTAAAGAAAAATAAGCTGTTTTATTGTGAAAAAGACATTTAGATAGCAGTTTGGTGATTGGACTACTATTTAGTTTCAGTAATTTACAATTTTTTATTACCTATGATCTGTTTTATATCATAAAGCAGTCGAATGTGTCGTGGTCAGGAAATGGCTGTGCCTCTTCGGATTTAATTTGTTGGTTTTCCTGGGGTATTATTAATTGGTTATTTTTCCTCAAATTTGTCAGAAAATGTAGGTCAGTGTCTCAGAGACACGGAGATAATGTTCCTTCATTTAAAATACTCAGTCAGCTGTTACAGAGAGGGAAAGAAAATAGAAAATACTCACAGTTGACAAACTGATAGGAGAGAAAAAGACTTTTGTACCCTGAAAATGGGCTAAATTTACCACAATAAATGTGACGATTCTCATAACCGTAGTTAGTTAATGAAATGATCACAGCAGCTGTGTTTGGCATTACTTTTTTATCCCCCTAACAATGAAAAACTAGCAAAATATTCATGATTCAAACTAATAACATCTGCAACATTTAAGCCTGAACAAATCTGACTTTTTCATTTAGAATAATAGACATGTTATCAATGTAAAAATGTTAGGAAATGCAGTTTAATCTCAATGGAGCAGTTTGACTAAAAAACTTGACAATAATACTCTGAATTTATTACACTCACTTGTCTTATGCTGGATTTTAATGAAGGGTCTCTGCTGAACCTTGAAAAGTCTTTGAGTCTCAAATTGGATTTTGAAAATTCAAGCCTTGAAAAACATCTCATTTTAAGTGTTAAGACATCTTAGATTTTCAATGTGACACGAGTGAGGCATGTCTTAGTATTCTATCGAATCTACACTGCCTAGATAGGATTGTGTAAAATTTTGGTTCTTTGTTGTAGGCCAAGTGTTCAAATGACAAATTTATCAATTTTATGATGGCTTGTAAACTACAGACAGGAAGAATAGGAAATAAGAACATGTTTAGAGAAATTTGGCATCAAGATTTAAAGTTAGAGAAGGGGTGGTCTGCAAGATGTGCAAAAAAGATTTTACATGAAGGAAGTGGATGTGTCATTTGCTGTTAACACCTCTTTGTTTGAGTCTTAAAAGTCTTAAATTTGATTTAAAAAAAGTGTGAGCAAGTCTGCTCTCAAAATTATACACCCCTGTGTCCTCTCCTTTTAGTTAGCCTTACTGTTTAAACTCAGAGGAATATTTTGATTAAAAATATAAAGAGAATAAATGAGCATAACTTTGACTATATCAGTAAAATATTGATCTAAAGACAGTTGAAGAAACTTAAAGAGCAAATGTAAAGATAAATATGACGTGGGCTGTTGAACAACATGAGCAAATTTCGTGTGAGATGTTTGAGTACCTCTTTACTGTCTGATAGTTTTAGCATGGTTTGGAGTCTGCAGCTGCAGGTTTACACTCATTGTCAGAATAATTAGAGTCAGATCTGAAATGAATCAGCTTCCTGTTCAGCTGCTCAGTGGTCGCTGCAGGATTCAGTGAATTTGATGTCTGAGAGACGATTATTTCAGAGTCAGACTCTGAACACCCACTTTCAGCAGAGCCTCTTCATCAGAGCGCACTGTTTCCTGTGTGTGTGTGTGCGTGCGTGTATGTGCTGGGCAGGTCTTGGCATTTACAGTGCAGTTAGAGATCAGCTTTTTCCTCAGCCTGCTTCCCGCCAACTCATGACCCAGCTGCATTCGAAATCCCAGCGTACTATGAATGCACCGTCAGCGTCCACCTGGGTGTCTGATCAGAAACCCCCCCTGTCACCACTGTGGTCTCTCCTTTTTTTATTCTCAAAGATGTCTTCTTATGAAAGATTCCTCTCACAGCCACGCTTTCCTCACCCCTTCCTCACCCTCCTCCCCTCAGTCCGACAGCCTCAGCCCTCTTTTTCACCTCGAACAAATCACATTTTTACTCCTGTAGGGCGGCTCCTCCTCTCACACCTGTCTCACCCACACACCCTCAGAGGTCAGCTTTTTTTTTTTTTTTTTTTTTTTCTTTTCAGTCATCCCCTCCCTCTCTCCCTCCCCCTCCTTTCCCCCCCTCCTTGTGGTGTGGGTTCGTGTTTTAGAAAGTGATGGGGAGGGAGAAAGTCAGCAGCCGTCTGTCGGTGTGTGTCAGCCTCCTCCTCAGAGTCAGAGAGCAGAGCGAGGCTGCAGCGAGCAAGCACAGAGAGAGGAGGAGGAGGACACAGCAAGGAAGGAGGTGAGGAAGGAAGGGTGAAACTCCCCCCCGATACTCCCCCGTTTATAGGAATAGAAAGAAGAGCAACTAGACCCCCCGACAGGCCTTTTTCTGCTGCACATGTCACCACGATTTTCTGCTTTAGTCACATTTAAGAGTGTTTAATTCTGAGTTTTAACTCGAGCTTTAAAATCTCCCTGCAGGCTTCTCATTTACTCTCTGCTAATGATTATTCCTGAGAATATTTTAGATGGTTTGTGTCTGCTATCTGAAGCAACTTTCAATGAGAGAGCATTAACACATGTTTAAGAGAGGACCTAGAGAACAAGCAGTTCTGGTTAGTCAGCTCTAGTTAGTGCTGGTTAAAGCTAGTTTCATCCTGTGGTTTCTACAGCAGGTGATGGTAAGTGGATTTTTCTTCCTGCAGTTGAAATTGGCCCTATTTTCTCAGACCCTCTCTCTGTCCTCTCTCCCCCCCTTGAGTTTTTCTCCCCTGCCCCCCCTCCCCTTTGTGGTTAATGTGTTTTTCCTCTGGATGAGGTTGCAGTTTGCGTCTCGTGTGTGTCCGTCCTGCTGACATGTGATGACCTCCTGTTTCACACAGGCTACGTGGCTTCATCTGCATCACCTCCAGGTTTTCTCTGAAAAGTTCCCCCCTCTTCTCAGAATTTCTGATGTTCAATATTTTGAAAGAGCTTAAAAATGCATTGAGGCAGCTTTACTCCTACAAAAGGTGTATCTATCTAACAAAAAAGAAAACCTAACTTTGAACTCTTTCAGGACTGCAGATTTTCCACAAATCTCATTTTTCAATTGTGAGAAAATGACAAAGATCGAATATTAATATGTGGATAGGTTTGTTTCTATAAAAGTACAGGCTGTCATGCAGAATCATTCACACTAACTTGAGTCATCTGATACTCAGATTATGTGTCAAATAATGACAGTATGATTGTGCTATTGCCGTATTGTTCATTGTTTCTTGCATCTAACTTTTTTTAAGGTTCAAACATTAAATTTTTTGTTTAATTAAAAAAAATGACAAAATGATGCATAAGTCAACTCCTATTTTACACCCTATTTATTTTTTTTAAATTTTATTTTTTGCAGAAAACGTGCATATCTTTGCACATTTGATGTTTTCAGGTGTGTGTAGAATCAGCTGAGCACACACTTGAGCATAGATTTCAAAGGAAACATTTTATTCCAGATTTTTTTAATAATCCACAACCCAACTTTTTAAAACATCTGCATTAAAGTTTTTAAAAATCCTCACATCTGAATTTAGCTTTGACTTTTTATGAAATAGTTCTTCTGTAACAGATTTTCAGTCTGTGTTACTTTTTTCTTTTTATTGTGTGTCATATATTTTTGATTTGGGGACAGAGTGAGACATTTTTCACCATGTCAGACAGTCATAAAAACACATTTTCTATTATTAATAGAGTTCCCAAAGATTTTTTTTTTTAAATGTTTTGTTTTTTGTTCTTTTGTGGAGAAGGGAGGACACTTCAGCTTTTATTGGAGGGACAGCTGAAGAGACAGGAAATGTGGAGAATATGAAGTAGGATATCATTTGCAGCAAAGGGTTGAAGTCAGGAGTTAAACCAGCGCCCTGTAACAAGGATAAAACCTGCTAAGCTAATGGCACCCCAGATCCTTAAAAAGTCTGAAAGTAGATAATTGAAAATTTAAGGTTATAAAAGTATTAAAATCTTATTTCAATTTATTAGAGGTCTTAGATGACATGTGTGAACACTTAATCAGATATGCTCTGCCTACTTGAGTGTTATTTTATTCTGTTTGGTGAATGTGCTCATTCATGTCAAAAACTGGGTTTTTAAAAGCACCTTATTACCTCCACATTCACTAACAGCAAACAGGAGAGAGACAGAGGAGAAAAGTCAGAGCCTGCATGTGAAGGAAATCAGCCTTAAGATGGAAAATACAGTGTGTGCATGCTTGGGTTGACTGTTCAAATGTAGGATTTACATTTATGAATTGTGGCACACCTGTGTCAGTTTGTTCTGCTCAGCAAAAATGACTGATCTTTATTCTGTTAGGGCAGTGGTTCTCAACTGGTCTCACTCAGGGACCCACATTTTCCCATGGTCTTCAAGTCGTGACCCACTTTTATAGAATTTAAACCAAGCAAATATATTTTTTATGAAAAAAAAAAAACTTTATTGAGTAAAGTGCATTTCAGAGCACATGAAGGGGACAACATGAGGAGACAACTACTGAAGTTGCTTATACAGAAAATATCAAGTATCTAATAAATATCGCATTCAATATTTACTTTTTTGACCAGCTGTTCACGACCCATCCAGAACGTGTCGGCAACCCACTTTTGGGTCAGGGCCCACCAGTTGAGAACCACTGTGTCAGGGTCTTTAAAAAGTCTTAACAAGTGTTTGATTTGATTTGAAAGTGTGCTGCAACCCTGCACTGAATCATGATGATAATGAGCAAAAATCTGAGTGGGATTGTTGAGGCTGTGTGGTTAGAGTGGTCAGAGCTGTGACCATTAACTCACAGCTGTAAACTAAATTTATAGATTGTTCAAATTACTTTAGATTCATATTAAAATAATCATTAGAAAACACCAGTGGAGTCTTTTATTGTGGCAATCTCAAAGGTTTAGTTTGCTGTAAAATTTAGATTCTTACACTCGAACAGTAATCAAATATATTAGACCAGATTTTCTTTAGAGTTTTAAACAGTTTTAGAGAAATATTCATCAAGTCAGCAGTTTTACAGAAAATGACAGATTTTAAAGCTGAACGGACAAATTCTTTTGAACTCCTGTTTTTATTCATCAGTAAAATTATTCAGGTATTCTTGCACAGTGTGATCAGTGATCTCACCTCAGTTTAATTCTCTCATACAGATTAAAATATGTCCATCAGAGTTTAAAATGAGGCGTCTGCTCCTTTAAAATCTGTTTGTGAACATTTTTAAGAAAATCCTCTACATATGTTTTTTTTCCTTTTATCAGAAGAAGTGAGTCTATGTTGAATTCAGATGTTTATTTGAATTATAATGAATTTATTGATGTGTGCAGCTCTTTTTTTAAGGCAGAGCAAACATTTATTGCCTTTTGCACAGATGTGGGTTCACCATCATCCGTGTGGGTTGATTTAAGAGTCAGATATATTTTGAAAGATTGATGAGTGACTAAAAATTAAAAAATGTTATAACCAACCTGAAACTCATGGAGTCATCCTGGTATTTGATCAGAATCAAAATAGATTTGACACGTTCAGGGGTGTTGTGGTGCAATACAGAAATGACTTTGATCTGAGTTTTGCAGAAAATGTGATCAGAATTAGCACATTTGAAGTTTAAACAGAGCTCCTCTGTATAATGCAGGTTTGTAAAGTTTCCTTCTTATTTAGCTTCATATTTTCATCACTTTGCTTTACATCCAACTGTCTAACCTGTCAAACCTGATCAAGTGAATAATTGAATTCTGCTTTTAGCTTATTTTTTATTATTTTGATAAAGACTAGAGCTGGAGGATTTGCTGTTTTTTTTTCTTCTAAATATTTTATATGATAGGTCAGAAATGTAAAAACATCACTGATTTACACGCTGAAATTTCTCAGACTAAATGATTTATAGAAAAAAATCAACATCTGCTGAGCTGTGACCAAAATAACCTCAATCACTGTTTTCTATCTAAACAAGATCCTAAAGGGGATTAAAAGTCAGCCAGACAAACAAAAACCACTTAAGTGTTTTTAAGTGTTGGTTTGACAGAATCAGGAGATGTCCTTTTAGGGTGGGTTGAACTCTTTAAAACCTTTTACACAGTTTCCTGAAATATTCTTGACAAAGCAAAATAAGAAAAGAGCTGAAGCTGATCTGCAGCTTTGTGTCTGGGCGATGAGAGGAAGGTCAGATGATCTTTGGTCTGAATGATCAGTCGTGTTGTAGGTCATGTTTTTGGCATGTTGTTTAACAGAGCGAGTCCTGTGACTGTTTGTATTTATACTGTGTTGTGATTTTTCTGCTGACTGTAGAGAAAGACATAAATCAGTCTGAGCTGCAGCGTCTCCTGATCTTTATAAAAACCCTCCATCTCTAATAATTCATCTTTTCTCCACAGAGATCCGGCAGCAGCAGGTGGGACCCTCTGCAGCCTGCAGGTAAGACCACCATCACACCACCACTACAAACAAAATTTCTTTTCATTTTATCTTAAATCTCATGACTTTACAGTCAACAGATCATTTCAGTCTCAGCTTTTAAAACCTCATTAGGAGATAAAACTGAAATACAGTTATTAAAAATCAAACAGATTTAGATCAGAGAGTGTATATCTGCTCCTGAGAACAAACAGTAAGAATAAGTTACACACACACACACACACCAAAGTTTTAAAGTGAGTGAACAAACCCAAACAGCAAATGGGTTTGTGGGAAATCACTGGTTTCTGTTCTCTAAATGTAAGTTTTCTGCAGCCTGAAAAAGAAGCTTTCTTAAATTAAATCTGAGCTGCAGCCATGCTCAGCAGGAAGTGCTCATCTCACATCTGAAGTCAGTGAAACCATTGATTATTAATATTTATGATAATACTAATTTATATATTTATTTTTGTGGATCTAAAATGACGTTTATTTATTGTCTCTAAGCTCTGGCGCAGCCTCCCTTCAAGATTCAACCCTATGGCCCTGGTTAATGCCCATTACTTTAATGCTGTAGTGCTATACTACCTGGGTGTAAAGAAGCACAGCTGACAGATAATAGTGGATCTAGAAAATGCAGATGAAGTGGAGTGTAAAGACTGTCTGGTGAAGATGGTTAAACTGGGATAAAGCCACTCCAGAGCAGTGAGTGACCAACACAGGCATACAGACAGTAACCTCTGCTAATGTTCGCCACACAGACAAACTAATGTGACAGCCTCAGCGATCCCATCTTTAGCCGTGTTAAATAAACTTTTGACTGTTTACTGACTGTTATCTCAGGTAATTTATCCTAATGTACACTGACTGTAAAACAGCTTCTGAGAATCTGTAACGCTCACTGACTGATTTCTTGTTTTCTTTGGTGATCATGAGAGAGCAGGTCAGCTGATGCCTGATGTGATGCCAAAATCAATTTGCTGTTTTTTTTTTTTGTGTGTGTGTGTGTGTCTTTTGCATTTAAAATATATGACAGAAACTGTATAATAATCACATCCAGTATTCCATGAACATTACAGTCTAATATACAAAGTTATCTTAGCCAGTTACATGTGTGCGACAGTTTTTAATGAACTAAGGAAATAGAAAAATACACCAGATATCTTATAGCTTCCAGAATATGACAGATTTTTATGTCAGAAGTAAAATAAACAGTATCTATTTATTATCCTGTACATAATCATCTTCTACATTTGATATGCAGTCATTAGGATGTAAAGAGGGGGTTGAAACTGATGAGGCTGTCTGCACGGACTCAGGACTGTCGTTTCCAAATGCCATTAATTCATCTGTCCGACTGATGAATCGGAGCATCTGTAATTTCTAATACCCTGATCACTGACAGGCCGCTTTGAGCTCTTTTTTTATAGTCAGCTTCCAGTTCAAAAGATGAAGTCATGAGAGAACCATCTCACAGCTCTCTTATTGATCATATTGGGTCAAATTTTCAGAGACGGTTAATCCTCATTATGCACCTTCACTCATGAAGTTATTTTAACTTACTCTGTTTAATTTTTCAACAAAAAGCTGTAAATCCATCCTTTATCTTTGAATATTCTGTCACACTTTTTATTCATCATCACAGACTGAAAATAATATTTCTGATCATATCACATAATTTACTGCTTTTATTTTTGCTCATGTTGTTCTGGGATTTTTTATTTTCTCAGTTTAAACTTGAATCCTCATGAAGACACGTCACACATTAATTTCTGCAGCTCTGAAGGATTTCATTTGTCACACATTACCCCCTTTAAAAACCGGCAGGCATGTAATTTTCCTTTTAAACAGAACGTTGTTTTTTTTTCTTATCAAACTGGTTATTTTGTGTCTGGAGAAAATGAGAGGTTTGAGGGTAACTTTTGGCTGCAGTTTTAACAGCTATGAAAGAGAAACAACCACTTAATCATCATAATAACGATGTTTACTGAAAGTGAAACAGCTGTGAAGTCTGGTGTGATGTTTTTATAGACTCGCAAGCTTTGATTCGATTTCAGAAACAGAGCTGTGAGGGTTAATTACTGTTTTTACGAGTAGATTCATAAACTAGTAATCTGATGTTATTTTATCCTAAACCTCCGCAGCGTTTCTGGGTTTAAACCTAATCCTGTGATTTCACACATCATGTCAGACAGATTATACAGACTTTTTTCAGCTGCACTATGTCCACACTGATATTAAAGGTCCTGTCAGAGCAGAAGCTTCACAGTGATTAGTAACAACTCTGAGTTCAGGTGGGGTTGAGTCTCGTATCCAACACAGACTGAGAGATGACTCAGCTCCTCCGTAACTGATTCATATTCCTGTATTCTCTTTAAAACCCTCCAGGTGGCTGATTTCAGGTGAGGTGTGTGTCCAGTTTTTCGCTCTAGCAGCACATCATGTTTTGCAGATTTGTGTTTAATCTCTACAAATCATGACGTGCTGTCACTGTGAGCTCTGGGATCCTCGACAGGTCACTGAAACAGACCCCAGCACCCACACCGGCTCCAAAGGTCAGGGGTCACCCTGTCCGAGAACTGTCAGCTCTGTTTTCTGACGGGACCGTAACGCATCGCCAGGATTCTCTTTTTCCCTTTGTAGAGTGTGAACCAAACTTTTGTGTTTTATTGGACTGTTATGGGATATTTATGATCATGGACCATTTTCACAGAATCTGTTAGTGTTTTTAGTTTTTTATGAGCTCCTCTCAGAGTAACAAACCCTGTCTGAACATTTATGACTTAATTCAGACAAAACAGCCATAAAAAAAACAGTATGAGGATTTATATTTATTTAATCATATCTGAGACAATTCTTCACATTTTTGCAGAGTATTATCATGACATGAGGGTTTAGTTCTGTGTCATAAACAGTGTTACTATCACAGTGAAACAGAAATGAATCTCAGTGTGTTCAAACTCCTGAAATATTTCAGTTAAATGTAAAAGGAAAAAGTTCCTTCCTTTGAAACGAGATGGCTCCATCAGTGACGGGTCATTTATCATCACAATCTGTGGGAAAAGCCTCTCTTTTTGAACTCATGATAAGTAACTTTGGGTTTCCTCTTATTGTGTATCGCCATCGTCATGACGACAAACCACAAAGAGGAAGTTTGAGCCTCAATGACGATCATTAACAAAATAAGAGGACAGCTGAGAAACATCTCTATTTCTGCAGACTAATAAAGGAAACTGGAACCAAGATGACCTTAAGTGAAGCAAAACCACAATCAGACCAGATCCTGCAGGGGTAGAGGAAAAACTCTTAGCTGCAGACTGGCTTCAAAATAAAAGGTTTAAAGAATCGTCTTAAAAAAATAAAATAAGAGTAAATATAAAGTACATTTAAAAATAATAATAATAATTTATATACAGTACAGGCCAAAAGTTTGGACACACTTTCTCATTCAATGTCTTTTCTTTATTTTTTTATGTGACTATTTACATTGTAGATTATCACTGAAGGCATCAAAACTATGAATGAACACATGTAGAATTTTGTACTTATAAAAAAAGTGTGAAATAACTGAAAACATGTTTTATATTCTAGTTTCTATAAAATAGCCACCCTTTGCGCTTGATGACAGAAGTTCTAAGTAACCCTGACAAGGCACACCTGTGAAGTAAAAACTGTTTCAGGTGACTACCTCATGAAGCTCATTGAGAGAACAGCAAAATTTTGCAGCGCTATCAAAAAAGCAAAGGGTGGCTACTTTGAGGAATCTAAAATAGAAAACATGTTTTCAGTTATTTCACACTTTTTTCTTAAGCACATGATTCCACGTGTTCATTCATAGTTTTGATGCCCTCAGTGAGAATGTACAATTTAAATAGTAATGAGAATTGGAAAAAATGCATTGAATGAGAAGGTGTGTCCAAACTTTAGGCCTGTACTGAATATAAAGTTTTAAAAAATGATCGAGTCAAACATTGATATAAAAAGAAAAAGCATAAATTAATAAATAGATAAATGAATTGAATCAACGAAATAGAAAACAGAAAAAACATGAAAAACAGAAAACTATAAAATTAAATAAATAAAAAACAAAGTCATAAAGATATTTTTAAGAATTCTACTGAATTTATATTAATGAGAAAGCAGATAACATAAAAATACTAATGTTGGATAAAGTAGAAGTTCAGTCCGGGATAGTGCGGTTATTGTTAACAGTATTTTTATAACCGAGTAAATACACAATAACTTTTTTGAAATTTTTACAGTGTAACCCAAGCTCTGCTTTGATTGGCTCTCAGTCATTTATGTGTTAATGATTTATTTCAGGTGAAATTACATAAAGGTCAGATATTAAATTTTTCCCATCAGGCTCTTCTGATTTCTGCAGTTGTATGTTTTAAATTTTTGTTCAGTCATTTTGTGTGTGTGTTTGTGTGTCTGTCCGTAGCAGCACATCATTACTGGTATTTATGTCTGTATGTTACCAGTGTGATGTGACCTGCTACCGCCTGACTCGCACTCTCTTCATCTTCATCTTAGACCAACACTAACACAGAGAACAGGTCTGCAGACAGGACTCTGGGGCTCTCTGAGAGCCACTAAGACACCTTAAAATCATCACATCTTCAGAAAAGTGTAAAAAGAAAAAAAAGGGAGAGAAGAAAAAATAAAGTTGAAATAAAAGCACACAAGTTGTCTGATGATTTTATTTCATTTTTTTTAAAGACATTCAGTCCTTGTTCGACCCAGTTTTTCAGGACACAGGTTTGTGAAGGTTCTCTAATCAGACTGACCTGATGCTTGTTTAAAGAATTTAAGATTCAATTCAGGAAGTCTGTCTATTTGGGTTTTTTCTGCAGTCAGTCTTTTGTGCTGTTTAAACTGTTGAATAGCCAGTGGCTGTTGACGGTGTCCCACAGGGGTCAATATTAAGCCCTCTATCCTTTCCTCTATAAAACATTACCATTAACCTCTACACTGATGGTACTCCACTTTATTTAAACATTAAAAACATGAGCACTTTAGTAGAAATTACTTCACAATTACAGAAAACTGTTTACAGAGGAAACAGGCTTGACCTTTAGCCTCCAGGTAAACAGCTTCAACAGCCACCTGTCACTCAAAGAGGCCGGCCACACCCCCAGTTTTCTGTCTTTCCTCTGATGTAAACAGGTGAGTTTAATCTTTAATGTAGGACTCCTCTGTTATTTTCCTCACACCTTTTGGTCCACTTTTAAAGGGTCTGTCAGCTCCTGCTTTGGTTTATAATTTAGTAGTTTTCAGTGTAGTGTTTCCTCTGTCTCTCATTAATTACTACTTCTGCTGACATGTAAAGAGGACAAAAAAAGACTCAAGAGTTTATCATGAAAATAAAAAGAAATCAACACGTTTTTATTTTTTCTAAATACACTGAGTACATCTCTAACACTTCCTGCTAAGGCTCCTCTTTAAATCTGCTAAAACAGGGAGATCCAGTTTTCAACCCTCTTCTCTCTGGATCTGGAGACATCTCATCCTTGTTGAGTTTCTCTGCAGCGTTGTGTCATCTTTTTAAAGAAACAGCAGAAACAGTCTTATTTTCTCCTCAATCTGTTCGAATTTGAGGATTTTAGGGTGAATTTTTTTTAAAAGAGGAGCAAAGAGTAAAAATCAAACAAAGATCCAAACGTGTTTGTGATCATCCTGTGTGACATGAAAGTTCGTCAAAACTTGAGTCTTATTTTGAAAGTCCACAGAAAATGAAAGGTCAGCGGGAGAGCAAAGGGAGGTCACTGGGGTTCATGATGAGAGTGGAGTCCAGGTTCAGGTTATCTGCAGGGACAGAACAAAGATGGTCAGTCTAGTATATATTTGTTCTTAATATTACTGTACTGTATATTCTGGACTATGAGTCGCACTTTTTTTCATAGTTTGGCTGAGTTTGTGATTTATACTCAGGTGCGACTTATATATGTTAAAATATATAATTTCACATATAGTCCTACAACAGTCACACAGAAGAGGAAGCGGCGCTTCGTCCACCTCTGGAGTTGGCGGAGTTGTTTAGAAGTGACACCGAGAAAGAAGAATTCGATAAATTTAGTGATTTGGAGTGAGATAGAGAGTTTAGTAAACTTGATGTTTTTTACACTATAGTTATCTGAATAACTGTTAATATGTTACATTAACATACCAGACACCTATTGAGTTCGTGGTTTATGCTTCATGTAGCTGAATAACTATCAATGTGTTACGTTAGCATACCGTACTCCTATTCAGCCTGTTGTTCTCTATTCTATTGCTATTATTATAACTTGTCTTTCAAGATGAAATGTCTGTTCTTGGTCTTGGATTTTGTACAATAAATTTCCTAAAAAAAATGTGACTTATACCGGTATATGTTTTTTCTTCTTCATTAAGCAATTTTTGGATGGTGCGATTTATAATCTGGTGCAATTTATATATGGCTTTTTTTTACTTCATTATGCATTTTTTGGCTGGTGTGACTTATACTCTGGAGTGACTTATAGTCCAAAAATTACGGTAATAATTACATTGAAATTTTTGTTGTTTTAGTCTCTTATTATTTGATCCATGGGTTTGTGTTATTTCCTGTCTGCTCTGTAGTGAAGCACTCTGGGCTGTGTGTTTGTATGAATAAAAGGTGTTTTAAAAAATAAAGCTGAGCGAAATAAAGAAGAACATCTTATTCAGCAGGAAGCTCCAACATGAGACAAATTTAGACAAAATCTGAGTGAGATGTCCAAAAAAATGAGAGACACCTTAATCTTTATTACATGAGCTCTCATTATCTGCTGCAGTCAAAATCATCCGTCTATTCCTGTTTTAATTGATGTTTGTTTTCTTCATTTACTTATATTCTTATTTCTGTTTTAGTAAGAAGTCACAGATACCTGAAATAAACAGACTAACCCATCAGTCTCTGTGCAGAAGTGTCCTCACACTAAGGTTCCAGAGGAGCCTAACCCAGTGGGAGGAGGGCTAGTCTGAGTGCGCAGATCGATCATCTGTGCTGTAAATCCACACACTCACATTTTTACAGTCTTTGGGAGGAGTGATGAACCAAAGCGGGGATGAGGTCGTGGTTTAATGTTAATGTTTTAAAGTGATATTTACAGCACACTGACTGTGTGAATTAGTTATGTAAGCCGCTCCTCTGAAGCCTCACAGCCTGATTCTGATCAGTCAGCGTTACAGCAGTATAAAGTGGAGGAGGTTTAACAGAATCTAGATCTGGACTAAAACCCAGAATCCGGAGGGCTTGGTGCACAGCTCTGATCCGAGGGTTTTTGTCTGCAGCAGAAACAGAGCTGAGGTCACTGAAGTCCAATGACTCAGCCTCAGTGATCATGTTACTGAAGATGATGATGATGATAATGAGGATGGTGGTATTAATGCAGACAGTGATGAAGGTGAGTCTGACCTTGGTCAAAGTTGAGTTTCTTGGTGTTGGATCCTTCTCCCAGTCCCTCGATGTCGACCAGATCACTGTTCACATCTGAGTCATTCAGAGCGCTCAGGGTCACATCTACACACAGACAGACAGAGCTTTATCTTGACCAGCAGCTGTATCCTGACTGGTTGCTGATGCAGATTATCAGACTGTGATATATAAACAAGATCAGCTGTTTGAGGGTTTTACCCATGTAACAGAGTGTGCCTGAAACCTTTTCAATATTGAAACCACAGGAAAAAGGTTTAAACCCAGCAGCTGAGACAATCTCTGATTCTTGTTCCCAAAAGTCTGAACATTGAGGGAGGAGACAGTGAGGCGGCTGTAGACCTGAGGGCAGCACACAGGACCAAGTTTTACTTTGTTGGAGGAAACTTTATTAAAAGCACCTTTTAGAAACTTTCTATTATATCAAATTTGGCGCCCCCAAGTGGACAAAGTGGTTCCTCAGATCTGCTCCTGTTAGTGTGTAAAATGTGGTGTAAAAATCTCACACTGCTTTCTTTTAAAAGTTGAGTTTCTTTGTCATCTTGAAATTATGAAAGGGGGTTTTCTTCATCTTACCTCATCCTAAAATCAATCTCTTCATCGCATGCCCTACCTAACCTCCTCTTTAAAAAAAATTCACCTCTGCAGGTTAAATCTGTGTGTGACTCACCTGCAGTTTTCTGTTTCTTCAGGGGTGGCTGGTTGTTGCCGGTGGCACTCTGGAGACCTGATGTCACCACCACCTTTGCTGTAGGGACACTGATCACAGTCGGTGTATTGGGCGTCACAGCAGCAGCTGTACTTTTCTTGGTGGACTTCTTGGATCCTTCAGAGGAGGAGACGGGGGTCAGAGCGCCGTCTTCATACAGCTTCCTCTTCACAGTGCTTTTTGTCTGCCCGCTGCAGTGCGGAGGAGAAAAGACCAGGAGATAAGCGTTTATGTACAAGCTTAAAGGGATATTCTGGCGTAAATTTAATTTAGGGTCAAACACCCTTACACCGAGTTGGACACCCCCTTGAGAGATGAATGTTGCCGACTGCTTGCTTCTCTGGTTATACCAACTTTAGTAATGATCGCACGATGGCAATACACAGTGGTCTGAGGAGCCATAAACAAACCTCAACCAAAACGCCACTCTATAGCCAAATAATGCCCATAACAGAACCTTACTTCATCAACAGTACATAGCGGGTCCCACAGCACTAGCCACCAAACATCTTTTTAGTTTGGCCTGATTTCTTTAGCAAAGAGACTAAACACAACTTACCTACACTCTTCCAGCAGTCACTTGTTTGTAGCGAGACCTCAGGCCAGTCCATTACAGACTGCTGCAGGGTGAACATTTATGAACATTTGACATTTAAGGTTTGTTTATGGCTCCTCAGACCACTGTGTATTGCTATTGCGCGGTCGTTACTAAAGTTGGTATAACTAGTTAAGCAAGCAGTCGGCAACATTCATCTCTCAACAGGTTGTCGAACTCTGTGTTATGGTGTGTTTGACCCTAACTTAATTTTACGCCAGAATATCCCTTTAATGTGGATGTGGGTAAAGCATCTTCGATTGAAGGCCACAGAGAGTCAGAGTCACTTGTAAACTAGAGATGCTCAGTGTTTCGCTGTCCAGCCTCTCAGGCAGATTCTCTCTGTATTTTTCTGATGAATGTCTGATTCAATAAAATACATTTATAAAGTGGATCTATGAAACAAGACAAAACAGAAGCACCTTTACAGAGCTGCAGTGATTTTACAGAAGAAAAATGGAGGACAGACTAGAAATACCCAAAGATTTCCTCCTCTTACTCTAATGCTGCGTACCTCAGAAGTCAGATGTCAGAGCTGAAAATGACGTCACACTCCATTACCAGCGTTTCAGTTACCAAGTCAAAAAAAAGCAAAATCTGAGGCCTGAAACAAGATGGGTACATCTACGAAAGTTATTTTAGGGCTTGCCTTGTCCTTGTTATATTCAGACAAGGAAAGTGCTAAAATAACTTTAGCAGATGTAGCCATCTTGTTTCCGCCTCTGATTTTGCTTTTTTCTGACTTGGTAACTGAAACGCTGAGAACTCCGGTGTGACGTCATTCCCAGCTTGGACATCTGACTTCTGAGGTTACTCGAACGCAGCATAAATAAAGACACTGATTTAAACTGAGGCTCTCAAAGAGGTCAGATATGGATTTCTCTTCTGTGAGTGTTTCTCAAACATCTCCACATTTAATCAACCGAAAACACAGACTGCTAGAGTCAGCAGCTGCTCAAGAGAAACTACTTGGTGTGTGTGTGTGTGTGTGTGTTTTACCCTGCAGGACTGGAGTCAGCCACAGGATGCAGTTGCATGGTGAGTTCTCCCAGTTTGGTGAAGGCGGCTCCAGCTGCAGAGAAGATCTCTCCAACCTGAAAAAGACACAAACCTGCATTTAACCTGAACTATCGTGTTTCCTGTTTCACTGATGGTTCAGGGCGTCAGTGTAACACACACACTCACACAGCTAGACCAAATTACTGAAGTTTTCGTAAAGTTTAACGTAAATAAAAATAGAATACAATGATTTGCAAATCCTTTTCAATTGAATACACTACAAAGACAAGATATTTAATGTTCAAACTCATAAACTTTATTTTCTGCAAATAATAATTAACTCAGAATTTCATGGCTGCAACACGTGACAAAGTAGTTGGGACAGGGGCATGTTTACCACTGTGTTACATCACCTTTCCTTTTAACAACACTCAATAAACATTTGGGAACTGAGGAGACTAATTGTTGAAGCTTTGAAGGTGGAATTCTCTCCCATTCTTGCTTGATGTACAGCTTCAGTTGTTCAACAGTACGCTTCATAATGCGCCACACATTTTCAATAGGAGACAGGTCTGGACTGCAGACTCTAAAGTTAATGATTATTTGCAAAAAACAATAAAGTTTATCAGTTTGAACATTAAATATCTTGTCTTTGTAGTGTGTTCAATTAAATATGGGTTGAAAAGGATTTGCAAATCATCGTATTCCATTTTTATTTACGTTAATCACAATTTCAAAATTACAACAGACGTACATTTCTGTGTTTTTAAATCTTTTGAATTTATCAGAGGAAATTCTGATAATTTCAGATATTTATGAGCTCTAAACCGAAATCTTCAAATTTAAAACAAACGACTTGAAAACATGTAATTTCATGTGAATTTAAGAAATGTACATTTTTACTTTTTTAAATTAACTTTTTTTTTTTTATGTTTGTTATATTTTAATTAATTTAGAGACACCAGTCTGTCTGCAGAGAAAGTCTGAGTCTATGAATAAAAAGTATAGTAATAGTAGTAATAATAATAATAATAGCATAATAATAAAAGTGTGTAACTTTATAATTCATCCTTTTTGTATCTATTACGTTATTTTAACGAGGAGCTAAAACAGCTGATATCTTGCTACAACAGAAAACCAGGTCCAGCATGTGTGTAGGTGGTCCATGTACTAACGTTTGAATGAACCAAACTCAGATTACAGATTCATCTGGATCTAATCCAGAGAGATTCTTTGTGGACCTCTGTTTAAAACAGCAGTGATATGTTAGTCTCTGTTTATGGAGTTAAACCTCCATTAATGTGGCCCGTGTGAGTGTCAGACTTACTTTAGTGGAGGCTGAGGTCATGATGATGGTTTTACTATAATCTTCGTTAATGATAATTTTCCGTTTATTCACCAAACTCTCATTTTAACACACGAAGCTAACAGCTCAGCGAGCTAACACAGCTCGTCCTGCTGACTAAAGCAGCCTTAATATAAACCTCATTTTAGAACCGTCTCCTAAAGAGGTCCGAAAAGCTCCAGACAAAACAACCAGATGCTGTAAATAAAGACTAACGAACGATAAACCACGTTAGCTCATGCATTAGCCACATTGGCACTAGCAGCAGAGCACATAGAGAAACCCGATTTGTTTACTGCGCATGTGCGAACCCTGCCATCTTTGCGACAGCTCAGCAAGTCTTTTTTTTCCCCTAGCGGTTTGCGACAGTTTCGACACTTGTACGACAGCTTCAGCATCAGCAAGCTCGCTTCAGCTTCAGTTTATTAAGTTCTGTATAAATGCATTAACGCCAGTCTATATTTATGTTTATATGATCCAGTGACTTGCTTTACATGTTTGTTAAATAATAAATAAAATAGAAAAATACAGAGTTATGTGATACATTTGATAAAATATATAAATATAAATAATCAATTTAATAGATAAGAAATAAAAAAACACAGCAATTATACCATTTGTTAGTCTGATTATTCAGCTGACCAGTTCACAAAAATCTGGTACAGAACATTTTTGAAAGAATATGTTTTATTCTGTCTCAAAAGCAGCATTTACAGGAATATCAACATTTAACAAAACTGAAACAAGACAGCACATGATAGGAGATTAAAAAATGTCTGTGGTGATGAGTATAAATAGATGTCAGGTATGCTTCACCTTAAAAACTACAACTCTCTCTTGTTCTTTTAGGACTCTACACCGGACCGTTCCTGGAGTCCGGTGGACCACCATCTTCATGTGGCAGCCTTACTCCCTCGGTGTCCCACTCAGGTAGAGGTGCTCAGCTGCTCCTGTAATGCTGTTCAGAGTCTTATGATCAGTCCAACTTTTCACTGACTGATCAGAGACTGATAGTGAAGCTGTGGAGATAAATGGAGACTCCTCTGTAGGTGGAACTTCCTCTTTAATAACACATTAGGTGTCTCTAGTGATTAATCTTTGACATTTAACTATTTCTTTATTAGTGAATAAAGAGGAGTCTCCATTTATCTCCACAGCTTCACCCTCAGTCTCTGATCAGTCAGTGAAACGAAGTGAGGAGAGATTTGTCTCAAAATTATGCACAAAGAAACATCTACAATTTCCACATGTGATTATCAGATGCACAATAATATTTCCACGATTTTCACATTAGTTTTTTAAGTGTGTGTGTGCATTTTATTATAACGTATCATTTTTAAATCTTTAATTCTGCTTGTGAATTGTTGAAAAATGTGTTTGTGGATCAATCGGCATTTTTTTCATCTCGGGGAAAGTTTGTAGTTTTTAATGGGAACTATACATGTGAACTTGATGTCAGGGTTTCCCCCCTGTGTTTGTGGAGAGGTAAAACAGGGGGGTTATGAGGCAGAAAGTCAGAGGTGGTTGAAATTTTGAAGAAACCAACCAATGTGATGGATATAATAAATATGATGAAGATGACTATATAAGACTAATATTGTGATCTATATTATAGTATAATATTATACTATACTGTATTATGTATTATAGTATATAGATGACTATAGTCTGTAATATAGTCATGTATATCATCTTTTTATTATAGTCATCTATATTTTAGTCATCTATATCTATATCATAGTCTTCTATATTATAGATATTATAGTCATATTATAGTCATTTATATTATATTTTTCCATATCTTTATTAAAGTCATCCATATTATAGATGACAAATATTAAAGTTATCTATATTAGTCATCTAGATATAGTCATATTATACTCATCTATTTTATAGATCTCGATATAGTCATCTATAATATGGATATAGTCATCTAGATGATAGTCATCTACTGTATGCTATATATCTATATTACTCATCAATAATAGTCATCTATATGATAGTCATTTATTCCCAAGTCATCAATTTCTTCAAAATTTCAGTAAACCACTTATTCTGGCTCTGTAGCTATACAAAAAGACTATGGGAAGACTTATCAGCATATATCTCTGATAAGTTGTATATGGACTTTAATTTGTATTTTGAACATGTTATTTTTGGTCTTCATTCAGATACAATAAAAGACTTGGATAAGACTTTTAATAAACGTATTATTCTATGCCAAGCTCCGTATCCACAGAGCTAAATTCGCTGGAGATAGACCCATTTATAGGTGCTTCGAATTATACTTACAAAACCTATATGTAATAGGTAAAACTATAACATTTCAAACACATTATTCAGAAAAGTCTTATATTGACTGTATTAAAAACAGATTTATGTGACTCTAGATAACAACACATACAGTGTGTTTAAGTGTATGTAAGTGCCTGGTATATTGCAGTAAAATACTGCACGTTAAAAGATTTTTATTGTTTTTCTTCTTTAAAAAGTGGTACGCCATCCTGATATTACCGACAGCACCTGAATGCAACGTAGCGTCATGCTGCGTTATCCAGATTTTTTGTTATAAACAATTTTTACGGTCATATTAAAACACTTCTCTTATTAACTCAAAATTTATGTCCTTTAATGCAGCCCTGATACTCTGCTGAAGTAAATGGAAACAAAGGAACAATGTTCAGCCTATTTAACTGAAAATGAATCAACGAGACTGAGAGTCTATGCTATGGCTATCAAAGTCATATAAACAGTAATATCAGCATATATTCACCTAAGATATACATTTTTCTCCTGAATTAACATGATAATAATGTCAAATTCAGTAGAAAATATGTCTTTAAAATTCGTGGTTTTTCAGAATTCAGCACATTTCCTCGAAATTATGAGAAAATGTTCATTTTTGTGCTCTTTTTCTAAATCAAGGAGAATATCTAAAACCAAAAGAAAACTTTTTCAACATCCGGAACTTTGCGGAGTTTAATTACAGTCACCTGACAGACCAGGTGACCGTCACGTGACCAGGACAGCAGACTCTTGCCAGCTGTAACTTTCTTGTGTCGACTCAAAGAAGTGAATTAAAATGCGTGGGCTGATCTGTGGACCCAAACAGGCGGCCTGTGGGCTGGTTCTGAGTGTGTGGGGGGTCATCATGCTGGTGAGTCAGACTTTAAAACAGTTTATTTGAAGGTTCGGTGGATCGAGACGGAAGTTTTATGAGCCCAGACTCAGACTTTCCTCTAGGACTCCCACAGTCCGAGGAGGAAAAATGGGACCCTTAGATTTTACTGTTTAAACCGTGTAGAGATGATTAAAATGGTTCCGTTTAATAATGAGAAAAGTCAGGTTAATCATTTTGATTATGAGAAAACACTGAATTCAGTTTAATAATGACAGAAGCTAGTTAAATTAGTCTAGTAATGAGGAAACTGTGAAAAACAAAAACAACAAACTAAAAGGACAAAGTTTCCTTAAACTTTACTTCACTTCAGTTTTAAATGGTTCAACTTTAACTAAACTTAAGCAGCTAAAACCTGTTTTTAAATGTAGATTTATTTTATAAGGTTTTTAAAAAGCTGACAATGTCTGATCTGTTTCTGAAGTTTTACAGGTTACTGCTGCACAAAACCAATTAAGTGTATAAATATTTATTTCTATAGAGCAGATCCTTCTTTCAGTACAATGTCAGGAGAATTTACACAAATTCATGGAGTAATTTTAAGGTTTAACCAATTACAGATTGTTAAGATAGGGTTAATGTAAACCAAAGCTGTTTTAATATTTCTAAAACTAAGTAAAAGACTTTAACTGACGTCATTGATGGCCATGGGAAATCTTTTTGTGCTGTAGGTTTAAAATTTTAGAGAACTGTTCAATTTTTATGAGTCTGCTGATTTTTTCCAAGATATAAAGATAAGAATGTTAATTTAAGTTGATTCCTTAAGTTACAGAGTGAGTACAACACAGTCTCAGATAATCATTAAACACAGATTAAATCAGAGTCCTCAGTATCTGCAGTCTCAGTTATTTACAGTCATGATGACTTTTTTCACTCCACCTTTACCTGAATTTCCCTCTCTCTCTTCTCTTCTCCTCTCCCTCCTCTTCCTCAGTCTGTTTTAGGAATCTTCTTTTTATTACACTCGGCCGTGCTGATTGAAGACGTCCCGTTTTCAGAGGAAGACACCTTCCAGGAGTAAGAGCTTCATTTAGATGTTCTCTGCAGATCAGGACCATTTGATAAACACTGATTTCATACAGACACATTTACTGCAGTTTGAGAAAATACAGGAAATTTAACCTCATAGTTGTGCTCAGTGTTAAAGGCCGAGAAACACAAATAAGAATCAGCAATCATTGTTTGTGACTTTAGACAAACTTTTTTTCCAACAAGCATGAACATCTCACCCAGATCGCCATCCAACTGGTCAAACATGCTTACTCACTGATTTCATGAATAATTATTTCTCCGTTTCTTCAGTACCAACCCTCCGCAGAAGCTCTACGACCTCTACGATAAAGTCGGCTATAACTGCATCATCGCAGCCGCCGTCTACGCCTTCTTTGGTGCTTTTTCATGCTGCCAGATGAGACTCAACAAACAGAAGGTCTGTTAGAGCCATTAAACCTCTTTATTCTTATTATGATTAATTCATTTTTCAGTGAATCAGGAACCGGAGCTGATCTCTGAGACCATTTAAATCTGAGTGTGAGATTGAAATTGTGGATTTATGGAAACAGAGTGGAGATTTCTGAGAGAAATCGCTCAAATGAAAATGTTGTTCAATTTAAATCTGAATTGTTTTAAAGACTCACAGTTAAAGTCTTGTTGGTGTGCACTGTGATAATGATTGTTGAAGCTCACCTAGAAGGTCTCCTCTTGTTTTGCAGGATTACCTGGTGCATTAGTACCCCTGCTGGACTAAGACATGGACTGAATTCTCCAAGTCATTTCAGAGTCTGATCACCGTGTGAGCAGATTAATGGATTAAGAGATTATTTTATAAGAAAGCTGCTGGAATAAAAACTTGATCATGTTGGTTAAATTATCAGAAATGATTCAGTCTTTACTTTGCTCATAAAAAAAGAATATTTCTGATTATGAATTTATTTCAGATTAACTGAATCATTTGCTGTTTTCTGATGTTTGTCTCTAACTTAATTTAATTTCATGTTCAACATTAAAAACACAATAAACTCTGAACTGTTTTGGATTATTTATTAACAAAAACTGAAGTTTAAGAAACAAAAAATACATTTATTTACAGTTTACTCATCAACCTCAAACTCACCTGACTCGGTTTTCACCTCACTCAATGTTGATACATAAAAAAGTCCTGAATATGAGCTCGAAAGGAAAGAAAGAACTTCACTAAATTATCTCAGATTTAATCCATCACTCTATTGAATCTATCATCGTTAAAAGATGGATTATAACCCAGTTAATCTGTTTATTCAAGACTCTGCAGTATGTTTTTATCAGCACTGACTGAATATGTTTGCACACTCACTCTGAATCACACAAACACACACACACACACTCTGAATGACATATAGCTCCAGCTGATCCTGAAGGAAACATCTACGGTCAAAACAGCTCAAAGTCAAAGGAATGCAAATAAATCAGAGTTACACAGAAAAGTTCAGTTTGCTTCATCGAGATTATAATCTGATTTAGATTTGAAATGAGTGTGTGTGTGTGTGTGTTCATATGGTGATGCTGTTCTCGATGTTGCTAGGCAGCAGGTACAGATACTTTAGCTCCTCCCCCTCGTTCTCACTCAGGATGTGCTCCTCGATCTCCTTCAGCTCTGCCCTGAACCTGTCAATCAAATCCTGAACCCGCCCCTCAGTGAAGTACTCCTCAGTGTACTGACCCAGAGGGATCTGCGGGAGGAAGAGGAAGGGGACAGGAAAGTGAGGAGACATCAGGAAACGATGTGTTAGATGGGGATCAGACAGACCGCAGACTCACAGCATCTGGCTGGGCTCGGCCCAGGTGCCAGGTGATCGCCATTTGCACGCAGGACTGGCTCACGTCAGGGAGGGTGTCCATGACCATCTCCATGGTAACAGCATCCTTGTCTGTTGGTGGGGGATGTCTCATGGTGCAGGGGGTGTTGGGGACCCAGGCGCACCAGTCAAACTTTAGGAACAACAACAAACACCTTCACCTGTTTCAGATTCTCTTCAAAATAAAAGTCTCCCTCTCAGCCAGACTGTCAAAATAAAGGCTCAGGTCATAGGTGGGAAATAAAGCACTGTGTTTGAAGCAGGTATGTGAAGGTGTGTGTGCTCACCTGCCCGTTGTTGGTAGCGGCGTGTTGAGCCGTGCTGGTGAAGATGATGACTGACAGCAGCGTGCAGAGCTCGTCCCGGGTGCTCAGTTTACTGCTCAGACCTGAACCCAACAAAAGCCGTTACAAACACAGATCCACTATCAAAGAGTCTACAGAAAAGGCACAAGGACCAAAACCAAGAGTGGATGGTCCTGTTTTTCAGACCCTCAAGCAGCACTGCATTAAAAACCGACAGGACTCTGGAGTGGAAATCACTGCATGAACTCAGAATCACTTTAAAAACCTTTGTCTATGAACAAAGTCATCACTGCATCCACAAATGATGTTTAGACTGAACCATAAAAGAGGAAACCAGACAGAAACAGGATCCAGAAACACAAACACTCTTTTTGGAAGTCATGGACGACACAGCTTCCCCTCTAAAGAGGAGAGTCTCCTGGGTTAACCAAGGTCTACAAAGAGCTGAAAGAAGAGCTGAGGACACACGATGAGAAACAAGAACCTGGAACTACTTTCTGTAAACATCGGATTTAAACTGAGCAGATAGTGTTTTTACAAGACTCATTGCTTTATTTTATTGAATGTCCCTTCAGAAATAAATAAAGTTAAAGTTATTCTTATTGTTTTCTGTTTCCTGGTCTTAATTTTTCTTCTGCCCCTCTCACAGCAGCATCTGAGCATGGAGGAATCAGAGTTCATGAGTCAGTCTGGTATAAACCTGCAGAGTAAATATTCTAGGGGTGGGAGGAAAAACCAATTCACATAAGTATCGCGATTTTTGTTTTACAATTTTAAAATCGATTTTTATGTTCAGAGATACTTTTTTTTTTTTTAAATTTAAGAATAAATCTTAAAAACTGACTTAAGGTCCTTTCACACTGGGACCGTTTTTTTTGCGCGATTATTTCGGATGTCAATATTTTTTCTCGAAGCTATATCCTGTCAATACAAGCGTTCACATCAGCGAAGTTTTCCCATCCTGCGATATTGCGTTTTGTTTTGTTTTCGGATCACGGTCAACTTTTCTTAAGTTTCGCATACTGTGTGTCCACTTCTGACCAATCAGAATGCGTGTTGTTGCGGCATCTTATTCACCGGTATATTCAACATGGCTGACCGGCTGATTGTTTACGTGTCAGAGAACAGAGTAGAATATTCAGCCTTTTACCCCACGAGCTTCTGCAGAGTGTTATAAATCTGAACTTTTCCTCCTGAGGAGATCATATGATGAAATATGAACGCTGAGATGGTTTGGATCAGTGGAGCGTCTTGAAGGACACACTTCCCTAACAGATCTACACCTGAGCTTCACACCTATACCTGTGAACTACTACCTCTGAGGATGATTGAGAACTGACCAAATTTTGGGAGTGCTGCGAATCCCTCCTGTGTGACGTCTCTGATCCAGGCTTGAAGCTCCAGGTCCTCCTGAACATCCTTATCTAACAGGTAGAACAGGTGGACCACACTAGAGACGAACCTGTGGACCACAGACAGACAGAGACAGGACAGAATGAAAACCTCAGTGTCCCTCTGCCTGTTGACACTGTGGTAAAATCTTTGGTGTGTGTGTACCTGTGGATGGCGTCCCACAGCAGCATTGTGTGTTCTCTGTAGTGATATTTGTCCAGCTGTGTGACTCCTCTGTCTATAAAGTCGTACTGAGGCTGCAGCGAGCGATACGTCAGAACCTTATACTCCCTCTGAGCCAGAACCACCAGACCGTCCCCACCTGTGGACACCACCTGAGATGACACATACACAGAGTGTCATAGAGTGCACACAGTGAGAGGAAGCAGAGTTACAGTGGTGTGTGGAACTGACCCGTTTGAAGATGCCGTTGGCAGAGATGAGCTGAGTGCGCCCCCTACAGTTTATCTCTAAGGTGTAGCGCAGATGAGGAGCCAGCAGCTGAAACAGAAGGACAGAAAAAAAGGGTTGAAGGAACGTCGGTGATGATGCTGCATTCGAGTGTCTGTTGGATGTGGTGATACCTTCACTGACCCGGGTATTTAGGATTTCTCTGCTGTAGAGTTTAAACATCATGTTCATGAAAACAGTTTCAAGGTCATGCTCAGAGGTCATTTAAAGAACTGAAGTTTCTGTTGTCTGTCAATCTAAACACTTTATTATGAGGCTGGATGGGGACTGACTCACTGCAGCCTCTAGTGGACATTCAGGGTACTGCTGTTGCTCTCTGTTGGCGTTAACTCACCTTGAATATAGGGTGAACAGCAGGCAGCTGCCTCAGAGTGGCCACACAAAACACCTCAATGACCAGGTGAGTCCTCAATAAGTGAGACAGCAGCTGGAACACCTGGAACTCTGAGTGGCGCACCCACATCTTAGCCAGCAGCCAGGAGAGGGGCGGGTCCTTGGGCAGAAAAATGGGCGTGTCCAAACCAGGGGTCTGCTCCAGCTAAGCAAGAGGAGGGGGCACTATTAACGACCTGCTATAAAACCACCAGACTGACTATTACACTGTATACACATAAAAACACACGTGAAACCACCTTTAGCTTAAGTTTTAGAAATATAAATAAAGTTATAATTACTATTATTATTATTATTATTATTATTATTATTATTATTATTATTATTATTATTATTATTTTCATTATTATTATCATCATTATTATCATTAATGTTATTGTAATTATTATTGTTGTTGTTGTTGTTATGACTGTTCTTATTTTTTATTTTTATTGTTGTTATTGTAGTTATTTTGTTGTTGTGATTGTTGTTGTTATTATTATTATAATTATCATAATAATTATTATTATTATTATTGGAATTATTATTAGAATTATTATTACTGAAGTTGCTATTATTAATATTATTTATATTACTACTGTTGTTGATGTTGTTATGGTAATAATAATAACAACAACAACAACAACAACAACAATAATAATAATAATAATAATTATTATTATTATTATTATTATTATTATTATTATTATTAACGCTTAAGATATATTTTAAATTTTCTCCTGATTTAAGATTTTTAAAAAACTTATGTTATGTTTATCATTCTTTTAATTTACATTTAATCCTCAGATATACTTTCTAGACTGACATGTTCACAATATTTGTGCAGTTATCCACAATATTTTGACACTTAATAATTTTTGTTTTACAAATGTGTAATTTAAGTGTTTCTATACATTTTTAAATTAACCTCTCCTGATTTCTGTTGAATTTTGAGTTGACTAAAACATTTAAAATGATGTCTAAAATCACAGAATTTCTTTCAACTCTTAGACTCTACCAGTCAAATACAGTTTATTTAGTACCAAAGACGTCTCTGTGGGAGTGAACAGGTGTAGATATAGGTGTGATAGTGTAACTGAGTCACCTGTATAGCGATGGGTATGAGTCCCTGGTCTGGGTGCTGGTACAGGAGGCAGAGGGGAGCGGCAATGAACTGAGGTCTACCTCTGATGGTGTTGGTGGGAATCCCGTCTGTGACGGCGTAATCCAACAGGTAGATGTTACCTGCCTGAGAGGACAGCAGAGAAAGTTTAATATAATCTAACATGTGCAGATCTTTAAAAAGACCTTCTCACCTTCAGTTCTCTGTCCAGGTGTGTCCGTGGAGCCATGGAGCTCTGAACCATGTCTGCTGTGACGGGGAAGTTCTCTGGAAGTTTTTGACACCTGTAGATCATCCTGGGGTTACAGCCATTCATACACTGGTACCCAAAGAACCAGTCCTCTTTCCAGTGCTCCATGCAGTACTCTGAAACAACCACAGATGTTTACACAGCAGAGTCAGTGTTCAACCCAGATAGATATTAAACCATCATAATGACATGAATTTATCCAGGAGGACCAGGACAAAATAAAGTTAGGACTCAGCAGCCTTTCTCTGGAACATTTTCCTCAGCAAGGTTTCCAAGGAGTGAGAAGTCTGTAGTTTCCTACCAGCTATGGGACTCCTCAGCTTCCAGAAGATCCTCCTGAAATCCTCAAGGTCATTCCAGGACTTTCCAAACCTGATGGCCAGCTTCTTAAGAGACAGCTCCATCAGACTGAAGGCACACAGGGGTCAGGTTTTTGAGATATTGTGAGGAGCATTTGACAACCTCAAATCCAAAGAAGTAATCAAATCTTTGTGATAGTGTTTGTGTGTTTATCTGTGTTAGTGTGTAGCTCGTACGCGTAGTGTAAGGAGTATTCAAAGTCGCTCCTCTTCTCATTGTCAAAGCGGACGTCTTGGGGTAAATCTGCTTCTGTTTTAGCATCAATGCACCTGGGGATCCCTGGAGCCCAGGTCACCCACCTGAACAACAGAGACACAGTGAGACACAATTACTAACACACAAACACAGACTCGTGTAAACCACAAAGTGTCTGTGTGTGTTAGTGTGTTAGTGTGTTAGTGTGTTTGACCTGTAGGTCGACTTCCTCTCTTCAAGCTCGGCCTTCCTGTGAGCCAGCTGCAGAGGTGAGACATCGTCTTTCAGAGTTTTTGCTGCAGAACACAAGGACGTGTTAAGACAAAGCTCTGTTTACACCTGATGTGACAATAAACCTGATCCGTCTGTAGATAAAGACCTCTTCACCACTCATTTACATCCATATGCTATCGAGAAAAAACATCTTTACACCGCTGTCACAGTGACAGCATCAGTATGAAAATGAGATTAACCACAGACCTGTATTAATAGTCTGCTGACTGTGAACAAACAAAGTTACAGAAGAAGACACAGACTTCCTGGACAGGTGTCAGATAGCAAACTGTTCATTACAGGGACAAACATCCACCTCGACAGAAAATAAGGGCTACCAACACAAAACTCTGTTAGTGGAAACAGGCCCTAATCCTGTTATTCTATATCAAAGTGATCCAGAACCTTCACTTTCAATCAGATCAGCTGACGGGTCAGAACAGAGGATGGTAACCCTGAAGATAATCTTTTGACTAACTTGGTTTAAACCTTAATGACTCAAACTGAGTCAGAGTCTGGAGGTCATCCTTCCTAACACACCAGAGCTGCTGCCCTGATGTCTACCTGTACAGCCCACCTGGAGGAGCCAGTCCTACCTGTTCCCTCTCTGATCTCCAGCTTTACGTCTCCTATTAACCAGCGGTAACACGGGAAGGTCAGCGTTTTGTCTCCTCCTGGTGGCTCCACTTTGACATAGCGACAGAACCAGTTATCCTCCACCCAGTACCTCTGTTTCTCCAGTCTGACCAGTGACAGGGGGCCCAGAGGTGCAGGGCTGCTCACTTTGTACTGGTCCACCTGATGGCGAGACAGAGAGATTGAGAGAGAGAGGTGAGTTAAGGAGGTAAGGAGCTGTGAGAGACTCCTTCAAGTGAGGAGGCTTCAGGTAACCTGGAGGAGGGGGGCCTCTTCAGTCCTGCTGACGCCACATCAATCTATCTGCAGCTCTAACATTTCCTCTCACCTCCAGATATCATCTACCTGTTAACATTCCAGCTCTCACCTATGGTCACAGCCTGTGGGCAAAAACACAGAAAGAAGCCCAGATAACAGAGATAGGAATGTGTGTTTTCTGCATAAATCTGGGCTCAGGTGAGGGGGGTGGGGAGCTCAGGTATCAGGTAGGAGCTGGATCTGCTCAGAGGACAGGGCTGGGCTGGTTTGGCTGCCTGATAAGGAGGACTTAATAAAGCCTACAGAAAAGCTAACGGTCACAGAGAACCAATCACAGTCCTTCTTACATCTGGACTGAGCAAAGACATGACAGCCCACTGTTCATGAGTGTGGCTGAGAAGGAGAAGGAGAAGGAGAAGAAGAAGAAGAAGAAGAAGAAGAAGAAGAATTATGAAGTCTGATGGCTGCAACAAAGAGAGAGGAGCCGTCCACCACCATTGGCCCTTTGGTCCATCAAGGTGTTGTGAAGTGGGTGATCCATCTTCTTTAGAATAGGCTCCACCTTCCTTAGTGTACATTTCTCCACCACATCCTTCACTGAGTCCAACTTATACCAACCAAAGAGCCAGCCTTTTTAATCAGTTTGTTCAGACGCCTTGCAGTTTTGTGTTTGATACTGGCTGATGTTCTAGGAGGGAGGTAGTTGAAGCAATTAGGACATTTTAACGAGATGAAGGAGGAAAGGGAAAGGTTGTATTGGAGATTTGTTGCAGAGAGGAAGGTGGAGTAGCAGTGGAAGTCAGTACGTCAGCAGTGTCAAATCTGTTGAAGAACAGGCTGAGTTCATCTGCTCTTTCTACATCACCCACCACTGGCTGTCTTTTCATTTTATTGCTGTGTCCAGAGATGGTACTGATTCCTCTCCACACTTCATGAATGTTGCTGTGTTGTAGATTCTTCTCTATCTTCTTTTTGTATTTAAGCTTTGCCATCTTTAGTCTCCTCTTCAACTCTTGTTGCACTTTTGTCTTTTTCTGGTTGAGGATTGCTTATATGTCTCTTGTGATCCGGGGTTTGTTGTTGGGGAAACAGCAAACAGTTTTTGTGGGTATAACTGTGTTTCTACAGAAGTTGACATATTCAGTAAAGTTCATACTATCCACACCTGTTTCCAGCAGCACATTCCAGTCTGTTGCTTTATAACAGTCCCTTAGAGCTTCACTGGCTTGAGGTGTCCATCAGTGGTGGTAAGGCAGTGGCTCTGTAGGCTTCTTTGACATTGGCATACAGCAGATCCAGGGTTTTGTTTTCTCTGGTAGGACAGTTCACAAACTGTGTGAATCCAGTCAGGTGAGAAGAGAGGGTGACATAGTTGAAGTCTCCCGATATTATTATTAGTGCCTCGGGGTGTTGAGTCTGTAGCCTAGCAACACTATTGTGCAAAAGGTTACTTGGAATTTCTGCAGTTGATTTGGGTGGGATGTAAACAAATATTTTTATGATATGACTGAACTCCCTTGGAACAAAATATGGCCCAAGAGTTACTGCCAACAGTTCAACATCTTGAAAACACAACTTCTCCTTGAGAGTTATGCGTAAAGAGTTACACCATTTCTGGTTAATGAATAAAGCCAGATCTCCTCCCTTCTTCTTGCCACTAGCTTGAGCATCTCTGTCTGACCTTATGAGAGTGAAACCAGGTAGATCCACACTGGATTTCGAGTTGTTTTGATTCAACCAGGTTTGATTCAACCACTCACAGTCTGCTTTCTCAGTCTTCCCCAATATCTCCAGCTCATCGCTTTTGTTGGATTGACGTTTCCCATGATGATTGATGGAAGAAAGGGTTTATGTCTCCACCTCCTAGCATTCAGCTTTGCCTTTACCTTTGCACCAGCACGGCAACCAAGATAACACCTCCTGATGTCCTCTGGGATTGGATGTCGTTGTCTAGATTTGCTTTCTCTTCTTGATTAAACTCTTCGCCCAGCAGAAGTATCCATCAGCAGCCAACAAAAAAACATTAAAATTAAAAAAAAATATATCGAGCAAAACTTACATTTAATACAGAGAGACCAGACTTCAGCAACCTCTTGCTTTAAGCGCATCATTAAATAACATGTTGCTCACTCGGTCTGCATAAATACTGTATAAAGGCTCTGTATAAAGAGTGTGTTTGAATCTGCAGCGGTTCAGATCTTTAATCTCTGATCTTTCTCTCTGCAGACTTTGTCCTCTGGTTTTCTCTTTGTTTGTACTCCGGTATGAGGCCAGCTCAGAATGTCATTTCCTCATTCCTGGGCTGAGTGGGACCATCAGGCCCACACAGCAGGTTGTGTGCACCATTTGTCACCTGTGTGGTACGTTTAAGGATTTTTTTTTGTTCACATGACAAGTCAGGACTCAGTTTGACATGAGGGTGAACAGAAATGTGGTTTGGTTTGATTTGAACTGTGCTCTCAGTCAAACTAACCAAACCAGCTTCATGGAGATCTCATCCCAGACCAGCACTGATGAGGCAGAGGATCACACTGGGTTTATGGGTCAGAGGAGAAAACAGAGTACTAGATTTCTTCTTTTTTTGTAGGGTTCATATAATAACAGTGTATGAGGAGCAGGGTCCAATTTGAGCGGGGGGCCAGGCAGGGAGCTGTTGGGATGTTGATCTTTATGCAAGACCAATGAGTCTGCAAAGAGGAAGAAGAACCATCATCATGTTGACCCAGGATGCGCTGCTGGTTATGCCACTTCCTGTCTTTGGTTTTATGAGTTTGTCAGCCTGATTCTCACCACAGACCAAACACCAGAGTTTACCTGTTTGGTCTGAACCAGAGTTTGAGATCTAAATGAACCAGACTGCCTGAGGTATCAGACCAGGGCTGGTTTAAAGTGGAACAAACAGCTCGGGGTCTGATTGTGAACCAAAACCTGGGTTTACAGAGGAGTAATATGTAGGGACAGATTTGTAGTCGGTGGATCAGGTTTGTATTTTGTGCCTGTGGATTTCCAAAGTGGGGCAGAGTGGATTAGTGATCCGAGTGTTTGGATTACAGATCTGAAAATGTGGAACAGAGACCACATTAAGATTTAAAAACCCAGCATCTAGGTTAGTTCTGGTTCTGTTCTGATCTCAGTAAAAATGAATTGGGCTTTTGGCTCAGCTCAAACAGTGTCAGTACTCACAGCTCCTTTACAGAAGTCCAGTCCGGGGTTATCCAGCAGGGTGCGCTCACTCTCCCCTTTCTCCCCCACCAGCGTCACATATATGTAGTTGTTAGTGCCAGAATAATCTGACGTCCCTGTGGCCACCGTCACCGTGTAGATCTCCATCTGAGGACACAAACACATCAGAAGGTTTTTAAATATCAGGTCATAAATATTTTTATTTCTGCAAGACTGAAAAAAATGTAATAATGTTCAATGAATAAAAAGGACAGAGAGGAGTCCAAACTGAGTCTGTGCCAGCCTGTAAACAAGTTTGTTCCTCTGGTAAAGTTTAATATGGAGCTCCATAGGGACTTTGCTCACTGTAGGAGACAACCACTGGTGGACAGGAGAGGAACTGCCATTTTTTTGGGACTTCCTCTTTGTTTTTTTTGTTTTTTTTATGTTTCCCCAGATAACACAAATAAACTCTGTTGTAAACTTTATTGCACAGCAGACACTTCCTCCCCATCCTCCCTCTGAGTTTACAACAGGGTTTATTCATGTGGACATTCAGGGTTTGGTTCCTGCCACACAAAACCATCAAATGAACTTCCACTGGTAAAGCATTAAGAATTAGATTCTGCATAAAACACACCTGACTCGGAGCAATACCTTGTTCATCAGTTTAGATCTAACTGGCCTTAACTGAAACTTGACATGGAGATCAGGGTCTGACAAACCCCTGAATCAAGCATAAGAACTTCCTTTTCACAGGCAGAGACCTCCAAGTGAACCAGACTGCAGGTGGACAGCTATCTGCCTCCATTGGTCAAGTTCATCCAAGACATTTGGAATCATACACTCTGAAAAATTCCAGAAAAATTCAGTGTAGTCTTAGCAGCCAATGTGTGATGTTTACAGGATACCTGAACAGGGCCCCCGGGGTTTAAAGGCCCCACCTTCAGGGTTACAGTCTGTCAAACTGAAGTATTTCTGTCCATGAATTTTCCAGACTTTACCTGCTGCGTTCACAGTCAGCAGTTACAATATCAGAGTCTCACCTCACGGTTATCATGGTCCAAAAAATAACAATTTCAAGACGAGAGCGGAGCATCAAAGCACATTGCTGTCAAACTGTGCTTTTATTTTGTAGTATCAGCTACTTCCTGTTGATCAAAAGTAAACTTAGTGAAAGAACAGCTGTAAGGTCTAAATGTTGAGTTGATCAGTGATCAAGTTGTTTTTAATTCAATAAATTTTTAATCAAGTCTGATCTTCTCTCAGAGGGATGCTAAAGCTAGCTCTCTAACAGCTGCTCCTTCTTCTTCGTGTCTCTCTCTCTCTGAAGATGAGCTCATATTTAGATCAATATAAATTTTAATCCTTTTTTGAAGGAACAGCCACAGTCTGTGTTGGTCTATTGCAGTGGTTCTTATATCAAGTCCTCGAGGCCCACTGTCCTGCATGTTCTGGATGTTTCCCTGCTCCAACACACCTGATTCAAATGATCAGCTCGTTATCAAGCTCTGTAATGGCTTAATAACGAGCTGATCATTTGAATCAGGTGTGTTGGAGCAGGGAAACATCCAAAACATACAGGACAGTGGGCCTCGAGGACTGGACCTGAGAACCACTGGTCTATTGTGAGTTATGCATAAAAAACTTCAGGTAAAGTCAGGTGAAAATCTTTTTTGTGCTCACACTCTCTGTGGAAATTATTACTGTAGGTCATTTGAATATATTTGACGCATAAACAAATATGTCTGTCAGAGGGACAGATAAAGGGAACAGATAAAGAGCTGATAGGAGGTCAGAGAAAGTTGGTGAGTCAGTCCAACACCTGCTGAGATCAGGTGACGTGACATATCTAAGAGTCATGTGATCATCATCAGGTCTAAAACTTTCTCCTGAAGTCAGGAGGACGTTTAAACTGAGACTTCATAAAATCTTGATCTACAGAGCAGAGAAAGAGAGTCCTTTAGTCAAACATCAGACTAGGACCAGACAGAGAGAACAAAAACCTCTATGGAGGGAAAATGTCTGAAAATAACATCAGTTTTCAAAAAGCTCTGACAGAGCTGACGTCAGGAGTGAAGGTCATTTAGACATAGAAGAAACAAATCAGACATTAAAGAATAAACCTGTAAATCTAAATAATACACCATAACTTTGTCCCAAACTTAATGACAGTTATAGTGGATCTATTAAAACGATGATGTGACTTTTATTATATGTCTTTACTTTTTCAGCCAATTATGAATCTCACAAATGTACAGATTTAAACTTAAACTTTTTTATTTATTTCTAAAAATTTGTTTCTATTTTGACATAAATTTAAACTTCCTCATGAATTTGTTTTTATGTTTGAGTTGACAGATGAAATTTACAGCTTCATTCTCATGTATTTATGATTCTAATGGTTCGATTTTTTTTAGGGTGACTTCTGCCTATAAGTGATAGGACAAGGTGAAATGTGGGGAGACAGAGAGAGAGGGGGAGTACATGCAGCACATGGTCAGGGCAGGACTCGAACCCATGACCACTGTGGGGACCATGGTCCCGCTCAGCCATCTGCACACCCCAATATTTTGAATTCAAGACATTTTGCAACGTTCTTACAAAAGTGACTATCATAAATTAATTCCTAAATTACATTTAAAGTTTATTTTTGTACATAAAGACTTTTAGCAACTTAAATTTAAAACTTTCATCTGGGAAGTTTTTGTCTCTTTTCAACAACAGTTAACAGTTTTTTCGCCTAAATTGAAGAGTTTATTCTAGTGATTTCGATTTATAATTCTGATCATATCTTGGATTTCTAATTTGTAATTCTAGTTTATTCTCCGTTATTTACTTTGTGAATTTATAATATTATTCCTGTTCATGTAGAAAATCCTTGGTGAACCTAACAAATTAAATTCTAAAATCATTTTCATTATTCATATCAAAGCTTAGTATCTGGATACTCTTTTGTATGTTATATTTTTTAGCTGTTCTCTCTCTGCAGTTCTACACTGTTCTCTGCAGACATGACAGTTTTTTCCAGACATAAACGCAGAAAAATTTAACTTCAAAAGCTGTTTTCTCATATTTACATGATTATTAGACTCTATTTTAACGGTGCTGCTGTTGAATCTGTCCTGTTTCCTTTCTGTCTGTTTTTCTGTCACTGTTTTTGGAGCCTGAACTGAAGACCAAGTCTGAGCTAACACAGATGTTGGACCAAATACAGTGATGTGTGCGTGCATCGCAGAGTGTGTGTTTGTGTGTGTGCGTGAGTAGATAGAAATAACAGCTCCATGACCTCAGTCCAGCTATGTTCGCTCAGATGTCCCAGAGACTCTGATGACACTGATGAGACTTAGAACCTGAAACAATGAGGATTTTCTGCTAATTAAGAATATTATTCAGGTTTTTTAAAGTTTGAAAAGTCAGCAGGTGACTGAAATTTGACTTTACAGAAATAAAAGGCTTTCTTCACAGGTTTAAACTCTAATTAGACTTGACTGAATTGCATCTCCTGAGTTTACGCAAAATGACCAAAACTTTGAGGAAACTCACCTCAGAGCAGATCAGAGTCCTCCTTCAGATCCTCCTCCTGCAGTTTCTCCTTCACCTCTGCCTGTTTCTAAATGTTCCTCCTCTTATAAACCCAGCAGCTCAGCTCTACAGTAAAAACCCTCCTCTGTTTCCCCGCAGACAGGAGTGCCTGTTACACTCCCACCCTTCCTCTGCTCACTCTCTCTTTCCCTCAGTCAGTCACTCCTTTGTGTAACCTCACTCACTCACACACCCAGAATACATTAACACACACACAGGGTTGCAAAAGGGAAGTTGGGTCAGTATCAGTGCAGCAGTGTCAAATATCAGTCTCTACAAAAAAAAACAGGTGCTGAAAAACTTTGAAAACAGGATCTGGAAGGGAAATGAGGTAATTCAGAGAAAGAAGATCACACGTTATAAAAATGCAATTTTCCTGACACTGTTCAGTCTGTGCAAACTTTACAAAGTGACACTTACTTTCTCGCTGTCAGTATCTGGATGTGATTTTACTTCCACTATTTTTCTTCTGCAGCTCTAAACCTCAAATCAATCAGCGCACATTCCTCCACCCCCTCTGTTCACACTATTAACCGTGTTTACTTTATAAACTGTGTATACTGTATTAACTGTGTTTGTATAATGTATAAACCGTATATAATTTACTGTATAAACTCTGTGTGTGTGTGTACTATATAAACTGTATGTATGTGTGTGTGTGTATACTGTATAAACAGTGTCTGTGTGTGTATACCTCTCTGTCTCTCTCTCGCTCTCTGGTTCTGTTACATAATGTCCACACACATTCAGATATTTCCTCCTGTGTAGGCACTCAGAGGCCCCAGGCGGCAACAGTCCACCTCAACAAGATTTACAGAGAGGTACAACACAGCCCCGCCCCCAAGACCGACTCAGACTCTAAACCTGAAAAGACCTGGGTCAAAAGGACGGCTGCTGCCTCTGCAGCTCATCAAGAAAAATATATAATATAATTATGTTTATACATAATTTAAAAGCTTTGACCTGCCATCATACTCGCCGATTTGGCACATGCATCAACTTTGGCGAAAATTAGATACTACATTACCTCACAGACAAAAAAGGCCAAAAAAAAAAAAAAAAGCTTCTGAGCGTCCCCTGTAATTAAAAAAAAAAACTCCTAACAGGAGTTCCTGTCTCTAACATGCATAAAATCACCCATTGCACATTTCTCACATCAAGACCTAAAAAAACTCCTCATGGGCCTTTGTTTTAAACCCAACAGGAAGTCTAGGGTTTTGATTTTAAAGTCAGATTTACAGGATCCATACTTGGACTAATTCTTGTAGATGTTCAGGCTGAGGGACTTTAACTGGAGGATTCTGGGTATGTCACTGTCCATTCTAGTGCAGCAGCCTCTACTTTTGCTCAAGACTGCAGTAACCCGAGAGGCCACTAGAGGCTGTATGCAGAAGCACCAGAAACCACATACACACTCATTCAAAAGGGCCATTTTAGAGCACAAATCAACATGTTGGTTCAGAAAACAGTTTTTGGTCTCTCTGGACACACCAAATGGTTTTGTCCTTGCGCATTTGTTACCAAGGTCACCAGTTTGGCGAATCAGAGTGCAGCTGACCTGACTGACAGGCGGGCAAGCCAAAGCTGTTGGCAAGGATGCGTACCGTATTTTTTGCACTATAGGGCACACTTAAAATCCTTTTGATTTGTCGGAGCACTGCAGCTACCGTAACCTTGCAGAGTTATTGAATGAGTTAAATAAAGTTTGACTTATCTGTTTTGTTTGGCTTAATGCGCTTTATAATCCGGTCCGCCTTACAGTGTAAAAAATACGGTACAAATGTGGCCTCAATACTCCAATTTAGAAACACATGATGTCACTGAATCTACGTCCTTTTTCATACAGTCTACAGTCAAACTTCAACGCCTCGCCATGAAACTTTTTCATAGAGTGATTGATCTATTTGAAAGTCCACCCTCGAACACAACTGTGAACAGATTTTATGAACAGTCATGGTGCCATCTTGTGGGAGTATATGGTATTAACCTTTAGGACAATGTCTTCACTTTAAATTCTGCCAGCTTCGTAAAGATCCCAGCCTCTGCTTATCCGTGTATTTATCATGATAACGGTAATATTGCCACCTGTTGGAAATAAGCAGTTATTACACATTACCTGTATATTTGACACTCTTGAATCTCCTCTGTCCCGTAGGTTTGAATTCTTCCTGGTTTGAGAGTTTTTACAGATTTTTTTAAAACTCCAAACAGAAACAGAAATGAAAATGATGTTTGAATAAACTCTCAGAGAAGATGGTCATGTTTGTAATCTAAGTTTGTATTTTTTCCTCGTTTGACTCAAAGTTATGACATGAATGAACAGAACAGGAAGAGCATAAAAAGGTACAAATAAATCAAAGAAAACACTGTACACTAACTGAGGGCACTACTGTACGGACTGAGAACACAGGTCACCTGTAGCTGTAGAGGAACTGCTTATTTGAGATCAGATAACACTAATGTATGACGGAAGCTGACTGATGAGACCGCACCTCACACTTCAGTTTGAATTGGCAGTACAAAGCATGATGGGAAAACTAAATGGAAAGAAGTTAAGATTGATGATGGTAACTGTAATGTCTCTGATGATACAGTTTCTATGGCGACATCCATCACATCAGTTCATGATTTACGAGTGGTTCGATCCGGACGCTCCGTCCTCATCGTCGGGAGGACAGGCGACAAAATCTGCCAACATGGACGCCATCGACTCTTCGTCCAGCTGAGAGAGAGAGAGAGAGAGAGAGAGAGAGAGAGAGAGAGAGAGATTTTTTTAGCCTCTTCACCTCTCCTGTCAATCATCACACCCTGAGTATTTCTAAAGCAGCTCGAAGTCGATAAACTGTATAAATGTACCTTTTTCTTCTCAGGTGACTTCTCCGCCTCCTCTATCTGCTCGTCCTCCCTCTTCCTCTTCATTCCTTTCTTCTCCTCTCCATCACTCTCTCCCCCTCCTCCTCTTTCCGGCTCCTGGGGCTCTGCAGCGTCCGTCTCTCCTCTCTCGGCCTCGGACTCTTGTTGTTCTTCAGGATCTGTCGACGTTTCAGGGTTTGTTGCTGTAGATTCTTCTTCTGCTGTTGGAGGCTGCTCCTCCTGCAGGCTGGAGGTCTGATCTTCACTCACAGTAGGCTCCTCCTGGGCAGGTTCAGCTCCTGACTCCTGCTGCGGAGGACACAGTCAGAGTCAAGAGGAGAGCTTTGATATCTTTCTTAACTACCAGCAGTAAAATACAGTTTCATATATTAACCTCGGAAGTCTGAGCTGAAAATGACGTCACAATGACGTCTACATCTACAAAAGTTACTTTAGCGCTTGCCTTGTCCGAATATAAGGCAAGCGCTAAAATAACTTTCGTAGATGTAGCCATCTTGTTTCCATCTTCGATTTTGCTTTTTTCCGACTTGGTAACTGAAACGCTGGTAACTCGGGTGTGACGTCATTTTCAGCTCGACACAAATTCAAGTTTCTCTCTGTGCTGGTGAACAGTACCTCTTGGCTCTGATTGGCTGAGCTCTCTTCAGGGGCGTCTGTCAGCTCAATCTCATTGGCTCCTTCCCTCCACAGTCCAGCCGAATCCTGCATCCCTCCTCCTCCTCCTGCAGCTGCTCCTCCCTCTGATCTCACCCGTGATCCTCCCACCTCCCCTTCCTCCCCCTCTTCCCTCTCCTCCAGAGCTCCTCCAGTCACACACAGGATCTGGGGCATGGTGGGGTCGTCCATCCTCTCGCTCTCGTCCCCCGCCCCCTCCGCCTCCCTCGCCTCCTCCAGCACCCCGATGCTCTCCACCTCCTGCACCTTCATGCGGTCCTCCTGTCCGAAAAGCGCCCGGCTGGTCTGGATCTCCTCGATGCCTCCCTCCTCCTCGCCCTCCACGCTGAAGCCCGCCATCCTCCCATCGTCCACCACAGCTCGCAGCACCTTCCCCTCCTCCACCCCCACCTCCTCCGCCTTCTCCTCTGCTCCCTCCAGAGGGGGGATGTCCCCGTCCTCCTCCTCCTCCTCTTCCTCTAGCTCCTCCCCCTCCTCTTCATCATAGTCCTCATACTCCTCCTCGTCGTAGAACTCTTCGTCCTCCTCCTCCTCGTCCAGCCCCTCCTCCTCCTCCTCCAGCTCCTCATCGTCCTCCATGTCCTCCTCTTCCTCCTCCTCCTCATCCGTGCTGTTGATGTTGATGACGCCTGAGTCTTCGTTGCTGGGGGGCGGAGCTTGATGCGGGTGGAGGTGGCGAGGACCCATCTGGTTCTGGAGTTGGTGTATCTGGAGCGGCAGGGGGAGGGGGCCGGGCTGACCTGGGGCAGAGGGCTGCATCAACATCTGCTGCAGCTGTGGTCGCCCAGGCAACGAGTCCCCCATGATGCCAGGGGGTGCTGTGAGGGAACTAGAGTTCAGGGGGGGGACCAGGGAGACCACAGAGGTGCTGGAAGGGGGGAAAGAATTGATGGGCGTGGTGGAGGTGGTAAGGAGGGGTGAGGAGGTGGCGTGATCGTTGGAAAGGGAGACCCCATCTATAGTGGATGTTGTTGCCGTGGTGACAGAGTCCGCTCCTGGCAAAGGGACTGTAGTGCCTCCAGGTGCAGCAGAGACCAGGCTTGGGGGGTTTCCTGCACCAGGGTCCTCCTGCGGCGTCTCCATGTTGAGCATCCCGGGCGGGACGATGACCACGCTGTCGTCGGAGTCGCTCCCCAGCGAGATCTCCACGTCCTCTGCCTCCTCACGGTCATAGCGCACAAACACTGGCCTCTGGCCCTCAGGGGGCCCCAGGCCGGTGGGGTCCGGCTGGTGGTGCGCATGGGGGGACAGGATCATGTCTGCTGGGGTTGGGCCCTGACCCGACAGACCCGGGACCAAGGAGAGGTGGTTCTCCAAAGAGCCGAGCAGTGAAGCGGGGCCGAGGTCCAGCGAGTGACGGGTGGGAAAGGGGGTGGGAGCGGGCCCTCCAAGGAGAGTGGGCAGGGTAAGTCCTGGTCCCTGATTGGAAGGGAGGACAGGACCAGAGGGTGTGGGTTTCAGGGTGAGGGGGGGTAAAGGTAGGGCAATAGGGGGGACACGGGGGTGAAGGAGGGAGTTACAGACGGTCAGAGCCTCAGAGCAGAATGACGACACCTATGGAAAGAGGAGAGAGGGGGGAGGCTGTTAACTTGTTTCAACATCCTGAGACCAGGTTCTAACTGTTCTAATGCTGCGTTCTGCCTCTATTTTAGTGCTTGCCCTGTATTCCGACAAGGCAAGCGCTAAAATAACTTTCGTAGCTGTAGCTATCTTGTTTCCGCCTTCGATTTTGCTTTTTTTCTGACTTGGTAACTGAAACGCTGGTAACTCGGGTGTGACGTCATTTTCAGCTCGGACTTCTGACTTCCGAGGTAACTTGAACGCAGCATAACTCTTTTAACAAAACTGAAGTCACTCAGTTTGAGCTTCGGCTAAACGAGACAAAATCAAAAATATTTGAAGATGTTTGACTTTTTCAGCTTGACACTGACCAGTAAAGACAACTATCTGGAGACGGAGCTGATACTGGACTCACCTTTATGTTTCGGTCGGTGCGTCCACTACTCAGGATGGAGACGGCACAGGTCAGAGGAGGGGGCCAACAGGGGGAGGGGACCAGGACCAGAGCTAGCAGCAACCTGGAGATTAAAGAAACACACAAAACTGATCTTTTCTGCGGAACAACCACCTGATGAAGCCGGACAGGATCTGTGGAGCTCTTTAAGTCAAGTTTAAATGAAGAGACTGTGGTTATCTTTATCCTCATCACACTGCATACTGATGTACCTGTACAGCTCTCTTCGGCTTAGTGCGCTGCTGTACTGCCCGCTGACGCCCCCTGTAGGCTCACAGGAGGTACTGCAGCTGGACTGTTGCTGCTGCAGACGCACACAGAGCGGCAGGATCACCTCGTGGAGACGCTGTGAGACGAACAAAAGGCAGAAAATATTCTACATTTAATAATCTGTCCGAGAGTTTTTTGAAGAGGCAGAACATGTCCACTCTGGTCAGGTCTGGTATCTCATATTTATTGGGTAACTCTTCATGATAGGTTCTAGGTTCAGGGACAATGTTGGAACATCTCAGCCTGTTTACCTGCAGCAGGATGAACTGAGCAGCTGCAGACACTCAGACTGTTGGTTCTGTTATTTTTTTTCGTAGAGAAAATGTCTCTTCTACTCTAGAGTTGTTTAGAATCACACGCAGCAGAGATCAGGAAGTTTACCTTGTGTATGTCGTCCTTCAGCAGAGTGCCGCTGCTCAGGATGATCTGTCTGAGGGCTGTGAGGACAGACACGGTCAGGACATCAGACTCAAACAGCAGACTCTCACTGTCTCATAACTCCACTGCAGCTCACCTTTGAGCGCCGACACACAGGTGTCCTGATTGGCCAGCACGTCTCCTTTCCTCTGCAGAGACGAACCCACAGAGTCTGCCATCACCAAAGGTTTAGTCCTCCTGGGACCCGGTTTACCTCCTGGAACCACGTCAGCTGATAGGCCGGCACGTAACTGAGGGGTGAGACACAGAGAAAGAGGAAATGATGTCACACTGTGGGCCAACTTTTCCTCTGGAATATTCTTATTACACGACGTGAGACCTGAGCTCACCTTCACAGACTCCGCTCCCGGTGTGATGTCGCTGAGCAGCTGGCTGAACAGCAGTTCTGAGTGACTTGGGCTTCCCTGCAGGACGCTTGCTGAGGCTCCGCCCACTTGAACCCACAGCTCCAAGGTCTTATATACGGAGACTCGTACAGTGCTGAGGAAGAGAAGAAGAACACCGACACTGAGACAGAGGGAGAGGGTCTACAGACATCAGAGATTTCATAGACTTTGAATTATTTCTATTTTTTTTTTTTTTTTTGGAAAAAAAAAAGATAAAAATCTAAATATGAGACATTTTTTTTCTCAACTTCAAAATCAGATTAAAGCAGATTTTTCAAATTAAGTTTTTTTCCATTTGAAAAAAAAAAATCAGGGGAAATTCTTTTTGGATGAAAAGGCCACTTTCAGTTTTTTTATAAATTCAGTTCAATCTCTAGAAAAAGTTAAATTCTGTCACTAAATAGAAAAAAAAGAGAAATTTCAAGAAAAAGTCAAAGAATTACTCTTGGAGGGAAAAAAAATTCCTAATGTGTTTAAAATAAAGGATCAATGTTAAGAGAAGAAACTCAGTTGAAGAAAGTGAGAAAGAATTAAATTTCATATTATTCCTGATCCTGTAAAATCCTGTAAAATCTGAACAATCTCGTCCTCCTCCCTAACAGATGGTCTGTGTGTGTCTCATCTCCTCTCATACTGCGCTCTGATTGGTTGGTCTGCTCAGGTACCTGTATGCTCTCTGCTGTCCCAGGCTGGCCTCAGGTAAAGGTGTCCATGCAGAGAGAGTCTGAGAGAAGAGCCTCTGTAACACCGCCGAGAACTGAATCATACCGCTGCGAACGCTGTAGGAAGATACACACACACACGCACAGAGTCAGCTAAACACAGCTACTAATGGACACACACACATGCACAAACACACACAAACTTATACTCACACTGTGATCAGAGCTGCGAGGACTTCCAGAGTGTGTGTGTGAAGGAGAGGCAGGAGCAGCAGCCTCACACTGCCATCACCTGTTAGATTCTGAAACACACACACACACACATAATTAAAGCTTTAAAACAAGGGCTGTGAGCCAGACTGTCATTTTGCACGTGTATGAAAAAAGTGAACGTGTTTCGAGTGTGTGTGTGTGTACATACAATGCTCTTGGAGCTGACGGCGAGGGCTCGACACACCAGGTTGAGGATGAATCTGACAGGCAGACGGACGGCAGAGGATGGATCCACCCTGTAGGACAGAGAGGACAGGCGCTGAGATTAAAGGGACAGTTCGTGGTTTTCAGAGGCTGATCCAGGAGTTAGTGTGTATGTGACAGAAAGTGCAAAACTAAAAAAGCTCTCTGAAGGTAAAGAGATGGAAATTTCTGGGTAGAGCATTCAAATTGAGAAGAGAAAACTGTAGCCTGAAGTGCATGCAGGTTGCTCCTGATATTTCTGATTAAAGAGGTGGAGCTGACTGATGAACTTCTACCACCTCTCTTTAAAACATGGAAATATCCCTCTAACACTGGAACTGCATCAGCTGCAGAAAACATCCTCAAGATAACTCACACCTGAGCATGTGTCATACCTGAGTGCGCGTTAACAACTGAGTGTGTGTCAATACCTGAGAGTGTGTTTCAGGGCCATGCAGACAGCTGTGTATCTGTGCTGCAGCTGCAGCAGCAACAGAGGATCTGATTGGTCAAGATGAGGAAAGGAGAGCTCCAATCCTGGCCCATCGTACTGCAGAGTCCCGTCTGTAAATAACAAACATCATAATCAGTGAACTGCTGGTTCAGTTTGGTCCAGTCCAGATGGGTGTTCAGATTAGTATTGGAGCTTAATGTGACTGATGAATCATCATCACCAAGTGTACCTGTTTCTGATCCCAGGTAGATCTGAGCCAGCAGCCCGTTGGCTGTGGCCAGCAGGCAGTGGATCTGATTGGTCCATCCTTCAGCTCTTCCTGCACCCACCCCACGGTCCAACAGACCACCGAGACACGGCAGCCGACCATAACACTGACACGCCATCTGATGACAGAGACGCAGCGAATATGAGTCAACACTATTTTGGTCACTCATGTTCTTAAGTTTCAACCTTATTCTATCTGATCCATTGTAATCTAATCTCTAACGCAGATAATAACTCACCTCTTGTGTTTTCTTGTTGGTGCTGTCCATTTTGGAGAGGAAATAAGCCCCCAGTTTGTCCTGGAAGAAAAGTTCAGATATCAGATAAGAGGAACAGATGGGCCTTTAATTTATCAATAATCCAAGTCTTCTTCAACTCTGTTTGTGTGTGTTTGTGTGTGTCTGACCCTGAGGGATCCACAGGCTCGGGGGTAAAAGGTCATACAGGCCGTCATCCCCTCCATAGCAGCCAGCTCACACTGAAAACACACAAAAAGACATGTCACTAAGCAGGTCACAAGGACGTATCAGTGTGGTACTTTCATAAGCAGTATTTGCACTTTTACTTTAGTGTTTTCTGTGGAAAGTATTGAACTTTACTAAATTGTGCTCAGCAAAAGCATAGAGTTCAAACTTTCCACCGTTGTCATGAGAGTCAGCTGACTGGATGATATCAACACTTAAAAAATTCATCTCAGTGCATTTATCTCATTTCTGTTTCTTATCCCATGACAAGTGTTTGTTATTGCATTTATGAAACCAGGATATATAATGGTTTCTTTGTGGAGTCAGATTCAAAGATATAATCATGCTGTTGTTCTTATTGTGGTTCTAATTCAGAGATGACCAGCAGACCCTGTCTCACCTCTAACTTCAAGCCCAGCAGAGACGTCAGGATGCCCAGGATGGAGTTCATGCCGACCTCTCTGGCGAGTTCAGGCAGCTGAGATGAGTACTGCAGCAGGTCCTTCAGGATGCTGACGGCCAGCTGGACCGTCTGAACCGGAGCCTGAGACTACAGGACCACAGTTCACGAAGACAGAGACACAGAGATGTGGTTCAGGTGTGACCAAACAGGATGAGTACATGTGTACATGTGCACAGGTGTTTGTTACCTGTATGACCTGCTGCAGAGAGCGCAGCCAGGACAAACAGTGCTGTTGGAACAGATCACTGGAGCTGTCTTTGACCAGCATGGAGAGTAGACACAGACCCTCAAACCTGCAGATGCACATTAATATTCAGTAACGCTGTAAAAAATGTTAAAAACAGATTCTGACAATTTTTAAATTTAAGTTTAAATTTAAAGGAATATTCTGGCGTAGGATTAATTTAGGGTCAAACACACCATAACACTGAGTCAGGCAAAGTTAAAAAGATGTTTGGTGGTTAGTACTATGGCTGGGACCCTATATGTACTGTTGATAAAGTTAGGCGTTGTTCTGAGCATTATTTGTGGCTATAGAGAGGCTTTTTGGTTGAGGTTTGTTTATGGCTCCTCAGACTGCTGTGTATTGCTATCGTGTGGTCGTTCCTAAAGTTGGTATAATAGGAGAAGCAAGCAGTCGGACATTCATTTCTTGAGAGGGTGTCTACCTCGGTGTTACGGTGCGTTTGACCCTAAATTTATTTTGTGCCGGAATATCCCTTTTATAGAAAACAGTTCAAAGAAAACCAAATTTTAAACTGGAAAATGTTTAGAAAATATAAACAGCTTTAAGGGCAACATGTGCTGCCATTCACACAAATCACATTCAGCAGGAATTACAGCAGCATGGCTCTGTAGGAGAAGAGTCCTGCTACTGTTTTCAGTGTAAGTTAAACCATCAGATCCTGTTTTCATCTACACAGAAAATCACAGTTTAGTAATAGAGTAAGGACAGGTCGCACAGGTGTTACACAGTTACTGCAGGGCTGTCTGAAACATCATCTCCCACCTGTATCACAGCTCACTGTTTCTATCTGGGCCCTAAGTGTCTCACCTGGTCTGTATCTGTCTCACCTGGTCTATTCTGGACTCACCTGGTCTTGCTGGAGCTCAGTTTGGCGTTGCTGAAACCCACCAGTCCCCCCGCGGTGCTCGCGCCCTGCAGAGGTAAACACACGAGCCCATTATGAATCCATGTGCGCATGCTTCATCCCCCTGTCCCTCCAGGTGTGAACTCGGTGGACAAAGCAGCTGCAGCCTTCACAGATGCTGCAGACACACACACATGCACGCATACACACACACACACTCTTTCTCTTTCTCACACACACACACAGACATACCCAGGCTAACAGCTAACTAGCTAACCCCTCCTCCTACCTGAGCAGTGAAGACTCCATGTTCTCGGTACCCGGACAGCAGAGCCGGTAGATACTCCGGTCTCTGCTCCTTCAGAACCGACACCAGACCCTCCGTTAGCCGCATCGCGGACGGGCCACGCATCCAGGACGACGCCGCCATCTTTGCCTGTCCGCCAGTCTCTGCAAACGTCATGAAAACGCGACGGAGTGACGTCTATTAAATGCGTTCTTTGTTGTGTAGTGTTTTGCGCCATTCAGAGCTTCACCTCACCTCTGTATCTGGATTTAAAACGTATTTACCTCCATATCAGCGTTAATGTCGAGCTAATCCATCAGTATTCAGCTGAAACCCCCCGCTGTGTGATGGCTAATGAGCGGCTCAGAGCTCTGGAGGATGTGGAGAAGGAGATAGCGATGGTCCTACAGTGTGCAGGTGAGGACCGTGAACGCACCACGGTGTGTTCACACTTCATACTGAGCATTTAAATGTGACACTGCAGTCAGTAGATGGTCCGGACTTGACCTTTACCCGTGTCTCTGTCATCTTTACTGTTATGTGATGTTTAAAATCAGTATTTTTGCTTATGAGCGAACTGAATGGGAGCTGTAAACTAGTGTGAATATTAGGGCTTGGCGATAAAACGATAACGGTATGTATCGAAAATGAATCCCCTCAATATCGATATAAAACATGGTCGATATCCTTTTTGATAGTCAGCATTCTGCCATGTTTTGGTAAACTATACTAATAGCCAATGAAAAGGGGAGTTGCTCCAGGTCTGTCTCGCGCTGAACCAATCGTGCCGAATTAGTACCAAGTAGTAAACAACTGCGTGGTAGCAGGCTGCAGCTACACGCAGTTATCGCATTTTAACACGTGAAGCCGACAGCACTATCGATGAGAAATGAAGAAAATGAATGCTACCCCCAGCAGAAATACAGATGAAGGCTCAACAAATGACGACATCATGGACAACACTGGCACAAAAACGTTGGTGGTGTGGAGGTATTTTGTTTTTTTGAGGGCGGACATGAAGCAGAGTAATATGCGCTGCGAATTATGTTGAGTACATGTTCTCACAAAGTCAGGGAATACCTGATCTTCTTTCACCACCTGAAGCAGTACCACGCGGCAGAGTATGCACAATGCAAATGGTTACAAACCCTGAGCGGAACAAGGAGCCCATGACGCCCGTGCAGCCCAAACAGCCGATCATTCAGTCCGCTTTCTCTAGCGCAACGCCTTACAACATAATGTCAAAGGGGCACAAATTTCTTTATATTATGAAATATATCAATATCAACTGATATGAAAATTTATTGTGATAAACCTTTTCCCATATCGCCCAGCCCTAGTGAAAATGTAGCCCTCCAGAGACACCCTGTCTGGTTTTTAGTCTTTCTCATCAGAAGCCCTGTCTACCTAGAGCAAGTGTCTGCACACCTGAAAGCTGCAGACACATGTAACTTAAAATCCCGACAAACACAAATTTTGGTAAATGGATCAGAATAAAAGCTTTAAAAAAACAAAGAGTGGTGTTAAAGGACAAGTTCACCTGGACACAGAGACTCCATGGATAATGCAGTTGTACCTCAGACTTAGATTTTAATATTAAAATTTGACAGGAAAGTCTATCAGGCAAAAATATGAATTACAGACTGTTGAAAAAAAATATTTCCAACCCAAGAGCCGTGACTGGAACTGGCGGGTGAAATCTATGGACTAGGATGATATTTTTTCTGCATTGTTTTAGCATTAATAAATTATTACTTCAGTATTATTTCAGTGTTATTTCAGCATTATTATACTATTATTTTTGTTTTTGTTCTGCAGGTACCATCGTCCTGGAGCTCTCCAAAGACAAACACAACGCCAGCCTACTGGAGAGACAGCTGGTCCAGTTTCAGACCTCTGTCAACCGGGTAGAGAGCGAACTGAGCTCCCAGATCCGCTACCTCACCCAGGTAACCTTTACACACACAGACACATACACATAGACACACAAATGTTGCTAACTTTTTACCGGGTGGATCACCATGGTAACTGATGGTGGGGTTGGCACATCTACCTGTATATTTGTACATGAACATGAACATTAAAGTTATTGATGGGGTTTTCCTGACATCATTCTTCATAAAACTTAAAAGATCAAAACTAGAAGAGAGGTTGTTTATTGCTTTGAATGATGTACCATATCATCATCTCATATTGCCCCATTCATGAGAACACATCGAGTCTGATTAGTAGATCTTCTCTGTCAGGGTTAGTGGATACAGGTAAGTAAAAGGTACCTGGGGTATGCTAAAATCTCCTTGAAGTACAGGTCCCTAATGTGGGACTCTTCATCTTCAACAAAGTCACTGAAGAGTGACATGAGCAATTTAAAAAATAACAGCAATTTAAGAAGGACTGAAAATGTCCAAACAGTGACACAGACTGAAAAAAAGCAGAAATTCCTTGGGACGTAATTTTCATGTTTTCTCTGATTTCTGGAGAGAATTGACCAAAGAACCTGAGCAGTGTGTGGACAGACCTTTTTACAGAGCGGGGATAATTACAGCTGCTCCACAACAAAACATAATCAGTCAGAGTGCTCCACATCATCATCATCAGCGGCAGCAGCAGCAGCAGAACAAACTCAGCTGTAATCCTCTGTCTCTGTCTCTGTAGGTTGCCACGGGTCAGCCTCACGAAGGCTCCACCTACTCCGCTAGGAAGGACTGCCAGATGGCCCTCAACAGAGCCGAGTACGCCAAAGTCAAACTGGGAGAACTTGGACGCACCTGTGAGCTGATGCTGGAGCAGCAGCAGCCGCAGCCGCAGACATAAGACTAGACCACAGACATACAACCAGACCACAGACACGAAACCAGAACACAGACATGGAACCTGACTACAGAAATGGAACCAGACCACAGACATGGAACCAAACCACACACTGGTCCTTTTTCTCTACATTAAACTCCAGCCTGGGAATATTTACTTTCAACTTTTACATACTGAATACAAACAAAAAAAGAAATCAGAGTTTGTTTTTGTAATTTTCTCATTTCTGAGCATATTTCTTTTTCTTAAATGTATTGTCTTTTATTTGATGTTTAATATAACCCACATTTAGACTCTTTAAGGGCTTTATAATAAAACCAGAGGATGTTTGTACCAAATGTTTCTGTATCATCACTTTTCAGAAGTCTCAAATATTCAACCATCCAACAGCAGAGAGTAAAGTTTCTGTTGCTCAGCCAGGACTGTTTTACAAAAGAGATTTTGTTAATGGAATAATTTCCAAATAATAAACCTCCACTACATGTATGCTCACTCATGTCATAACTGAAACTGCTCAAAAAGAGCATCGGTGATCAATACACATTGGAAAACAGTAACAGCAGCTAACATTACAAATTGAAACAAAACTGGAAATTGAAAAGTCATTGTGGAGGTATTTCTGAGAATGATTTTTCATCAAAACCAGTGAAATATCAAACTTTTCCACCATGACTGATGCATGTGCAAAACTGTGAGTTTTGGGGCATGTTCAGGCCTCCAAATGAACAATAATTTAGGCAGAAGTAAGAACGCAAGCAAGCCAGAAAGGAAAAATGACGTCTTTGGACCATTCCCTCCATGTGCTTTACCAATGTTTTTTCAGTATCCCAGTAAGATGCAAATGCTATTTTTTCCACTTTGAGTGTTCCTCTTTACATGTTTTTCACATTTTACTGTGCGGAACATCCATGGAAGGTTTTCTATGGAAAAGATTAGGGTCACTGGACAAAGAACAAACTTAGGGAATCAGATTTTCTCTAGCTTTTCATCAGAATTCTCAAAAGGAAAAAAAAAGTCCAAATTTTGGGTGGAGAGAATAGAATTCTGACCTGAAACTTAGAACTCTGCGAAAAAATTATCCACAAAAAAAAAAATGTAAAAACTGACCTTATCTTTTTTTTTTTTTTGCTTTGATTGCCTTGATTTCTCTCTATAGTTCTCCATCAGAAATGCTGAAATAAAAAAGGATTCGAAGAACTTAATAGGTGCAAAACAAACTTTAATCCAAATATAGTTTCACAGTGGCTAGAGGAACTCTTTAAAATACAGCTGAATTTAGTGTGCGTGTAAAGGCTAATAAGTCTGGACAAGGACAAAACATCTATTTAAAACTTGTACAAGAAGTTCCTACAAAATAAAAGCCTTCCTCTGGACTTATTTTAATACTCTTGCTTGTTCTGCCTGTGATCTATTTCTGCATAAAAAGGTTAAAGAAGCAGTAATTTAGAGGTTCCTCTGTTAGTGATGCCTGAATATATCAACTGACCTGCTGTCAATATAAAAATATACCTTTATTCCTCTGTTTGAAGCAGCATGTATGATATAAAACAACATGAAATACAATGACTCTGCTAACTGAAGCTACATGTTCCCTTTTATCATTAATAAACTCAGGGTGTCTGCACATCTTCTTATTCTTTGGTATTCAGGTTGTTTGTAAGCTTAATTCAGATATCTGACCCTGCAGCAGCAGCAGAGACTAAAACAGGGGTTCATCTTCATCCTTCTTCCCAGTTAACCCCAGACGAGCAAAGTCCTCAAACACAAGCTCTTCAGCAGGAGATGGTGTACTAGGAAAAGAAGAAACATAATAATGATATCAAACTATGACAGAATGGTTTCCATCAGACACACAAAGTCTGTTTAGGTACTTCAGAGTCTTACTCTGTCAACACCGTCGTCTGTTTCTGTTATTTACCACGCATGGTTAGACTGTATGCAGATGATACTTATCTTTACTTTGAGAAGCCAGACAGAGAAGGTCTCTTTGTTGTTACAGACTTTGTTCCATTTGCAATTTCCATTTCCAAACTGCACACTAAAATGCAATATTTGTCTGAAGAATCAGTTCAATATATATGATTTTCTGTAAACGTATTTCTGCTCCAAACATGAACTTTTTGAATTAGTGTGTGTGTGGTTTCTGGTGTTTCAGCAGACAGACTCTAGTGGACTCTAGTGGGAACTGCAGTCTTAAACAGTCCTGCATCAGCTTCATTTCTCAGTACTAGAGGCTGCTTGGTACAAACACACACTTACCTCATGTCAAACTCCATGAGGTTCACCAGAGCTGCAGCTTCAGGAGGAGCTGGAGACAAAGAGAGAGAAAGCATTACGCTCTAATCTCCTCTGTGTGTGTATGGATATCTGCGTGTTTATGTGTGTGTCCTACCTGGCTGTGGTTGTGAGTCCGGCTGGTCTGCAGGTTTAGGATGCATCAGTACAAATGGGAGTTCCACAGAAACATCCCTGCACACACACACAAACACACTAAGTACACAACCTGAACAGAAAAACACTTAAGCTGTTTGTTTAGTTCAAAAATAAGAGTTTGTGTGTGAATTTAATACTGCAGATCAGAAAGGCAGCTAAATCAGCTATTACAGTTTGTAAAGGTCAACCATGACTATTTTTGAGGAGGCGGTTCAGCGGCTGCAAACAGCTCACATTACAACACAGGTCTCTATGGGAACTGACTCACTGTAGGGGACAGCCTCTAGAGGACACTGAAAGAACTGCAGTTTTTATGACCACTCAGTTTTGAGTTTTCACTACCGAAATTGACCATATACTGAACTGAATCACAGTACATCAACGCACAACTTATAAGTATATCATTGTCATTAAGTATCAAATCAAGTCAAATTATATTGGATTCAAACATGTCAAAATAAAGGAAATGTAGTTCATCAAACAATAATGTATCATAACACAGAGTAATCTAATTTTCTGCATCAAATCATACTGTTACTTATAAAAAACACCCTGAGCTCCGTCATCCTGTCAGTTCTTCTGGATCGCTGCTGCAGACGTCCTGCTGCTGAAGACCTGTCTGCTTTACAGCTGCTGCATCTACAAGCATCAGTCCCTCTTCATGTCATGTCGTGTAGTGTTGTGTCAAGTCGTGTGATGACCCACCCTCCCAGAGACACCACCAGTTTGACCTTGACTTTGTAGGAAACATGGACACCCATCATCTCTTTGTTGGCTCCTTCTTTGACTCTGCAGAGAGCAGACAGATTCAGACAACAATGAATGAACATGTCCAATTAACAGTGTGTGTACATGTTAACGGCCTGTCCGTATAATAAAACTACACATGGACTTAAGGAGCAAACAAGCAGGGGTTAAATCATATTACGGTAATCTGAATGCATAGGTGTGTTCCTACATGGTGGTGGAGGCTAGGTTGGTGTCTTCATGCTTTAACTTCCCATCCAGAGCCAGGCCCCTCTTCTCCCTGTTGGTGCCCAATGTGGGGGTCAGAGTGTAGACCTGACAGGAGGTCGAGCTGGGACACACCTGGTGCCTGAGGTCAGGGGTAGAGGGGTCAAAGGTCAGGAAGAGACAGGAAAATGAGAAAGCCTGATTCCTGTGTGATATCTGATGTTTATTTTTAAGAAGGTTTATTAATTATTTTTGATTTTTTTGTCGGGTTAATGCGGGTAAAGGGCTCATCTTCCAACCTTAAAAAATGGCCTGTGTTAGAGAAACAGTTTCAGGACTGATGGCTGTAGAGCAACATGAATATTTAATAAACGTAGGAGAAGTCTGGGTCACCTCCCAAAAAGGGCAGAAACTGTCAGGCTAGTTTCTGCAGACATTTAACAGACAGTTTATATTTAGGCCAAAAAATAAGAACAAACTGCGAAAACACAGAACCATATTAAAGGTGAAACACTTAAATCATACAAGAACAGACATAAAAATTTCCTGAAAGATCCAGGTTTCTATTTAACATCCTCATCACCTCTGACCCTTAACAGAAACACAGTCAGTGTTTTCAGACTCACTCTGCTTCCACCCGAGCGACTGCACACTTATACTGAGCCAAGGAGAACAGGCAGATGTCTGCAAACTGACGAACTGAGAGGGGAGAGAGAGAGAGAGAGAGAGAGAGAGAGAGATTTGAGGATCATTGAAATCAGATTAGAGATGCAGCAGGTGAATTCTGTGGATGAAGCGTCGTCATAGTTACCTGAGACGATCACCTTCTTCACCATCTTGGAGGAATTGTTTGTCACCTGGACGTTGACGCTGATGGGCTCACCGTGGTAATACAGCTGCACAGACACAAACACTCAGCCCTGTTTGTGTGTGTGAGTGTGTGTATGTGTGTGAGAGAGAGAGAGAGAGAGAGAGAGAGAGAGAGAGAGAGAGAGAGTGTGTGTGTGTGTGTGTGTTACCTCTTTATCCAGCGAAGCCTCCAGGTGCAGAGACCTGTCTGACATCAGGAAGCTGCGGCTCGTCTCCACCATCGGCTGAGGACCTGGTTTCTCTGGAGCGAACTGGACCTTCCTGATCACCAGCTGGACTGAGTTCCTGCAAACAACAGAGTGTTTGTCTCATAGTTCTGAACCTTCTGAGACCCTGTTTTAAAAACCTAACATATACTGTGTGGCTCAGAGTAGATCAGGGTGGGTCTGACCTCGTGTTGCTAGTTAAGCGGTGCACCATCTAATCATCTAACAGAGAAGTATATTTATACACCAGACACTGCAGCTTAGCTTTGTATATGATTATAAACTCAGGACAAACTGACGGAATCAGACCGGATCTAATGAAGACTGATGGATGAGGGGCTCATCATTAGATGTTGGTCTTTATTGGATCACATGACTTGAGTAAACCTTAGTGGGGTCTCTATTTCTGCAGGTATTTGAGAGTCCACCTTACAGAGAGCTTGTTAACACCTCAATCTGCAGGTTTTGGCCTGTGTGTGTCTCAGGTGTGTAGACGCTTATTTCTCAGGTAATTTCTGACCTTTGGTGAATCTTCTCGTCCACAGATTTGGCGCAGAACGCTTGCAGCTCATAGTCCACCCCGCAGGCTTTCCCAGAATCCTCTGGGGCTGGCTGCAGGGTCACTGAGCAGGGCAGGTTCTGGGGGATCTGCCACAAAGAGACACAAAGCAGAGTGCAGGTGTAGACGGATCAGACAGGAGCAGAAAGATGGTTGTTTAGCACTTAATTTGACTTAAATGGAGGTAAACAGGTTTTTTTAGAGGTTCCTGATCATGGCCCGAGAGCAGAGCTGTGTCTCTGCTGTGACTGACCCAGCTAGGCCTCCGTTTATGGTCTGTGGTTTCTTCAGGGTGCAGCTCTTAGTAGTACCTTAAAGGTGAAAGCGTGAGCATGCTCTCCCAGCTTCTTCAGCAGCCTCTCCTGCAGGCGGCTCACCGTCTTCTCCTTCACCTTTAGAGGAGGAAAGACCTGCACCGTGCTGACGTACAGATCCTTCCTGAAGGACAGACCCAGGACGTCCAGGTCCTCCCGGCCGTATCGAAACACACAGGTCAGGGTCACGAACACTGAGAACAGAGAGAGAGGTTCATGAAAACTCAGTCAATAAATCCACCGGTCTGCGTTTCTCCATGTGATCTCACCTTTCCGATCTTTCAGATACTCCGGCTCCACCAGGACAACTCCGTCTGGAAACAAAACACACATTTCAGACTCAGAGTCTGCAACAAAGAGAGATGTGACACAGCTTTTTACATAAACTTGAAATCATAATGTGGGTGAACTGGGTGTTACATTGAGAATTTAAAATCTGAAGTGGTCCCGTCTCCTGCGTCTTTTGAGTCTACAGTAACAGACATGAGTGCTCAGGTGGAGGTGATTGTGTTCAGACTCACCGACTGGGTCTACATGGTCTAAATGATCCACAAAGTCTCTTTTCCCCAGGTAAACTGTGAGCTGTGGAGCAGAAAAACAAGTGTTTACAGCGATTAATAACAGGAAGATGAAATTACTTAAACTGAAAGACCAAACAGACCCACCTTACTGTTTGGACTGGACTTCTTAAAGACCCTGCAGAGGAAGAGAAAGAAAGAGTCAGATACGGGATTCATTACAGGAAATCTGGATCTCCATAAAGCATCTCAGCTGATGAACCATGGAGGTCTCTAAAACCTCCTGGTGGACTGTAGTTGGTGTTGACTCTGAACTTGGACAAACACAGTAGACCAGCACCAGCAGATGAAACAGCACCCCAAACCATCACAGACTGTGGAAACCTTAAAAGCTCCAGTTCGTGTTTGTATGTAGTCGGTGGGCTGTCACTCAGTTTCCTGATATCTGTCTACCAACTGGTAATGCTGGTTTTTATTTGACCCCTTTGGCCCTTCTGTTTGTACCCAGGACTTTTCACCTTTGCCCCTCATCCTCCAAGGTTCCCAAACACACTCTCAGTGAACTAAATACTGTTTCAGTATGTGCTTAAACCAACACTGAGGGTCTGGGATTGCGCATGTGGACTACATGATCTCTGCAGCAGCTCATACATGTCCATGTAGGGCGGTCTGTGTTTCAGAGCACGTTTTAGGGTCACAGGGTCGTGCACTCAGAGGCAAAAACAGAGCGTGGGAACTCAAGAGCTTTTTACATCAATTAAAGAGAAACAGTATAATGAGCTCCTGTTTCCTGTCTTTCATACAGAGTCATAACAGCAGCACAGTGGACTGGAGGACAGGAAGGTCAGCATTAACAGAGACCTGGTCTGACTTTAACTGGACTCATGTGTACCAGAACACAGACATGAGGCAGGACCATGTGAGCTGTCTTTACTGACCTTTCAAAAAGGTCAACATCAGGATTACCACATGATGCAGGAGGATGCTAACCAGGTCAAACCCAGGGCACTCAGAGTCCTTTTACTTAGTTTGATTAACCAGTCAGTAACCAGTCCTGTCTCAGCTGGAACCACGAGACATTAAAAGAATCGTATTTTTTTGTTTCCTGTTGTATCAAATCAGATTCTACCTTGTCTCCTCTTGTCATGTGTCATATTTCACAGAGGTCTGGAGTCATTTCTCCTTATATCACATCTTAAAGTTTTGTATTATACCAGATTTTTTCACAGCGTATCTCTTTGTATTGAGTCGTTTAACTACTTATATCATTTCACATATTGTATCATATCAATATATAATATGGGTTTATATTTTATTGTATTTTTTTCTTGACATATTTGTCACATTTGATAATGTATCACAGTGTATTTGAGCGCATTGTACAGTATTAAGTTGTATTGTGTGTGTCCTGTAATATCATGTTGTATTAGCTCTTATGGTAGCATGGTGCTGCAAAGAATTAAAGGTAACTGTCTTAATATTGTGCTATTAATAAGAAAACTGTAATACCGTGAGTTTAGAGCAGAGGGAAGAGAAATGAAGAAGTAGCAGCAGCTGTTCGAGAGCTAGCTTTAGCATCCTTCTGAGAGTCGATAAGACTCTTTAATAAACTGATAAAAGATTTACTGTGAAACAAAAAACAACATCAAGCGTCTCTGAAGGTCGCTAATCAACTCAACATTTAGATCATACAGCTGAGAAGAGAAAGGAGAGGAGATGAAAGGGAGAGTTGTTGTTCTGGTCCAAACAGGAGAAAGAAGAGGAGGAGGAGGTTGATTCCTGGAAATGTGACCCCTGAGTCACTTCAGTGTTTCCTAGGAATCCGTCTGCGACTGAGTTCTGTTATGAACCAGTGAGTCCATGTTTACAGCAGCAGCAGCTCAGACTGTAAATATCTACAAGTGAGGACCAGCAGAAACAGCTTTCTGCAGCTGCAGCTTTCAGCACCATCAGCTGGTTCCTCAGTGCAGGAATGTGCTAACGTTTTCTCTCTGAGGAGATAACAACAGGGAAGAGGAACAGAGAGCATGTCCTGATCATCTACTAAGAAGCTTCCTGTTAACCCTTTACAGTGAAGGGAAAAACAGAACCAAACATGTGGGAGAGAGAGAGTCAGCAAAGTGTGGAGCTGCTGATGTCAGCAGTGAGGACAGGAAACAGCTCCACAAAATAAGGGACACACTCTGACGAGGAGGCCCAGACCCTGAACATAAACACATTAAAGACACTGTGTGTTTAATGTGGAAGTGTCATGTATAGTGGCCCTGAAGGTCAACATGAAAACAAAGGCACATAACATCTTCAAACACAAAAATAATGGGTTGTTCATTTTTGCTCATGTTGGAGAGTTTTTTTTCTGTGTCATGAAACATTTTTTTGCGCTTTATGAAACTTTTAATGGATTTTTATTTTTTAAATAATTCACAATAGTATTATTATTAGTAGTACTTTTATTATTATATAATTAAACATTCTTACTGTTTAACATTTGAAGAAATTTGTGAATATTTTATACTTTCTCTTTGTTTGCTCATTTGTCTTTGCATCCTGATTAAACTAAGTTATGCAAAAAAAAGATGTTTTAAGTTTTGTGATTTTTTTTTTTAAATCCCTCTTTGGTTTCTTTTCAGTTTTTTATGTATGTGTCAGTTCTATGATTAGGGGACTCTTTCATATTTAATGAAATGTTTTCTATTATTTTGTTTAATATTTTGCCTGAAATGGACTTTTTTCTCTCTCGATTTTGTATTTCTGAATCCAGAGATATTCTATCGGTATTCTCTATCCACCTTATTCCTGAGGCCACTGCTGTATTTATGATCATGGTGAAACTCCAGGCGATATAACACAAATGTAAAGAAGTCCGTTTGTTGTAGGGGTTAATGCTGGTGATTGACAGAAGTTGTTTTTAATCTAAAAAATGTACAATGCCTTGTTTTTAACCTATGATGTTTTTATTTAGTGTAACATGGAAATGCTTTTTTTTCTTTACATAGTTCTGGTTTGTGTTGCATGGTCCATGGTTGCACTAAAAACCAGACAAAGATTAATTTATGGCTTGATGGTCATACAATATTTGTGCAGTTGACCTTTAGGGCCACCGTAGTTCGGCTATAAGAATCTTTAAGGAATACTGTAAACCAAAGCACATTGAACAGTTCATAATAATCCTTGTTTCATGTCGGATCCAGAGTACAACTGGAATAATTGGACGGTATTTAAACAGCATTGACATGTATTTACAGTCAGATTAATTCCCTGGTCTAAATATGGATCCGGGTTTTCAGTAGCCCTGAAAAAGTGACTGAATCTACTGTAAGATGTGGATGTTTCCCTCTCCGTGGACCTGATTTTATATCGATAGTGTGGGATTCAGAGATGCTGCAGGTTGAGTCCGGTTTCTCTCCTCCTCTGCCTCTCCCTTACAATAATCACGAATTAAATCCGTTTGAAAGGACCAAAAACAGTTTTAAGACTCTTCCTACTAAAACCGTGTCTGGTTCCTCACAGCAGGAAGTTACGACAGACTCATGTCCTGATGCAAACTCCGTATTTATACATATTTTACCGTTCTTCTTACTTTGGAGACACTCGGGACCAAACTATGTTTGATCGCTTCATCATTCGATATTACGATTAATCGACAGTTTGTTAAAACAACGTTCGAATCCACAGAGAAGAAAGCTACAGCACCATTAGAGTCCGGATCTCCTCTCTCTCTCTCTGATCCGGACAGGTAACAGTCAGTCTCACCTGGTCCCTGGTCTATCCCCCATATCCTCAGTCCGGGTTGAACGGTGTTTCAGTGTGTGCTGATGGTGTTTAATCCGTCTGTAGTCCGCTCGTGGTCCGTGCAGGTCCGGGTCTCTGTTCCTCCTCCTCCTCCTGCTGGTGGAGCTTTGTGGATCCTCAGTCCGTTTCCGTTGTTTGGAGACCAAAAATCCGCCTTTTCAGGGACAGGGACAGACATCTCTGCCCCCAGCTGATATAACCTCAGGATGTGGACTTCATTCATGAGGCAGACAAACACATTCAACCGCTTCATTGAAACCCTCTGTTATTGTCCCTTAATCAGGTCATGTAGAAATTTAGATAAATAGTGTATTTATGTAAAACATTCTTTCCTTGGTAAGTTCCTCTTTAAATGAGATTAAAAATACAGTTTTTGACTTGACTCAGCCTTAGAATTCAATCTGTTACATATGAACTGGAAAAAAAGATGGAACAAAACAAATACCCTTAAATATTTTAACAATAAATGAGAGAAAAAAGAGTGTAAATCTTTTTTTCTGTTCCAGGCTAAAAACATGTTTGTTTTTGCTTAAAGCTTTACAGTTTTTTTTAGTCGCCAACAAGTGTTTGTGCAACCAGTTGTCACATTTTCAAAACCGTAAACACAATGAGCACAGCATCGGTCTTTTGTGGCCATGCCATTCACACATTTCATGGTATTTTCACACAATAGGCAGTCAGTGAACACATTTCCACAATGCTTACATTTTCTTAACAGACAAGCTATACCTCCCAACAAAATTATGGATTGTTTTTGTTAACACACAACATCCAACAATAGCAAAAACAATATTCCAAACCTTAGATACAGAATAAAAACCTCTGCTTCTGCAATGATCCCAGTTCAACAACGATATATCTCAGCTGATAATAAACAAACAATTGAATCATTGACACACAGCAGATTTATGTTGGGTAAATTGGGCCAACCACAGCTGATTCCATAGATGAGTTAATTTCTGCATGGAGGTGGAAGGTTTATGACCATCAGCCACATGACTAGATGTCCCATGAAACCATGGATTCTGGCTGCAGGGACTTCACAGTTGATGATTGCCAAGGGTGGATCTGACATACCAAGCAGTTTTATCCCAGCTGCATTGCCTTGGAGAATATCAGATGCGATGTTAGTGAAAACATGTGGCCTAACCCTAAAAATCGCAGAGATGAAATACAGTAATTTTGTGCTTATTTATTTTTTTAGCTTTTTTGTAAACAGTATTTTTAATGTACCTCCTGTAGTAAACAGTAAAGGGAAAAAATGATTTGATTTTTACCGGATTGCTTTTGAATGTGAACATCACATGTGGACATACAGTTCCCAACCAAGAAGTTTAGTGTAAAAACTGTGGATTGCATGTTTTGCATGCAAATACCTGTACAAATCAAACATAAAAGTCTATGCAGTTTTATAATGTCAGCAACAGCCAGTATTTTAAAACCTGGTGTACTTTGATTGACTGCATGTACCTTGTGCAGTAAAAGCAAGTGTTATTGTTTCACAGAATAATTTTATATTGAGTCAGATTTCCAGTGTTTTTGGTAAAGTTAGTGTGTGGAGACAAAGTTAGTATATATTTTTTTAAAAATGTGTTTTTGAGAAGAAAATTATCTATTTGGCCAATTGTGTTTTGTAGGTGTGAGTCTGTGTTAAGAGTTTAGAAAAAGTATCTGAAGTATGGGTAAGCGCTTGTTAGCTATTGAAAAAAACTGTAACATAAGGCTCTATGGGGACTTACTCACTGCAGGCATAGCGAACTGAGGGCCTGCTTAGGGGCCCCAAGAGCAATAAAAAATTTTTTTTAAAAGTTATTTTTTTTTTTTTCCATGTATGACTGATGCTCTCTATATGATCAAATATATATAATGGTAAAAACAGAACAAAATAAAGTAAAAACATTTTAGTGCTGCTGCTGATGTAGCCCTGTGATTCTTGCTGCCGATATGTCAAAGCGCCACTGCCGTTATGTGCCTGCCTTCTGCTGTGCAATGTGCACTGAGCATCCACAGCGCAGGTAGTTGTGGGGCAAAACCATGTCGCGAAAAAGGACATATTCTTCAGGAGCAGAGAAAAGAAAGAGGACGAAAAGAAAAAATGCTAAGATAAAGGTATGTTTGCGTGTCATGGAATGTTAATCAAAGAGATTTGTGAAGGTGTGTGAATGATCAACAATCAATATTAATGGCAGAAATAGAGGGCCCCAAAGCCAAATTTTGCTGAGGGCCCCATTGAAGCTTGGGCTGGCTCTGGACACAGCCTCTAGTGGACACTTGAGGAAGTGCAGTTTTTCATGCTTCGTCATTATTTCAATTAATTTTGTTGTTCTGTTTAAAACATACCCAACACATGTCAGTTCATTTCGCTGAGTTATGTAGAATGACTTTTTCCTTTTCCGCCCTTTCCAGTGTCTTCTTTTATTTTGAAGGTGTGGCCGGAAGCGGCTTTGAGTGGGCGTGTCTCGGTGTGTCATAGTGAACGCCTTGACTGCGGCTCTGCGGAGACACGGTGCTCAAGTGACCGACTACAGGCCCGTTATTCACCGGCTCTCTAATCTCCGCGTACGGCCGTTCGTGTGTGTACAGACCGACCATGGCTCACTCCTCCCGGGGCTCTCTGTGCCTGCTGCTCCCGTTGCTGCTGCTGGGCCTCCTGCTGCCGCCTCACGGTGAGTCTTTGTCCCGCACGCCTCCCGCAAATGTTCTGCCTTTGTGCCGCACTGAGATTCAGGCCGGGTTATAACGGTGCACCGGCCTGCGGGCACAGAGTGACCACAATGATGCTTATTACACATTTATATGGACAAAGGTGTAAAAATGATGATTTTTCGCTCTGTAAGTAAATTTGAGGGCTGATCTGATCCGTTTTTATGTCCATGTGCTCAAACGTGCAGATTTTACTGATGTGCAGCGGCTGTAATTTATTCAATTATGCAGCATGTTGGTTGAAATGATTACAAAGAACTCTTTACAGTCAGTTTAATGTGAGATTTGATGTTATAGTCCAGGTTATCTTCATGCAGTGGCACCACCCCTCACCATCTAACCTCTGTCTGCACCTCACTGCACGTGCCATGCTTTTAATGATGTCACTCTCTCTGTCTGATGCTCATGGTGATGAAGAGGAGGAGGAGGAAGAATAAGTAAAGTTAGTCACTAAAACGTGAATATGTAATGAAGTAAAATGATCTCATCCTTCTGTTAAAGTGGGATGATCTCAGGGTGACAGTAAATCCAGCTTGCTCATGTCCAACTCTGATTCATCTCAAATAGAGTTTTTACTGAGTAAACCTTTGGAGCTTTAGTTCAATATCATTAATCCATTTATTTATCTGAACATTAACATACTGGTAGATGTAAATCAGTGATGCAGATTATGCAAATAAAATTGTAAATGAGTGAATAAATTAGTCTGGACAGACACTGAGGAGGAGGAGAGAAGTGGAAAATTTTATTATGCTGTTGTGCAATAGGATGAACTTGTGTTACTTTTGTTCTGGGACTTCTTTTCTTTCCAAGAAGTACGAACCAAATGATGATCAATTCCACATGTCTCCATAGAGTTTTCTCACCACATGCATTTTCCTGTTTTAAGTTTGATGACCAACTAAGATGGCCTATTTTGGTATTGTCTGATTACTGTTTCTGTGCAGGTTTAGCTGAACCCTATTCTTCATATACCTCAGGTAGACATTTGGGTTAGAACGGACCGTCCCCTCTTTCCTGTTATAAGCATACACTTACTGAGACTTCCCCCTTGAGGTTTGGTAACTCAGACTGTTAACACACTCTCTGTCGCATTTTATCCTCCCTTTGCAAAGACCTGAAATAAAATATCCTTTAATGATTTTTGCTGTAAAACAGTTGCCCGGGACAGAGGTTGGTACAGTATCGAATCTGAACTGAAACCATCCTGAAATATCTGTTCATCTCTCTCACAGATGGGATTATATTTTACTGTTACAGTGACAAACACACACAATTTATATCTATATATCAATATAAATATAGATATATTATTTATAGTATATGTTCTTCCTGTTCTCCTGTGTCTCTCGTCCGACTGCGTCCTCTTCTCTCTCCCCTGGGATGAATAATAAAGTTTTTTTTCCTCTTAGGGTCAGTCCTCTCTTCCTGTCTCTACTCCCTGTCATGGCTGAGGGAGTTTAAAGTTCTGCTTTTCTCTTCCTGTCAAATCATTTGTATCTGCCATAAACAGAGATCTTTGGTCTAATCCGAGCTTGTTTTAAAGTAACAGAGACTGACTTCACCTTTGTGTGTATGTATATAGAAAACAGCCCCATAGCGCCTCTTTATAAAAAATAAAAAAAAAAATCAGGACATTTTCAGGAGTGGTGTCTTTACAGTCTTCAGAGGTTCTGGTTCACACATGTTCGTCACACCAGGAAGTCCTCTCTGCAGGACTGAGGGTCCGATTATACTAGAATCTAGATCAGTGGATAAAGTCAACTATTACTGTGTCCAGATCAGTCTGTCACACAGGGACGGAACCACAGAGTGGATCTTTGGAAAGATCTTCTCTTTAGAAACTTTGAAGAGTTTTGGGGCCCATCAGAGCATCATCAGGACCAACATTCAGGACCTCCAACAGCTTGAATCTGGCCAACAGAGATGTGCAGGCTCACAATAGAGAGACTAAAGAGGACTCATGGACTCAGTTTTTAAGGCTGCCCATGCTTCAGTCACTGTCTAAACCAAAAGAGTTACTGTGTTATAAAATCAGAGAAATCAGCAGCTTTAATGAGGAAAATCAGATTCTGATCAATCCGTCTCAGACCTACTTAAAGCTCCTGTCAGCAACTTTTGCATTGGGTCAACTTTGGAGTGTCCTTGTAGAAGGAGGTTATGTCTTCAGTGGACACTCTATCCTCAACAATAAAGACACAAAACATCTAAAAACAAAACTTATGCTTGGTCACATGACTCCTCCTCCAGCCTGCGACATGAGAACAACATAGAGGAGAAGTGACACTCAGAGCAGACTGAGCCAAAGGAGCAGCTTGATCCAGAGGAAACAGCCGAGTCTGGAGTTTGACATGTTAGTTTCAATTAAGACCACATGGGGACACGTTTATGTCACTGACTCTAAGACGTGTATGGAGAACAGCCAGTTACTTACTCTGTGACGCCTCCTTTGTGATCAGCTTTACCTAAACCGAACAGACGATTCACAGTCACTATCATGAAAAAACAACAACCCAGCACACGCACACATGCACAAACAAACAATAGTTCAAAGTACTTTTGTTTTGATGGTAGGCAGGAAGACCCCAGAGACATGGATCAGTGATGATCAGAATATTGGGCTCAGTAAGGCTTTTATTTTGAAAGGTCACTGATGTGGCTGGAAGTTTGATTTGAGGTAAAGTGCTGATTAGACAATTATTTACTCCACAGAGTTACAGAGCTCTGCAGATGTTAATGTTTGCGCACCAGGGTCTGTTTACAGACCAGTTTGTGTGTGTGTGTGTGTGTGTGTGTGTGTGTGTGTGTTTGTGTTTGTGTGTGTGTAAATCAGCTAAGAGGATTAACTCACAATGAGTCGGTCTTTTGTTTGTGAGACTGATCCAGAACCTCCGGCAGCACCTCTGATCTGGTGTCAGGAGGCAGAGACAGAGTTCATGGTTGAAGACTTCAGCAGAACTGATGGATCACATGGACACCCAGGAGTGTCCCTGATTGTGGGGTCTCAGATTCTTAAATCCTGACTTTGTCAGTCTTCTCAGATCTTAGTCGTAATTTTCATGTGTGGTCAACAGACAGTTTAAACAGAGTAACACCTGCACATGTTCCCGGTGCTCAGACTCTTTTCTTGCAGAGTTTCAGGATCAGCATGAACTGATCCTCCCTGTGAACCCAACCCTCTTAGATTTAAGTCTCTGTGCACAACTTGGGTCTTTTTTTTCCTATCAACCTCCAACTCTAAACAGAATAATTCCCTCAGCCTTTCAAAATAAAACAGCTCATCATTTGACCCCTTCAAAAGAAAAGAAGATCACTTTACTTCTTTGAAATGAAACCACATTTGTAATCACCTCCCCCTCTCTCTTCCTCCTCTTCTCCCTGCAGTTTTCTCTCAGGATTTTGACCTGGCTGACGCTCTGGGTGGAGATGATAGCGTGCCCAGTGAGTATTGATCTGTTTACCTGTCAAAGGTCGTCTGGGTGTGCCACTTGAGCTCACCTTTGGCTTGATGCCTTTCAACTGTTTTCAGATTTATATGATGTCCTTAGGCTTTGAATGATTAACTGACTTTTGGATTATATTTAAAGACCTTTCACACAGGGTCCACTCTCTTATGATATCAGATTGATATAACAATCAAAATTATTTTTCAACTTTCACTTCAGCAACTCCACCTGCAAAACCAGCAGCACCTGCAGCACCTGCAGGAGGAGCCGGAGGTGCAGGAGAAGGTAAGGACCATACTGTGCTCATGTCATTTACTGTGTAATCTCTCTAACAGACTTTAATCTGTACTACTTTAAAATCCCCCCCCCCCTCCTCCTGCTGTGCTCCTCCTTGTCCTGGGGTCCCTCAGGGGTCTATCTTAGGTCCTCTCTGTTTCTCTGTTAACACGCCCCTCCTGGAGTAGATCCAGCTAAAGCACAGTGTAGACTTTATCTAAGACATCTCAGACAATGCTCAGCCCCAAACCACATTAAAGCCTTGCTCTAGTCAGTACTTTTACCTGCTCAGGTGTGATTTAAATGGACTACTATCCTTGTCCCAGTCTACAAGTTTAAGGTGAGAACCGATTTACTGACAGACTGTGAACTGGAAGGTGAGACCATAAAGGCTTTGGGAAGGACTGTTTTCTCATGGACTTACACTATGGTCTCCCCCCTGCTGGACGTAAGAGAGAGCGCAGGTTTAGTGAATGTCTTTAAGTGCAGCTCTGTGAATATTCTCTGCAGAACTGGATCTGGGGGACTTTTTTGACGATGTAGTGACAACTAAAGCCCCACCCAAAGTGGTCCCTAAAGCTCCCACCAAAGCCCCTGTAAAGCCGAAACCCAAACCAGGTAAGACACACAACTTCACCTAAGGACTGTTGCTAGGTAACACAGAACACCAGACTGCCTGAGTATATGTTTTTCCCAGATTTTAATAATCCTCCTCAGTTCAGTATTTTTAAATAACCTTTTCGTGTGAACCTGCAGCTTCAGATCAGACTCTTCAGTTTATATGTTTTCACATTACTAACAGTTTCCCGCTCGTTTATACTACAGTCACCGGCTTGTTTGTATAATATAACGACAATTATTCAGTTTCTTTGTGCTTGATTAATTTATTTCTTTGTTCAATTTTTATGTGTTTTCTTTGCTTTTGCATGACCCTTGACCTCCTCTCAGCTGCTGATGACTTTGACCTGGCTGATGCTTTGGACCCCAACAATGACATTGGTGGGAAGGATAAGAACAAGGGGCAGGGAGGTGGGTGGTTGGAGAAGAAATTTTTGACTGTAATGTAATAACTGATTCGGATAACTGGATATGGATTCAAAGAGGTTTGTTAGTGTCTAACTGATTGTATAATAATGATAATAATAATAATAATTATAACAATAATAATAATAATCATAATCATAATCATTATAATAATTGAGGAGGTTAGGGAACTTTTTTAATGACACCAAATATGTATGATGCCTGTTTTTTCAAGGTGAAAATAAAAGAGAGGGGACTTGGTCTTAATGTAAAAAAATCTCATAGTAAGGTCCCAGTTATAGGTCAGAAATATTAATAAAGGTTAAAGTCATAAAAAAGAGATAGAAAGTCAAATTAATGACATAAAAAGTCATAAATATGTGAAAAAAGTCCAAATTATGACAAGTCATTTATGAGATAAAAGTCAAAACTCATAGTAAGATTTGAAAAGTCAAAATTATGTGAAAATAAAAATTATAATTATGCATTTAACACTCAAAGTTTGTCCTCAAAACTTACAACAACACGTTAAAAAGCCATAGTTGTGGCAGACTTCAGGCCACCTAGTGTGGCACCAGGACAATTAAAAATGAAATAGCTTACAAAACACTAACCCAAAAGAAAATACAACAAATGGCTCTAACACACCGGCCCCTAACTGTTCATAGCAGCTGACAGTTAACTTAAACTTTCTCTCAAAGAGCCATAATGCTATACCATACAATACTGTACCAAACTCATATTTTCAAAATTCACCAATAATCTCAAATTTGACTTATAGCCTCTTGCCACGGACAACGCTCAGTAATGGGTCTTTCCAAGATATTTGTCTTTGTTTGGAGACGCACAGAATGTACACAGCCTCACAGGATGTACTCAGTACTTTTCTAGCCACAAGCTTCCAAGATCTAGAAGGAGCTCCAGAATCAACCACCACAACAATGTCTCCAGGAGTGAAATTTCTTCTCCTTTGAGTCCATTTTTGCCGCTCTTGAAGTAGAGGAAGGTACTCCTGAACCCAAAAGATTTTATATGTACTGAACTTGCTTCCATCTCCTCTTCAATGGTTTGCAGAACTGCCCTGCTGTTACTGATCCACTTCGCATACCCATTCTTGATCATATCTGTGAAGAAGCTGGTGTATTCCCTGTGATCTACTTCATGAACTTCCTCTTTAATCCCAGCAACCTTTGCTTCACCACTGCAAAATTATTTGAAGGAGGGGGCTGATCTTTCCTAAAGGGCATTCTCAGGCTGTAGTGTCCACTGACTGTGATGACTCATTCATGATTTCCAGGAACCTGATGTCCTCTGTAGAGTCCTTTCATTGAAATCATGGTCGTATTGATTACTTAGCATTTCCTCCAGTTTGCATGCAGAGATCCTATTGCCAGTGGCCACTGACACTCCGGTTGGCTTACTGCTCTCTTCATCTTTTAAAAGGATCAATAACTACCCAGCCCAGTACCGTTCTTACAGCATATGGGCCATTCTCTTGACTGTTGACAACCTCCCATGGCTCCAGGGTTACCATCATCAACCACATCCTCATTGTTTGTCAACCAATTTTCAACCTCAGAAATGACTCCCTTTTCTAGAAGTATTTTTGCAGCAAACCATGTTTCTTTTTTATCCCTTTCTGCATAATTGGCAACAGTGTATCATGCACATTTTTTGCTTATTCGCACAAATTGACAATTTTTTCAAGTTCAGATTCCCTTCATTCACACTATTGCTCTGCATATACTCTTGAATTATTTTTCTTATTTGCTTTACCTTATTTAATGTATCTTTTCTTGTGTTTTGTAGCTTTTCTACTTTTCAACTGGAGCCTTATAATTCCATTTAATTGAAGTTTTACTTTTTATAGACTGTGTTTCATTTTCATTACGCGCACCCTGGGCCGCCGTAGCCGCAACAGGCTCCGCGTTATTATAACCGTCCATAATGTTCTTGTTTAGTACATTATGTTTCATAATGTGTGCCCATTACAAACCCCACAGTTTTTCACAAAGTTCCAATTATTTTCATGTCGATAACGTTTATTGTTAGCAAACAATGCATTGGGATTACGCTTTTTTTTGTGCGCACACTCGAACATGTCCATAAAGTTGGTAGCGCTACACATACCTCATCGAAGCCGTTAGGCGCCTTTAAGTTGAACCAGTTGGCACTTTATTTTGTGGGATGAATCACCTGATGATCCTGTCCTCTCACGAACCAAAAGAGAGCCTCCTAAATCCCACGTTGCTTTTTCCTCCATAGACCGATTGCGTCCATTTGCATTCCAATGTTCCACTTGAAGCGCAGTTTTTTGTTTCCCACGTGTAAATGAAACAGTTCGCCCAAGTCACTTTTTCCTTGTTTATTCTTCTTTTGTTAGAGAAACCAATTGCAAAATAAAGACAATGGCAAATTACAACAAATGGCGACGACCAGATGATGATGATGGTCAAAAAAACTGTTTGCTTCTCCAGCTACCAACACACCTGCCATTAATTACGTCTTCTTCTATTAACAGGGAACAAAACTCAGGACTTCACGCCACCTGGTGTGGCACCAGGACAATGAAATAGGTTACAAATAAAAAAAACCCAAAAGAAAAAACAACAAATGGCTCTAGAAATAGTTGTGTGAAAAAGTCATGTTTACATTATAAAAATTGGTATTTTAAAAACAAGTCTGAAATGATGGCTTCGTCACAATTATGCGATTAAAAGCCCTGACTCAGTTCAATGTAAAGTTTTTAAAATTCAATTAATCATAGAGAAATAAGAGTAAAAGCTGCAGTGAAATAAAGTTACGGTCAAACTGAGAAATAATAAAGAAACCAGACTTCGCCAAAAACTCGATAATGAAACTAAAGACTCTTTAAACACAGAGAAGCTACTGTCTGTTTTTAAATCCTGCTCATGGTCTTCCCTCTAAGATTTATGCGTCGATTCTAAGTGTAGGGCTTTAGATGGAATTTCTTTTAGTCCAGAAACTGAAACTGTGAGGATTTTAGAGAAACTGAAATAGTTGAACTGCTCCCTCTGCATGAGTCTGTTCATTATCGGGAAAGTCATCTTTTCATGTGTGGACTGTTTTTATCTGAAAAAAGAGCTGGGAATGTCCGTCACCACTAAGAGACCCCAGTCTGAAACAGTGAAGTGTGTTCAGTCTGTGTGAAACGTGCTCTTGTTTCCAGGGCAATAAAATGGACTCAGAGTCAGTGTGTGGAATAAAGAGCTGTGTTGTTTGGAGCTTCAGAAGATCTTAATGAGACTCCTCCAGAGTCACGTCTGCTCTCTGAGGAAGCTCTTTGTTTCATCTCTTACTCATCCTCTCCTCTCATTGTCTGGCACAGTGCTGCTGTTATCTTCTGCACCACAGTCCCATTAAGACCACTTCAGTCAGCGACAGCCATCATGATCTTCACACAGTTATATTTGGTGGTTCGCCTCCGCTTTGAGAGCTCCTTCTGAGCTAATGTTGGGATGCCAAAGCCTGACTGGTAAAAAAACATCTCCCCTGCATTATATGTGCTGCATCAGGAGCCCATGTGGGGAGAGCAGCAGCAAAGACTCCTTGAAGAGCTCCCTGACTTTCCACTTGCTGTTTCAAAAGCAGAAGCCTGAGACAGGGAGAGCAAACTCCAGTCTGAGGCAGGAAAAGCATCAGCAAAGACCTTTGAGAAGAACTTCTTGTCCTTCCATGTGCATATGTGAGACGACCATTTTATTTACATGCTTTACAAGCTGTGGTAGGGAGAGCAGCAGCAAAACCTGCAGGTACAGAACAAAGAAGGGCTACAGTTTGTGCCAAAATAACCGATCTGTACCATTTTACTTTCTCTGCACCTTTCTATCCAACCCTAAAGGGGTGGGGCTAAGGCGAACAAACTAAAGCGAACCTTGCTGGACCTCTTGGTATAAATGCACTGAGCATCATCACAGACATTTAGGATCAAACACCTACAGAGTTTCTTCTATGAGCAGTTTGCTCTTGTGTTGTGGAGACGAGCTGTCAGCATCTCCACTCTGTGCTGCACAGAACTCAGAGCTATAGAGCCCAGGGAGCCAAAACCTGTTAACACACCTGAACTAGGTGAGGAGTTTAAAGTTGAGTGGAAATATGACGGCCCAGATCCCCCCAGCAGACAGTGAAGACCTCAGATTGGCAGTGATACAGTTTATTGTGCATCAAACAAGCTGCAGCTGCTTTGTGAATCAGCTGGTGTCTTAATTTATTTAAGAGACTTTGAGGCTTTACTAACAAACAAAAAAACATTAAATGAATTTTATTCTTTGGCTCTGAACAGAAACAAAACTGAGTTTATAACTCTGACAAACCTTGAAGGAATTATTCAGACAGAAACAAAATTTAACTGAAACCCACAAACACTAAATACATAAACATGATTATAATATCAGAGTGATCAAACCTCAGAAATCTTCAGTCAGTCTTTTGTGTCTCCTGGACGACCTGATGGATGATTAGATGATAAATTTACTCCATCAGCTGATCGTCTCTTTCTCCAGCAGGTGGATTGTCTGACAGCGACCTGTTCGATTTGGGAAAAGATGATGGCTACACACCAGACAAAGGAAAAGGTGATTTATGAACTTTTAAAGCTTCATTATGTCCAGATTTAAGGGACAGACTCTGAAGCAGGCACAGGTGTGGCCAGATGTGTGATTAAGTCCAATGTGTGTGCGTGTGTTAAGGTGGACGTCCAAGTGGAGACAAAGATCAGGTCGACCAGTATGACAACAACAACGGTGAGTTTCTGTCATTTACACACACATGCACACACAAACACACACACACACACCCCTGTCTGAGATCTCTGTTAATGTGTGTGCGTGTGTGTGCAGAGACCACAGCAGAGGTGGGAACCATTGCAGGTATTGCCAGTGCGGTTGTCATGGCGTTGGTGGGAGCAGTAAGCAGCTACATCTCCTACCAGAAGAAGAAACTGTGCTTCGGGATTCAACGTGAGTCAGACAACAAATACACAACTCAGAGTTTAAAATTATGACTTATAGTGCAAAGTCTTCCCCCACCCCATCCCCTTCATCCTCCTGCTCTCCTCTTCCTCAGTCATAAGTGAACATATCTGATGTCCGATTGAGTGTTTCAGTGTTTGTGGTTTTGGTTCAGTTCCGGTCAGACTGCTTTATGTCAGAACAGACCAATCAGTTCCCGGAAGAGTGGGTCCTCAAATCAGTGATGGATGGAGTTGGTAGTTTGAAGTGGAAGGAAATTGTCAGTCTGTTGGCAGTAAATGATGTGAAACCTCAGAGCATCTCTCAGTGAGCAGCTCCTCTCTACAGCAGAGCCTGAGGTTATCAGGTTACTGATGCCTCCGAAATGTGGCATTAGTCCTTTAAATTACTCCTGACAGAGTTGGACTCCTCATCAAACTTTAACAGCGTCTGAGGGTCTGATCAGGTCTGATTAAGTTTAACAGTAAAGTCTGAGGAAAAACTGGAGCAAACTTCTTCATTCAGGAGATTGTAGTCACAGAATAAACAGCTCTGGATCTAGATCAGTCCAGATCAGTAAGGTCACACAATCATCATAACTGCCCCTGTCAGAGGTTTTTACCTTAAATTCACTGACGAAAAACAGATTTTACGGAATTACAGGCTAAAGTTTGCTCCATGAGATTAAACAGATTTATCTGTTAGCCTCTAATTGTGACGTATAAAGCTACTGATGGACATGGCAGTGGTTAAATTTGAGTGTCTGTATTTCCTCAGAGTCTCTGAACACTGACATGGTGAAGGCTGAGAACCCCGAGGCTGTGGTTGCCACAGAACCACAAGGTGAGCATGATTTTACTGCACCCAACAAGTTTTCAGTGACAAACATTTCATTACAAGTCTTATTTTCCTCACTGCTCTGCCCGAACCTGCTGTCTAATCAGGCTTTTAAAGGTGTTTAGCTTTGATTGTTATATGAATACACCTTTAGAATAAAAGCACTGTGTGAAAACAAGGGGGGCATCTCTGAGAGTCTGAAACTGTTAAAACTGACTTACATAAAAAAAAATAAGAAGTTAGTGCCACCTGGTTCACCTGTGTTACTTTGTTCACCTGTGTTACCTGTGTCACCTGTACTCACTCTGCTTTCTTTCCTGTCAGCTGATTTTTCATGTTTCTGTCCCTCCAGTTCAGCAGACCCTCCTGGAGCCCGCCAATGCTGAACCCCCCACCGAGGAGAACCCTGTGTAATGCAAAAATACCCACCTGAACACACACACCTACACACAATGAGTCCCAAACACCCCCACTTGAACCCCCTGCACACAAACACGTACACACACACATGCATACACACTCACACACACACACACACACACAGTCATGCTACAGTACAGACAGTGTGGCCTGTTTTATACCTGTGTTGATCCTGCAGCTTTGTGCTGCGGAGGATGATGGGATTTGTAGTTCTCTGAGCCGAATGTGAACAGAATTCCTCCTCAGCTGTAACCGTGGCCAACTGTGGGCGGGGCCTTGCCAAACTTTTGTGTAAATAGTAATTTATTGTTTCCTGTTTGAACAGTACTGACAGAGCCTGCTTAGCGTTAGCCGGAGCGTCACGTAGCATTTAGCTGTGGACAAAGACGTTTTTAGACTGGACACATTAAAACCACTCATTAATAATGTTTGTGATGGAGGGAGGGTCCTGCAGGAGTCTCATCAAGGCAAGTTTGGCAAGTATATTTGTATAGTGCCATTCATATACAAGGCATTACAGATGCATGGAAATATATTGGAAATGAAAAAAGAGATGAAAACAATCTCATTTACAGCCCAGAGATCTGGGTTAGCTCTCTGACTATAGTGTTTACATGAGGGTAAAAAGACCATTAGATCCTGACCCTGCAGAGACCCTGTAGAGATGCTCCTCACAGAGAGTTTCAAGATCCTTTTCATGAGCTGAAACTCGCCCACCGAGCTTTAGCTCTTTTTCTTTTGAAAGAAAGTTGTTTTACAATCAGCAATATCTCATATCTGACTCTGAGGGATTCAGCTGTTTCCCCCATTTTTGAATGAATCGTAAATGCTGCTTTTGTCGATGCACAATGATCAAAAAGACGGACTGAATCCTGGACTTGAAAGTCCGCTTTATTTGCCTGATTTTATCCAAAGTCTTGTAGCAGCATATCCTGATTAAAGGTGTGATACTGTGATTTAAATGAGTGCTCAGCTGAAGCCTCTTAATGTGGAAAAAACATGTTACACTGAGAGCACCTGCTCACTGAGCTAAAGTGAAATCAAAAGTCTGAAGCTATTCAAAAATCTGAGTTTCCTCCGAACTTTAAAAAGTTTTTTAAATTCTACCTTTACTGAGGAGGAAATCATTCTTTAAACATCCTCTCACCTGTGTGTTTTGACCTTAAATAGACCCCATGCAGACCTTAAAACGGTGAGATATCATCTCAGAGGTGGACTTTTAACCGCTGTTTACATCATGAGCTCGTCGTCCTCGTTTCTTAATGTACAGAGTTGCCTTATTCACACCTTGATCTTTTTGCAGTGTAGAAACATAAGGCGTCCAATCATTTCTGTCTACTTACAACCTGTGACTTTTTATAGTGTAAATAGTCTGATATTTAAAAAAGTAGAATAGTCTCTGTTTTTTCAGCTAGCCTTTAATGACGATGCCTAATGAAAGAAGCCTGAAGAAGATTGTGTTTTTTCCCAAAGTGTGCAAGCGTCTTTGTGAAAGACTGACGTTTTAACAGGAAAAGAGAAGAAACAAAAAACCCATGAAGATGGAGATAAATTCAGCCCCATGATTAAAAGCCAGTAAATGCCAAATGAGACTCTCAACACTTGATGTAGCATAAAAAAACGAAGCTAGCTAAACTTGTTAACTTTGATTGAAGCTTAAGAGCACTTTTCTTTGTCTGTGACGTGAATCTGAAAAAAGACGGAAAGTTTGAGGGTAGTTTGTTTGAGAAAAAGAGGCAGTTCAAAGGCTCATGGAAAGGCAGTAAATGTGTGAAATGTGACTTTAAGATACTTACAAGCTAATATTATTCCTATTCTGCTTCATTGTGTTAGTATTGAGTTGCCAGTGTGTACAGAAGATCCCTGACTTTATCCCTATCCTATAGTAGCTATTTGAACTTTGCATAACTGTGAGATTTCCTGCAGGAGATAGAAACCTGTGAGTCCTCCTTAAAATACTCTGACTCATTTTAGTGGCCAAACATTTTTAAGCCCGAAGCACAAAAGAATCAATTAAAAAATCCTGTGGAGTTTTCCTCTGAAGAAATCCTGACTGAGAAGTCCCAAAAATTGTAGTTCCCAAAGTGTCCACCAGAGGCTGGCCCCAAAATTAGGTCAGCCTCCATAGAGCCCCATGTAAAAGATTACACAGCAGTAATTTACATGTTTACTGCCTGATACTGTCTGTTCAAGAACTCTCTGTCCCTGTCTTACGCCTGTCCAGTCCAAAAATATCGCTTATCTCCAGAAAACTGAGATGTGGACTAGACAATATGCTAATGTTGTAATTTTAAAGCCTGAGGCAGGGAGAGCAGCAGCAAAGACCTGCAGAGTACAGGACAGAGGAGGCAGGTTAAAAATAGTGGTTAGCAGAGGAAGCAGAGAGTCGGCAGGCTTCAGATGATTAAATCAAAAATTTTCACATCTGACAACATTTGACAGCTGATATTGGCTGGAGTCAGGATCAGCCAATATGCTGTGGGCTTAGATCCACTTTATGGCCTGCCTGAACTAGCACAATGCTCACTTTGTGAAGCCCAGAGAAGAAAGTTCTAGGGCAGGTCTCCTTTAGTCTCCCTAGCTAACAGCCTGTCCATCAAGTTGGCCACGCCCCTAATTTTGAATATCTCTAAAACTGGTGAGTGAAAAGATCCCAGAGACCCGAACAGTTGTAGTATCAGGCTGTAAACACGATCATTTCTGCTGAGAAGATGGACTTTTTGACAGCCTCTGGTGGACACTTGAAGAACTGCAGCTTCTAGTGCTTCACTTTCACTACCATAGGTTGCAGCTTGCACATCTCTTGGTATGATACTGCCACCTACTGTCCTTCAGTGGAGTAGCATGAAGCTTTCATTAGAGACGTGACAGCTCAAGCTCAGAGTCAAAGTTATAAACTCCACAGAGCACCTTCAACCTGATGACTGTCCTGATAATGAGCATGTACTACATGAAACAGTTAAAAGAAGATTGAATCAGAAACTCGCACTTTGAAAACTTTATTCTTGAAAACTAAATTTGGTCCCAGTTTCTACAGATCCTCAGAAGTTTGCAGGACGACTTCTAAGTAAAGTCCTGTTAGTAGACCAAGACTTAAAGGAGTGAGGAGTGACCATTCCCTGAAGGATGGAGGGATGTGGAGGTGTGGATGGGTTTGCCCTGCCTCAGAGGTGATTGAGATTAAACTTGTTTTTTAAAATCGTAGTTGTGTGCTTTAGCCGTGTAGATGACGTTAGCCGCCGTCGTTAGCTGTAGGATGTTGAATAGTGTCAGGAGGAGATGCTTTGGAGTTGTTTGGTTGTACATATCGTTGTGAGCAGTTCAGTGTTTGTTCTACTAGCAGAGCATCAGCGTGCTCAGTATTAATCTCTTTAGAGTGTGTGTGTGCGTGCGCGTGTGTGTGTGTGTTTACACTCTTCACTCGCTCTTTTTACACTTTGTACCTGACTTAACTTTTGCTAAAAACTTTGCTGAACTTTTTGTAGATAGTTAGAGCTTCCTGTGGAGTGAGCTTGTCCCGTGATGCCAGTTGGACTTTTGGAGTCTGGAGTGATGCTGAGTGAGAAACCTTTGAGCTGAGTCTGTAATCCTTCACAGTTTCTTCAGGATCTGTCGGACCAAACTGCTCTGAGAGCCAGACCCTGTGTGGAAGACTGACACCATCCTGCAGCTAAAGCAATGATCATGTCCTGTACTGGAGGGTCTTATCAGTAAATATCACAGTCTGAGAAAACAGGGTTGCTGCTCACTGTTTAAAATCAAATATGACAGATTTAAGCCCAAACCAAGAAAAATGAAGTTTTTGCACAGCAGAACAAACTGCCTAAAGCAGCTGTATCCTAAATTTAAAAGCTTTTATGTGCCTTTTAATCAACTTATAATCATTTTTATGATAACCGTGAATCGACTTGAAATCCAGGAAATACATAAAAGAATAACCAAAAACATAGAACGTCCTTGAATCGATGACGTATTGAGATATTCAGATTCTAAATTGAAGACGATGAATGAGTTAAAGTGACTTTTTGTGACTTATTAGGGGTCTATGTGAGCCCAAACTAGACTGTAGTGCCACTCTGCAGTTCAACATCAGTCCACATGAAGGATGAGTCAAAAGATTTTGATGTAGAGGATCCACGACCAGCGTTTACCCTCAGATGGCCAAAAAAGGGGATGAGACATTTAATGTTTTAGGACTGATGTCCATTTGAGCCGTGGTTCAGGGTCCTTTCCACTTGTCACCCCTGATCTCCTCCTGATTCGACTCCAAAGACAGCTGCATCTGCATGAGAGGAAACGATAACTTGGGTCCTGTGGTTGGTTCTTGCCTTGGATTGATGTGGTCTCAGCTGGCTCTTGTAGCTGAGAATAAACATGGACGTTTACTGGTGCTGATTGGATTCTTGTTCTGTGGTTCCCTCGAGCCGATGTATTCCTCTTACAGAACACAGGGTTGCAGTTTTCTCTTATGGAGGGTAAAGAAGGCGACCAGCACCAGTGACATGATCAATGTATGATGAGTGATGGTACCATCGGCTCTGAGCCGTGTTTGACAGAACCGTCTGTGTCCGCACAGAGGGAAGGCGTGAAGGATTCTGGACTCAGCTCTTGGATTTGATTGGATGAATCTCTCTTGTTGTCCCGTGTTAGTTCAGATACCGAGGGAGGCGTTTGTGTTGTGTGAGCTGTAAACAGTGTTTGGGGCCTACAGAACAACAACATGCTGCACAGTCCTACTTGAACACCACCTCTGGTCTCCGTTATGTTGCCTTTGAAAAGCAACCGCTTCTTCATATGATCCTGAATGCCACTCCTTCTCTCAGAGTCCTGAAACTCGACTGCTGGTCTTTAGCTCAGAGGCAGCTGGTTAGGAGGAACAATCTGACAGATCTTAGTGCAACCAGCCCTGAAAAGATCAGAAGTCAAAGCTGAACCCTCAATATTCTGTCTGTAGAACCTGAGGCTGCAGTTTTATGACCACAATTCTTGGACTGCATCTCCAAGATACGTAATTGGTAGTGACAGTCATTTTTTGGGGGTTATGGTCATGGTTAGACTCCAAAAGAGTTTCCCTAGACACTATAAATGTGGTTCAAGCAAGAACTAGGTCGTGCTGTCCCATTCAGAAAGGGTCTTTAGTTGCGGTTCCATGAATTCAGTCTTGAAATCTGCAGCTTACGGGTCTGCAGACACAAGCTACTCTCTCTGACTGTCTAGAGGCTGATGGCGCTGAGCTGCCCTCTGTGCAGGTCTAATGTCTGAGTGTTCAGGACAGTGAGTAGTTGGAGTGACGGAGGATCTTCTCACCCTGTCAGAGCCCTGCATGAAAAAACCTCTGTGCCCTGTCAGCTGATCTGACAGAAAGGTGCTCCTCTCTTTGCCTTATACCTGCACCGTCCCACAGGGACGCCCACTGAACTCATCAAACACCTGTCGCTGCACCTGAGTTTATGTCCCACCCTCCACCTTCAGCTCCTGTGGTAATAACAGAATTCAAACATGGCTGAATGTGATGTCCACATCAGCAGAAGCTGCAGGTATCTGATCAAAAGGGCCATAAAAAAGATCTTTGGGCTGATGTAGAGCTGCAGAAAAGTTCCTGCCCTGCAAACATTCCTCTTTAGTGAACATGAAAAACAGGACGCCATATTTAATCAGCCTGTCCTGAGATTGGCTTATGTAGTGCAGCCCTGGAGTATTGGAGGACTGGAAGTTGAGGGTGTGGTCGGGCTCAGGCTAAGAGCTGAACTTCACATAAATCAAACACCAAACTACCAACCTTTCTGTTGATGAATGTACAAAATACGAAGCAAAAACCTTTGGATTGTAGCAAAAACACAAACTCACCAAAGACGCCGCACCGACTGAGATTGACTTTTTATTGGACTGTTTGTGGTAAACGATGGATCAGGCCTTATATCTGAATGTTTGATGGTGTAGATGATCACGTGATGGAAGCATGAAGGCTTAGGAGAGGATGTTCTAATGTCCTCGTGCACCTTAGGTGGTGGAACTGATCACCTGTACAGTGTTCACTCGGATACACTCAGTGTCAGCCACGATTGGCACTTGGGATGTTGATGCTTCTCATAGATCCACTCTTTGGAAACTCCTCCAGGTTCAACACAGCCGTTACTGAATGGGCATGTGAAACTGGTTTTGGTTGTGGTGATGGTCAATGATGTGGAGTTGGGGGGAGGGGCAGTCTGAAGGTTTGGGTAATGCTTTAAAGGTCCAAAGAAACCACATATTACCACGCGGTAAAGTTCAGGTTCCTCTGAGGTCTGGACTGGCAGTGTTTTACTGACTCGCTAACATTAAGGCTAACGGGACAGGAAGATCTACAATCATCTTCACATCCGAAAACCACAAAGCGTTAAGCTGCCTGGCTGGGGAGCTAGTTCAGACATGTAGTTCTGACATGACGTGGTGTTTAGTGTGAAATACTAACCAGGAGTCCACATTTGATCTGGAGGCACTGGCAGATTAAGAACTTCCTCCATAAGTGGCAGCCATCTTGTTTGCTTGCCTGGTGCTCTGTGATTGGACAAACCCAAACAGAGGTAACTGGAAACCAGTGTTGCTCAGGTTTGCCCCTGTATTACCCATAATGCCCCTCAGCAGTGGTGGCTTTGTTAGCTACCTGAAGCCTGTTTTTACCTGAGCCTGAGTTAAAGCATCAGTGATTGACATAGCTAGCCTGTTAGCATCTTTTTTAAAGCTGCCCTGTGGTCCAGACTTGAACCTGGACCTGAACTTTGATCTCTTTGACAGTTGCGTGTGACTCTGTAGTCACATGACCTGTGTTTATTTCCTGTTGTACTCTCTTAACTTCCTGTCACTGTGAGGCACAAAGCCAGTTAGAAACTCGAGACCTCAGCGTCTGACCCGGAGTGAAGACCCTGAGCTGTGTGGGCCTGGCTCATATGTTGAGGGCGTGGCTCTGCAGGCTGCCTACAGCACATACACACCTGGACTCTCCCCGTGTCGTCCTCACACTCTTTGATGCATGCTTTTCTCTGTATTTGGACTCTGACGTCTGAATGTCGGACTGTTTTCTCTGCTGGAGCTGTTGATGATCGTGACTCTGCTTCCTGTATTTAAACATGCTAATACTCATACTTGTTACTAATACGAACCAATAAAACTGTTTAAAAAGACAATATGATGCTGCAGCTCGTTTTTTATTGTTCAGAGGGAATGTGAGAAGAAATTATGGCTCATCGCTGGTTTCACATCATTAGACACCTTAATTACAGTAAACAAACATGGTCACATGACACAGGGAGACAGGAAGTGAGTTTCACAGAGTCAGGGTTCATGTTACATCACAGTGTTACACACAGTAGGATGTACAGAATAAAGACACAGATGGTCAGAGACAGACTGGACTAATCCAGGTTTATACAGTTTTAGCCAGATTAAGTTATCCTGATATCTGGACTGTTCTATCCTGGATCCTGTAGTCCAGATTATTTAAATCCTGGATTGAACTCAGACTTTTCAAATTTACCAAGTCCATAATACTGTTAGTGACTGTATTTAAAATAAAGGGTTCATCTTCAATAAATGATATCTTTAATTTATCAGATTAAATATAATTTATCACATAAATAAAAATACAGTTTGGATTTCATCATAAACTTTGAGTTTTATACTTTCTTCTATATTTTAGAATCAGATCTTAATATACTGATTGTTAAGAACACAGAAGTTCAGGAACTTTTGAAGCACTTTAAAGGTTTCCGCAACAGGTAAGAGTCTGATCCACAACACCTAGTTTCAGGTAAACTAGCAAATCCACATCCACAGAGGCTGGTGTTGACAGAGACAGGTACAAAAGTTAGAGGTTTTACTTTTATCGATAAATATTGAAAAGGAGGAATCATCCTGTTCAAACAGGCTCCTGACTCCGCTGAGTCATGGTTTACACTTTCACACAGTCAGCTGTTAAACATACTATTTTAACAGGAATGTTGTAACTTTACAAAAATGAGGTTAAATTATTACAATGAGATAAAAGATTATGCATAAAAACTGAGGATTAAAAGACAACATTCAGTGACCAATCACAGCATCAGGTAAAGAAAACACCTGATCAGACACGCGTCCAAGTAAAACCTGAAGACAGAGGAGATAATAAATCAGCATCTCTTCATTTCAGACCTGGGATCAAAATAACTAAACATGAAGAGACAACTTCTTTTCATAGATATTCAAAGAAAAACCTGTTGGGTTTTAAAAATCTGGATTTATGTTTACGTACTTTAATGTTTTTTTCCTTTTTAGGACTTCATAGAAACCCCGTCCGGGTCTGACTTAAAGATTTACTGTAATTTATTAATAATATGGATATTATTTTTCTGTTTTTTTTAAATTAAATTTTCATGGAACCCTCTAAAGGACAGAGACGAGTCTGTCTGAGTTTCTCTAGATTTATCTGAAATACCAGTTATTTTCAAAGTAAAGCGCCTAAAAGGGGATTTCAGTTTCTTTAAACCTGAGAGAAAGTCCTCCTCACTCTTTAAAACAAACTAAAGTGACTGAGCTACTGTCACAGCTATCACACACTCACACACACGTGCACTCACACACATCCAGGTTAAAACACTGACTGTAAATAAAGGTGATTAAAATTCAGGTGAACACAAACTGAGGCAGAGTGAAGAAAAACTTCAGTAAATATGAAGAGGGAGGAATCACAGTCTGGTAACACACACCAGTGAGTGAGTAAGTGTGTGTCTGTGTGGGTGTGTGTGTGCAGGTGAGAAACAGGTGATAACATCTGTTCTTTAGGGGAGGATCTGTGAGGAATACAAATAACAAAAAAAGTCTTTACAGTCTAAATGTTTCATGTTTTTGTTGTTTCTTTCTGTTTCTGAATTCAAAGTTAAATATTGAGAGTAAACAGTTAAAAAGATGCTGTTAGTGCAGATCAGATGAAAACACAGAGAGCTGCAGTCCTCTGGAAACAGGACACAGAGACTCTTTGTTACCTGAACACAGGTGAGCTGTCTGACAGTACACACACTGACAGATTCATCAGGTTTTTGTGTGTCAGGGCCACGCTGAGGGAGAAAAGCAAAAACTTTTATTTTGAAAAACTACCCTGTCATTCTCCCAATGTTATGACTTAATCCATGTAATATTACCACTGATAATATTCCTACAAAATTAAGACTTCATTCTCATCTTACTAATACTTTTTTCTCCTGCAGTGCAGCCCTAAATCTCTGAAGAGGCTGCAGGTCTGATTTTCAGTTCTGAAATACTTTTTAAATGAAGCGTACACAGAAATGTTAAATTAAAATGGAGTCAGTTTGAAAAGCCTCTTTCATGCTGTAAACACTTCATGCTGGTTAAAATCTGTATAGAAGAAGTGGGCGTGGTCACTGTGAGTTTCTTTTTAGAGGGAAAGTGACCATATTTGGAAAAAAAGGGTGGAGCCTCCTTATCATGTTTTTTTTGTTTTAGGAGGCAGAGGTGAGGGTTTGAGCCTCACCTTAGCTCTACAGGAGGCTGTTCTGTAATCAGGCGCCTCCTGCTGGACTGCAGAGAGGATGCATGTTCAAACCTCTAACAGCCTGTGATTGAAATGTGTGTGTGTGTGTGTGTGTGTGTGTTAGACGGCAGTGTGCAAAGGAGTTCCTGTGGTGTGTGTGGGGGAAGGCGAGTGTTCGGAGGAGGACAGGGAGTGAGAGGAGGAGGCCTCCCTCTGCAGCTCCTCCACCCTCCTCTGCAGCTCCGCCCTGAGGATCAGCAGTTCCTTCAGGTTCTGATGCACCGGCACCTGAAACACACAAACATGTGAACACAGGTAAAACAGAGGCACACAAGTGGAAGAGTCTGACTCCTCCTCCTCCTCCTCCTCCTCCTCCCTCTTCTCTGCGGAGTACCTGTGGTCTCATGCGGGGGTTCCAGCGGGCATAGTAGCTGCTCCACAGCTCCAGATGTCTGGAGGACACCAGTGGGTAGATGACGTGGTTCTGGTAGTCTACATAGAACGGGTTGGTGAAGTCCTCAGGCTGGCTGTAAACGAGTGTAAGGAGGAAGAAGAGGATGAAGAAAAACAGGTTATTATCACTCTGTATTCTCTCCATTCAGTCACTGACAGCAGCAGCAGGTTAGAAACAGGAAGTACCTGTTGATGTAGGACCAAAGAGACGCCGTCTGACTCTGGACCTCCTGCACAGAAAAAGAAAAAACAATATGATGACAAAGATAAAGAAAAGAAAGAAGACAGAAGAAGAGAGGAAAGGATATAAGGAGACAAAGAAGAGGAAATTAAACAGATAGAGTCAAAACTTTACAGAAAGAACTACAAAAACAAAGACACGAAGAAGGAGGAAGATGATGAATGAAAAGGGGGTGAAGAAGAGAGACTTAAAGACAGGGAGAGGACGAAAAGAAAGGAGAAAACAAGAGAAGAAAAAGGCTAAGGAAGAGAGGGAAAGGGTGGAAAAAGTAGTCAGGACAGACAAAGAAAAAGGAAGAATTGGAGAAGGAAAAAAAAGAAAAAGAGGAGAGGGAAAGTAAAGACAAGAATTTAAGGAAGAAGAAAAAGAAGAGGAAGAAGAAAATGGGAAGAAAGAAAAAGGGAGAAGATGAGGACAGAAGGAGGAGGAGAAGAAAAGGGGAAAAGGAAGAAGTGAAAGAAAAAGAGGGAAGAAAATTACAATTGAAGAAAGGAAAAGGAGAAAGCTGGAGAAGAAAAAAAGACGAAGAAAAGGAGAAGGTAAAGAAAAAAGAAGTAAAAATGAAAAGGAGAGGAAGAAAGAGAAAAAACAAATAAGGAGAAATACTATAAAGGAGAAAAAGTATGTAAGTATGTATTAAAAAAAGAAGTAACAAAAGAAAGGACAGAAAGTGGAAAAGAAAGAAGGAAAGGAAAAAAACGGGTAAGAAAAAAAGAGAGGATGAAAAGAAGGAATGGTAAAATGATGAATAGAAAGGTATGATGAAGAAAGAAAGAAGGAAAGAAAGAAAGGTTGAAGAAGAGACAAAAGAAATAAAAAAAGCAAAAAGCAGAGGGGAAAACAAGAGAGAAGAAAAACTGAGGAAGAAGAAGCGAAAGATAGATGGAAAAAAAGAAGAGAGAGGTGTTTGGTACCTTGTCCATCCTCTCCTGCTCGCTGTTATAGAGAAACGTCCCGAACAGACAGCTGTACAGATGATCCAACACCGTCACCAGGAAGAGCTCGTTAAACTCAAAGGCTGCTGGGAACTGTAGTCCAACACAGTCAGACAGAGAAGGATAATACTACTGACAACATTAACACACACACACACACACACTTAGCTCCTGTTTATCTAATCCCTGAAAACCTAAACCAGACCTAATCCAAGTCTGAAATACTGGGTCTTTTAAACACACTGGTCTGAACTGGTCTTTTATGAATACTCCATCACATCTGCATGAGTTCAGTTAGTGAAGAAATTAGAATTTATTTTTTGATGAGACAGAAGAAAAGCCTGAAAAAAAGTTAGTATTTCTGGAGCAAGATAGAAAAAAATCTGCTGTTCACACCAGGACAGACGAGGACATGATGGAGGTTACTGACGGGAGTGAAATGGACGTACCTGTCGGGTCATCTGCCACACACAGTCAATGAACTGGACGAATAGCGGCGAGCGCTCAGAGTTAGCGTGGTTCTCATCGCCGTGACCCACCCGCTGAGAGAGAGTGAGAAAGACACTTTCCTCAGACTATTAAAGGGACATTCCGTCATTTTTAACCTGATTGTATGTTTAACATGTTTTTAGGTCTGAATGATAAACAATTACTGAAGTTATAGTCTGCAAGCACTCCTAACTATGATGAGACTGTAAGGATAAGAATAAGAGCTGTGATTTTATATAATGATTTCATAAATTAAAAATAATGTTATAACTTACTGCAGCAAACTTGTGTCCAAAGCTGATCCATTCTTTCTCCAACAGCACCTGCAAATGAAACACACAGACAGTTTATCATATCATATCATATCATATCATATCATATCATATCATATTATGGAGCAGCAGAGTACAGTATGGAGGTGTGTGTTGAAGGAGTCAGACCTGGAAGCCTCTGAGTGTGCGGTAGTAACTGTCCAGCATGAGCATGCTCAGTGAGGTCAACTGGGCCGTCCTGTCCCAGCCGTCGCTGCAGTGAACCACCACAGACGTCTTCCCCGACTCCAGCTTATCAGCCACCTTCACAGCCCCGGCTAATAGCAGCTTCAACCGGAGACACAGAGAATATTAATGCTTCGATAAAAGGACTTGACAGCCTGATGGCGAGGATTTCTCAGAGGCTGTTTTTACCCGGATGTACTCCAGCCAGTGCGTCTGGTCGATGTTGGAGTGCCAGTGAGCTTCATCGATGGTCGGGTAAACCACGTCCTTCACCTTTCTCAGAGACTCTCGGATCACGTGGATGTTGGGGATCTCCAGGAAGTTCAGCTCAACGTTTGGGTAGAAACTCTCGCTCTCAAAGCCGCCATCTTTTGCCTGAACAACGCCAAGGGGAGGAGTCACAGGAGAAGGGGCGAGAGGAAAATCAAGAGGAGTGAGTGTGAGAGGTTTGTGCTTTTTTTATGTCTTTTTGGAAGTTTCTGTAGTAATCATGGTTCCTGCTTACATTTCAAAGAGAGAAACAGAGGCAAAAACTTCTGTGTGTGCAGCAGAGCGATGGCTGTTCAGATACATCAATCATTAAAACCACTTTAATAGTGTTTCACTGTCAAAGACTGCTCTGTCCACAGGGGGGCACCAAACTGAGGTTCCTCAAAGGAACTGTAAGACCTCTCACAGGTGGAAATCAGACTTTAAAGACATTTTAGGGACTTAAGTTTAATAAATCTGATTTGAAGGATCAACATGAGGCTGTTTCTGCTCATTATGAGTTTTTTTTTTCTGGAATTTTGCTTTATATCTCTGAACTCTGCAGGTTAAGTCCCTCAAAATGAAGCACTAACAGGTAAGGTGAAAGACTTCAGCTAACCCTCTTTCAGTTCTCTGCTGAGAGCCGGTCTGTATAAAGTACCCTAACTCAGTCTGGACACCATCGAATCAGCAACACCACCTTTATTTAAGTTTACCTTGTTGGTCAGCGCTACACTGCTCTGCCGGGCGTCAAAGATGCTGAGTTTATGAGACTGAGCGTTGGCGTCCATGATGATCTGCAGGAAGCGTTCGTCCTCCTTACAGCGGCGGTCTGACGGGCCCACTAACGGCTGGCCGCAGCGAACGATGGTGGCCTGAGTCTCTGGGTGGATCCAGGACAAAACCTGCAAGAGGAGCAGGAGTGGATTCATCCGCTGCTGAAAATAGTCCCTTTAAATTCTCTCTTTCCTCCACTATGAAGAGATGAAGGAAGTGATGGGTTTGAGAGCAGTGGGTAAATAGATAATCTGAGTCGGAGGAGCACCAGAGGTCAGACCTGAACATCTACAAAAACCTTGAAATATCTACATTAACAACCTCGCATTTTAAACATATTCAGATGTTTTATATTTTTAATACTAGAGTATAACTGCCACCCTGTTTGACATGTGCAGTGAGAGGACTTCATATTTTAATCATCTCTAATGATCCTGCGGACCAACATGAACCAGCATGAGGTCAGAGGTCATGTGACTCAGACTGACCGGTATCCTGTGTTTGGCCCTGAAGGTGGCGACCCGTCTGACGTCTTCGTCGCTGATGTTGGTGGGGATGACGAGGGTGGAGGGGTAGGTGTCGCACAGCTCGTAGCTGCTGTTCAGTCTGCTGATGGTCCAGCTCTCGTTAGGCAGACCCTGAAAACAGACCCCGGAGTTTATTAACACTCTTTATCTGAAGTTCAGTCTCTACAGGGGGAGGTTCTTCTTCCTGCTTTAATGAGCTGTTTAGTTTATCAGAGCATCAGGCTGTCTAAAGCAGAGCACTGTTTCATCCAGTAGAGGGCGCTCTCAGCGTCACCTGACCATTGACATCACTTTTAACCTTAGTGTTTAATGTTTTTTTGTAAAAATGGAGAAGGTGCTGAGAGGACAGTCAGGATCAGTCAACATCTGAGTTCATATGAGATATGTGTGTGTGTGTTTCACAGACAGGTGATGTTGTCTGTGTTTCTCAGGTGTGTTTACCTGCCGTCTGTATTCTGCTGCAGGGTCGTATACCTTCCAGCCGTCTACAGGAAACTGTTCTTTATACAGGAAGGCAAACAGAGGCTGAAAGAGGGAGAAGACACATTCATTACTAATCAAGAAAGTTTTCAGTCAATGATAAGCTGAAAATACTAGGATAGGGAATTTATTACATTTAATGTCATTTTATTGATTCATTTTCACGTCTGATGATAATAATACTAAAGAGTTAGTATTAGTGAGAGCAAATTTTGAACCTGGTAAAAACCAGAGGAAATGAATACAAAATACTGTACAGGCTAACCATAACCTTGATAAAGAGACACAAATACAAACTAATGCAAACAAAAAGATACTAATACACACTAATACTAGCAAATAGATACTAATACACTCTGATCAGCATTACTGAAGTAACTCAGACTGACCAGGTTATGGGAGAGGGGGAAGGCGTGTTTGGCAAGCAGCTCCACAACATCAGGATGATTCTCCTCCGTCTTATAGGCAAACCGTGGACTCCTCATGTCCTGAAACAGACAATATATCCACATATAATTGCTGAGATATGACTTGAGTTATTACAGTTATGACTGAGTTACAAGCTTTTTGACATATTAACAGGATGATTGTTGTAAAGACCTGTAGAGTAAATCTCAGATCATAGTTTGTTTCTAGTCTCTATGTTTGTTACCTTGCAGACGAGCTCCAGGCCTTTAGTATTCTCCCCCTGGTTTGGGACACTGATGGTTTCCTGTCTGCTGATCACACCGAGATTCACATCCAGAACAAACTCCTGAAACAACACACTAGAGTTAACACACGCTGACATGTTCACACACTCTTCTGTCATTAAATCTGTTTGTTCTTTTAGCTCTCAGACGGTATCGTGGAGGATCAGGGGTTCAGTACCCGCTCTGTGCTAGTGAAGTAGAGTTTGTAGTCTGTGATGGTCAGAGTCCCGTTGACCAGCCCGCTGAACGGACAGATGTACATCACATCCTTCACTGGAAACACAGACAACATCCATTAACAGGTTTAGTTTTAAAGCCTCATACGGAACATGATGGATTCATACAGAGGGGTCAAAGACAGGTGAGGAGGGCTCACTTGTGGTCTGGATGGTCTCTCCAGGCAGCAAAGGAACCTGGTTCTGGAACATTTTCCCCTGAGCTCCGTACCTCAGAGCTGGGAGAGCCTGCACAGAACACAGATAAGTCAGAGGGACTACAACTCCCAGCATGCACCTGCAGCTACACATGCAGAAATGATGGCTCACAGATAACCACCAGACACTGAGAGTGCTTGTTCCTCTGATGTTTCCAGGTTGGAATTTAAATTAAAGTGAAAAAGGCGCACTCCAATGATTCTGATTCTGTTCGCTCTGGAAAAACAGCGAGGAAAGAAGGATGCTGAGAGAGGAGGGGGAAGAGGAGGCGGCATGCTGAGGAGAACACAGTGAAGAAGAGGAAGAGGAGAAGGGGGAGGAATAAGCAGCAGATAGAGAGACTTGCCGAAGCATTGGCAGGAGGCTCAGAGTCACTGTCTTCATGGTAAGAAAGCCCCTCATCCAGAGAGTCCTGCTGCAGGGGAGCAACAACGGAGGAGGAGGAGGAGAGAGGAAGGAGAGAGAGAAAGAAGAGAGAGGAAGAGAGACAGAAGATAGGAAGACGAGAAGAAGAGAGAGGAAGGCGAGAAAGAGAGAGAGAGATAAAAATCATCTTAGCAGTAGGAAACCTCTCAGAGCTCATAGACATGCTCTAATGGTTCATTAGAGACTTAGAGACGCTTATTGTCCCTGTTGGTAAGACCAATGATTAACAGGTGATGTATACAGGTGTAACTCAGCCTCTCACTTAATAACAGCTTAGATAGGCTCCACCTCTGTGACTCTTAACTGATTGTACATGTTTCAGGGCACATGTGTGAAAGTTAGCCACCTTGGTATGCACAGAAAGCTCCACTGGTTGACCCTTTAGCTCCACTCTAAAGCAGTTTGTTGAAATGTTGGTGGTGTGTTTCTGTGGTTAGCTTGACTGCTGCAGGATTGCTATGACTGCACCTGAATACTCAAGCAGTGGGCAGGGTTTTCCATGCTTGTCCGAGTAAATCCCTCCTGTTGTGACATCACCACAGGAGCGAATTGAAATCACCTTGTAGAGGCTGTTTTTCCAGACTTGGGGTTGCAGAAACTCTGCAGAGGCTTCTCACTTCCGTGTTTTTAGGGTTGCTAAGCTTTCCTGTAAAGTTAGTTGGTAAATAATTCCTGTTTCTAACTAGCCAAATTTAGGTCCCCTGTGTCAGTATCAGAGTATGCAAAATATGTGACAAAAGAAAACAGATGTCATCATGGTGGCAAATCACCTCCTATTTACAGACTATGGATTTCATATTTGTCCTCTTTATGATGAAGTGTAATAATTCAGCAATGATAGTCAGTACCAAAACAAAGCAGAGCTGAAGAAACATGTTACTGTCACTTTGCAGGTATTTACTAATAAAGTCCTGAATGAAACCCAAAGTACAGATCTACACAGAACTTCTACTCTAACGGTTTTTCAGGTGATCATAACAAAAACAGAAGTAAGGACAGAAAGAACTCAGAGGTGCAGATCAGAGAAAACTGAGTGAGGGATCGAATAAAGACGAAGAGACAGAAGCTCAGAGAGATCAGTCTGACTCAGGAAGTTCTGATGGTTCAACCTCAGTCAGACTGAAAACCGGTTTCATAGACCTCCCACACATGATCACATCCTGTTTGCACAAAACACTGCACACAGTCATGATCTAACCTGAGGCAGCTCTCAGGACTCTGCTCTCTGCTCTGACAGGTTTTTACTCTCTGGGTCAGACCTTAAAGTCAAACTCCTGCAGAGTCAAATTCCCCACTTCATTTTCACTTCAAGCTTTGAGGAGCACTGAGTTTCGTGTGCGAGTGAGAGAAAAGCTTTCAGCAGTAATAATCAGATGGAGCTGAGACTCCTCTTACCCTGGGATTGAGCCTCTTGGACACCTGCAGGTCAAACACACCAATATCACCAAGAACACAGTACACACACATACACAACACATGATCAACACCTCATCTGGCAACTACAGTCCAGGCTATTCTTGTATCTTATGATTGTGAAGGTGAGAACCTCTGAAAATGTCAAACAGCGCGATGAATCATAAACACTCTAAGCAGCAGGTCAATGTGCACACTAATAGCTCAGAGCTGCTGCAGACAGATGGAGGCTCCACAGGTAAAGACAGGGATGCATGGGGCCAAAAGTAATCTGCAGACCTGCTGCAGAGAGACAGAGATCTGCAGAGACAAAACCTGCAGAGGGACAGAGCTCTGCAGAGACAAAGACCTGTAGCGCGACTGGGACCTGCAGCAAGACAGAGATCTGCACAGAGACAAAGACCTGCGGAGACAAAGACCTGCAGAGACAAAGACCTGCAGAGACAAAGATCTGCAGAACAGCAGAGCAAACTGAATCCAAGTTCCTCTTCACTTTGGAGATAGTGGAATAAAGATCTCAACTATGACCCCAGGACTGACCCTAACACTGACTTTAACACTGACCCTCACACTGATCCAAACATTGACACTAATACTAACCCTAAAACTTTGACCTGAACTCTTCACCAACACAGTTATAGTGGATTGGTTCAGCATTGAATCACATAAAACACTGTAAAAAGGATCTCTTTCTGCCATCTTTGTTCCAGCATGAGGATGAATACCTCACAAGTATTTCTAAATTTCAGCTTCTCGCTGTTTAAGTGTAAAATTCTTCTCTTATTTTTACACGCTGTTTCCTCTTTAAAGCCCTCTGTATCTATTAAAACATCAAAAATCAAGTATATGAATATTATGATTATTATCCTGCAGTCTGGTGGAGCTGAAGACATGAGGGTACAAACAGACACCAGCAGGAGGGAAAGCTGCTGACTGAGCTGCAGACACCAGCTGAGATACACTGAGACACACACAAACACACAAAAACACACACTGAAAAAGCAAACTACACACATTAAACACTCTGAAGCAGCACACACACATTCAGCGAAATGTTCCTGACTCCCTCCTGCCTGTTACAATCAGTAACACTGAGTGTGTTTGTGTGTGTGTGTGTGTGTGTGTTACCTTGTGCTCTCTGCTGATGTGCTCAGGTGTAATTGTTCCTGAGATCTGACTGGAGATGGTGGCAGCGATCAGCTGTTTACACCATTCAACATGAGAACCTGATGGACTGAAGGCAAAAACAGAAAAGCTGATTTTATTGACTTTAACAAAAACCACACAGGTGACTTTAGACAGGGTCCAGTTATTCTCCAGTGTTTGCTGTAAACATCCCACTGATATTAAAACTTTGTCTCAAACTCTCAGTTCTCCAAGTCTGTTTTCTGGACAGACATCCTAAAGTCTCCTGTGATTACATTTTCACTGGTATTTCACAAGTATTTCACTGGTATTAATATCTGCTGTTATAGTCATTGCCTGTCAGTCTGTTAGCATCTGTGAACATCTGTTAGCTTTAGCGCCGCCTGCAGTTCGTTACTGTGCTCTGCATTAGCTAACATTCATGAAGCTAACTTGTTTTCTTCAGCTTAAACTGGCTGAATAGCTGTCTGTTTAATTGATTTATGTAATACAACTTATACTTTCTATCGTCTCATTGAGTATAATAGTGGTTTGGAAACGCGCTGAACATCGTTAGCTTACATCAGTGTAGCCTCCGAGCTGTCACACCAAACCCCAGTCAAAATATCACCACATCTGAAGCTCCTTTCTATTACAGGCGGCGGTGTAGTCAGCCATAAAAGTAAACATTTTTTACAAAACATGTCCCATTTGATGTATAAATTCAACACCGAATGACAGATCTGATCCGTATGGTTTATGGATTTAAGTCTAGACTATTTTAGCGGATGTTAGAGTTTGCAGAAAAGTGAAAACGCCATAAATGTCATAATTTTACGCAGTTATTCGTCAAAGTTCGAGCAGCAGGCTAACATGGTGCTCACCTGTCCGGGGTTTCTCCACTTGCAGTTCCGGAGGTCGGAGAGCCCCACGGCTTTCTGTTGGGCCCCGCTCCGTCCGACCCCCCTGGAGCTCCGGCGGCCTGTTTCTCCATCAGCCCGAGGAGGAGGTTCACTGTCCGGGTGAGTCAAAGGGAGGGAGGGGGTCTCCGTGGGTTTGGAGGTCTGAATAAAATCCGATTTGATCAATCAGCTGTCTGGTCTCAGTTCAGGTCAGACCGGGACCTGCCTCTCTATTAGCCGAGTTTACAGGATGTTTCTCACCCTGTGGTTTCCTCCCTGTCACTCGGCTGTTTGTGCTTCCTCCTCCGCATCTCCCCCTCTCAGAGGCTCCGCCTGTTTACAGCCGAGGATGGAGGAAGAGGAGGAGGAGGAGGGGGAAGGAGGCAGAGGCAGCATCCCACTCATGAGTCTAATCTGACATGTGGAGCCAGACTGGATCCCGTCTCTGTTCTGAGGGTCTGTTGACATTTGACCTTATTGTTCCTCATACTAAATGTTTTAAATGCTGTATTAATCTAACCACGTGCATAATCAATGATAGGCTATAAGATATAATGATAATATGATTTAAACATGAAATTAAAGAACTTCTATCCAACATTAAACACAGGTACTATCCTGTGAAAATGATATTTGTTAGTATTCTGAAATTATAATAATCAGACTCACTTATTGTACTTATGAGAAATATTGATCCACTTTCTACTGAGTGTTTTCATATCACTGTTTTTGAAGTTTAATTTTAAAAACTGATGTATATTTAATTGTCCATAATTTCAACTTCTTAGCAAACAGTCATATTAAACCAATAATTATAATTTTGTTATGACTATAAATATGACTCACAAAAAACAACCTCTGTTCACAATTTTAATAGTATAGACTTTAAAGTTTAACGTCTAATAAAATCAGACTTTATGCAGATTATTTTACATTTTATCCATGATGGTGGCCTGTCTGTGAGATGTGATGGTAATAACAGCTCTGAAACACACACAGACGCTTTAACAGCCTCTTATATTCATCTTCAACTTTTTAAAATGGATGTTTAACCTGCTTAACTCTGACCAACACTTCAAAATAAAGTTTAATATTTCGAAGATTTTTCTGGAGAACAAGCTGACACGTGGATTAGAGGCTGTGTTTCAGGATCGACATGTTAAATTTCATTACCTGTTTGATGTCAGCTGTGGTCACTCGGTATTTTTTTGACTCTTCTTTGTTACAATTAAGACTGAGTGGGTGACATTGAAGATGTGTTGAGTTCAAACTTCTGGACTTTTTTCCTCCTCTTTAAATACTTACAGTATGTTTATAAAAAAGGAAGATCCTGTTCTCCTCTTCTTAAACAGTGAAGAACATCCACCCAGGTGACACCATGTTTCTTTGGTTTTGCCAGCTGTTTTTGCTGTATAAAATTGGATCATAATGAAGCCCCAAAAAGTAAAAGTTTCTTAAAGTTCAAACAAGAATGCTTTCAAAACTGTGAAAAGTGAAAAAAGACCAGAAACCGATGAAATAAAGAGCAGAATCAGAGAGTCCAAATCCTTAAATTAATTTAATCAGTAATATTTACAATACAGGAGCCATCCAACAGACTGTGGAGAGGATAAACATGATTAAAAGAAATATATCTGAAATGTTTTCTGAGTTTATCTTCCCTTGTGACGCCAAAAAAATCCTGGAACACATTTTATGTGTATTTATAAAAAGCAGGCTGATTATTACACAAACCCTCAAACTAGGAGAACCCCTACACGAACAAAAGAGTCAAAGTGAAACAAAGACAGAAAACTTCTCCTGAACGCCAAAGATCCCTCAGAGAGCCATCCAGAAGCTTCTGTCTCCACACCCCAAAGAAATGCCCGCCAAAATAAAAGAGAACACTTTAAACCAATGGAGCAGAAATCCACAATTTATACCAACAATTTCTGAACCAACATTACTTTCCTTATTATAAAACTGTAAGATTGTACACTACATAAAATAATTGTATTTTACAACAATAGAACTTTAGGCAGTAAAATAGGTTTTGATTGAGGTAATTACATCATGGTTCTTGTACAGAGTAAAAAATAAAAAAAATAGATTTCATTTGTTTTTTCCCTAAAAACTCGGCGGACCGACTAACCGACCAACCAACTGACAGACTTACCGACTAACCAACCGACCAACCATCCGACAGACCAACCAACTTACTGTACAACCAACCAACTGACCAACCACTCAGCGGGTTAAGCTCAGGGTTTAGGTCGCTGTCATTTCTTTTCTGTCTGCCGTTTCATCTACAAAACCTCCTCAAACCAGATTTAAGTTTTTAACAAGGACGTCGACACAGAATCAGTTTGGTAGAACCTGTTCAATCACCTCCACCTGTCCACTCTGAGTCACTGGACTGAGTGAGTCATGTTTGAGACCAGACTTAAGGTATAACAAGCTCTTTCAAAACCTTTAAAAATATCCTCTTTGCTGTAGTTATACTTTTTTTTTGGGATTGATCCTGAAGCTCCTTTAGACTGTTTCTTTGAAAAACATTCATATGAACGGGTCATCAACTTGGACATGAAGACCCAGATCTATTCTCTTTGGTGACACCTCTGGTCTTAAGCAGAAGTGGTCGTTAATATAAGATTCGTCCTTTTAGAAGTTAAAGACTGATTGTACTTCACTGCTCTCCAGTGTTTAGCCCTTTGAAGAAACAGGAACCTGTTTTTAAATAATAACCCATCAGGAGGCAAAAACCAACAAGAACCATCAGGTCCTGAAGACTTTGATCAAATCCCTGGACTGTATTCATTCAAAGGTTTTCTCCAAGAGGATGTACCTGAGTCCAAATCTGTCTCTTCAGAACATAGAAAAGCAACAACAAACCGTGAATTCACACTGTCCTCTGAACATCTGGTCCATGACCAGACTCAGCACCTTCTCGTTATTAAGTACAGACAGTTCTAAACTCAAGTAAAAGATCTGTTTCCATCGCAAAGTTTCCATACTTGGGAAATCTCACTAACCCACATAAACCAGTTTACACCTCTCGTATTTTCCCTACCTGCTCCAACCTTCCCTCATCTATAGCAAGACCCTCCCTCATACCAACACTTCTACTGCCATGAGAGTCCAAATCAGAGATCCAACTCCCAACTTTCATCTAGAAACAACCAAAGTACTCTGGTGGACACGTCTCTACAGCAAGTTTGGACCTGTAGGGAGAACAGACCTTCAGTTTGGAACAAGCTACTACTGTAGTTAAACCTTAAATCGATTGAACCTCAATCTGGATCACAGTTATGAGAACAAACACAGACCACCATGTCAGCATACAAGCTAATTATTCTGTGAACCTCAAAACTACCCAGTACTGGATCTCAAACATGACTCGGGACAGCCAGAACGTCCCTCTGAGGACATGGAGGTGATTCTAACAAGAATCAAGGCACAAATCTGGACAAGACCTGACACATTTTGAAGAATGACTTATTGCACCTTGTTCAAATGGAGACGGACACGCTGCACATACAGCACCTGCACACACCGCCAAAGTTTCTAAAAATACCCTCTGAGGTGAAGTCTGAGATTTTCCGAACCTTTTTCACCCAGAGGTCTTTCACCAGGAGGGATGATCCTTCAGGAGATAGAGGTTCTGTAGAGTAGTAAAATATAGGAGATATTTTGGTATCAGTGGTCCAGTCCTGGTTCCTTGGCTGATGGGAAATAACATTCAGTCAGTAAGCTCACTATTTTTCGCCTGAGCTCACAGTTGCATTTTACCCATTCAAGTCTTGAGAAGGATTAGCCAACTCTCTTTGACCCGTCCAGACAGACCTCTGAAGTCTGTGTTTGCATGTCACTGAGGACTCGGGTAGGTCATTACGGTACAGATGATCTGTCTTGGACCAGCATCTCCTCACACTTTACAACTCGACCAACTCTACAAGGCAACATATCTTCAAAATGACCCGGGAGTCTCAAGAGTCCAATCACAGACAACATAATAGAAAGAAGATGGTTGTTTTTGGACTTTTTGGTAGGAATAGAAGACCTGCCATCGTAAAGACCTTCTGTAGCCGTGTCACCAGTATTTACTTGTCCTGCACAGTTTTAAACAAATGGGTTCCATACAGATCTAGTGTGCAACATACTGTTAGGGCTATACTGGAACACAATGGGGCCTATCAGGACCCGATGTGAAAGGACCTAACCCCTGTTCTTCTCTCTGGTGATGGTCTGCTGCCATGAATCAGCAGTTTTCTCTGATGGACTATGGTATACTGGCCAATGTAGTGCAGGTATCTCTTACAGTAGTCCGAAAATCAAGAGTCCAGTATTTATTAAGAGGTCCGGGCTGGATTGAAGAGTCCACCGAAGACCGACTGAACAACAAAAAAAGTTTCAGAAATCTTCAACTTGAGAATGATTGTGAGAAACAGTCACGTTAACAAACTGAAATGATACAGTACAACATCTGTGACAGATGTTCTAGCAGCTCGCTGACCCTTAATTTTGAAGTCTGAGTTCAAATCAACCAAACCAGGAGACTTAGTAGTCTGATCCGTGTGTCAAGATCCTTCAACTCTTCAGTCATGGTAGAGTTTTTAGATCCAACAGTTTCTTCCAACAAACACACTGTTGTCCCTGTGATATCCTGAGTTTAACTCTGTACAGCTGCTGCGCGAACAACAGCTAGACTTAACCGAAGTCTAGAGAGATGGCTGCTGAAGCATCTGCTTGTTGGACAGGTCAGGTTTATGAGCTCTTGTTGCTGAATCTCTGGAGGCCCCGTCCAATCAGGAGAATTGAAATGAAGTGAAGTGAAATGAAGATTGAAAGTTTCCGTCCAAAGAAAGCAAAAAGTCCTGCACACAAAGCAACACCTGTCCAAAAGACATGCTTCAGGTCACCTGTGAGCTTAAGGGAGGGAGGGGGGTTTATTTCAAAGAAAGAGTGTTTAGAAGGGATCAAGAGCTGATTGGTTATTTCTGCTCCTGTCCCTATTATAAACATGTCTGTAAGGCTTTCATGGATCGAGGCTGGTTCCCTATCCAGGCTCTGTGTTCAGGATCAGAGGCCGCAACCACTTCATTTCCCTACTCTATCTACAGCACCTGAATCTACCATCAAACCCTATCAAAGCTGCGTTCAAAAGGTAAATCAGCGATTTCCTTTAAACTCGTGAGAACTGTTTCTTTCTGTCTGACTTCATGAAGAGCTGAAATCACGAGTGACAAGCAACAAAATCCACATCAGACCCTCCAAACTCTGACACACCTGGTCTATCTAAGTCTAAAATCCACATATTCTTCAAAAGGATCACACTCAGACGCAGTGCAGCAGGTAGTAACAGGTGTGAAAAGTGAGACTTGAACATTGTAAAGACACACAGGACACAGTGAAAATGAGGGCGGACACACACAGGAGGACCCAGAGCGTCAGATGGATCTGCTTCAGTTCATAGAGCCTCATGTGCCGACAGTCTGAGGTCTGTTCAGACCGCTGAGGAACCACATCTTTAAAGCTGAGCTCAGATTCAAGCAGATTTTGGTCTCACAAGACTCTGACTGAAGGCTAATTTCTGTGCTTTAGAATCGGCCGTGTGTTTCCACAAGCTCAGCTGCCACTACCACTGACACGGACACACAGGTTGAGAACTTTTTAAAGGACATTACACCATTTTTGGATCGGAAGCAGACAGACAATCTATGCAGACCCAAAACATCAGTGCAGAGACCAGGAGGACACGCTTATCTTCTCAAGAAGAACAGGCTTGCAGAAAACTGGACACTGCGAGTTTGACATTTGTTTCCTCAGTTAGTGGTCTGAGCTTCTGTCTGAATATCTTGAATTTAGATTATTTTAGGAACCTGCTCTTCATGGGGATTTTTTTTTGTATTTTTCTAACTGTTTATGAACCTCGTCTCTGTGAAAATGTCACTTTTTAAACACTGAATCTTCATCCCCGATCTGTTCATACTGTCTCCTGTGTGTGTCCTGTTAGTGTGTGTCCTGTGTGTGTGTTTGTGTTTGTGTGTGTGCGTCCTGTGTGTTGAAGCCCTTAGACATAAAGCCACTGTTTGTCTTTAAGGCTTCACTGTTTGGAGAGTGTGTGTGTGTGTGTGTGTGTGTGTGTGTGTGTGTGTGTGTGTGTGTGTGTGTGTGTGTGTGTGTGTGTGTGTGTGTGTGTGTGTGTGTAGAAAAGTCTGATAACAAGGCTGTACTGTGACATATTGCATAAATCACCTTCTTCATCATCATCTTCTTCACCTCTACGGTGTGTTAGAACTCACAATCAAATCTAAGTCTTATTAGCATTTTGAGTTAGCACTGCACGTTAGCATCGTTAGCTCCCTGTAACACACAAACCAGAACAGGACATAAGTGCAAGAGAGAGAGTGAGAGTGTGTGAGTGTGCGTGCGCGTGTGTGTGTGTGTGTGTATGAGTGAGCAGCCCTCAGAGCGGAGTGTGTAGGTGTGTGTACTGTTGTGACGGAGGGGAGGAAGGGGAGGTGGAGGAGTTAGGGGCGGGGCTGTTGGCCAGCCGTGGGGAGGGGGAGGAGTCAGACAGCTGCAGCTCCTCCAGCTTCTTCAAGTACTCGTCTCTGAGGGCCAACAGCTCCTTATAACGCTGCTCTACCGGACTCTGCTGCTGCAGGGACACAGATCAGAGAGACATTAGACACAAGGTGGTCCTGGTTTAGGTGTAGAGGAGGGTGGTGCCGTTCATAAAGTTCTGGTTATCATCATCATCTCTCATACCTGCTGTCGTATACGAGGGTTCCAGCGGATGTAGTAAGTCACCCACAGCTCTAGGTGGCGCATGCTGGCAACAGGATACAGGACTCTGCCGGACTCAGGAGTGTAGAACGGATTTAAATAGTTCTCCATCTTACTGTTGACCAGAGACCACAGAGACACCGTCTTCGACCGCAGCTCCTGCAGACACAGAAGAGAGGAGCTGTGAGGCATTCACCAACACACTGATGCTGAGGAGAGGGGCTGTGAGGCGTTCACTGACACTCAGATAGAAACATTAAAGCAGCAGACAAACAGGCGACTTTAAGGTGAGGTCTTACGTGCTGGTCTCGCGCGCTCTCACAGTTGTAGAGGAAGGTGCCGAAGCGACAGCTGTACAGGTGATCAAGGATCGTCAGCAGGAGGCGCTCATTGAACTCAAACGCTGTTGGAAACTGAGAGACGGGGAGGAAAAGTGGAGAGGTGTGAATGTGGAGCAGGACTCTGGAGGATACCCTCAGTGGCTTAAGAGTCATCGCTCTGGTGAGATCTGTGTGAACGTGGATCCCAGAGAGGCTGAAACCTCAGCACAGACCCCCACAGAGGCCTGGATCATCTTATTTTTTCTGCATATTTTTGTTGCTCTGTTTTTTTTTCTTCTTTTTTTTAATAGTTATTAATAAATAAAGAAATAATATTAATAAGAACATCGTCCTGGGTGTAAATAAACCAAATCTGAAGTTTTCCCTGAAATAAAAGATGGGAAAAAGAGGCTGAGATGATTCAGAGGTGAAAAAAGTTCTCACGAAAGCAGCTTCCTATCCTGCTTCCTCTGCGCTTTTAATTTGAAAAAATATTTTTTCTGTTTCAGCTTCATATAATCCAACTCAGGATTTAGATGGTGTAAATCATTTCGGTCTGTGAATAAAAACTCTGATTCTGGTTCAGAGGACGTAAATTAAAGGTGCAAAATTTACCTGCTTGGTCATCTGCCACACACAGTCAATAAACTGGATGAAAATGGGGGACCTGTCCTGGTCTGCATGGTTCTTGTCTCCGTGTCCTATCCTCTGCACACAGAAGAAACACCATTAAACATGATTCAAAACGTGATCAAAAATCCCTGTCATTCAGATATCAAAGAGCTCTGATCATAGTTTCACTCCAGACTGCAGACAGAGTTTACAATAATAATAACGTCTCTTACTGAGCCAAACTTGTGTCCAAAGCTGATCCACTCTTTCTCGATCAGAACCTGAAACACAGAAACAGACTCAATCCGTCACAAACACCTGAAACACAAACCTGTTCATCTGCCAGAAAGTGAAACAAACTCCAGGATGAGGTCTGGAGCTGATTTACTGTAAACAAAGCAGAGGTTGTGCACACTGAGCTCTCCTAGACTGAGCTGCATTCTGGAGATCACACAGATGTAACACCACCAGTGGATCTGTTTCAGTCAGAATACTTGCTGCTCCCTCTCTGTCCCTTTGAGCTCTGTCAGTACGAGGGGTTAGTCTGCAGGTAAACCTACCTGAAAGCCTCTGAGCGTGCGGAAGTGACTGTCCAGCATCAGCATGGCGAGCGAGGTGAGCTGAGCCGTCCTGTCCCAGCCGTCACTGCAGTGAACCACCACCGAGTTCCCTCCTGACACCTTATCGGCCACCTGGATGGCTCCTGACAGCACCAGCTGCAGACAGACAGACACAAGTCAGACTCAGGAAGGGGGCGCCGTCGGTGGTTGTTAAAGAGACTCCGCTCCCGACACACTCACCTTGACATGCTCCAGCCAGTGTGTGGACTCTAAGCTGGACAGCCAATGAGACTCCTCCACATTGGGGTAGACGATGTCTTTGAGCTTCTTCAGAGACTCCCTCATCACGTGGATGTTCTGGATGTCAAGGAAGACCAGCTCGGCATTCTGGTACTCGTCCCCCTCGTACCCGCCGCCTGTTGCCTAGAGAAGCACAAAAAGAGAGAGAGAGACATATTCTAGGTTTCTGTTTTTGCATTTTTTTTCCTTTCTTGTTTCTCGTTTTCAAAAATCAACCATTCGAATGATTTTTTAGACGTTTTCTTCCACCGTGTTTATTTCTGACCTCTAAAAACTCTGCATTGACTCTTTCGTTGTCTGTGTTCATCACATTAAGCTGCTTTGCTCCTGAACTGAGCGAAAGAATAAACTTGCCTTACACTCTAAGCATTTGAATTTAATGACACTCACTGACCTGCAGGTGGCGCTGTAATAACATGTTGGATTTCCCCCAAACACAGACTGACTGTGAAGATTTATGATTTTCTGCCTTGAAAACGCCTCACAGTTTAAGTTTTCTTTTTTAAAAAATTTATTTTAACAAATATGACAAATAAAAATAATGAGGTTCAGTATCTCTGCTCAAGAGATCATTCTGCAGACTCAGCAGCTCCATCTGCAGAGTCTGTAAAAAGTATCTGTTCAGGGTCAGGGCCAACACTGATCATCACAAACTGTCATTAATAAACCTGATCAATCCTCTTTAACAGAAGTTCAACTTTTAGAGGGAAGCTTCAAACTTCAGTCCACGCCAAAGAAACGAGCCCATCGGTTTCTTTAAACATCTTTAAAAGTGAAAAGTGTCTTCACTGCTGGTCCTGACTATTTACCAGAAATAAACTTCAGCCTACAGTTCTTAGCTCTAACACCAGTTATTTTTAGAGGAACAAAGCTTGTTTACTGTTATTATGACGCAAATATTCATGTTTTCACAGACTGTTTGTTTAAAGCTGCTCCATCACAGTAAAGCTGGACGAGATCTCCTCAAAGTGGACGATATATCAGTATCTGGTGGAGGTCAGATCAAACAACACTGAGGTCTAATCACAGTTAGGCTGTGACCTCTGACCTCCCCGCGTCCTCTTACCTTGTTGGCCACAGCGTTGACGTTGGGCCGGGCGTCGTAGATGGTGAGCTTGGTGGTGTCGTTGGCCTCCCTGATCAGGTCCAGGTAACGCTCGTCGTCTTTGTTCCTCTTCCCCGACATCCCCACCAGAGGCTGACTGCAGCGCACGATCACCGCCTGGTTCTCCCTGTGGATCCACGACAGCACCTGAACGCAGCACGAACACACACATAAACACAAATAAGGCGCACACACATTAGATACAGGAAAGACAGTCAGTGAAAGGGTCAAGAAGGAGTTAGACACTATATGGAAAGGATCCTAGACCCTCTGATCGTCTCTGACCTCTGACTGATGTTAAATTAAGGTGATTAAAGTCAGCAGGCCTAATAGTATTTAACTCTAGATTGATGTTATCACAGACGAAGGAGCCTGATCGGACAATCATGATCAGATTTTATGATCCTGTAGAGTCCTGATCATTGGTCAAATCTGATGTACTCACCGGTATGCGTGCTCTGGACCTGAAGGCGGCGACCCTCCTCAGGTCTTCCTCTTTGCTCTTATAGGGCACAGCCAGCACGGTGGGGTAGGTGTCACACAGCTCGTAGTTCTTATTGATGAATGTGATTCTCCACTTATTGTTGGGTAAGCCCTGAAAACACAGTCAGAGGAAGAAAGTCAAAGAGCTGGGACGCTTCAAACCTCTGAGATAAAACCACTCCTGTGGTTCTGCGGCGGTATTCTATCTCAGTTAAGCGGTTATTTAAAGAATTCAAATCTTGTGATTATGGAAAAAACACAAAAATCAAACATGTTTTTCATCAAACACACAGCTCCTTCACTTTTTGGAGTAATATAGATATTTTTTTAGTTTTTTAGATTTTAATGAGCAGAAAGTGAAAATGTTTTTAAAGTTGGATCTGAAATAGAAATAAGAGCGCGAACATGGAGTAGTGTGAATCAACGTTACACTCAGAATTTGTTGTTTTTGTTCTTTAAAACTCAAACCAGATCATTCAGGAGCCGGATCTCTCACCTCAGCTCCTCTCTCTGTCTGCCTCCCTGATTTATGAACACACCTGCGTTGAGAGTTGACACTGCAGCGCTCCTGCTCACCTGCCGTCTGAACTCCTCGATGGGTTTGTAGATGTTCCAGCCGTTCTCCTCGTACTTCTCCTGAGTCACGTATGCAAACAGAGGCTAAACGAAGGACAGAGACTAAATTTAGACCAGCGATAGAGTCAGACACGATTCCGCAGATTTTAATTGTCCTGCAATATAACATTACTAAAAACACACAGAGTGCAGATTCGAAGGTCACACAGCAGCTTATGGAAACTATCAGCAAAAATCAGAGTCCACTCGGACAGCAGCTCTGAAAATGAAGGATTTACAGCAGAAGAACATTTAGCCGATAAGAGAAACACTGATAATTTGTCTGATCCTCACATTAACACCTTTATGTCCTTACAGTTTCTCCTGTCATAGATTTTACCTACTGCTCTTATTCAGTCTTTTTAAACCCGACATACAACAGGAAAAACAGCTACTGACTGAAGGATATAAGACAAATTTGTACTTTTCAATGTCCAGTAATGAGTCTGTCTGTGACTCTTACACACTGTCATACAGAGAGGGGTTGGTGGGCTTTTGATTACTTGTACTAATGGATGTTTTTGATGGCAAAACTCGACTGATAATGCATCACATGAGCTTCTTGTCCTCAGAGGCCACCGTAGTATCACTGGCAGGAGGGGTGAGCAAGGGAGTGTTTTAATCTAGACTCTGACTGATCATTGAAAATTCCGTTTCTATGTCCTATAGCTTTAATCCTCGCATGTGACCCTCATTAATGTAATAAATATAAGTGGAATATAAGAAATGAACACTGTCACAGTCTTTCAGGTCTTTACTGTTCTGATGCTCACACACAGCTGGTCGTCTCACAGTCCTGTAGCCCCTCATGAATAACATGATGAGGCTAAAGCTGAACAGGTGTCCTAACAGGCTGATGTGAAGGTCTCCTTTGTGTGCAGCAGCGTTGCAGCAGCTCTGGTTTCCTCTCAGCAGATCTCAGCTGAGGATGCTGCAGTGTGGGCGGTTAGCTATGTGTCAGCATGAGGAGGCTGCAGCTCTGAATCTCCCTGTTTGAGTGTTTCTGTGTTCATACTGAGCTGTGACAGAAATGCAGGAATGAGAGTAGAATGAGTGCACCTGATGGTTTCTGGCTCTAAATAATAAACACAGACCACGTTCTGTTTGAAGACAGTACTAACTGTTGATCCTGCTCTGTCCTCCAGGATCTGTCCCTGGCTCAAACAGGCTGAGAAAATGGGCCTACAGCTGTCTGTAATATCTGTTATCAAATGAGCCAATGATCAGGTTTCTTACGCTCCTCACAGGGTCAGCAGGGGGCAGCAAAGAGCAGTAAAGACAGCCTACAGTCAGCAGAGGTCAGCGGTTTCCTCACCTGTCCGTGTGAGAGAGGGAAGGCGTGTCGGAAGAGCAGCTCGAAGATGTCTCTCCTGCTGTGACCCTCCTGCTTCAGAGCAAACCTCAGGTTCCTCATGTCCTGGACATAAAAAAATCACACATAGGTATCACCAACAACATAACAATATAAAACCATACAGACACAAAAACAGACACAGGTATGACCAAAAACATGACAATTTAGACACTCAGAAACAAACACACAGTTCAATTAATGATCCACAGATCTATCTCCACATTTAAATCCATGAATCTGATTTTCCTCCCACACATTTTTCCTCAGGCAACTACACTAAACAACACTAAACTCCATCAAACTACACTACACTATACTACACCGGACTACACTGAACAACACTAAACTACACTGAGCTAGACCAAACTACAATAAACCTTATAAAACTACACTAAACTTAAAAAAAATACATTAAACTACAGTGAACTAGACCAAACTACACTAAACTTTAAAAAGCCACAGTAAACTACAGTGAACTAGACCAAACTACACTAAACTTTAAAAAGCCACAGTAAACTACAGTGAACAAGACCAAACTACACTAAACTTCAAAACACTACTCTAAACTACACTAAACTTCAAAAAACTACACTAAGCTACATTAGACTACATTGAACTACAGTGAACTAGACCAAACTACACTTAACTTTAAAACACTACACTAAACTACACTAAACTTAAAAAAATACACTAAGCTTCACTGAGCTAGACCAAACAACACTTAACTTCAAAACACTGCACTTAGCTACATTAGACTACACTGAACTACATTAAACTTCAAAAAACTACACTAAACTACAATGAACCTCACTAAAGTACACTTAACTACACTGAACTAGACCAAACTACACTTAACTCCAAAAAACTACACTAAATGTCACATAAATACACTAAACTACACTAAGCTTCACCTCCATCAGTTAATCCAGAGGACACCAGTATCTGATGCTGATCATGACAGCTGAGAGCTGCTAACTTGGACCAGGCTAAGGAGCACAAACATATTCATCATCTCATTACAGGAACAACTCTCTCTCACACACACACACACACTTACCTTGCAGGTGATGTCCAGGCCGTAGGAGTTTTCTCCTCTACTAGAAGCCCCGCCCATTTTCTCCACCCGGCTGATAGCACCCAGAGGGACATCCAACATCACCGCCACGTCCTGCAGGAAACAGCACGCCATCAAAAAACACAACTTTGTAAAGCAATCACACAAACAAAACATTAGGATTATCTTGTTCTACTCTTTGACTCTTTGTTGTTATAACTTAGTTTCAGTTTGTCCTGGATGATCTTGTTTTAACTGCTGGTTATCTTGATCTATCCCAGGATGATGTTGTTTTAAAGGATCTTGTTTAGCACTTAAGTCTGGCTCGTACCCGGTAATCTAACCTGATGAGTCTTTTTCAAGTGTATTTAAAAAACGATGGACTCCACAGACTAAAACCTGGTTAATGTTACAGTCTGTTGGACTCTCAGCTGTTTCTTTGTCCCGGGGTCAGTCCTTCGTCTTCAGAGTGAACATCTGAGAATCAGAGTGAATATCTGGTGGTTCTGGTGGGGTCAGGGGGACTTACAGCGTCTGAGCTCTTGAAGTAGAGTCTGTAGTTGGTGATCAGCACTTTCCCTTTCACCGCTCCATTATATGGACACATGTACATGACGTCTTTATCTGAAAACAGGTACAAAAACACACTTTAGTCCACTTTCTCAGGGCCAGCTGGTCTCAAGGTGCAGCGTGCCTATCTCTCACTCTGCAGTTAATGTCGTATTTTGGGTGGACTGGGTTCAGTGAGAGCTCAGATCAGCGCACGTGCAGAGGAAGCAGAAAGAAGAAGAGAGGCGAGAGCAGCAGAGAGAGCTTAAAATACATCTGAGAGTTCAGTATGACTGAGAGAGACCAGAATAAAACCAACTCATGACTGCATATCAGACTCTACCAGCTTGACTGAGCGAGGCACTCTCTAAGTCAACTCTAGTGATCTCCTCATCTGTATATGTGAGTACAGATTCTGAACAGGTCCATCTGTGATTCTTATGAACCTGGTTCTGTTTCACTGTCAACCAAAAACAGAGAAATGTGACAGTCTACATGTCCTCCTCTGCAAGTCCTCCTAAATGTCCTCCTATGCATTTTCTTCTCTACATGTCCTCCACTAGATGTCCTTCTCCACTAGATGTCTCTTCTCTGTCATTGTTTCTACATTCCCCTCTACATGTTCTCCTCTAGATATCTTCCTCTATATGTCCTTACCCATGTCCTCCTCTACATGATCTCCTCTAGATGGCTTTTCTAGATGTCTCCTCTACATGTTCTCCCCTCTATGTCCCCTTCACATGTTCTTCTCTAGATGTCCTTCTCTACATGTTCTCCTCTACATGTCCCCCCCTCTATGTACCCTCTACATGTCCTTCTCTAAATGTCTCCTCTGTGTTTTTCTGTACATGTCCTCCACTACATGTTCTCCTCTACATGCTCCCTCTACATGTCCTCCACTACATTTTCTCCTCTACATGTTCTCCCCTCTATGTCCCCTCTACATGTTCTCCTCTAGATGTCACCTCTATGTGTTTTTCTGTACATGTCCTCCATTACATGTTCTCCTCTACATGCTCCCTCTACGTGTCCTATACTACATTGTCTCCTCTATTTGTTCTCCCCTCTATGTCCCTCTACATGCCTTTCTCTAGATGTCTCCTCTATGTTTTCTTTTGTACATGTCCTCCACTACATGTTCTCCTCTACATATCCCCTCTACACTTTCTCCTCTACTTTTCTTTCACTACATGTTTTCCTCTACATGCCCCTCTACATGTTCTCCTCTACTTCTCTTTCACTACATGTTTTCCTCTACATGCCCCCTCTACATGTTCTCCTCTACCTTTCTTTCACTACATGGTTTCCTCTACATGCCCCCTCTACATGTTCTCCTCTACCTTTCTTTCACTACATGGTTTCCTCTACATGCCCCCTCTACATGTCCTCCTTTACATATTCTCCTCTAGATGTCCTTCTCCAGATATCTCTTCTACATGTTCTCCTTTTCATATCCTTATCCATGTCCTTCTGTTCGTGTGTGTATTAACCGTGTGCTAAGCATGGTGTTCTTACCCATGATCCTCTCCTCTCCTGGCAGCAGAGACACATCAGACAGCAGCTCCATCTTCAGAGACTCTCTAGACGTCTGAGACACAAACACACTTCCATAGATCAGATGAACCTTTAGTTAATGTCTGTCAGGAGAGACTCTGTTTGAACTTGAATTAAACTCTTATTTGGATGTGAGCAGGTTTCTCACTGAGGTCATTATTTAGAGACGTTAAACTGACAAAGTCTGAACTGAAGGATCTAAGACACTGACCTTCACCCTGCTGCTCTGTAGAATAACTCATATTTAACTTTGATTTCACATTTTTCATGTCAACATCTCAGAGTTTATACTATACTGCAGGCTCATGTTTATTCTCTCCTTCTTCAGTAAAAACAGAGAAATGTGTTTTTATGTTTGTCCTGTTCAGATGAAAACTCTTTAATCTCTCAGAGTTTGTCTCTCTCAGTTTTTATTGGTGATGTTTTTCTGATTTGTGTAACTGACAAAGACTTCACACCATCAGCTGACTGAGTTTATAATGTTCTGAGAACTTTTTACTGACCACAGCTCGACTGTGGCGATATAATGACATTTGTAAAGTCTGTTTTCCTGCTAACCATCACATGTCGCTGGAGCTCAGGCCTGCTTCATCCACAGACAGTCAAATCTACAGGACATGCATTATTATAAAGTGTCTCTGCGGGGACAGCGACAGCAGAGCCCTACCTGTTCATACCTGTTAATACTTCATAAAGCAGGAGTACTCACGCTGGAGATGTGTGTGTCCAAGGCGTTGGAGTTATAGACTGAGACAGGTGAGGCCATCGCTCGGGGAGGGGGCTTCCACAGGCTGAGACACAGACAAAGACACAGAAAAAGACACAGACGCAGAATTAACAGGGTGTATATCAGCAGCTGACTGGGATTCTCTCTGTTACATCAGCGTCCAGATTGAGAGAAAGTGTGACAGATATGATGATGGGACTCTGATCACACCTTCAGGATTGAAACCCTGAGAGTCAGACAGGATAACACTCTCACTAACACTCCTCTCACTCACTCTCTTTGACAACGAGAAGATTTGACTCTGCACCAAAATCTGAGAATCTCCCTCCACAGATTGTGCGTCCCTCTGCAGTAACTCTGCCTCAGATCCTCCCGTCTCCAACAGTCTGCTGTTTACAACCGATTTCAGAGCTCTCAAGTCCAAATATTAACTTTGAGAAATGCTGCAAGACTTTTGAAGGAAGTGCAGCAGTCAGTCCTGCTGTATCTGTGAGCATCATCATCAATAACCCACAAACTGACCGTCTTATAGTATTCAATCAGCTGACTGAAAAGCTGAGACAACAGGTCAGTCAGTCAGGTACCGGTGTGCAGAGGGCTGAGGAGAGACAAGCCAGATACACCAAACTAACCCTGAACACTGACAATAGACTGATGTAAGAATACATAAACCTATGACCAGGTTCAGAGTGAGACTGGAACATCTTCTCTGCACAGGAAATAGAGACAGGCTTACAAAATAAAAGCCTCAAGAGGATACGGGACAGGTCTACACAATAAGAGCCTCAAAGGGAAAACAGAGACAGGTCGACAGAATAAGAGCTTCAGAGAAAACAGAGACATGTCTACAAAATAAAAGCTGCAGGGGAAACATAGACAGGTCTACAAAATAAAAGCCTCAAAGGGAACAGAGACAGGTCTACAAAATAAAAGCCTCAAAGGGAACAGAGAAAGGTCCACAAAATAAAAGCTGCAGAGGAAACAGAGACGGGTCTACAAAATAAAAGCCTCAAAGGGAACAGAGAAGTGTTCAAAATAAAAGCCTCAAAGGGAACAGAGACGGTTCTACAGAATAGGAGCTGCAGAGGAAACAGAGACAGGTCCACAAATAAGAGCTGCAAGTAAGCTGGCTAACTTTACTGAGTAAACATCTTAAACTGAAACAGTAAGGCTCACATACACCACACAGATATCTGAGGGATTAAAGTCTGATGTCAATTAAAAAGTCAGATTTTAATAAGGAAAAATTCTACAGGAGTTCAGAATTGGAGACCAACAACTACAGCCTAATAAGAACACACCCTTACTGTCTTCTAGATTTAGAGCTGAATGTTATTCCCCCTGTACTTTCAGACAGACTGACGGTTTGATGACACACCTGTTCCTGTACCTGTCACCTGTACCTGTCTGAACATGAAAGTGAAAATATGCAGCAAAGGGCGAGTCACTCAGTCAGGGAGAGAGTGAAAGAGGCAGAAAGAGAAGTGAAACTGAAGGGACCTCATTCTGTAATCTGGCCATGTGATTCAGAGCTTTTATTTTGGTAACAAAAAAAACAGAGAGGATCCAGATGAAGCATCAGCTGTAGCTCAGAGTATCAAACACTAGAGTCTCTGTTCTCTGTGTGTAGACCTGGATTATATTCAGACTTTTGTTATTGTCCTGAACTCTCAGATCAGAAATAAAACTCCTCATTAACCCTTTAATGAACCCAGACTCTGAATGAACCTCCATGTTACAGAAGCTGGACTCTGACAGCAGCTTCAGGAGGACTGAGACTGATCTAATCATGATGTCAAAGCCCCCCTGATGTGTTTTATTAACTGCTTCAGGTTGATGTTGGCGAGTACAGACTTTGTGTTTGACTAAATATGGAAAAGGACGATATATAGGTTTCACTTTCAGTAAAAATCAGGGTGCAGTTCTTCAGTTCTTCTTTATATCTACGGTTCCTGCTCAATAACCCCGCCTCTGACTGAGGCAGCACTGAGAGTTTAATGATAACAGAAAAGCTTAAACTTTATTTTCCAACTTCTTCAGGAGAGAACCTGAACTTCAAAATTTACACAGAACAAAAAAACAAACAAACAAAAAAAACAAGAAACTTAAGGTTTCAGTCAAAGCTGAATGAAAACTGAAACTTGCACACACAGACGGACAAACACTCTACTTCATTTTTCTCTCTCCGGTTCCTCAGCTTTAGTTCTGAGAAAGTCTAAAAATAAAAAGGTTGAAGAAATATTCATCTGCAGTCCAAATGTTCTGCTCTATAAAATACTTTTCCATGTGAAAATTCTGCTTTGGTTGTAAAATATCTGTATCTATCAGATCAGAGCCTGTCAGGGGGAACTTTTTTTAACTGAGATTTCAGCTAAACTTCTGACTCTGAATCTTTTAGGGCGGCGGCTGTAAACTGAACAAACTAACAGACCGAATACAAACATGGTGTTAACAACGTCAGGGCTTTAATGTCAGTCTGTGGAAACAAACATCTACAGTTAAGTTTTAGCCTTTATATGGCTGATTATTACAGAGGACAGGACAGACTAATCAAACCACGGCACATAGAGGGAATATAACGGTTACTTTTATTGATAATACTCACTTAATTATATGCCAGATTTCACTGTAAGTACGATATGATACACGATATGATACAATATGATACGATACGATACAAATACAATACACTTTATCGTCCCCTTGGAGGAATTTGTCGTGGACTCCAAGAGCTGCACAGATAATAGTAATTTTACAGTATAAGTAGTATAGTATTTTTACACCGTGTCATATAAACTGAAGGATTTTACTCTTTTACGGTTTACATTGAAAAGCTTCACTCCTTTAAAACCTCAAGACTCAGAGTTTAAGGACGATTCAGAATGAAGATTCTAGGCTGACAGCTGTGAGGTGATTTCTCCTCTCTCTCCTCTGTCCTCCTCCTCCTCTCCCTGTTCTCCTCTCTTCTTCTCCTCACTGTGGATTTGATCACTCATTGTATTTTTATGATGGTGTTAGGCCCATAATTGTTAGTAAAATCTGATTTATGGCCCATCTCTATTTTGAGCTCTGACATTTCTCTGCTGTCATTGCTGAGCCTTTCTGCATACTGAACTGACTCCTCCTCAGTAAACTGACAGTGTAATGAGCATTAGAGCATGCACAGGGTTTTTATGAGTGTTATTTCAATGTCAGCTGGTCTGCGTGAGGTGGAATAAGCTGAGGACATTTTTACAGTAACTTCTTATCTTTGTCTATTTTAGCTCTGTAAATTCAGCAAAAGACCAGTGTTCTGTTCAGGACTCTGTCTGCAGATACCCTGGACCCAGATCAGGCTTGTGGGCTGAAAAAGCTGATCAGGTTTTCTTCAGTCTTGTTTCCTGCACAGCAGTGTTCAGATTTTTTGATAGGTTTAAAGGTCAGAGGTTGAAGTTAAAGGCCAACAGGTGAGTGCTGATGCAGGAGAGGTAGGCTAAGACAGAGTGAGAGAATAACAACTGAATCTACACCTGAAACAGATTAACTTTATCCGACAGGTGAATAGACACACACACCTGCACTTTAAGAGCCACTCCTGTTACTATGGTAACAGCACACTGGAGACAGAGACTGGAAATGATCATAAAAAACTGAAACTAAACTGACAAAGAAAGAGCTATAAATGTAAACAACTGATTAATATCTGATCAACAGGTTTTTTATCAGTTCTGAAAGCGAACAAATCGAAACGTTTCTTTCATTTTTTCTCCTCTACTCCTCAGTGAGACTCTTTGAAACTCTGTGAGACTGTGGGTTAAATCCAGACATTCATGGACGTTATCTTTGAATGTCTGACACTCTTATTTACAGTTTTACTGAGAAATCCGTTTATCTAAAATAACCTAAGTGTGATTCACAGTCAGAGCCAAAAACATTGACCCAAATTCACAAAAAAAAAAAGAAAAATCACCTTTAAACACCTACACCCTTGTTATTCAACACTTTTAAACATTCTCTTCTTTTCTCATTGTATTCTCAGATATTCAGGTTGGTTCTGGACTTGAACTTGTGATGATAAAGAGAGTAAAATACTGTAAAATAAGCAGAGAACAAAAAACCTTAAAAGCTTCATTTACCTTATCAAGAAACTTTGTTCTTAGTTGAAAACAGAGATATTCTCACACACCTGTGTTTCTCACTGTGATATATGAGCTTTATATATTTATCATCCCTGATCACACCTAAAAATTAACATATTTTAATGTCATTTCATTAAATTATTAAATGTTAATTAGTCCCAATAACCTTAGACGTCATCTATTAATATCAGACACATTTTGAAACTCCACACACTGGCATATTATTGCTGTAAAAATGAAAAGGTTGAGGCCCTAAGACTGAGCCCTGAGGGACACCACATTTAACATTCCTGTCCTCATGTGTAGCTCCAAAAAATGCATATATAGTTTGTTTTCCAGATAATAATTTTATCAATATGACACAGCCTGTGAACCAGCAGTCAGCTAAACAACAGCCTAATCATTTAAACACAGCAGCCTGGACTTTAATATGAGCAGTAGAAAAAGGTACATGCGGGCATGAGGAGGTGAGGTCACTCAAAAACTCCACTGTTAGACCAGTTTTAGCAAAACCAAGAAGAACCAGACCTGAATCTCACTGCATAGAGGTCAGTGTCATTATGGACTGATTCAGAAACACTGAAAGAGAACAGCAGCAGAGACAGCAGACAGCACGAGCAGAGACAGCAGCAGCGTGGCGCCATACAGAGAGCATCAAACTGTTTCACAACATGATACATACAGATGTTTATGACCTCCTGAACTGACTGTTTCTTACTCTGGCTGACTGTACAAGCTCTGGTCCTCTCATGCTACATGCATGTTTAAATCCAAACAGTCAAATGAACTTGAACTTTTATCAATAAAAGATAAAAGTTCAAGATCATTTGACCAGATTTTCAATCATTAAAAAGTGCTGTGTTGTGTGTTTTACCGATGTCTGTCAGTATATATAGATCCATCAGAGTCTGACATTTACACAAATACAGGACAAATATTCTGAATTAATATGATCAAAAACAGAAATTCAACTCCAGTTTTTGCTCCTTCAGACTGAATTTTACATGTGATGATCTGAATTAATACAGGCTTTCTCTGTCACATAAACAGTCAGTACTTAGGCTGGTGAATTTTCTCCTCCACCTGCTAACTTAGCTGGTGAATCAGCTAGTTAAATTTGAACCCGGGTGTGTGTCAGAAATCTACATGTGTGTTAAAATCTGACTCCACTGATCTGTCTGCACATGCTGAAGCAGCAGGTAAACTCACCATGCACATCATACTAAATCAGCACCAGAGCTGTTTTACACCTGCAGCTGACAATCATCAGATCAAACATTATAGAGACCGCAGAAAAATCACCTGCACACACCTGAGTTTACCTCAAACAGCCAGCAGATCACGTGATGGTATTAAGTGACTTCAACTGGGAATAAACAGACTGATCAGAGAGGGTTGGGCTGTAGTTTGATCAGGGTCCCGTTGATTCAGGGTCATTTAGGGTGTATCTATTGGCTGTAATAAATGAATATGGTATTAAAATAATTCAATTAGGTTATTAACAGTCTTATCAGAGAGTGTGTAGTCATTTTGAGCAGAGTCAGGCTGATCCAGGCTGGTCCAGGTCTATCCTGTTGACAGTGTGCGGGTCTGGAGCAGCTCCTCTCTGTCAGTATAAACACATTAATACTCTCTCTAACTCTCCCTTAGCTCTCTAAACAGACTCTGCCTCTGACCAGGGTCGGTCTCCGGTTTGAACCCGCTCTCGGAGGCCGGGATCAGGCGAACTGATCCGGATCGGAGCTCCAGCAGAACCCTGAACTGAACTTTTCCAACTCTGCCATTCCAGCAGCACAGCTGTGGAGCTGCACCAGGAAACAGCGGAGGCCTACCCCGTACGACAGCTCCTTCCCGCCGAAAAACAAGCCCGTTTAACGCCGCAGAGGACAGAAACCTCCGGTAAACCCCCCAGAACGGCCCCTGGTTCGCCCCCAGGAAGACCCGCTGAGGCCAAATGTCTGGACTTACCCGCAAAGTGCGATTCTCCCGTGGCTGAATGTCGATCTGTTTCCCTCAAGCCACAGCAGGAACTTACTCCACGTCACGTGCTGGACTGTCAGGGTGCGGATTGGCTGGTTGTCAAAACGCAGCTCCAATTGAATGCTGGGAATTGCTGTTCTATGGTGTGCTTCCATGTTCCCTTTAAGGACCGTGGAAAGCTTTTTTAATCATTCAGATACAAACAATCATTATAGGTCGCTTTTTATGACTAAATACCATTTTACGATTTTATATATCATATTATATTATATTATATTATATTATATTATATTATATTACATTACATTACATTACATTACATTGCATTGCATTACATTACATTATATTATATTATATTATATTATATTATATTATATTATATTATATTATATTATATTATATTATATTATATTATATTATATTATATTATATTATATTACATTGCATTACATTACATAGTATCGTATCATATCATATCATATTATATTATAATATAGCCCACCTCTGCAGGTTCACCTTCAGACTGGTATCATGTGATCAGTCTCCTGCTTCTTTCTCCTGGAATTCCTGCATGTACCAGTCTGTAAAACTTATTCAGGGAGCAGTGGCCCAGCAGCTTCTCCCACAATGCATCACTCTTCAGGCCTAATGAGGACTTCAGTCTGAGTGCAGTCCCTGGTTCTGGACTGTGATGCCTTAGTTGGCTCACGACTCCTAAATTCTCACATTCATTGTCTGACTAAACACCAGGATCCATTCAGCCCACTCTGCACCCCCATCACTGTGTCACTGTCCCTCCTCCCTACAGAGGAGGCCCTGCTAAGTCTAACAAATCAGGACTGTTAAACTGTTCAGGAGCCACAAAGGAGGAGGAAGACCCTGTCAGACTAGACTGAGGACAGTTGGGAAAAGAATTTCCACTAAAACATCTCCATTACTGTTAAATCATTTCTATGTAAAACTTTTTCTATTTTTATGGTTCAGCTCATTAAACTTATTGAATAATGGTTCTGGTGTTTGTTCCTCTCAGTGTGACAGTGGGAGTTCAGACTGAGCAGAGACTCTTTATTTCAGCAGGAACATTCACACACAGTCTTATATGGAGCATTTTAACACCATATATCACCTATATAATATCCTCATCAGTAAAACCCTGCATGCTTAAACAGACTCGCCCACCTCATATTCATGAATCCACAGTCGATATTTTTACACTTTTTTTTCTAAATATTTGTTTTATTTCCAAGATTTTCATCCTCCAGGGAAAATGAATAAAAATAGAAACATTTTCTTTTTACCATAAAACAGAATAAACAAAGACAGGTCTACTTTTTATCAAACATTTGTTAAAGTCAGTGTGATAATGTTCTTTTGGCTGAACGGTTTGAAATTTTAACAGAGAGGATAAAAACAGTGTGTCTGTCCCAACTGTGTTTTCCTCTTTGTTTCTTTGTATAATAATCATTCTGATTTTTACCTTTAAAATTAAGTATATCTTTGCAGATTCTACAAACGATAAACAGCTAAATACAATACTTTGCTTTAAACTCCTCTGTCACAGCTGCAGCTCTCTTTTCTTCCAGTAGAGGGCCACAAATCACAGGTGGTGCAGAATGAGAGTGAACTCTGCTGATCAATCAGCCTCTAATCAATAAAGATTTTATTTTCTATAAAGTTGAAAACTTTATTACAAACATATTTAGTGTCTTTCACTCTACAGAGATAAATCAGAGTAATTTAAAAGTTTTTCTCTCTTCAGTTTATAAAGTTTATCCTCACTAAAATTCTGAATGTTCTGATTTAATCTCACTTCATAATCACTTAATGTTTTTCTGATTAGTAAAACATTTGACCTTTAGGGCCACTGTAGATTCTCTCAGAATTTAGTACCCCTCTGTATTTATCTTCATAATCTACTGTTCAAAAATATAAGTTTTAAATTTTTTAAATGTTAAAAACAAAAAAGACTAAGAGTGAAACACTGCTGATTAAAGACCAGCTGAGTATGCGAGAGTCAATGTGTGTGTGTGTGTGTGTGTGTGTGTGTGTGTGTGTGTGTGTGTGTGTGTGTGTGTGTGTGTGTGTGTGTGTGTGTGTGTTATGTCCTGAGGGTTCTGACCGTCCTCTGAATAATGAACTAATTGACACTTTGGGTCGATGAGCTGAACTGCAGTCAGCACGTGAGCAGAAACATTGATCAGACAGACCAGGACAGAGACAGACCTTCAGACATCACTCAGCAGGTTTCAGGTCCGAGGGGGAACAGGGGGGTCATCAAGGTTTTTCTATATACAGTCTATGCCCGACACCTGTAGCCAGTTGAATCCAGCAGTGTGGACCAGGAGGGAAACAGGTCAAACTGTAATATATGAATGTTTTCCGTCATTGGAGTTGGTTCTGTTCACGCTGGTTCATGTCATGTTGTGTATTTTACGGGTAGTTAATTTTGAATCATTTTGATGCCACAAAAGGGTTGTGACATCATGACTGACAGCTCTGTTGACCAATGAGGATCCTATGTGCTTTAGATTTTCAGAGTATAGGAGGAACAGAGACACAGACACAAGTGTTACTAGACTTTGTCAAACCAAGAAAGTCTACTCCACTCCCATAAGATTTTGGTCTGCTGTGGACTAGGTCCATCACAGGAAGCTTTGAGATGGACTGGGTCCATCCAAGGGAGCTTTAAGGTGAACTGGGCCTACCTGTGGAAAAACACTCACCATTTTAAATTGTTCATTAATTTTAGTATTTTTAAAATCTTTGATTCCCCCCATATGTCCATCTTAGTTCTTTTTTTTTAGTAGCCTCTGACAGTAGATTTTGCTCTTTCTGTTGTTTCATAAATAAATTTGTAATTAGGTGTTATGGACCTGGAGCTGCAGACAGACCTGGTCCCTGTTTCATGTTTTTTTTTTATTATTATTATTTTTTTCTGCTAAAAAAATTGAAAAAAAAATCACTCTATTGTTTCTCTAACACACCTGAAACGATAGTGTCTGTAAAAACCTGAGTTCTTCTTGTTTTGATGTGTGATAGATGAACTAGCAGGTGAAGCTGGTCCAGACACAGTTGGCAAGAGGATTTCTCAGGCTAATGCTGGGCTAACACCAAACAATTCTCACAGTCCCAGACTAAAAACTGAAAGTCTTGAGTAAATCTAAGAGTTTTCGGTAGTTACAGCTCACTCCTGTAATCTTGATTGTTCAGTTTAAGGTGGTCATCTATCCTGTTTTATATCGATCTTTTCCTCGTCTTGGGTTTGTGATTATATCAAAAATGTTTGATATTATCACAAGTCACAGTGACGTAACACAACCAGCAACCAATAGATGAGCTCTGACAAAAACTGAAAAGGAAACCTGACAGTCAAAACAAGAAGAACGAGAATGTATGAAGAATTACCAGCGATAAAACGTTGATAGTGGACAGTCCAGAAAGAGGAGCGGATAGTGGAGCTGTGAGCAGATCAGCCTTGCCTACCTACAGCTGATTAATGAGCCCCCTGTCTTCAAATCACACACCAACACAGATAGATTCCCCACCAGTGGGAAACAGTGAAATGTCAAAAATTGCTAAAAGAATCTAGTTGTAGTCTTGTAAATTGTAACCCTAAAAGATTCACAGTCTTTGTCAATTCTCAGTCTGAGACGAGGCTGTGACTAAAAACTCTGAACACTTGTCTTTAAATGTGAGCAGGTTTGAGCTAATAGTTTTCCAGGAGTCTTTTCCAAATCTTTTCAGAGTCTTCTGATGTATAGGTGGCATTAGAGAGATCTGTTTCCATCAGCTCCAGTCTGAACCCTGGTCTCAGTGCTCAGACTGATAAGCAGGATTTATTTTTATATGATCCATAAATGAAATCCAGACTCAGCTCATCTGATGAGTCAGAAAGCGGTCCAACCCTCAGACAGTAACAGGAGCCCTAATTGGCCAGCTGTCGTCTCTGCTGGGAACAGGAACAGGTGTCAGGCACAGAGGGGTCGAAGGTCAACAGCTGGTCAGCTTCACTGTTTTGTTATTCAGCAGGATTAGACGGGATCCCGTGAAGTCTGTCAGATGTTAGAAATATTTCCAACTTTTCAAAATTAAGTCACATATTTTTGTTTAAAATGTATTTTTAGAATATTTAAATGCTTATAAGTCATCAATGAGATAAGAAGTGAAGCAAGATACTTCAATACGCTTAAATTTAGAGTATTCAAATGACCACTTTTTAAAATAATGTTTCAATGAAGAATTTCAGGAGCTGATTTAGTTAATACCATTTTAAATTACATGTTTAAAATTCAATTAAAGTACATTTCCAAACAGTTTTAAATGATGTTAAGTTACTTTTATCAGTGTGTGGATAAATGAATTCGTAAAAATGTATATCTTGTATTTTATCTATAACCTTATAATCTTGTTCTTAGATTTATTTGAATAAATGTTGCTCTGCTGCGTCAGTGTGGCCTTAAACTCTCAGACTTTATTCTCTCAGATACACAGAGTTTATTAAAGGACAAAATGTCACACAGCTAGGAATATACAGGAGGGAAAAACGTCCAATTACTGTCTATATGGTGAGCAGATACCCTGAGATGATTCTGATACTTACTGATATCCAAGGATCGCTGGTTGTTTAACAGTAGTTGCACTTTTAAAAAAATGCCCTGATTATTTTATTTTATTTTTTTATTCAGTTTCATCCAAAGGTCTACAGATTCCAAGGTAATTTTCACCTATTGACATCCAGGAAACTCTGGCTCTGCACTTTTCAGGAGTTCCAGTGTGGTTGCTGTCTCTGTTTCTTTACTTTAATGTCACCCACGGGTTTATGGATTCTGAAGTCATTTTGATCACCAACTGACGTTCAGGGATCCCTAGTTACTACAAAAGCATCTGCACTTTCAGGAGCTCTCTGTTTCTTTGATTTAGTTTTATCAGCAGGTTTGTCGAGTCTTAGATAATTGTGATTACTCACTAATGTCCACGGATCCCTGCATCAGCATCTGTTCCAGTTTGATTGCTTTCTCTGTGTCTTTATTTTCTCAGCTGTGTGGTGGTCCTCCTAAACACCCATCAGTCTGGCTGGTCGCTCAAACTCAATAAACTTCTCTGGTACTTAAATTTTAATCTAACAAAGCTCCCCTTGAGCCACATCCCATTGTCTAAATGTGATTATTTAATTCTCAGCTATCATCTAGAGATACAGGAATGCTAATTTTGTCTTACTGGAAACAGGTGGGCATGTATAGAAGGAATAGGTATCAAAACCTAGAGGTCAGATTCAAGATCAGAATGTTCTCTTGTTCACCCCTCTTGTTCATGAAGTGTAGGTGGCTCCTTAGCTTATGTGTTGCGTTTCATTTTTGGAGGTAAAGGTGACAGTTTAAGTGGAGGAAAGAGTGGAAAAAATTAACTCTCACTTTTGCTCTAAAACACGAGCCGTCATGAGTCTAATTCCTTTGCTTTCTGGTCTCTTTTTTGCCTTAAATGGAACATAATAACCCAAATGAACATCAGTCATACGTACCTCACAATCAGACGCCCCCTGCTGGATGTCAGACAGAATGCAGGAGCACTTGCTTAACTTTCAGATAAGAATTTCTTTATTTGGAGTCATGGAAAAACTGCTGTTTTCCTTTATTTCTTTAACTTTCTCTTCTCTGAGCAGCTATAAAAGGATTATTATTATATAAAAGGATTCATTTGATCATTTTTCAGACCGTTTTTCTGCATGAATCGGCGAAGATGACTAAAATGCAGTTATATTTAATGTTGCATACATATGTTTGTATTGAATGTGTTATTTTGATCTTCTCGCTGTAGGACGGAGAGCAGAGAGGTCTGAGGATCTGCTGCCGAGGCTGGTCTGTAGTCTCTGCACGTCCCTTTAACACATACACACACACACACATACACACACACACACACACACGCAGAAAGGAGGGGGAGGGCTGCAGTGATGCTGAGCCGCTCCAGTGAGTCCAGTATGGAGGGCTGACGTCAGCACTGGGAGGGGCGGGGCTTGTGGTTCGTGCGGATCAGAGCCGGTCTGAGTCCCTCATTCATCAGCGGACCTGCTGCAGCTCTCCTCTCCACGCGTGTCCGTCTCTCGGCCTCCATCCTCCTCCAGCAGCATCGGCAGACACCGGGACTCCCCTCCTCCTCCTCCGGTCGGACTCCTCCTCCCGCGGTAAGCCCCGCTCAGAGCGGACTCAGCCGGTCTCACTGACCGGAGCAGGCTCCTCTCCTCCGGGGATCGGGCTGAGGAGCCGTGCGGTATGTTGCAGGCCGCCGCTGCAGAGCGTGACGCCTCCAGTCCGATGAGGATGAGGAGGATGATGATGATGATGGTGATGGTGATGGTGGTGATGATGATGATGTTCGCTTTAATCTGTGCGGGATTATGTAACGCTTTAATGTGACCTTGCGGGATTATTTTCATCTGATGGTCGCGCGCTGCATGAGCTCTGTGATGACGACACGGTGGACACGTTATTACAGCATCAGACACACACACACACACACACACACACACACACACACACACACACACACACACACACACACACACACACACACACACACACACATAGCGCCTTATTACAGCAGGCTGTATTACCATCAGTTATTCATGTGTCATATCAGATTAGCGCCTCTTTAATTGATCATATTGTCAGATTATAACACTAACTCATTTAATAATAACTGACACACTTACAGACACGTGACCAAAGTCTGAACACGTTTATTCTCTCTTCAGCTCATATATTCATATTAATGTCTGATAATCCTCACTGCTCTGTCTTTAGTGTCTTCAGTAAATATGACAGGAAAACCTTTTTCTGTGAATCGCAGAAACTTCTGAATAATTGATTGTGTGTTTGAGTGAAGAGGACGTCCTGTTTCTGTGAGCTTTAGGCTTCATTATCAGCTGATCCAGGTGAGCCGCATGTTACAGACAGAGAAATGCCTGGTGTATTATAGTTATGATATTTGATCAGGGTTTCAGTGGATGATTGTGTTATCCCTCTTAGAAAAGCTGCTGATGTGTCATGTGTGTATGCATGTGTGTGTTGAGAACAAGATGTGTAGTTCAGCATCTCTGCAGCACACTCTGTAACTCTGGCTGAAAACCTGCAGCGTCCATCAGGAGGCTGTACCTGAGCAGAGAGCTGACTCTCGTGATCTGGTTTTTAGAGCTGCAGTGGTCCTGGTCTGATGGTCATGAGAACCTGCAGAATTTAGGCTCATTGAGGAAGATTCGCTCTTCGGTGTTAAAGTCGTTCTTTAAGTAAAACCAGCGGCCGATTGTTGTGGTCATCGATGTCTGCAGGACAAATGTGAAACAAATCTGGGACACGAAGACTATGTGGTCCAGAAAGTCTTATTGTAAAGATATTAAAGTCTAGAGTCCTGAAATGCAGGAACTGAACCATCTCTCAGGTGTGTGGCGTTGTTGAGTCAGGTTTCCTGTTAGGTGATCCACTGGATCAATTTTAACCTTCAGTCCTGGCGTCTGTCAGTATGAGGTTCAGACTGAGGACTCTTTCATCAGACCCTGAAAACTGCATATTTAACTTTATGTGTTGAACTCTAAATAATTGATCCATTTAATCTTAATTTTAGATGTTAGAATAATTCTTTTATTTAATACAGTAAGTCATTACACTGATCACTTTAGAGCTGAAAGGATCAAACTCCATTATTCAGCATTTTAAAGGGTTGTAAATCGACATCTACACGTGAATTGATTTAGGGCGTTGATTTGTGAATCAGATGAAATCAGTGAAACATCCTAAATGATCTTGATATTTATGATCCTAATGAAGCTGCTCTGTCACAGCAGAGGAGTCAGACTCACAGGGTTATTATACTTTGAAGGAGAGCGCTGTTCAGAGTACAAAATGTCCAATCAGAGTCACTGTGCTGAGCTGACGTCCAGGGATCCCTGGTTAATGCGGTTTGAGTTCTAGTTTGGCTGCTTTCTCTGGTTCAAAGAGGTTTGGTACGGACTGACGGTCTGGTTATAGACCTGTTCTTGTTCTAACTGTAAGACTGTGACCTCCTTTGGTTTAGTTTCAGCCTCAGCTCTGTGGTGGATCTCCTAAAAAGTGCTCTGTCGGCTTCTGTGATTCGTTTCCTATCAGTCTGGTTAGCTGCACCTGTATACTTAGCTTCGCTGGTATCTGTTTTTTTAGGTGAAATTAGCAAAATGAGTGTTAAAGCAGCGGCGGTTCAACAAAAAAAACGCAAGATTCATTTATAACAGACAGTAATGATAATGAGCCTATTAACACAGACAGCCATGGTCACATGATCAGTCAGGTAAGAGTGCGAATCTCTCAGCTAACTCAAGACTTTGACCCTGATCATACTTATACCAGGATACGGTCAGTGGCTTTACCTGTACAGGTACGACTGTCTGGACTGGACGACTGTCTCTGTCCCAAAAATCACACAATTGACAGAATTATGTCTACCTTGGTTACTGTCAGGTTGTCTTTACATTCATGTGGAAACACAGTTACAGCCCTGTGCCATTTGTTAGGAACATTTGCTAGTTTTTACGTCCTTCTTTGTCTGTGGAGGTTTTGGTTACTACCTGCTTCCCAGCAACTAATTTTTCCTCATTTTTTTGATGTGCGAAAATTGAGCATGATCAGAACTCTTGGTCCAGTATTAGTGGGACTGAGACAAACAGGTGAACGTACTGAGTGATTCTGAAATTCCTGTAGAATCCTAAACTGATCACAGACAGATCTATCAGGATATGCTACTGACTTGAGGACTTCTAACAGATGAAGCTCAGGGGTAACGTTATTAACGACCACGATAAAAACATTTATATCTGGAAAGTCCTGCATCAGTGTTTGATCTCAGCTTTGACCCTAAATGCTGAATCTGAAAATAGAGTTTCAAGCTTTAAAGGGAAAGTCTGTGAACTTTGCAGGTACTCTGATCCAGCTCAGACTAGAAACCGTTGGATGATGAGCAAAACCACTGTGTGTTTGACTTTAATAAGGTAACTCACCTCTTAGCATGTCTGCTGCAGACACGGGCTGCTGTGGGAATATTTGGTTATTGATATTTAGAGGAGAGGTCTGCATAGATCTGTAGTTTGTGTGTAGTTTGTGTAGTTTGTGTGTAGTGTCAGTCTGGTTTGGTTTATAATGAGGACGAATAATGGATGTTAGTCAGCAGGGAGTTGGCGGATGGTTTTAAGGTTTAATTTCTAAACTGGCCAGCCTGTCACACTCAGACCTGATCCAGAACCTCCCAGACCTTGACTGGAACATGTCTGTCCTGTCCTGTTGTCTCATTGTCCGCTGATTGATCAGCTGATTAGTTTCAAACTGATCAATTTTTCAGCTCTAGAGCAACAAGCAGAAATAATTTAGCAGAGCTGGTCGATAGATGGATCAATGAGATGAGGGTGGACTCAGATTTAAAGTGGACTGAGGCTCCAGGGTCAGGGTTACTCATGAGAGGGTCAGGGTCTTAGGCTCTGCAGACGTTTCTAAAGAACAGCTGAAGAGAGAGGACATGTGGAGATGAGAGAGTGAAGGAAGGAATCCAGTATATGCTTATGGTTGGGAATTGAACCAGCAACCACTGTGACAAAGTCAGAAGCCTTTGTATATGGGGCGCCCCTTAGACCTTCAAGCTCGCAGTACCTGCTCTGCAGATATATCTGGTTGTTATTGGGTTATCCTCTGACCTGCAGGATTTCAGCTCCTCAGACGGTCTGTGAAAAACAGGTCAGTTTAGGGAGAGAAACCCCAAACTACCATCTTCAGAGAGGCTGAAACGCTCCATCCACTTCATCAGCCAAAAAAAGGAGGAAGGAAAAGGATTCTAAATTTAGACCAGGACTATGAGCAGGGACAGAAATACAGGGTCAGACTGAGGGTCAGACACAGGGGTTCAGGGTGCTGAGCTGCAGGATCACCCTGCATTAAACAGACTTATCCTCTTAAACACTGGAAGGATATCCACCTCTGCAGGTGAGCTCTGTCCCTGACAGACACATCTGGATGAAGGTGAGGAGGAGGCTGCAGAGACCTATGAGTCAGACAGGAACAAGGTCTGAATCTAAGAGGAAGAGAGGGACAGCATCAGGGATTATTTTCCAGATCTGAGCCGGTGAATGTTGAAGTCTTCAGGCTGATATCTGTCAGGCTGTAGAAGTCCGTGACTATCAGATGTAGAGGTGGTTCCTCAGAGGACACAGAGAACATGAGGAGCTTCAGTTTCTGTCCAAGGAGTCAGAAAAACAAACTCAAACACGAAGCGATCATCAGAACTAGTTAGTTAGCAGTCTGAAGTTAGCATGTGCTGAACGTGAGACTGGAAGCTTATTTTTAGTCCTCCTGTCATGACGTATTTGACAAGTGGACATTTGACCTCTGACCCCAGAGTCAGCAGAGACATCAGGGTTCAATCTACAGGGACCATAAGGATTTACAACAGCCCATCTGATAGATAATCCACCAAAACTGACAAAACTACAAAGACATCAAGAAAAAAAACCTAAAACATGTGATTTTATAAGAGTGATCAGGTCCAGAGAAGTCTTTGGTGGTTCTGGATCCTGTTTCTACCTGGTTCCCTATTTGCATGGTTCAGTTTGAACCTCATTTTTAGATGCAGTGATGAACTGTGGTTTTTAAAGTAAATTTGAGCCCAGGACATTTACAGGGTCCTGACTCTGGGATCATTTCGGTCTCTGACAGAAATTTAAGCCTCATATTGAGTTCAGATCTAGATCCTGTTACATCTCCTGAAACTGAATCAGACGTCTCAGAGTGTCTGATCCAGGTGATCCTCTGAAACCCAGCTGTCAGAGGGGGTGGGGTTACACCTGTGGGCAGGTAACAGTCTGTCTGTGAGTATACTCAGTCTGTGAGTATCATCATCCAGATACCACACTGAGATCCATCCCTGAGTCAGATCTGCAGTGCATTCTGGGACTTGTCCCCCTCTTTCCTTGTGTGTGTGTGTGTGTGTGTGTGTGTGTGTGTGTGTGTGTGTGTGTGTGTGTGTGTGTGTGTGTGTGTGTGTGTGTGTGTGTGTGTGTGTGTTAGTGCTCCGTTTGGCCAACCATCTGGACTCTCACCACGAGCCCCTCACCCCAACAGAACTGGGACACTCTCTCTCTCTCTCTCTCTCTTTCTCTCTCTCTCTCTCTCTCTCTCTCTCCTCAGGGCTAAACATGGAGGGAGCAGCAGCCCTGATTAAAGATGATCATTAATTGATGGGAACTATCGAAGCGCTCCATGTCAGTGATATTCAGTCTCTCACTCTGCGTCCTTTTTGGGACTTTTTGTCTTCTTTTGAAAGGACAGCTTAAGAGGGAGACAGGAAATAAGGGGATGGTGTGGGGGATGGCATCCACCAAACCTCGTCAGGACTAGAAATTGATCCTCTGACCGTTACAGAAGGACTGCAGCCTTTGTGCATGCCCCACCACCTGAGCCAAAAGAGAGTCTTTTAGCTGAGAAGGTCATCAGAGGTCACAGATTGTCATGCTGATGAACAGGTTTTACTTCACTCATGTCATCCTCCAGCTCTCTGTTGCCCACCTGGCCTTTGTGAGCTAATATGGTGCCTGTGGTGATGTCACGACAGGACTCAGTCACATGACCATGAAGGCAAATTACTCCCACTCCTGCAGCTTCCTCTTAACTTCCTGGAATGCTGTTGTTTTGTGGTTTTCTTTGTATTGCTGCAGAAAGGCTTTAAAGTAACTCTGTTGTAACCATGGCTACAGTGTATTATTGGTAGGGGCTCCCCTGGAGGGCTCGCCATGTTTGTTTTGGTGTCTGAAATTTCTTATGACATGTTGACCTCTTAGGCAGATCACCCTTTTGAGAGAGATCCTGATCTCAATGAGTTTAATCTGATTATATAAACATTAATAGTACTAATAATTCAAGAAGCCAATCAAGGCAGCCCCCTGTTATCATCCTTGCTTCAGATCCCCTCATGATTAAAAATAACTTTCATGGGACCTTTTACATAAAAGTCATTTCAATTATAGTCCCAGTCATTTTCTTGTACAAATACAGAGAAAACCCTTTACTGGTTATGTTGAGATTCAGAGTTTTAGACAACTGTTTAACAAAAGTCAGTTTGATCAGTTTAATGCTGTTTCTCTGACTTTTAAAGACTCAAAGATGAGCTTGATCATAAAATAATCTTCAGTTAAAAACCCCGTGCAGCTTCTCAGGTCTGACTGGAATCAGTGTGTTTTTGTTCGAGGTTTAAACTGGGACTGGAAATTATTGAAGATCAGCTGTCTGTGGACACGGAGGGGGGTGGGGGGTTGGGGGGGGTGGTGGTGGTGAGAGAGACAGAGGTATTTGTGATCTGATGTCTTGTGACAGTTTGGTATTTGGATGTGAAAGCGTTGAGGCTTTATTGTGTTAATCATGGAAGGAGAGAAAAAATAGAAAACACAACATGGATGTCCTTTTCTCTGCTCTTCTGTCAACACACTGACTCACTGTCCCTCTCTGTGTGTCTGTGTGTGTGTCTGTGTCTGTGGAGACAGGACTGTAAAGGTCTAATCTTTGTGTACAGAACCTACATAACAACGTAGATCCTGGATTTCAGTATGAGCACTGTCCTGGTCTGTTTGTAGTCTGAGTTGTTTTGACCAATCAGGTGTCAGCGGGCTTTAGAGTCTGCAGGAAAAACAGTCCGTATGGAGAGCAAAAACAGGAGGAACACCCCTCCCTACAGTAGACAATCACAATTGGAACGGCTGTGATCAAGTACATCCTGATCAAATACAGCATAAAGTCTGTTCAGATCCTTCTAAACTGTCTTTTTCACCATGTGGAGGTCTCATCTAGTCTGGATCACAACTGACAGACTGTTTCATGACTAAATAAGATCTGTGGACCTGTAGGCCTGTATGGTGGTCATATAGTGTTAACGCTGTAGGGCAGCCACCCTTCACTGTACCTCTGGTTCATGTCTGCTGCCGCCATGCTACAGTGCTCCACCACCTGGATGTAAAGGTTTAAAAGAGCGTCTTACACATCAAACTCACACACCGCTTCTCATGCTGACATCAGTCTGCTTTATCCAGCATCACTGAGAGGAGGAGGAGGGGGAGAGGGAGGAGGAAGAGGAACATAAATCTGATAGAGCATGAGACTTCTCAGGGACAACATGCACTCACACGTGCGTGCGTACACACACACATATACACACAAGAAGACACACACACACACACACGTTCTGGTTGTGTGGCTCTGAGGGGACCTTGCAGATTAATGAGTGTATAGGTGCTGCAGTGCAGAGTCAGGACCGGGGGGAGGGACAGAGGGGGAGATTTATGGCAGAGGGGGTTGGTAAGAAGGATGGGTGGGGGGTAAAGAGGAAGAGCTGAGGAATGAAGAAAGGATTTATAGGAGATGAGGAGGAGGAGTGAAAAAGGAGGCTAGAAGAGGTGACAGGTGGAGGAGGTGAGGAAGAAAGGGGGAGGAGAGGAGAGGTGCATGAGAGGTTTTATTGTTTGCAGATCAGACTCACTTGTGATGAAGTACTGCAAAGTCAAACAAGACTGTGTGTGCGTGTGTGTGTGTGTGTGTCTGTGTGTGTATTTGTGTGTGTGTGTGTGTGTGAAGAAGCTCCTCCCTCCACCTGAAATAAGGAGAAAACATTGAAGAGACGGGGTGAGCTCCTCATCTCCTCCACAGCTGTCCGTCTGTCTGTGGGTATAGTGACGCACATATAATCCCCTCCCCCACCCCCCTCCCCCCACAGCTGGCCTCCTCCCCCCTTTGACCCTCAGTCCTTTTATAGCCTCTGACATGCAGCGCAATCCTGATCTTAGAGATGCTGTGTGAGCAAGCAAACCTGTTTTAGAGCCTTTATCCAAGATGATGATGATGATGATGGCGATGAAACTGCGCAGATAACAGCAGAATGAAGAGGATCAATCAGTGCTGCAGCGGTGCGTCACTGTACCTAAAATAAATCAGTCTAATCTCTGATAGGGGAAACAAATGAAATGTTCTGGTGCTGATATCTGAGAATATATGTTCTCAGAAACATGGAGGAGGAAGATGAATCTATCAATATTTAAATTGAATTAAATTTAAGAAGATGAGCTCAAGAGAAAAAGGGATTTTCAGAGAAAATACAAACAGGACTGACGATTACAAATACAGATGATGATGATGATGATGAATAAATATTGAAACCTTTCTGGGCTTCAAACACAAATTTATTCATGTTGATTTATTTGGAAAGTCCTCTGCGGCTCAGAGGGATACAATATTGATCAATTCATCCTTATAACTCCCACAGTGACCGTTAGAGGAGAGGCTGAGATGTGCTGTGTAAATCGTAACACCCCCACCTGCAGTAAGCTGTTGATGCTAAAGGATTGAGAACAGATGTCTATTCAAGAAGACAGGGCTGTTCAAATGTGTTCAAATAGTCAAGGGACTTTTACGTCTTTGCACCCTGAACCTCACTAAACATCCAGATCTTATCACCCAGATCGTAGCATCCAGTAACATACAGTCCCACACCCCCAGATTTATCATAGTCTATGCACATTAAACTGTGTGTTTCATACTATTTAAACACTCTCCTCCATGTTAGTTTAACGAAGCTGGTTGGTTTGATGTTTAATACATAGATATGGGAGTGATACTAATCTTGTTGTGTAACTCTGCATCAGAGTGAATTAGTGTATTTCCAGAAATGTTGAACTGCTCCTTTAAACACAGCTTGTGAGAGACCAGTCAAAGCTGCTTATACCAAATAGTCTCTCCTCTTTACCTCTGACACATCCTCTCCATACACAGGCAGCCCACAACATCCGAACAGGCCTCATATCCTGATGTCTCTATCAACTTGAACAATACAGGTTTTACTGTTGAGGGCATTTATTCACTTTTTTAATATATGACTATTTTAACACTCCAGCGTATGGCAGATTAGACTCGAGCAGCTGTGTGCACATGTTGAGGAGCTAAGTATTTTAATCCTTAATCTGAAGTGAACAGCTGAGTTCTTCATAAATTCAGTCTGTTCAGGTCTCATGAATAAAGAAATAAGCTACAGAGACTCAAACTGTTTCTGTTCCAGCCTGTAAACATGCCTGTTTCTGCTGTGAAGTTTAACACTGGGCTCAATGGGGGGTGAGTCACTGCAAGATACAGCCTCTAGTGGACCCCGGAGGAACTGCAGCATTTATGTTCAGCCCTTCAGGATACAGTTTAAGCAGACCTGCATTCATGGTGAACATCACAGACTAAATTTTCCTCAGTGATCTACAAACTAGCTCCCTAAAGATCAAACCTGCACCATGATGTCTGTGCACATACACAGACAGATCACAGACCTGCACACAGACGCCTGTGATCTAGACGGATCAGATTATTGAATATCATGTTATAGAGCTCAAACATATCAAGGACTCCCTGAAACCTGAAGTCCATAGTAATCCGTTTCCATTAATGTTGAAGTGTTTTTATCTGCATATTTGAATCTGGAGGTCCTTTGAGACCCGCTAATATTGACATAAGCAGGAACTGAGATGGTGCAGCTGGACTCTGCTGATTGGATGAGAACGACCGTTCACCCTGGTTCTCGATGAGTTTCTACATTTGAAGCTTGAATGTACGGAGAGTTAAAACCTGACACTTGAACTGCTGAAGATGTCACAGGACCGCAGGGCTGTTTCTGATAGTACATGATGTGGGTTGTGGCAGCTGTCAGCCAAAACATGTCTGTGATCTGTTGTGAGCTGCAGGTTTTCAGTGGGCTGTAGTTTCAGGTGGAAGAGCTGTGGAAGAGCTGAAGGTTTGTGTCAGCAGGTAGAGCAGTCAGTATATACGGTAGTTTGAGAGTGTGTGGGTGAACGGTAACCTACCCTGCTGTAAATTATGCATCCTGCCTCAGATAACTCATTATTCATGAGCAGAGCTGCATCATACAGGTGGTGGTGGTCTTGGAGGTCATTAGCTGAGGAGGTTCAGTGAAAACTCGATGACAGCTGACACACCCTGCACTTTCACAGAGGTGAGGACAACATGAATAAATACCAAGTTATATGATTTAAAAATGGATGTCATGTAAATGTCAAACTTACAAGAATAATTTGTCTCTTTCTGTTTTCAGGAAATACACTCCTCCATCTGCACCTCCAGTTTGGTCCAGGACTTACTGAGGGCCCAGACCTTTATGATCTGTGGTGTTCATGTTCAGCTGTAAAGAAACAAAAATATCATGTCTGTAAAAAATAAAAGGGTTCAGTTTGGCGAGTCTTTTGTTACTTTGACTCTACAGATGCAGATTGAGGATTTCTTTTGGCCAATCTCTGATCTGAGTTGACATCACTGTTACCAGGCAGGAAACTAAGGTCAGCTTTTCCTTTGAAGTGGAGCTCTCGTTTGTATGATCTCTTTCTTCACGTTGAAGTCTTCATCCAGACGTCAAACTCAGCGTGTCCTCTTGACGAACATCAGAATTCCATCCATCCATCTAGATGTGGTCAAACTTCTGTCCCTGACTTTGTTGATCAGACTGTGAACGTGTGCCTCTCATGGGCCTGATGGTCTGTCCATAACTGAAGGGTCTTTATCCTCAAACACACTTTTAGAGCTTTAGACCGCGTGGCCTCCAGATATACAAACTGAGCAGCTTCATGATGTCAGTGCTACAACTTAAGGGAAAAAAAAGCTGAAATCTACCCTGTAAATATCAATGTACCTGCAAGATCAGCTGACTCTTAAAGGGAATGACAGCAGACACTGATTGGTTTGATTTACATGTATGTTATGCCAAAAATACATTTGAATAATAAAGGGAGATAATTCGGCTTTGACTGCACCTCACTCAGAGTCCAGACTGAGCCAGCGTGCCGGTGGACACACTCATATACTGGAGCCCTGCGATCATGGACCATAAACTCATGATGAAAATGTTTAATGAAGGTATAAACTGAAAGAGAGAAGGACTCATAATAAACCTGAACACCCAGAGGTCTTTGGCAGACAGCAGGACTTTCCTCTGCAGTCTCTTAGACCTTTAGATCCACAGGTCTCTACACTGGCTCTCCAGGTTTTTAAGCAGACTGAGTCCATGTCTTATTTTCGTGTCTGGTGTAACGCTGCTTCATGGCTTTGTTTTAGTAACAAACACGTCCACTCGTGCTTCACCTATTCACTATCTGAGCCATCAGTAAAAACAAAAATAAACACATTTCATTGGTGGTTAGGATAAGATAAGAAGAACTTTATCTATCCCTGAGGGGAAATTCAATGGTTGGTATTTTATGTAAATGAACACAGAACCAGACACCTGTCAAAGCTTTCCGACCATAACAGCAGAGTGATACTAGGACTTTGGGGTATAGTGCATTAGCATTTTTACCTTTATAGGAGACAATGTGGAAGTTTTTCACACACTTGTCTGATTGTGATGACAACAAGCACTGACTGATGATTGACAGATTTACCAACTAATCATTTTCTGGTGCCTGTGTGTCAATGGTTTGTTCCATGTATAGGCGGGGCTACGGTGGAAAAATGACATGGAGCCTGCTATGGTGCATCAGAGTGCTATGCTTATGTGTTTGCATCAGCATGGAGCCTACTGGCATGAAGCACTGGAACCAAGGATCTACCCAGGAGACATGAATGATTTTGGTGTCCATGTTGTCGTCACTTGACCTACGGGATAATCTCCTGAAGACATGGTGTGTTCCTCTGAGTTTTGTTTTATTCAGATGCCAAGAGACCTGTTGAGTATGATGCTTCTCTCAGTGAAGCGGGGAATGATCTTCGAGTTGGCAGCGTACTCCAAATAAAAACCCATCAGACTCTAAACTGCGGCGATGTTTATGAGGGAGCACTTCTAATCTGTGTGGTGGCCTGAATACCAATCTGTCTCTTATCAAATCTAATTGGTAAATCTGCAGGAAAAAGACCCTGCAGCCCAAACTTGGTCCAGAAATGACCCACGAGGACGGTCTTAGTGATGGAGAGCATCACTTTAAGACCAGGCCCCGATCGGCACATTTGATGGAGCTTTTAACAACGTGTTGAATCCTGTTGTGTTTGGAGTTTGCTGCCAGCTGAAACGAGGAAGTGAGCCAAAGCGTGAGAGAGTGAATAGAAGAGTGAATCAATGAGTGTGAGAGAGAGAGCGGAAGACAGATACACAAAAACAAAACAGCATCGCTCTCATTGGCAGGAGCCAAATACCCGGCCAAGCCTGACCCTGACACCTCATCTCCAAGCATCAAAGCATGATGGAAAAGTACCAGTGACCAGTGTGTGTGTGTGTGTGAGCAGACAGTGTTTTCACTACAAATGCCCTCACAGCTCACATGGCCCATTGATAGATTATTGGAACATGTCTAGCATTTCTGTGTTAGCCTCTTCAAACTAGTGAGCCCCCTCAGGGACTGACTAGCCCCCCACCGCCACCCAACCCCCCACATGATGGTCTCAGATACAGTGCATGGTCCAACACAAACTGACAGGCAATGAAAAAATTGATTATGACACTGAAGAGGGCCACAGGAATACACTAATGGAGTCTCTTTGAGCACTGTGTCCACATTTCTTTACAAAGTTTAAAGGATGATGAGGATAAAGACAAAGTAGGGGCTTGTTAATGCTGTAATATCTGATCAAATTAAAGAGCAAAGGCACCAAAACCTCTTTGTTTCTTATGAATGCCACACTCTTTGTAGTGAGATACTGAAGTCTTATGTCTTACTTCTGTTACGCTTTCCCCTGGTGTTATCATTTTCATTCAGTCAGCCTCAGCTGTAGATACCTGATCTTCTGATGGGAGGTTATGGCTGGATACTCAATTTTCAAGGATGTTTAATCCACAAATTCATGTTATTTTCCAAACCTTTCATCATTCTCCTTTTTGGGTGGTTAAATATTGAAGCAGTGAACATGAAAAGACTTCTCATGATTGCTTGCTATGATCAGAACCAACCACAGGCTTCAGAGCCCTTTTTGTGGGTCACCTGTTATGGGTTACCTGATTGCCCATATGTGGTTGTTGTTAGTCTTTCTTAAGATTCTCAAGCCTTGGGAAGAGACGACTCTGTGCAACATCTTTCAGTTCTCAGTTTCTGTATATGGTTCCTCACATTACCTGAAACCATCTCAGGGGGAACATATCTCACCTTCTTCATGTTTGGACTTCTGACATCACTGTTTGTTGGACCATCTCTCCTCAGGTTGTGCTGGATTCTGGCTCGAATGACCCAGTAATTCCTAGGCCTTTTTCCAGTGTCAGCCCCATCTTTTATCTTCCATCAGATCACTGTGCCAGAGTCCTCCATAGGCCCTTTGCACCAACATATAACAGATAAACCAATCAAGGGCTCCATATCATGACCCCCAGCTTTAAATTGTGTAGGCTGCCTTATGCAACCAAAACAATCCTGGTCCAATGAGACTTGAACTTCTCTAGACTTCTGAAGGTGTGCTGTTGCATCTGGCACCAAGATGTTATAGCAACAGATCCTGTAAGTCTTGGAATTTGAGGTTGGGCCTCCATGGGTTGGACTTGATGGTCTGGCTTATCTTACTGATGCTGGATTGGATTAGATTCAGCAGGATAAAAGACCAAGTCCATGACTTGACCTCATTTATTCATCCAGCTGCAGAGTAGCAGGTAACATTATCCCACTGAAAACGGTCATTGCAGCTTGGATACACTCAATCCATGAAAGTAGTCTGCAACAAGGTCTACCAGAAAAACATGGCAGAGACCATCCATTCCACTTCCTGTACCAGCTTCCTTTATGGTGCATGTTGGCTGCAAACACAGCTGACCATTCACATCTTGGAAGAGAAAAATGGACTTATCAAACCTGACCTTTTTGCATCAATCTGGGTTCAGTCAATTGTAGGTGCTTCTAGAGGTGGAAAGGGGTGTGCATGAAGACCTTTACCGATCTCCAATTCCACAGCCCCAAACCATGATGCTGTGTGTGTTTTGACACCTTTCTACCAGATACAGCATTTACTTTTTCTGTAGTTTGAGTTCCAGGAGCTCCTCTGTTGGATCAGACCTGAAAGGCTAGCTTCTCCCCCACAAACAAATGAGTAGAACTTGCCTGTCCACGACCCTTTCTCTGGTTCACTGGTTGTCCGTCCTTGGACCTCTTTTGGTGGGTCCTAACCCCAATGGACTGGTGGACCAATGTCACTCTTATCTTCCTGCTTGCCAATTTTGGTGCCTTAGCACGTCAACTTCAAGGACTAGATGTTGACCTGAGAGATCCAACCAGTTGCAGGAAGGTGACATTCAGAGGTCACATGGCGGAGAAGGGTGAATTTTTCTTTTCTTGAACTCAGGAAACCTACCTTGAGAATCATGGAGACCCATTTTCTTCTGGGGTTTGCAGGTTCTCCTTCATGGACCTGGGTGGAGTAAATCTTTCTTACTTTGAAGGGGACTTCTGGGTCATGTTGTTTACCACAGCAGACTCACCTCATAAATGGTTCATGGTATGTTTTAGCTACTGATGTCTTCAGTTTTTTCACTTAATACTCTCAGATAGGAAGATGTGGTCCATGGAGAAAAGAGGTCCAACAGGAATCACATTCTTGATCAATCTTTAAACTGAGCACACCTACAGTGTAGCCTTGGTTTGTGAGAGGATTGATGGTCCCTCAGGAAATCTGTGCTTGGTGCTGCCTTGATTGATCCAGAAACCCTTACCCTGACCTAGCATAATGGTCTTACACTTCTGTCCTCAATAAAAAGGATGATTTTTTTCGGAAAATGGTATTTTTCAGATCTGTTTATTTGGCGAGAATGACTTACATGTTTTTTACATTTTGTACAACTTTGTCATGCAGTCTGGAATTCCACAACCCTGACCCAGTTGTGAGCAGTTCAGTGTAAGTCTTGGTTCAGTTTGGACTAGTCCTGTCCAAGAGTTGAGCTATGTTTCATCATTTCACAGAACCCTTAAAAACTTGAACCTCTGCACATCCTCATTTCTGACAGACTGAGGTCGGAATAGCTTGTTGAGTTTCCATAGGCTCCTTCCCAATAAAGTCAGCAGACGGTCGAGTCAATGAGTAAATGATAGAATTTAAGCTAATCCCATGTCCTGGTGTATGGATGCCAAGTACCCCAAGTACCAGAAGGACAGGTAAATGACTGAGATGAACCAGTATGTATTTCTGGGACAAAAAAGGCTCCAATCAGGAAACCCCCTGGATGATAAACAGGAAGTTTCTTAGGAAAACTCTGTTTCCACGTGAACGAACTCATGTTTCTGTTTATGTCAGGTACCTTTATTTTGTGTTTTTCTCTCACTTTGTACCACTGATGCTTTTCTGGCCTCTAATGTAGTGTTCAATTCTTTTGGCTTGTTTTATTTGATTTGCTCTCACTGTACAGCCTCATGTGTTTATGTTTCCCTATTAAATTCAATGATATGCAAAGCACCTTGTTTTTGTGTTCATTAGTACAGACACTTGAGGGTCAACGTGTCATGCTTTTCAAAATTAACCAATTCAATAGTTTGGGTTTTGAAGCATCCACAAAGAAGGGCAAGGCTCAAAACCTGGACCCGGTCCTTTCACTTTCTTACTGGGTTGTCTTAGGCCCTGTTTACACCTGGTACTGACAGAAGAGACAGGTTTGGAAAAGAGCTTTATACAACATGTTGTTGCAAAAGCTTGTCAACACTGAGATCTTTGTTTTGCCCAAAGGGCCCTATGGTCACCTGACTCGGTTCTAAAGTTTCATGGTTGGTGTTCGCTCATCCTTTAATTGTTTTTTTTTTTTAAACTACTGCCTCAAGTGTCAGGGTCCCTGCAGCATGTACTCCTAAGTTTTCTTTGTTTAATGTGTATTTACAGTCAGATTTTGTCTTTGGTCTAATTTTTGACGAGACAGTGAAATGACCTACAAATGACCTTGTCTTAGCTGATAGGATCAGGGTTCATACATCAGTGTAACTTTAGATGGATGGTTTTGAATTTGTGTTTGATGATTTTTTAAGTTAAAGTTGATCCTTTTAGCCAAAACTGTCTGACATCCCAAATGAACTAATATGGATGTCTCTGTATTTTTCATTGATTCTTTAGATCTACGTTCATCACACTTAAGAAGTATATGGCTATTGCCCTAAAGATGTTCCTGATTATACTGTTAATACCAAGTGTGAACAGGGCCTTTAGTGTGCCCTCCCTCCTGAGGGCTCCTAAACCCTCATTTGTTTCTGCATGGCTTTCTTTATTTTAGGCTTGGTCTGTCCTATCTGTATTCTTTCAGCCTCACTTGTTTCTTTTCTTCATCTTCATCCTCTTCTTTTCTGTCTGTACTCCTCCTTTTTTCTCATTAGTGAGCCCCTGGCAGTGATTTTGGACCAGTTAGTACTTTGGGACTATGACTAATCCAAGTGGTGGTCGGCAGGGTTAGATTCCTGCTGGTCATTCTTCTCTCTTCCCATCACTTCCAGTTTCTTTTCCCAGTCCAATGTTACTTGGCCATGCATTTTTTAGTTTTTTTTAAATGTCCCCTGTCTGTGCTAGTCTTGGTCAAACATGGTAGGCTACTGCACAGTGGTGATAGGACATCTGCAGCTGCTGGGCTGCTAATTCGCTCAAAGCCTTTTATCTAGGGAAGAAATCCTGATAATTTTGCTGTTCTGCTGAACTGTAAAAACAGACATAGTTGGTTTAATTTACAGGTAAAACTCTCATAACCCAACAGATGCGTTGAGCTTTATGCCAACATTAGTTACAGCTTTAGCATGTCAGAAAACACTACTTCATATTAGTGTTCAAAGACTCTTGGATGCGGACATGGTTGGCTGATACTTCATAAAACTGATCCAGGAGAATTTAATGACTAACCATGGAAATGGAAATTGACTTGAACGTGTCACAGGGTTTCAACAAGTCCCGGTCATAAAGTCTTTCCTACATGGTAATTCATTATCAGTGGTCTGGCTCACTTATAACCTCAGCTGTTGTGATGCAACACCCCCCAAAAACACACGCCTTCCCATTCACCCACTCACCCACACAAGCGCTATTCAAATCTGTTACTGATTGAAAAAATCAAAGCAATGAGGGTGAAATCCAGACTAAGCTGACCTTACATTGAACACCAGGACAGAAGATGCTTGTTTTGTGAGGACACAGTTGTCTTCAGTCCACTTCTCAACTGGTTGAGAATGACAGCCCAGACACTCTTGATGAACGTGGTATACAATAATCTCTCCTCCACTTTGTATCTCATCAGTTGTTTCAAGATGAAGATTGATACCAGCCTGACTATGCCCCAGCTTCCAGAGGCCCTGTCCCAGGCAGGCCTCCAGTTCACTGTGGCCACTGAGGAGGACTTCGATGATATCATGGCCATGAGCCAGGACATCTATGGAGGCCTGGACTACCTGCCTACCAGATACAGCAGCTGGCTGCAGGAGACCAACCGCACTGTCATACTGGCCCGCAAACAGGGGAAAGTGGTGAGTTTAAACAAATGTTTGTACTTGTTTCTGTTTGTTTCTGCAATATCCTCCATGAATGCCCCCTTTGGTTCACAGACCCTTTGAGAATGTACGTGATAAACTTTGTCATTTGAGCTCCAATCAACCTTTTTAAATAACACTTTAAATGTATGTTATTTTTTTTAGGGCTTAAAGGCCTCAGTGGCTCTGTGTGTTTTTAAGGCAGCCAGCCTTGTTCTTAAAACTTGAGGTATTCCAAGCTATATCCACATTTAAAGTTGACTGGAACAAACTGGAACCTCTACAGTCTATTCTGAATTATTCTTGGGTTTTCTTCCAAGAACAAAGCAGAATCCATAGTCCACCCAAACAAGTTGCTCCTTTTTTGCACGAAGAAGCTGGAGTTCATCTACAGTGGATGTCTAAACTACCTAACAGTCTTCAAACGTGGGCCCAGGCTCTGTGTGAGGGGAACTACAGCACTGATCTTAGCTTCTCTTGATGTGAAGTTTCTGTCTTCCTCTGTGATGTCCTGCAGATTGCGCTGGAGTCAGTGTGTGTGATTGACAATGGGGAGACCATGCTGGTTGAAGGTCTCCGTGTTGCCCCTCAGGAAAGGGGCAAGGGTGTGGCAGGAGTTCTGCTGCGCTTTTGCTCTGAGCTTGTCAAATCCAAGTACCCAGATGTTAAAGTAACCCGCTTGACCCGTGATGATCAGCTTGGACCGAAGGATTTTCAGAAGTATCGCATCATTACCAAGCAGGTACCAGCAGCATAAACAGACAAAAGGTCCATTTTATGTGCTTATTGTTGTAGGTCATGGTTCACTCACACTTTGACTTTCTTCCCTCCAGGGTATTCTGCTGGTGCGCTTCAAAGCTGAGGATCTGAAGCTCCATCTTTCTGAGCTTGGTGTAGGTGAAGACATCCAATCACCTTTGTCTATCACCTCCTCTAATTCTACTCCAGTGCGCCTGGACCAAACAGCTATCCACCGTCTGTATCTGACTACTGACATGATGCAAGGGGTCCTTCCTAATGCCACCATCATTCAAGACTGGCAGCCATTTAAGGTTCTGCCCAGTAACATGGCCATCCTACTGAAGAAGGAAATTGACTGGATGGTGGATGATGTGTCCAATCCAACAGTGGCTAGCCTCTGCACCTTCCCCTTCAGGGTGCCTATTGGAGATGACTGGTAAATGTCCTTTCTCATGTCAAACACATGCTATAAGTTAAGGCAGGGATAAGAACTGTCCAGAAGTAATTATTCACAATGAATTGGGATGTACCATTGTCCATCAAAGTTTTGGTTGATTATAGTCATAATGACAGTGACAGGGGTGATTGTTATCCAAAGAAAAATTGTATGTATGTATAGATATTGAAAATTGTCTTCGGTCAACACAAAGCCCTGGGGTCAGTTTGACCAGAGCAAAGTGAACCTAGGTAGTTTTCATTCCTGATTTTGGCTCCTAACCTCTATGGAGCCTTGAGCTCAACTTGGATTCTCAGTTGAATTCAAGTTGGGGGATTCTGAGGTGTTCCTCTGCCAGAAGGGATGTATGGTTCCTCAGTGCATTTGTGGTCCACCAGAAGGTGTCCCTTTAGATAGATCTGCCAGAAACCTCCCCAAAGGAAGGTATCCAAGGGGCTTTCTTTTTAGACCTAACCGACAAGGCCCTTAGCCAGATATTCCCAGGTCTGTCTGGCAGCCTCCCCATTACTTTAATCCAACCATTGGCTGACAGTTCAGTTCCCCTCTCCTATACCAACTGTTCCAGAGTGGCTTATGATCAGATGATCAAGCTACAAAGTCCATCTTTGATCTGTGGCCTCAGATGGTTTGGTACCATGTACACTTATGAACCACCCTATAGTCAAACGGTGTGTTTGTTACACACAGTCCATGATTCGCTCAAGTTTGCTGACAAAACCCACTTCAGTGCCAATCAGGCAAGACATTCCTCCTAATCTTCTCCTACTGGTTTCTTTGTTATTGTCCACATGAGCATTGAAGTCCCCCTGCAGAGCTTTGGAGTCCCACCCAGTGATTGCAACAGGGATGTGTACTCTGAACTGCTATAGACAAGCCTGTGAGCACCTCCAGAAAAGGAGGGAAACCACCTCTGTTCAATGAGTTTGGTTTGGGGATTGGTAGGCTAAGCCCTGCACCGTTTGTCACCCACTTTGCACTGAAACCAGCCTCTATGCCTGTCTTGACTGAGGTGTACATTAGAAACCACTGCTCCTTATAACATGAACCACTTTCATTGAAACCAGACAACAGTGTTACAAAGATGTCGTTTAGATAGTGAGGTACAGTGGAGATTTTTCTCTTGTTTTCCAATGTACATGGTGGCTCTAAGATAACACACGAGTTCTGTATTCTTTTACTCAGCTTCTAATACATTTTCTTTTTGTATTCAGGTATTACCTGAACATTGACATGTTCGGTAAAGACCTGGCTCTGGTCCAGAAGCAGTTCTTGTGTCACCTGCAGCGCCACACTGCTACTCTGAAGGGTAACGTGATGTGCCAGATGTTTCTGGACCCCCCACTCTGGAAGCCCATGGCCGATTTCTGCATCAACACCTTGGGTGTAGAGCTGGTGAAGGAGTACACCGAGCAGTGTGTGGTGGAGTCAGATGTTGTCTAGTTACAGGAGGTGGATGGAAACAAGAAGATGAAGGATCCCGAATGAGGATGAGGGTCTCTACAAACCAGGAATGGACACAACTCATTACACTCAACAGAAAAACAACTCTCTGTGCTGAGGAGGTAGAAACCAGGCAAACAAAACCGGCTCTCTGAAACAAAATCACCTCTAAGAATTCAGTATGTTACATCACAAACACACAGATAAATTCAGGCTGTGGACATAAAATCATCAACATACATTGAACAATCACGTTAACAACTGTAACCACTCAGAAATTTGGAGGCACAAACAGACCAAAAGAAAGTTCTTATGATATGATTGAAATCAGCTGTTTTTGATATTATGTCCACCCTTTTTATCTCCCACTGAACAACATGCATACAGACAACATGCAAACACTTTTCCTTCAGATTTAAGTATGCTTAGGGCATCTCAGACATTTATCAGTTCTTTCTGTAAATATGATCTTTCCAAATATGTACATTGGCTGAGTTGGGTTACTAAATCTGCACAACTCTGAAGGCACTTTACAGAAACCACGCTAACAAGCTGTGTCTACAATGAAAAGGAATAGTTCAGGATCAAATAGGAATTATTAACAGATCACACAGCAACAAAACTGACGTGTTTAATCATAAACAAGTGTCACCGTAGAAATGCCAAACAAACAAACAAAAACAGAGCCATTTAGAAAAAACAAAGTGGTTGACAATTTATCCTTCATCATGGTTGAGCTTTTGTTTGCGTTCGTTTTTTTTATTCAATCCTTCGAGTGTGTGTGTATATATATTTATATATATATACACACACACATTATATTACTAATATTTTTACTTAAAATGCTGCAATAAAATTTCAACTTAAATTATTAACTGCTGAAGCTGTGAGTGAAATCTAGGTAAATCTTTTTAGGCTGCTAGAAAAGGCTAAACAAAATGCTTCATAACCGTAAATTAAGGAACAGTTTGTTTTAGAGAGTGCAGGGACAATAACTATAATGAAAACAAACATTAGAATTAACTATTAGATCACCAAGAGCTAAAAAAAAACATTTTTATTATTATATCATTTTTAGCCATATTAGAAAATAATGTTTTTCAAGCATACATGTACTTGCAGTATTGTTGAGTATATGAAGGATGGCACCAATTTCTGCAGGACTTAAATTTCCTCAAAGTAAAGATTACTCATTCATGTCATGTTTTAACCATTTCAGGTTTCTTAAACATCTGTTTTTGAAACTTAAGCAACCACAAAAAAATAAAATCATCCAAAATTTAAAAGGAAAAAGTAAAACCGTTAAATAAATGACTGAAAATGACGTTCAAGCGATGCTAGATCCTCTCACTTCTCAAACCCAGATAACAATTTGAACAGTCATTAAAGTTAGTGCATTCAACAGTTTTCAGAAATTTAGTTTGGTTCATGACCAAAAACCTTCAGAAGTAATGACCTCAGATCAGTTGTATTTTTGAATGCTTATAAGCAGATGTATGTGTGCTAACATGTGAGCTATTCATCATCATGATAAATGTCATTACAAGCGTGTTAGCATACAAACATTAGCATTTAGCATTAGCATTTGCTGTAACCTCTCACAGCTGTTAGCGTGATGTGACCCATGGTCAAGCAGCCATGGAATAAGCACAACACCAGATATCATGGTGCCATTACACATTTCTAATTCAATGAGACAACACGTACTTTGCCTCTAGCTAAGTGTTGTCAATGCTTTAACAGAATTACTGTATTGTCAAGTGCATGGATGTCCTCAGAGGCTTGATAGCAGGCCTAAAAACTTATTCTCGTAAAAAACAATTTTTTTATCATCATTAAAATGATGTCACAAAAACGTCCACATCGGCACACCAACTCCCTAAATCTCCCTTTAAATGTCAATTTAGAGGGTTTGACACAGGAACATTTGTCTGAGCCAGACAGGAATATCTTTTTGGAAACATTGTGGTTCATATGGAACTATTTTACCTCCTAGTTGCCTTGACCAGCTTTTATCTCAATTTTTAACACCCTCTGGTATGCAATTTTTGAAGCTGACAGGGCCTGTTTTCTGGGGGATTTAAATGATGTGACAGATAAAATAATTAGATTTTACATTGTAGGGAAAAAACATTAGAGTGGACGTAGTCCTCATTATATTGCAGGGACCATATGAAACTTTTTTTCTAACCAAAGAAAGTCACCTCTCATTTACAATGAAGCCCTATTATTTGCTGCTGGAGTGGAGTGAAGCTGTGGGGGTTTGAAGCCGTGGGACTGATAACTATCACAGTTTGTTTTCTCGTGATCACAGAATTATCTTGTTAACCTGTTTGTTAGTGGCATAATGCTAGATTGTTTTTGGTCCTGGTAGCATCACCAGCAAGCTAAGTGAGTAAACTCAGTGAGAACCCTCTTCTGCCTCACCCTGACCTGTCATGAGGGATTCAAGCCCAATCTGATCCAACATACATAAATCAACCAACCACCTGTTTGATACTGGGCAGGCCCTTTCTTTTAGGTTAGGTTCAAAACAGTCCTGCCCCAACAACACAGTCCTCTGAAGATGAGGTATCTTACACTGAGTCCTTGGTGGCAGATTCTTTAAGTCCTGGAACTTTTTAGTTGGGGCCTCCAAGGATCCCAAAGACCTTCATTAGGTTACAATCCAAGGAGTTTGGAGGCCTCCTTGAACTTGTTGTTCTGTTCCTCTTGAGCACCTTCTCCCATCCTTCTGTGGACCAGCTCTGATGCTCACATACTCAGGAGCTTTCTCAAGCAGTTCTTATGTTGAATCAGATCACATGGGCCAGCTCCTATTCCCAACCAGCATCAAAAAGCCTTGTCTGTCTATGACTCTGTCCCTGGTTCAAAGGTCTACTTCTTTGAGCTTTTGATAGGCACTGATCCCTATGGACTCAGAGTTGGATATACTCAGAAGCCCCTCAAATGGAATCGTCCAATCACAGCCCAAAATATCCAAACCTCTGATCAGTGTATACACAAGCAACCCAAAGGGAAGTCCAACAGTTAGGTCCTCGCTTTCAGTGGACTTCCAACATGGACTAGTCCAGATGACTTGTTCGAAGCCCTTGTTAGGCTTGATACAGTATCCAAGGGAACAAAATGTGTTCCACTCAGGAACCTTCCTATACACCATAACCCATATTAAAGGTCTTCCTATTCCTGACACCTGAGTATCCTTATATTTTCAGTTCCCTCTTCCAAACTGGCTGAGAGCAAGTTCCTTTGATGTGAAGGGGCAATGATTGTACACCGAGTCCCTGACCCCCTTCAAGACTGGGCACCCAGTGGAGTAATTTCATGCTGGTTTGGCACAGGGTCCACCTGGGAACCCTGGTGCTTCCTTCAATAACTCTTTGCCTTGCTGCAGTGACTCCCTTCACACCCAAATCAGCTAAGGCACATGTTGAAGGGGTTGAAACCTTGCTTGACAGCTGACCAGTAAATCCTTAGTGTGATTGTCAGGGTCATGTCCGTCTTCCCCACTGCAGCTTACAGATGTGTACAGATGACACTTACCTACTAATCCAGGGTTTTACTGTATCCTCAAACAAGAACCCGGACAAGAACTCAGGTTTCTTAGTGGCAGCTTGTCAGTCCCCACTCAAAGTTAAAATTTGCTGGAATGTTGGACCTTGACCTGAACTCCAGGTGTAAATTCTGCCTGTTTAAGCAAACATTCGTTTGGTAGGTTAGTCTGGGATCACGAAAAAACAAATCTTTAGGACCTTTGTTCAATTAAAAAAGGTTATAGTTATCTTAACTCATGTGCTGTACTGTTGGCTTTATCGAGACAATAATCAGGAGGATGAAGAGTTTAAAGCCTTTATCCATTGACACAGAAATGTACCGTATGCAGCTATTCTTCATCTCTACACACACAGACCGTGAGTACAGTCAACCCTAACCAGCCGAGTAATGTCTGAAAAGTACTAGACTTAGATACTCTTCTCACGGTAAAATATACCCTTTGTTACATTAAACACAACCCTTCAATAGTCACGACAGATTCATTCATCTCGTTATCTTTTGTTGTTTTGTCGTTAGGGTCCGAAATCGGAGAGTTTGTTTAATTCCTGAAAGAAAGTTAATGTTGAATACTTGAACTGCTGATAAGTTAATGGGCCTCATTTTAAGGGAACTAAACGTGAATCAATCTGTGGAAAGATGTCCACAGATCACCTCACTATTTAAAGAGTAAAACGTTCTATTCCAAGAGTACATCAGTGCGCTATGCAGCCATTTCACCTCCACTACCATCTCAGCTCACAGATCCTTTACAGTTTATATATGATCAGGAATAATAAATCAAATCCTGTCCTTTATGGTTTAGGGTGGAGATGGGGCCTTTTAATGTTTTAAACTTCAGTAGATTTCTGCTATTGAAAGTTGCTCATGAGAGCTGGGCACAAGCATCCTGTGAGATCTACTCCCTCTCTTTTTAGGAGGAGTGTGTCTTTTTGTATTTCAGCAGTTTGGATGTAATAATACACAGAAGCTCCTTTACTCAAAGTCCTATCGCCACAGATTTGTCTCTCAGAGCTCAGAGAAGTGTTCAGTTAAAAAACTGAGTCCTGAATGTTCAGTTTGGTAACATATGGAGTTTGTACTTGCGTTAGATCCCTTGGGTCTTGGCGACTTTAAAGTCTCTGCCAAATCCAATGAAATCTGGTTCTCCATTTTGGGTTTTGTTGGTGACACATTTGGTAAACCCTGTCACAAACCTGATTGGCTGTCAAATCTAAAAATGTTTTTTGAACATTTCAAATGGTTTATTAGTTAGGTCTCCAAAACTCATGAAAAAAAGTGTTTGTATTTATCAGTTATTGATTATTAAGTACGTTTCGTAGGAGATGGACAGGATTACTCTTCTGTGTTCTGATTCAGGGGCTGCATCTTTTGTACGAATCTATCAGTTATCCTGTACATGGCCCGACACACCAGAGATCTACTATACCTCACCGTATATTCAGACTGGAGGGCAGATACATTCATAAACATGAGTTTGACTTGAAGGGACAGCTTTGATAAAAGAGTTTAAAAAAAGCAAAAGGACCTAAAAACCTCAAATCATATTTTAAATTGTGAATTTAGTGATGTCAGATACCTTAGCTACTTCTACTCCAGGTGCTGGGCAGCAATAATGAAGGGCAGAGACAGCTTTAGTGTAACAGTAAATCCTTTAGACTCAGTAGGTCCTTGGATTCTAGGTCCTGGAACTAAGTAGGTCCGGGCTTTGCAGCCTCTGAGTTTAAACACAGATAGTAATTCCTTTGACCCTCAAACACCAATTTGGCTGAAACTAACTTTTAAAATATCATCAAACTTCAGGAAGTGCATTATAAAGAAAGATGGCGGATTTGGTAAAGATGACCCCGTCATCATCACACGTGAAAGCATCCCTCAGATGCCTGTGTTGTCGTATCAGGAGCATCTTGACATTCCAGACTATTTGGCGTGAACGTGCAGATGAAACAGAATCAGCTGGTTTCTGACTTTCTTTGCTGCGTTTACGACCCAAATTGTTTTTTACATTCAGTGCTGATCATTCCATGTTAAAGCAGTGCCAAACTGAAGAGACTTTCTGCCACTGAGTTCTGCAGATTGAGATCAATCCAACGAATGTGGTTTGATGAAGTTCATCAATATATATGATTAGAAATACTTTCACACTCATTATATTTTAAAATGTATTTACAGTCATTACCCCACAGATAAGTCCTGTCATTCAGTCCAGGCTTACTCATAAAGGATTATCAATTGCAATGAGTTAGTCAGGTTTTTAAACTCTTACTGGGAACTTTTCATTGGGGCAAGGATAATGAAACCCAGTGAATCAGAAAAGCTGCTTCAAGACCAATTTGCAAATGAGTGCTGGACTACGCTCTGTCACTTTTTATTTTATACTGGTACGAATTTTGGTTTTGTTACATTTGAAGAGCCGTAGAGCTCCTCGATGTTGAAGTCTACAGAGATGTTTAAGAGTGTCTTTGTAAAACTCTGTTAAACTTCGTCTCGAGTGTCAGAAGTTTCATCCTCAGGAGAAAAAACAACAACAAAGTCCTTTGAGTAAACTGTGTGGTCGGGTCAAAAACAAGTAAACCTAGAGAGCTTTGTTTTAAAAAAGGTCGTCCCTTCGGTCAAACCAGACACTCTATGGGTTGAGGTCTCAGGAGAGGATGGGGCTGCACAGATTTTCAAACCCTACGAAATATGGTTCATTTAGTCAGGTGAATGCTGAAACGTTGTTGTATTTAGGGAATAGGATAGATAATGATGCTGTCAATTTTCAGAGGATGAAAGTCTGTATATATAATTTTATTCAGTAACCCAAAGGTCCGAGCTGAGATTACTGCTCAATTGTGAAGTATTAACAGGACTTTAAATGTCACTTAGGAAACTTAGAAACCAGGGCTGTCACGATTTTTTCCTTTTTAACTCACTATTTTAAAAAAAATCACATATAAGAAAAATTATCACAATATTTGTTGGAAAGTTGGAAAAACACCCAAAGGTCAGACACGGGGATGCAGGGGTGTCTAACCCGAATCCAGCCCTGTGACAGAAACCTTCATAAAGATGTCCTGTTAACACTACAGTTTAAGAGGCTTTTATTTTGACAGTTTCATGTCCTGCATTTGCAAACATGCTTTTATCCTGGAAAGGAAGTCCACTCTTGGTAAAACTGAATCAAAGTCTTTCAGCTAGGTCACTGGCAGCTACTGCTTCTTCTTCTATGTGTTCCCTTTGTTTTATGGCAGGTAGCAGCCAGTGTGAAAGACCACCACCGGCCCCTCCTATGAACCAATTAATTCCACTGAATTATCTCTTTTTTAGCACAATATCAATATTTTAAGTTTAAAATTTTCACTTATTGTAAATACAGCCCTATTAGGAAACCACTGTCTATTAAAACACCACTTAGTAGTTTTTGAGCCTCTAAAGCGAGCAGGTACCCACCTGTGATGTGAACAGATTATGTGTTAATCGATAAGGGGAATGAGCTCAGCTGTCCCAGACTTTTCTCATCAGGGGGGAGTATTTCTCAGAGAGCTGATCAGGCTGACATCAGAAACCATCTTCAGCACAGCCAGGAGAAAGTCTGGACTGTATGCATGTTTGGGGGAAGCTCAAAGAAGTGCCAAGTTTCATGTCTGCTCAAATCTGCTTTTCAATTAGCTTCAGCTTTTTTAAAACATGAGTGTTTCTAGATCCTCCATCACAACATGGCCTTGATTTAAAAAATTATTATTTTTTTTTTACATTACGCCCCTGTAGCACAAAAACGAAGTTCAGAGGTGACGTCTTGGTGTTTGAATTTGAATCTTTTGGTTGCTTAGAGCACTTTGTTTGACAATGTGAGGATTGTACACGTTGTCTACAGGTGATAAAGTGCTGACACATTGTGCTGCAAACCGCGTCAGTACTGTAGGGTCAAGTGTTGTATGTTTTAAAGAACTACTGTACAAGCCATTGCGTAAGTGGTAAAAGCAGCATGCACTTTAGTCGTCTTTGGCAATAATAGAAACGCTCCCATCTCCTGTAAAGTAGCATCGACTTCAGAGGAAACTAATGTTCATGATGTCCAGGAATCATTTTCTCTGTGTTTCTTCAGAGCTATCCACAAACCACCTGTAGAGCAGTTTGTACAGCTGTATACAGAAATGAGACTATATTTTATTCTCAGATAACACCAACATCTTTACAATGAACAGGTTAAGAGGTGGAAAGGTGTGGTTTGAAGGAGAAATGCGGGTTTGAGTTAGTTAAACTAAGACATAAAGAGTAACATAGAATACTAGTTTTCCAGTACTTTACTTAATGTGAGTAATTTCATTGTGTAAAACCTTTTACTTTTACATTCAGGAGGAAATATTGTCCTTTTTATTCCACCACATTAACCGTTCAGCTGTAGTAACTTTAGAAACTAATGTTGTAACATGTAAAGTATAAATAAGCTGCACTGCTGGAGTTTGAACTAACCAGTGTGTTGATAGAAATGTGTAGGCTTCAAAGATAACTTTATTTTAATATGCACTCAAACCTCTCTCTCTGTACATTAAATCCTTCTCTGTGCTTCATCTGTAGTGATTGCTTTATCATGGATTGACTGGTAATGCCTTGGACCCCCTTTAAGGGGGGACATGAACAAACTTTCCTCATTTGTTGTATCTTAAGTAAAGACCATTGTGGAGTCTGTGTTTTCTTTCACCTTACTTTCCTGCTTTTATAGAAATGTTTCAACCATTTTAGAGAAAACTCTTGTGGCTGTCAAAGGGTTTGTGTGTGTCCTTTATCTGAAGTTTGACGTGTTTCCTCTCAGAGTTCAGCTCGACTCTGATTATAGTGAACAGGTGTTTATACAGATGATAACCCCCAATGGTAATCCTGTTTCTCACCTTGTCAGGTTTCATATTTGCTGATCCAGCTGTTCACTACACATCATCACACTTAATGCTAATCACTAAAAGCTTGAGTCAGTAAATAAGAGATTTTCAGCTCTGATTATCCCTCCAATTCCACGGTTATTCCACGGTTTCCTTGGCAACAGATGTTGATCAGCGTGCTTTGAGTTACACTGAACATTTGAGTTCAGACTCAAGTTCAAACGTGGTTCTGCTTATTGGTTAAAATTCATGTCAGAGGGATCATCTGAGAAGTTGAGCGGGATCTCCACAGGAAAAATGTTCCTGTGGATGTTTCTGTGAATACTCATGTGGCAACTTCTGTCCTCATTCAGCTCCTTCTTCTCAGAGTTTAAAACTTTGAACACTGCAGCCGTTATCACACTTACAATGGTTTCAGTTATACACGGATTGCAGGACACTTATTAATCTTCTAGTCCTTTCAAAGATGGTGGGGGTCAGGCAGCTTCTCAGACTGATCTCACCTCTGGGCCTAGGGTCATAAAATAATTTCACTCATATGAACTTCAGTCTTTAAGCCTTCAGCAGCATCATTACAATGGTTTCCATATTTATCACAATATTTTATAAGGACTATTGAAACAGAAGAAAAAGTGGTTTTGAAAAAGGGTTTAAACAACATCTGTGAACATCAGAGGTCACTGAGTCATGAAAGCTCCCATGGCTATGCAGTAAAACAATATACTTGTATAACAGTATAGCAGAATAGCAGTATTGCAGCAAAACAGTGTAACAGTTTAGTGGTGAAGAAGATTAACAGTAGAACACTATCACAGTAGAGCAGTATAACAGTGTAGCGGGACAACAGTATAACAGTATAGCAGTATAACAGTAAAACAAAATTTTTGTATAGCACTACAACAGTGGTTGGTCTCAGCTGCAGATATTTCCTCACCTAAGGTTTGATTCAGAGGTTTCAGTTATTGATGCTTAAGACAGGGGGCCGAGAATGTGGTCCCTCTATGTGCAGAGACAGCAGACTGAATATAACACTGACCAAGAGTGGGAACATTGCTGGTCTATATGATAGCAGGATGGAGGGGTAGCTGGTTTCTGAACACTTACAGTGACCATACAGGAAAGTCCTGTTGTTGTTTTTCTTTTTGTCCTAAATCCATAGCAAATTTCCTATACCCTGGGATCCATCCTCATTTTCAGGCCAGATGGTTTACATAGTCCCTCAGAGAGTTTTGGGTCTCCTACCAGCTGGATGTGTTAATAAAGTCTGAAAGAAATCAACACCTCCTGATCAGAACCCCAAACTGTTGCAACAGGAAAAGGTTCAAAAGAAAGCCTTCTTCTCTGGTTCTGAGCACCAGCCAATCACTGACCAGACTGACATTGAAACACAGGTGCTAAAAGTAATGTAGTACTTTTATCTACCTCAGGTACTTTCTTCATGCAGTTTTAGAGGTTCATGAAGCTTATCAGTGACTGTTACCTTATTGGAAATCCTGACTCAATCTAAGTCTGAATCAGTCTACCAGGAGGTGGGCCTGTAGCGTCCTTGCTGACAGCTACAGTGTGCCTGTCAGCTTCTGATTCACTGCTCTGAAAACCTGAATACCTGTATAACACAGCTGTTACTTAAAATCTCTGTCAGTGTACAGACTGAGAAAAGAGACTTTAAGACCGAAACATGTTTATTCTGCTCTAAAGATGGGTTAGTTTAGCGGAAGGTGTATGTGGTTTTCAGAGGGTCTGCAGGCTTCCTCTAGTGGACACTTGGGGAGCTGCAGTTTTTAACATAATTATGAGTTCTCAAGACTGAAGGTTGCACCTTGGTAACAACCAGGTCTAAACACTCTGTAATTTTGTTCTGCTGGGGTTGGAGTGGCTCTTTCACGACAGTCACTGTTTCAGGTTTTTACAATCACAACATCATTTGCATGTGGAAAAGTCTCTAACTGGGTAACTGAGAACTTCCTAAACTGGACCAAGTCCAAGTCCAAGAAAACCCCATTATGCTGTTTATAACTCATTATTTTTCAGCCAGCATGGTGAGTATGTGACTGATCATCTCCTGCATCTTCACCCTGCTGCTCTGATTGGATATGGGGTTAATTCCTCACTTAGACCAGGTGCCAGTCTTTGTTATGAGCTGTAGTTTAAGGTTAACTGACACACACCTGAGCCCTGCGGGTATGGAGTTCACTCCAAAGAGACACTGCAAGGAGACACACACATTAACCTGTGATAACAAAGCAGTCCTGGTAAGTGTCAATATGCACGCATGCATGTGCGCACGCGCACACACAATCACACTCACAAATATACATGCAAACTGGTTCAGAAAAAATCCTCCAGATGACTTTATTCACTGACGTTTGTATTTACTGTGTGAGAATGAAGCAATAAAGATTTCAAAGAAGAGTCACTGTTCTGTCCTCAATAACTGGATGAGTAGTTCAAAAGTGCTGATACCACCTTAAATTCACTAACAGAGAGCACAAAGAGGAAGGTGTCAGGGTGGTCCAGCAGAGGGCAGCAGAAATCTGCCACTAATGAAAGAAGTCAGTCTGAATAAATAGTGTTACTGCACTAAACCAAAATAAATAAACTAGACAAATACAGACACATTCAGACAAATAAAGATAAATGGACAGACAGACACGCACACAGGGACAGATTGACAGACAGACAAACATACAGACAAACGCACAGACAGTCACAGCAGTTTAGGAACAGTTTTTTTGGAGCGTATAGGTGACAGGAATTGTTTTTTGAGTTGATGTGCAATATCAAACACGAAGATTCACAAACACTTCAACAAAACCAGGTAGAGGTAAAATCCTGCTGATGACATAATATCACAGATCAGCAGGTTTCATGAAATAATATTAGGTCTGAATAGTTTTATAGCACCACTGATATCACATAACTAACAGGATGTGACTGCAGAGACCATATATGAACATATACAAGCAGACTGAAGAGACCCAAAGGACCATGATGCTGAAGTTTCCATCTGATACACAGCTTCTGATCTGTGCCTTAAACTAGGTCCTGATCCCAAACCACTATACCCAGACTTATCAGACCTGGACTAGTGTATCACAGAGGGTCTACAGACTGTTCAAAAAGGTTTGGATTTTGCTTTTTATAAATGTTTTTCCCATAATGGACCTGCATATATCAGTAAAATTTCACTTTTTAAACATTTTAAAGATAAAACAGAGACTTTTTAAAATCAAGGAGTGTGTTTGAAATAGTCTGTAGTCTCTCTAAGTAGGTCTTGGTGTAATTGTTCTGAATCAGGACCTGGCCAGATATGGCCTTGATATGAAAACAGGCAGGGATCAGAGTTAATGTAAAGTTTCTCTGATGTTGTTTTTACGTTTTTTCTGTATTTTTCTATGAGTGTTATTTTTGAAGTAGTTGCTTTCGTATTCTTTTTATTTGTGTAATTTTTGATGTATTTCTCTTGTTCTTGTTTTTATTATTGTTATTTTTATGGAGTTGTTTTCTAGTTTTTTTTTTACTTTTGTAATTTTTGAAGTATTTTTCTTGTTTTTGTTTTTATTATTGTCATTTTTATGGTGTTGTTTTTTTAGTTATTGTTTTTTTACTTCTGCAATTTTTTATGTTTTTATTTTGTTGTTTTTATTGATATTTTTTTCTTGTTTTTGTCTTTATTTTTTTTGTTATTTTTGATGTATTTGTTTACCTGTCGATCTGGTTGCATTTTACTTCAACTGAGTTTGACTCTGGACCGGAAGCAAGTGGTTGTTAAGCAACCAGTCTTTATATACCCCTTCAAAATAAAACCTTTGTTATTGTCTGTCAAAATTGATTATTTCTAATATAAAAGAAACAATGAATTTTCGATTCTGTATTTTTTACTGTTTTGATTAAAAATTACATTTTTCTTTTAAACACATAACCTAGAAGTTAAGACAAACCTGTGGTTAAGCTTCAGAAAAACGACACTCTTATTCTGAAGAGCCCAGACAGGAAGTGTCATTGTTGTCACTGTTCCTGGTTGAGAAACTGTGCTGAAGGTCTCTGGTACACAAGTCCACGTAAATCCAGCTGCTGGAGTCCTGAGGACGAAAACGGGGTGGAATATTGGTGCTTATCTGTCAGGTAAGTCAAAGCGGGGAGGAAGTGAGCGAGTGTTTAGTTCTGACGTTAATAATGAGAGTGTGTGTGAATATGATGTCTGTGAGGGTCTCTCAGCCTGTTTTCTGCCTGTCAGGGTTCAGAGTGTCTGTAGAGTTTCACAGTTTTTGTATCTGCAGAAATTCACAGAGATTTTGTGTCAGTGTGCTTAGAGGGATGTTATCAGCAGATTGAACCCTCAGCAGAGATTCAGAGGACCTGTACGTTAAAGAAATTAATAACTTTACATGCACCCTAAACACTATGTGGTCAGTGCTTCTGTTTGTTGATAATTAGAGACTAGAGTGTTCAAGAAGAAAATATGATTACAAGCAAAATAATCAAAGTTTAAAAAAGTTTTGATGGGTTGATGGATGGATGGACTGGTGGGTGGGTGACTGTTTTCAGCCTTTAGTTTAGCATTTTTAATATTTTGGATATCTTGTTTTTGGTTTCATGTTTGGGTGAAAGGGTGAATCTGGAGAGTGTGGATTGTGGTGGTTTGTGATAGTCTTTCTGCTGGGTGTCATGTTATGTATTTAACCTAAAGTGACCCTGCAGCTGCACATAGACAGTGAAAACCTTGAACTCTGGGCTGTATTGATAAAACCTGTTCCAAGGTCAATCTGCTGCTTTCTCTGCAGATAAATGGTCTTCATGTCACGTCGCTGCGCTGCAGGTATAATGATCTGTTCATAGTGGATAATAAAGTGTAATCCAGTTTGTAATATTTATGGCGGATTATGTCAGGACCTGGCAGCATTCAACTTTAGTTGAGCCAGATATTGGACCCAACCCTCAGGAGGGTCTGTGAAAGACCTGCATGTACACCCTCTGCTAATGTTTGAATATAGTTCAGTCCTTTTGTCAGACGGTGGTCAGGCAGAAGCTTATTCCCTCAGCTGGATCTCTAAACTGGAATCTAAGGCTGTAGCTGTATACATATGTAGTTGATCCATCCTTTTCTTTCCTTTTCTCATTTTTATTTACTGTGTAGTTTAAAACGTCAAGTTTACAGTCTGATTCAAACAGGTGTTTTATTAGCTGATATTTGGAGTCAAACACTGATGAAGGTCCTTCAGTCCATGAGTTTCCTCAGAGCAGCATGGAGGACTTCTGTAATGAAATAAGCTCACTGAGGGTCCTTTGACCCTCGTTTGGGACTGTTGTTTTCTGGCTTCATTGTGAGTTCGTTTACAGCCCTGAAAATTCAGATTTTGGTGTCTGTGCAGTCAAACTCCAACATGTTAAAGCTAAATCTGAATAGGTTTCATTTCCACTAAAGAAGGTGTTCCTCTATTTTCAGTGGGTCCTTCACCATTTTGGTGTGTCTAAGTCCTCCACCTGGTTATATTTTCAGCTCATTCATAATGAACATCTGCTCTGCACCTCTTTCTTTCTTTATTTACACATAATGAATATTTGTGTTTAGTAAACTCACGATAAAGTCTCTGTTGCTCTTTGTTCCCCTCAGTGTGAGGAGAAGAAGATGGAGTCGTTGGTTCCTGACCTGCCCAGCGGCCCTCTGGACGTCTACAGGACGAAAGCTTCCTTTAACTGGAAGGAAATGCTCTTCTTCATCGAAGGAGAGGACGTCATCAAATTTAAGGTGAGGACTCCTGAAAAAGAAGACCTCAGGATTTTACTGAGTCTGTGAAGGTCTTTGACGTGCTAAAAAATACTCACTTTATCCATATACAGTCCATGTATTACAGCACAGTCTAATCATTCTCATCATTCTGCACTGTGGTCATTATTGGTATTTTTCTCACAGTTCTCATTATTCTTATTTTTTCATTAATCCCTATTATTGCCATAATTTTAATCATTCTCATGATTTTCATTATTTTCATTATTCTCATTATTTTTTATCATTCTCATTTTTCCTAATTATTCTCAATCTCTTCTCATTATTTTCATATTCTTAGATTTTCATTATTCTCATTTTTCCCAATTATTCTGATGCTTTTCTGATTATTCTCATAATGTTGTTTTCTGCATGCTTTTAAAAGGTTTAACACAAAAACTATAAAAACAAGTTTTCTTTGTGGTTTCAGTATCATTTATCTCAGCTCTCATGCTCTCCTCTTCTCTCTTTGCAGAAACATTTATTTCAGACACTAGAGAGTGATACTCTATTTGCTCGGCTGCCAGGTGAAGATGTTTCTGTGGAGAAGATGAAAGAGCTCACCTTCCTCAGGTAAGATCACAGAGGTGTATTATCAGTATATTCTTTTTCTCTGTTTGAGAAAGTGAAGATAAAACAAAGTTCTGAATAAAACAGGGTCAAGAAGCTGTTCTCCTACGACTTCCTGCCTGATGAGGAGGCTATGTCTAATCCCTGGCTGACCGTGGTGCTCAACAACTCTCTGGGCATGTACGACTGGGGGTGCTCAGCCAAATACTTCCTCAACAGAGGGGTAAAGGAGTGTTAATACTACTTCTACTACTACTAATACTACTAATACTACTACTAATGATAATAATAATAATGATAATAATTATACTTCTGTATCAGCAGCTCAGATGGAAATGATCATTTATACATTTGTTTATTTCTGGCTGGACCACATTATCATCAGAATGACATTAAACCTCCTCAGCTCTCATATATAATTATTCTATTTGCATGTTTTTCTGTGTTATTATGTCTGCACAGTGTCTAACTACCCCCTGTGTGTCTGTTTCAGATGTTTGGAGCGACCGTGGCGAACTCTGGATCAGTCAGACACTTGGAATATGTAGAAGCCATCAACTCCATGAAGGTGAGAGGTTAACACATCTCTGTCTGTCTGCAGCCTGCTGCACCTGTAAAACACACCTGCTCTCTCAGGCTCAGGTATAAAGGTTACCATCAAACATTAAAACAGCTCAGTTTGATATTAAAGCTGTGTGCCTGTGGAGCTATTGTGGTTTAAAGTCCACACAATAAACATTTGTACTAGCTGGCAAAAGAGTGTTTCTGACACTGCACGGACAGAGCTGAGTTTACGGGTGCCCCGCTGTTTGAAACAAACTCAATATGGTGAAAAGATCAAACTGGGTCAATGGAAGTTTTGTCAGATAGTTAAATGATGTGATTTTAATTTTTATCGTATGACGGTTTTGCTGAAATTCAAAGGTTCATTTTACATCAAACAAGCAGGTTCAGTCAAGAGGAGAGTGACAGACTCAAACATGAAGTTGAAGAAGTCTGAATTAGTTTACTGTATTAGTTTACTGAGGCTGTATGTGCCCGGATTGGACAAGTTCCAGGTTATTATCAGAGCGCCCTCTGCTGTTGGCCTGATGCTCTGGTAAACTGAATTATTATGAGTTCAAATGAATCCTCATAGTCCGAGTTTTTCCCCCAGAGTTCAAATGAAGGTTTGAATTTGGGGTAAAAAGTGACAGCACTAGTCTGAGTGTAAAGACCACCTGCTGTTCTCTCTATCTGACTGTGAGGTCTGTTACCATGGTGATTCAGCTAGGTGAAAGGAGAGTCTGCTTCATGACACAGAAAACTCAAAGTCTAGGATTAGCAGACTCAGTTCAGCCTCTAATCTGACCCTGTGGTCCACCCCTCTGATCAGACCTGCTCCAGGAACAGCTCCTTACACCTTCACACCTGTACCTGTGTGCAGGTTATCAACTCAGCATGACTCCACCCCCTCTTCTGTTTCTCTGCCTGTAGATCTTTGGCTGCTTTGCTTTGACTGAAGTGAGCCACGGCAGCAACACCAGAGCCATGAGGACCACGGCGACCTACGACCCCCAGACACAGGTGCCGTATCAATCACTTCTAAACTTTAATAAACTTGAACAACTCTTTCTGCCGCCTCTTTTTCTGTCTGTTGCCTTTTTTTTAAAACTTTATTTAAACTTTATTGACGCTCTTTCCCTCCTCAGGAGTTTGTGATCAACTCTCCAGACTTTGAGGCAGCAAAATTCTGGGTGGGGAATCTGGGGAAGACGGCGACTCACGCCGTACTGTTTGCTCAGCTCTACACACCTGACCAGGTGTGCCACGGCCTGCACTCCTTCATTGTCCCGGTGAGCCTCTGACCTGAGACCTTTGGAAACGCTGCAGCTACTGTGTTATAGAGATGAAGTGGGGGTGTTGTTTTACCATAACATCCTGTTGTACGCCTTAATATCATGGACAGGTTTAATGTTTTTATTATATTAAAGAGTCATTACACTCACCTCTCACACTGTCTCATTGAGTAGCACAGACACTGTAGATGCCATAAATCCTCTAATATAGTTGGGGTCTTTTAGTTGCTTTACTTCCAGAGATAGCAGACCTTTATTTTCAGCCTGAGTGATAACTCTTCATATTTTGGTAGGAAGTAAGGACCTGATTCACAGAAGGACTGTGTGGCCGATGAATTTATCATCTATCTCTGTGCAAAGAAGCTTTTCTGCAAAAACACCACAGTCACTGGCAGTGGTACCAACAGTGTCGGAGTATTGAACTCTTCATCACTGAGGCAATAACTCCCCTCTGGATGGCCTGAAAATGATCATCCTCTCTCTACTGCTGTCAGGATCAGAGTGCATAGAGCAGCTCTGAGCAGCAGAGAGTGGAGTAAACTGCACAGAGATGGTTTGAGATGTTCCTACAAAGTTAGAATCATACAGAACGTGTAGCTGCTGTGTGATCATTGCGGACTCAGCAGGAAGTTGTTCTCTGTGATGAAAAAAGAACCAGTATTTAAGAGCCAACCTTTATTCACTCATAAAGAGATGATCAGGGTCTGTATTAGAGGATTTACAGTAACACTTCACCCTGTTCTTGATGTTGCTGTCAGTGATATTTCTAGTTATTGCTCTTTTCCTCTTCAGGTCTGATTAGTGTTGTCCCTGTGTTTTCTGGTCCTCCAGATCAGAAATCCTCAGACTCTGCGGGCTCTGCCTGGGGTCCTGGTGGGAGACATCGGGAGGAAGCTGGGTCAGAACGGACTGGATCACGGGTAAATAATGACCGGAGGATTCAGACTCCGAGAGCAGAGCATGAACAGAATTTAGATCAGAGTTTAGAGCAGGATCAGAAGAATCCATGAGGACTGGTTTGGTCTGTAGCACACAGACAGGTTTCATGACATGGGGTTTGTGTTGCAGTGTCTCTGTGTGGCCAGCAGGTGAAGCTACAGTCTCAATTTAAGAGAAAAAACATGCAGCGAAAGATCTGATGAAAGAAAAGCAGCTGTCTGCCCTCGATCATATATGAAGTTTAAAACCAGACCAGGTCCTGTGTCTGCTGGACTGTAGTTAGGAGACTTGTTCATCACAATGTCAGCTCACTGTGGACTACCTGCTCACTCCTGAACTGTTACACAAGAACTTTTCAAATTCTCATGTTCAAATATGCTTGAAGTGTATCAGGATCTGGTATCAGGACCAGGATTTGATCTGAAGTTTGAGTTTGTTTACATAGGTCAGAGTTTATTCAGGGATTGTAGTTCCTCTCCTCTCTGTCTCAGTGTCTCCAGACTTGAGTTTTAACCAAATTAATCCTGATGTCTTCCTCCATGATCCTCTCTGTGTCCTCTGCCAGGTTTGCTATGTTTCATAAGGTCAGGATCCCTCGAGAAAACCTGCTGAATAAGACGGGAGAAGTCACGCCGGACGGTCGATACGTCACTCCATTTAAGGACCCTAACAAGCGATTTGGGGCCTCTCTGGGGGCTCTGTCGGGGGGACGGATCTCCATCACCAGGATGGCTCTGACGAACCTAAAGCTGGCTCTGACTGTGGCCATCAGATACTCGGCTACCAGGAGGCAGTTTGGACCTAAAGACACGGAGGAGATCCCCGTCCTGGAGTACCAACTGCAGGTCTTTTAAGAGAAAGATACTTCATATTATACATGTGTAAAGATATACTCTGTATAGAAATTATCATGTCTAAGCATAATCATCAGAGACATGTCTGTTTGTAAATTTCAGCAATGGCGTCTGATCCCGTACCTAGCTGCGGCATACGCCCTGGAACACTTCACTAAAACCATCTTCATGAACTTTGTGGAGTTTCAGATGGGACAGATGATGAAGGACAGAAGTGACAGACAGGTAAATGTAATAAAAACAGGTCTCACCTGTTCTGATGAGGATCTTCATCACCTGATCCTGATCCTCAGACTGCAGGGTCAGCTGAAGACCTGCTCACTGTCTCTGCAGTGACTTAAACTGGTCTGGTATTTAACTTTCACCCCTGTGGTGTGTTTGTGTGTGTGTGTGTTTGTGTGTGTGCGTGTGTCTGTGTTTTAAGGCGGAGCTTGGCAGAGAGATCCATGCTATCGGCTGCAGCAGTAAACCTCTGGGCTCATGGACGGCTCAGCGAGGGATACAGGAGTGCAGGGAGGCCTGCGGGGGGCACGGCTACCTCGCCAGTTAGTCTCACACACACACACCCACATGCGCACACTCAAACATGCACACACACAGCTGATTTCTCTCCATCTCTGTCTCTGTTAGTGAACCGTCTGGGTGATCTGAGGAATGATAATGACCCAAACTGCACGTATGAAGGAGACAACAACGTGCTGCTGCAACAAACCAGCAACTACCTGCTGAGCTGGCTTCAGACCAAACATCACGGTACAGCATAGACCTACTGATACTAGAACGATCTGAAGTGGAAGAATCCATTTAAAACTGTTTGATATTTTCTATTTCTATACTATAAAAATAAGGACAGAGCTGTGACAGATGACTTAATATTAACCTGCTTGGTATGTTTTTCTGTTTTCTGTTTCGCTGTTTGTTTGTTTTTCTGTCTGTCTGTGTGTTGTCAGACGGGGTAAAAATAGAGTCTCCTCTCCACACGGTTGACTTCTTGGATGATTATCAGAAGATCCTCCAGAATAAATTCACAGCTGACAGCATGGAGGAGTGTATGGATCCTACAGGTAACAGCAGACTGGATCATCAATTGAGCATGGGTGTTCAGAGTCACCTGCTCAGGTTAACAAGAACAAAGTAGACCAAGTCTTAAAAACATGATATTTAATAAGCAATAAGGTGAAAAAATCAGGTAATTAAGTTCATTTCTTGATTAAAAAAAATCCAGTCAGTGTTTTGATGATTCTTATCCATTAACTCAGGATTATCCAGATCTCCACAGACAACTGGACTGGACTGAGTTAGTCTGGATTAGACTGGTTGAAACCAGAATGGACTGGTTTACACTTGATTAGACTGGATATAACTGGAATAGACTAGTTAAAATTGGAATACACCGGTTTCAACTGGCATAGTTTTGATTAAACTAGAGTAGACCAGAACAGACTAGTTCTAATTGGAATAGACTGGGTTAAATTTGAATAAACTGGTTTTAACTGAAATAGACTGGATTAAGCTGGAATAGACTGATTTTAACGGGAATAGACTGGATTAAACTGAAAACAACTGGATAAAACTGGAATAGACTGGATTAAACTTGAATAGACTGGATTTAACTGGAATAGACTGGTTCTAACTTGAATAGACTGGATTAAACTGGAATCGACTGGTTTTAACAGGAATCGACTGGATTAAACTGGGAACAACTGGATTAAACTAGAATAGACTGGTTTAAACGGGACTAGACTGGATTCAATTTGAATAGACTGGATTAAACTGGAAACAACTGGATTAAACTGGAATAGACTGGTTTAAATTTGAATAGACTGGATTAAACTGGAATAGACTGGATTAAACTGGCCTTGACTGGATTTAAATGTCTTAAATAGGATTACCAGAGCTTCTGAAAGGAAAACTGCAAATCTGTTTAAACTGAACAACATTTCATAAGTCATGTCGCTATTGTGGAATGTGTAAGTCTGGAGTTTTTGAGGTGTCCTCTCTCTCTCTGTGATCCTCTCAGTGTGTCTGTCAGCCTACCAGTGGTTGGTATGCTTCCTGCTGGTGGAGAGTCACAAGAGGCTGCAGCAACAGAAACAAGCCGGACTCCACGACTTTGAGGCTCGAAACAACAGTCAGGTGAGCCTGAGCTGATCTACCTGTGAGGCGTCCACACAGACCAAGCTGGTTTTTCATGATAGATTAAAGTGTGGCAGATAAATTCAGAAATAAGAAGAAAATCTCTGAAAATGGTCTAGGTCCTGAGTTCAGCATCGTCACGTCCTCACTTTCTAAATCAGCTGATAAAATAGTTAAGACAGATCCTTCGACTCTGATTTAAAAGGATCCAGGTTTTAGATGCAGCTATGAGGCATGTGAAACTGTTCTCACTAACAGTTCAGGTCTGACTCATCTCTGTGGGTCATGGGGTGGTACTGGGATTAGAGACGGGAAGCTGACCCCACATGTTGACCACTTGGATCAGGCCTGAGCTCATGAGTCCAAAACAAAGCTTGCGTAACTGTGTGTGGATTCCTCTGTGATTCCAAACAGCTGTGTCCTCCTGCCCGTATCATCAGGGACTTCAGGCTGTGATCTTTGGAGATGATGTTCAAAGATGAAGCTGAGCCCCTCAGTGTCTAAGGAAAACAATGATCTCTGCCCTGCTGTGAGGATTTCTCTCATCACTCTCCTTTAGATTGAGACATACTAACAGAGATGGGTTCTTCTCAGATCAGCTGTCCTAAAAAGACTCTCACAGTCCTCCATGCCGGCCTCAGATCAGCTGATTAGAAACAAAATAAACAGCATCTGGATCCTCTCGCTGTGATCTGACGTCTTCGGTCTGAGCTCCGTCAGCTGGTTCGTGTTACCGACGTCACATTCACATGGGCGTGTGTGTCAGTTCTGGGAAACGTGTATGTGTCAGTGGATTAACTAGCTTGTTTTGAAGGTATTAATATGATGTAGTGCAGCAGTTAGAGCATCTCTGGAGAACTTGCACATGTGCAGTAGGACGTTTATGAGCCCTAAAGATTCATACTGAGAGTTACACAGCCATCTACAGTTCCACTTTTTATTTCCTGAAAACTGCAGAGCTTTGACATCATGGGCTGAACACAGAAAGTAGGTGTGGCCACTGTGGTGTCAACGATGGCTTTAAGCATACAGATCTAAACTTTCAGGTCGGCTTTATGGTCCATATCCTGGTAACTTTTACAGAGGAATTGACCATATTTTGAAAAAGTAGGTGGAGCTTATGGTGTGTTTGCGTTACCTTGGAAGTCAGAGGTCCGAGCTGAAAATGACGTCACAACCGAGTTACTGGTGTCCATTAACTTCCTACCTCCATGACTGTAGGATCCCCACAGCGAGGTTATCTCCAGTCTTTAACTGATTCTGCCCCCTGCTGGACGTCAGACTAACGTCAGACTCAAAGGACCTCTTTGGTTTACCCGTGTTTTCTGTTTGTGTGTCTGTGTGTGTGCAGGTGTATTACTGCCGCTCTCTGGCCTTGGCCTATATAGAGACCAACTGTTTACAAAGGTTTTATGACCTGACCTTTGACCCCGACACTCCAGCTGGTCTCAGACCTGTTCTGAAGAAACTCTGTGCTCTCTATGGACTGTGGAGCCTCAGCAACCACACCACAACGCTGTACCAGGGTCTGTACACACCCCTGTAAACACACACATATGTACAGACACACCTGTAAACACACACCTGTACCTGTATATACCTTTCTACACGTATACTCACACCTGTATGTGTCTCTATATACTGCACACATTAATCTAGATCAACACTGACCTCTGCTGTACCTGTGCAGGTAACTACCTGAGTGGAGGGAAACCTGCAGAGCTGATCCAGATGAGCATCCTGACCCTGTGCTCACAGGTAAACACTCACACCTGTCTGTAATGGTTAGAGATAAACCCACTGAAACCACAGAATCAACGAGCAGAGGGGTTTGGACCAATCAGAACAAAGTGTAAAGGTGGCAGAGTGACATGATGTAGAAGCAGCTGTTCTGTCAGTGAAACTAAAGGATAAAACAGTGACAATGACCTCTGACCTTTTAGATATATGTGTGTCTGTTTCCAGCTTAAGGATGATGCCGTCGCATTGGTGGATGTTTTGGCTCCTACTGATTTCATTCTAAACTCACCGATAGGAAACGCTGACGGACAGGTACACACATACGCAAACACACACACACACACACACACACACACACACACACACACACACACACACACACACACACACACACGCACACACGTATATACATACTAAGTAGATTCAGGTAAAGGTAAGTGTGTGCTGAGGTCTGCAGACTGGCTGAACTCTGACCTCAGTGTTTCAGTCAGTGATGAACCATTCAGCTGTCTTCTTTGAGACATCCAGGAATTAGTCTGAGCCGAGTAAAGTCTTTTTACTGGAAAAAGACTCTGCTGACTCTGTTTCAGGAAACACACACACACGTTTGGCATGTGATTTTTCATGTTAATTAAATAAAAGCTCCCTGACCCAAAAACAAACACCAGGTCAGGATAAAAGCTCCAGATTCAGAGCCAGACTTTTAATGGATCATAAACATAGGAGGACCCTTTTCTCTACAGTAACCTCCTCCACCTCTCTCCCTTTCTCTCTCTCCTCCCCTCTCAGATCTACAAGAACCTGTGGTCCACGGTGATACAGGGCGCTCAGGCTCTGGAGAGGCCATCATGGTGGAGAGAGTTCTGCTCAGACAAACCTGTGGTCGGCTGTCTGCGTCCTAAACTCTAACACCATAAAAACCCACATACAGATTTACAGCTCAGTCTGAGTGGTCCGGATCAGGAATTAGCCTCAGAAACTCTATAAGTGTAACGGAGAAGATGATAAAGATAATTTTATATATCCAAACTGTCATATACACGGCATCTCATCATGTGCTGTTTACACAGTAACCTAAAAGTCCAGGAACCTCTGTGGTAAACCCCAGATCCTAGTAAATAAAGAGCAGGTTTATTTCACCAATAATCTCAAACACAAAGTGCCTAATAACAGTTTATTTCATGCTTGGGGACCGTGCTCAGTGACTTCAGTATAAAGACAAAGAGACTCAGACGGTAAAATAAACTCTGAAACTGAATAAACACTTGAGGTCTGACTCACTGAGGGTACAGCCTGTGCAGAGACACTGTCTGATTCCCACACACTCAAGCCGAGGAGCTCCTCTAACTCCACTGCAGAGCGAAAAGTGCAAAACACAGCTCATCCACAGATTCAGTGTGAGTAACAGTAACAGTAACAGTGAGTAACAGACACTATCAGTAACAGAAACCATCAGTAAGAGGGACATTTTACTGTCTGTTGAGAGCTGACAGTGGTTTCACTGCAGCATCATCACTCACAAAGCGATAGGGCTGGACAATATGGCCTCAAATCAATATCACAATATATTGAGCAGTTCACCTCGATAACAAGAAATGGACGATAACTACTCCACAAGCTGCTCACCCCATCCCAGAGTCTCAGAGTCCACAGCACAGCTCTGTGCAGCAGAAAGAGGAGATGCTAACAGCTCATTACAGACTCAGAAACTGGAGCAAACTGCAGAGAGCTGCTCAGATTTGTGCGTGAGTTTGTGCTTAAATATCATCACTGCTGTCTGGGAACTGGACCTTAGGAGACCGAGCAGAAAAAACTGAGATATGAAGCTCAGTCCACGGTCCCTTAAAGTGACTTCGGCCCTGAGCTCACAGTTCATCAGCTGACTAAAAGGACTGGTGTGTGTTTCATTCCTGAAGGACTGTACATTGTTATATACTGTAGATGATGTAAAGCACCGTACAAGCCTTGAAGAACAGTCACTTCATGTGATTCCTTGTTCAGACAAACTAAAGACATTTACTAATAAAAACAGATATTTTTTAAAGACATTTGAAGTTTGAACTTAATCCTTTTGTTTTTGCTGCAAAGGACAGGAAAAATTCACATTACAGGACCACACTGAAACAGAGCACACTCACAGCATTCATAAAATATTTTTTCAACATCATTGAATTTTTTACCTTTGGTGAGCGAAATCTTGGAATAAGGCAGATGTGTCTGAAGATAACCAAAATAACAGTTTTTAACTGTAAATATTGAACAGTAGGGGTGGGAGAAAAAATCAATACAGCATAGTATCGTGATATTTTGTCTGGTGATATATTGTATCATCTCATTTACCAAGTATCAATTTTTTCAAATTAATTGCTAGTATGAAGTCAAATCTATGATAATGGAAAAATAAAATCAACTGTTTGTCCAGTGAGTTTGGCAGAGGTGACATCATAGGGCAGGAGAAAGTTAGTACAACAAACATAGCAGCACCTGGGGAAAGACATTAGGAATGCAAGCAGGGCACAAATGAGATGGACCTGACACATAAGGTTTGCAAGATGTACTACATTAAAATAAAATACTATGTAAATAAGAAAAAACATAAAGGATAGACAAATGCTAAATTAGCTAAACAGTTGAGAAAATTTTATAAATCCCAATATATTGTATCACAATACTCACTGTCTTGCAAAATGTTAAAAATCGCAGTAATATATTGTGGCCCAAGTATCGTGAAAATATTGTATTGTGTCGTCACTGGTGATTCCCACCCCTAGCAAACAGTGCAGATAATTACAGATGAAACCTGATCTGATTGATGGTGTAAAAAATCTTAAAAGTCTGTTTTTCTCCAGTCCAACTGAAACTGAAACCCAGTGTCTGTCCTGCTGTGAGTCCAAACTGTCGTATAGGTATTTCATATCCTGCTGAAGTCTTCAGTGCACTTCATTTTTGCGAGACTAATAACCTCTTTAGTTCAGCTGATGGGACTGATTCTAGAGTCTAAACTCAGGTTATCATGGAGCTCTGAGGGTGTAAAGAGTCTGAAAGAGAGAGAGAGTTCTGATGTAGTTCAGTGTGGAGGGATTTTAGAGGAGGAGGACCACAAACAGGTTTGACTGAGAGTGAAGGATCTGCTCTGAGATAAGGACTGCAGACTCAGACACAAGATTCAGCTCACAGTACTTAACGTCTGTCTGCAAACACACACACACTTAGATATCAGTGTGTATTCTGTGTTGAAGTGTAGTTCAGGAGAGAGGAGAGGAGACAGTCTTTCTATAATAACATGTATCCTAGTTATTATAGGATTAGTTATGGATGTGGTCTTCTGCAGACTCAGTGGTTCCTAACCCAGTATCTGTGCTGGTCTCCCAGTAAAGGAGGGTCAGTCAGCTGATTTGCAGCCTGTTATCATGGTCACTCTGAGCGGTTCTCACTCTTTTCATGGTTTCTATATATTTAGAGTCTCCACAGAGTCCATTCACAGGGACCACAGATCCTCCATCACGCTCCATCTTCGAAGGTCCAGACTCTGTTGGACCCAAATATCTCCTCCTCTATAATTACAGACTGATTCATGGAAACAGACACTCTGAGCTGCAGGGATTCTTTATTCTAGACCTTCAGTCCATTAGTGAACCAGAGCGGTCTGAATGTCCCTCTGCACAGCTGTCTGCAGCATACTGAGGAGACTTCTAAGAGACCCTGATCCAAACACTCATCCCAGTTTAAGTGGACACCCTACTGGCACATTTACAGCTCTTTGATATCAGAAAGACCATCTTGGCTCAGAGTCTAAATGAACCAAACTTTGTGACAGAACCGACCCATCCGCTGAAAACTGTAGCCCAGCTTGTGTACCGGTCCTCACTGCAGTTTTCCCTTTAACAGTAAGCTCTATTCTGTATTTTCTGTGTTTCCTCTCTGACAGTCTGGACCTGTTCTGGTCTGGTAGTCTGTCTCTGATGGTTCCTGCAGTCCCCTCTCTTTCTCTCTCTCTGTGTTTCAGTCAGTCTGAGCTGAATGTGGGTCAGTATTCCTGTTGTGTGACGTTTGTTTCAGTCTGCTGCCAGAGCTCTGACGGTTAGTTCAGACTGTTTGTTTCTGCTGCTCTGCCTCAAAACTTCACTTCCCTTTCATGAACACTGAGCTGGACTCTTTTCAGTTTATGTCACCTTCATAAAGAGGAGACCTAACAACTGTCCAACAGTTTTACAGACAAACTCAGAAAATGAAAGCAGCTCTCAGTTATTTCTGCTCATCTCCATCACATCACTGCCTGACCGACCTTGAATATACAAATATAAACCCATAGAAATATAAATCTTATATACATGCAGCTAATTTTACAGTCTAAAACATTTCTCTCCATGAAGCTCAAAATCACTTCCAGAGAGGACTAAACATTTACTCCAACACATGAGCAGCAACATTTAAACTTTCGTCAGACTTCACCTAAATGTTCAGCATCGACACAACAGAAGAGTTTTTAATGTTGGATAATAAATGTAAAAATAAACACAAGTGTAAACAGAGAAAGGTTAAACTTCAATTTTAAATCGAAAGGTTAATGTGCAACATAAATGTGGGTGTAAACACCGACTGTAAATCTTCATGTAAAGTGTTATTTATGAGTGATTGAAACGTTTTTTAGCTTTAATGATTGATGTTCTGGAGTGGTTTTCTTGTGTGGAGTTTCTCTCTCCTCTGCCAGACACTGTTTACAAAGACCCAAAACTGACAGAAAACTTCACATTAAAGGACCACAATAAAACAGAGCACACTAACAGCATTCATAAAACATTTTTTTCTGTTTTTTTTTTTTTTCTTTTACTAATTTCTTGCCTTTGGTGAGTGAAATCTTGGAATAAGATAATTACAGATGAAACCTGATCTGATGGATGGTTTAAAAAATCTTGAAAGTCTGTTTTTCTCCAGTCCAACTGAAACTGAAATCCTGCTGAAGTCTTAAGTACACTTTATTTTGGCGAGACTAATGACCTCTTTAGTCCGGCTGATTGGGCTGATTCTAGAGTCTTAACTTAGGTTATCATGGAGCTCTGAGGGCCTAAAGAGTCTGAAAGAGAGAGAGAGAGAGAGTCATTTTAAATCTAGGATAGAGTGAAACACTTAACAGCGTTTAGAGAGTTACAGTACAGAGGAAGAACTTCCTTTAATAGGCAGAAACCTCAAGCAGAACCAGACTCACAGTCATTTGCTGAGACTGAGCTGGGTTTAGAGAGGAGAGAGAGGGAGATGGAGAAAGCGAGAGATGAACAGAGGAGAGACTAATAGAGGGAGATACTACTACTACTAATAATAATGACCTCAGAGAGAGAGAGAGAGAGAGAGAGAGAGAGAGAGAGAGAGAGAGAGAGAGATGTGGAGCAGCAAATAAAGACTAAACACATTTACAGCCTCAAAAAAAAACTCCTCCTAACCAGCAAAGTGACAAGGAGTGAATAACAGGGAGAGAACGCTGCATGGTCTGCTCTGAACCTTCCACTGAACCAAAACACTGTTAACTTTCATTCCTCTGCTTCCTCTGTTTCAGCTTCACATTCCTGCACACACACTGGTTTACAGATTGGAGTGTTTGTGAGCGTGCATGAGAACAATTTAACCATATTTCCACTAAGTGTTTGTGAGCGTGCACATGGAGAGCTGGTCCATGTCTCCTCACATTCACAGACAGATATTATTCCTCCTGAGCTGACCCTCCTCAGTGTTTACTGAAAATGTCCCATGAGCCTTTGCTGTGACCCAGATTTGAAAGTGTCTGAGCTGTAAATAGTTTAACCTCAACAGCTCTAAAAACACACATTCCTGTGTTTGTGGAAAGATTAATGACTGTAAAAAGAAGCTTATGGCGGCTGCTGCTTTGTCTGCAGGTTTAATGTGAACATGTGGGTTTGATAGTGAGATGAAAGTCTCTATTTACTGATGCTAAAAGTCTCTGTTAACTACCTTTGAAAGTCTCTAATAACTGCAGCAGAAAGTCTTCATAAACAGAAGCGAAGTCTTTTTATTTAAGGTAGCGAAAAAGTCTCTTTATTAACTGGTGCTGAAACTCTCTATTTACTAACGTTAAAAGTCTCTATTTACCGAAGGCGAAAGTCTCTTTTAACAGAAGCTAAGTCTTTTAATTTAAGGTGGCTGAAAGTCTCTATTTACTAACGCTGAAAGTCTCTTTATTTACTAACTTTGAAAGTCTCTATTTACTGAATCTGAAAGTCTTTATAAACAGAAGCTAAGTCTTTTAATCTCAGGTAGCTGAAAGTCTTTTTATTGACTGATGCTAAAAGTCTCTATTTACTGACGTTGAAAGTCTCTTTATTTACTAACATTGAAAGTTTCTAATAACTGAAGCAGAAAGTCTCTATTAACAGAAGCTAAGATTTTTTATTTAAGGTAGCTGAAAATCTCTATTTACTGACGCTGAATGTCTCCATTTACTATCATTGAAAGTCTCTAATAACTAAAGGTGAAAGTCTCTATTAACAGAAGCTAAAAGTCTTATTTATGGATGCTGAAAGTCTTTTTATTGACTGATGCTGAAAGTTTCTGTATTACCTGAAGCAGAAAGTCTCTCTTAACTGAAGCTAAAAGTCTCTCTATTTACTAAAGCTTGAGGCTTCTTTATTGGATGAAGCTGAAAGTCTCTTTATTTACTGAAGCTTTTTTTCCCGACCACTGAGATCTTGGCTCATGTATGAAACAGAGTAACAGTCCAAACTTTGGTCTCAGTTTGAGAAACCTTTATAAACAGCTCTCACATGGTTAAAAACAGGGTTTACAGACATTAAGACCACAGAGCAGAAACAGCAGGAGGATGTTCAACATCTGCTTTCACATTTCTGATGAAACCCTTTCAAAGAAAACAGTCAGAGGAATAAATGTAGAGTTTGAAAGTAAAAAAAAAACCAGCTGATTTTATTGATTCCTGACAGAAAATCTGTTTTTATGTTTTTCTAAGGTCACACAGCTCTGAATATCTCTGCTCACAGCACATGATCAGCTTTGGAAACATATTTCTGTTTAAAGGGAAGTTTGATGTTGTTCAGTGTTTCCAGGTTTTCGTAAACGTCATAAATATGAACCTTAAACGCAGATCCCACAGAAATATCAAGTGATTCACAGAAATACAAACGAAATCCTGTTTGTTCACATTGGTCTGAGAAATTCTGAATATTCAGATTACAGATGATGAAAGTATACAGCATTAAACAGCTGTGGTCTTAAAGGCCATCAGACCTGCAGTCACTCATTTCTGATACAATCAAACTTCAGCTTTATTCTCTCAAACCTTCAGACTGTAAACAGAGGCAACAGGAACCAGGGTCCCTGGAAGTTTCTTATTCCTCAGAGGATATACCATCATCAAGCGATGGCTCATTGGTTCAGAGGATGGTCACGTAGCAACATTGATGGAGGAAACACCCCATCACTCTTCTCCTGTTTGCTGTGACATACAGACTCTCCTCCTCATCCTCGGGTCTGGTATGAAGGTCTGTTACAGTAAATGTGTGGTCAGGTTAAAAGCGAACACTATGTTTAAGTAAATAAATCAAGTATCAGTCAGTGACAGTCAGAGGTTTGAGTTTGAAGGACTCAGTCTGTGCACACCTGTGGACCAGGTCAGACCAGGTCAGACTCACAGCTGCACCATGTCCTCCTTTAGTCTTTTTTTTTTTTACAGCTATCAGAGGATTTGTGTGCTTCACAAACACTTCTTTTCACTGGCGTCATGTTCCCTCCTCTGGCGTATCCTTCCGCAGAAAGTAGATCCATCTACTGCATGATGACATCAGGCTCGATGTTAAAGAGGAGATCATCATTGTCCCTCCTGACCTCTAACAGCAGGGCCGCCTCCTCCTGAAGCGCCTCCTGGAGGTCAGCCGTGGTCATCATAGGCCTGCCATTTAACTTCACTATGATGTCTCCATCTTTGATCCCTCCTCTGAAGACCAAGACAAGAGAAGAAAGTTTCAGGGCTGCAGGATAAGCTTTATTTAGATGTGTATTCTTTTTGCATGAATGAATGAATCGTACTTGTATGCAGGCGAGTGTGGAACGACTTCGTGCACATAAATCCCACTGGTGACGTTGGGGAAGTCTGGGTTCTGCTGTTTGAGCTCCTCGATTAACCTAAAGATAGAAACCCGTCAGGACTGTGAATGTGTGGATGATCAGCAGGTAGAGGAGAGGAAGGACAGAGTTTCTGCAACAACAGGCTAAACACTGACTGCAGAAGGTTTAAGATTGAGGAGCATGAATGAAGCTTTAACTACCATGATGCCAGAAGAATAAAAAACAGACGGAAGGATAACACTGTCTGAAAACACCTCAAAACTCCAGGAGGCTCTCTGTTTGGAGACATTTCCTCTGGCTCAACCTGAACTGATGTGCTGATTGTTGTTGTGATGATCCCTCACTTTCAGAAATATAATATAAATCTGTGGATTATACATTGAGCTATAGAGAACTACTGTAAAATGCTGACAGGCTGCAGCATATTGACCTGGTTTTAGTCAGTCTGTTTACCAGCTGTTTGCTGAATGTGTGTGTTTAACAAAAAGGTAGTTCAGTCAGGACCACATTCTGCAAAAGACCCCTGTGGGCTCTCTTGTTGGAGCCCACTTCCATGTGAATGTCTGTCTCATGTGCATATGTGAAACGCCAAGGCAGTAGAGCGGACGCAAAGACCCCGAACAGAGCAGCATTAGCAAAAATCCATATAACCAGGGTAAAGTCAGATCCCACATCTTTTAGACCAAAAAATGCTCTGTGGGTTTGGAAGGAGGACTGTAATCGGCTGAAATGGGCTGAGGTGGTACACTAACTATTTCACGAGTAGCACTAGTGCGATGAACTTTCCCACTTGGTCACAACAGCACATGATTTGGTCAGTACAGTCTGACAATTCATCATGACCTTTATTGATGGGTGTAAGAAAGCAGAAACATCTTTTTTAGGGTATTCCTTTGCAGCACAAAGTGAAAAGAAGAGGATCCAGCACAGATCCCTGTGGGACACCTCTGATACTTTCAGCAGTTTGTAAGCTGGGCACAGAGTTTCAGTAAAACAGCCTGGTGAAAACCCAATCCTCTCTTCAGTCTATACATCTATTATGACAAATTGATACTTGGTAAATGAGATGATACACTATATCACCAGACAAAATACTGCAATACAATGCTGTATTGATTTTTTTTCTCACACCCCTAGTGGAAACCCAATCCTCTCTACAGTCTTTGCATATATTATAAAAAATTGATGCTCCATCGAGACTCACGCTGGTGTGATGGTCAGCATCCTGATCCCAACAAAGCGCTTCTTCACAGACCTCACATCTGAAACAGAGGGAAGGTTTAACCTCTATGACAAACAGGTCACTGTCAGCTGTTTGACATCAGCTCACAGACTCACCTTTACTCGGTCTGTCTAGAGAATCGTTCAGGAAGCGGGTGATCCTGTCAGAGGGGATCGCAAAAGAGATTCCTGCCGCCACCTTCAGGGTGTTGATGCCGATGACCTCCCCATCCTGAAACCCAGAGAAATAAAAGTGAATATTCTGATTTCTGCTGACCAACAGCCACATTACTGTGAGGTGGGAAACAGGAGGCTCACCAGGTTAACCAGAGGTCCTCCTGAGTTTCCGTACTGCCGAGGATGGACAGACAAAAACAACATGAAACACTTTAGAACCTGTGATTTTAAACTGAACGGAGACTTTTCAGAAAAATCTTCACTGCGATCTCACGTTAATGATGGCGTCAGTCTGGATGTAGTCCATGTCCGAGTCCCTGAGGCCCAGTTCCTTCCCGTCCCTCTGGGCCGTGCTGACGATGCCCGTGGTGACGGTGTTCTGCAGAGCGAACGGGCTCCCGATGGCGACCACAAACTCCCCGGGCCTCAGGTCAGCACTGTGGCCCAGAAACAGCACCGGCAACTTGGTCTAAGAATAGAACAGGATCATGGGGACACATGGAGAAGGTGAGGGACACCATTCACACTCAGACAATATTTGATTTAGAATGAAAAACCACAGGAAGGACTCTGGAAGGACTGAAAAAGCCAACCTCTGAGGTGTTTGAAGGCATACCGTGAGGACATGAGCTGCTGAAGACAAACCTGAGAGACCTGAGACTCTGAGCTGGATTTACGCTGATTTCATCTCTGTGCGGCAGCTGGCTGCACGCCCTGAATCCAGTCCACACCCACAGAGATCCTGCCAGACCCTCAGACACTTGGAGTTCAAATAAAATCTGCAGACAGTGTTGCAGCCGTGAGCTCAGCCTGTGACACACTGACACTTTACAGATACTCTAAAAACCAACACAGCCTGAACACACCACAAGCTGTTCCCCTACTGACCAACAACAACTCCAACAGGACAACAACACAACCAGGAGCTGAGGGTTCAAAACCTCAGAGACACCTTCAGGACACAGAAAGACTAGAGAAAGGACACGTGAGTCAAGAGTCCACAGAGACAGAGCTAAATGAAAACACATGTGAGCAGACTGAAGGGGTGAGGAATGAGCTCAGCCTGCTTCTTTAAGGACTCTCCCTGGTCCTGGTCCTGGTCCTGGTCCTGGTTCTAGTACAGCTCTAATATTACCCTCAGATGTTATTAGACAGAGAGACCTTCCCTCAGCTGTCCTTATCTAACACGTGACCCCTCCTCAAGCTCTCAAACTATTTCCACAGAAAAACCCCGGACTTTCCAAAGTCACCACACCCCTTCTGGGTATGAGTCCAGAAAAAAATCTGCTCTCAGTGAAACACCTGGAATATTCCTCCTGATGGAGCAAAACAGACCTGTACAGAAAAAAACATACGTCAGGCTTTGGTGCTCTGTTCCTGCGAGGCTGGAAGGATAAACAAATCCACACCAGCTTCACATCACACACCCATCTTGATCTCAGCTCCCAGTCCAAAACCAGCATCCCAGTCCATGTCATGGGTATCTTCCATGTTTGTGAAGACTCCATTAATGCTGAACAATATCTACGAGTTTAGCCATCCAGACAAAGACTTACTCAGGGAAGACCACATTCTGACAACAGGGATTACAACAGTTGTAGAAGTAGAAGAAGAAGAAGTAGTAGAAGAAGTAGAAGAAGTAGAAGTAGTAGTAGTAGTAGTAGTAGTAGAAGAAGAAGAAGAAGAAGAAGAAGAAGAAGAAGAAGAAGAAGAAGAAGAAGAAGAAGAAGACAGTCATGACTTGTCCCCCATTAAAACATTTGGAGCATCATGACACCAAAAATAGGACATAGGAGACCCTGAACTGTTGAGCAGTCTCTTGAACCTGGTCTAGTGAGTTTACAAAAGGTTGGTAAAAGAAGAGCAGAGTGCACATAATGAGAAACATGAACCTCGAACTACTTTTTACAAACATCTGATTTAAAATGAGCAGAAATATTTCTTATAAAACAAAAAACATTCTCAACATTAGACTTGTTGTGTTTGCGCTTTTTTGGATTAAATGCAGATTTAAAAAATCTGTAATGCATCAAACTCTGTTCTTTTTAACATTGTGAACGCTCTCTCATCCTTGAATTCTCATCATGGCTCTCTGAAAACTGTTTATTGCGACCACATGTTTTAGTAAACTCAGCTAAACATAGATATGGTGACCTGACTGCTCAGCTTAAGCTCTATTTAAACGTTTCTGCAGAGTAAGGTCAGTCCTCCATCTCTGACTTGATGACACTTTTTGCTTCAGTTTGATTTTGGGATGTTTTGGACACGTTCAGCCTGCTCCAGGTCTGTCTTTATGGTGACTTTTAAACCTGCTTGGGGTCTCTGTTGGTGTAGTTAGCCATGTAGCATCTACATGTCTATCACGCTGTAACATAGGCACAGCATTTACAGTACTCCGTAAAATCACAGACTGCTTCTTTAACAGGAAAGCCTTGAATAAACTCGGAGTAATATCCACATGAGTTTCTGGTAGCAGGCAGGTGTCCCTCTGTCTCAGCTGTTGTGTTCAGACTGATATTTCAGCTGCAATGAGCTAAGGTAGAGGAGGTGTGGAGGATCCAAACAGACAGACTGATTTCCTGTCTGTGGATTCCTCAGTCCTGTTCATATCTTTGTATCTCTCATCTTCTAACCTGTTGTTTTTATATGCTTTTATTGTGAAAGGGTTTTCACAGCTGCTCTGAACCCTCTGGCCTCCTCTTTCTGACCACGTTTTCCTCTGAGGTTTTAGATTATTTTATTAAGTGTGGACACAGGGATAAAGTTTCCTTCAGCTGAAGATTTCCTCCAAATGTTTATATAGACGGAGGCCCAAAAACCTGCAGAACTAAAACCACCGTCCTGTCCTCCCACTTCACCAAACACTAACGCTTCCAAACCTTTATATATATTTATATACATATATCTATATAAACTCTGTTCTCTAACCTCAGAACAAAACACAGACACATGAGCACAAAGACGTCAGCACTTATAATAACATGTGGATAAACCGTTAAAGGACGGGATCAGCAGCAGCCGGAGGTAATGAACCTGCACCTGTGACACCTTCAGAAACAGGGTTAGGGTCAGGGTCGAGGGTCAGGGCCCCAATTAGGGTTAGGGTTAGTATCCTCTGTCTGATGCTCTCCTTTGCTCCCTCACCTGCTGGAGTTCCAACAGACACTTCAATAGAAGGAACTTTGTATCAGACTAAAGTCATATTTATTTTACCCAAAACCTCCTAGTGCAACAAGACCTGGACACTAGAATCTTTTGACTGGACCTGCAGACTGCATGAACTTAACCAGATGCCCACCAGAGCTGACTCAGAGAGCAAACCTACCAACATCTCTCTGTGACCGTCCTGTCTGCTGTGGTGGATCTGACTGAACTAATTGTGCAGAATGAGGTTTTTAATGTTTCCATCATGATCTGGACACAGAAACAGGTCTAACCCGTCTGTTTGACCCAACCTCAGGACTGCCGGTCTGCAGGACTGCAGGTCTGAGGTTCACTGAGTGTCTGTGTTTGAATGATGGCAGCCAGCTTTGACCTGCTTCTTTACTGGTTTTAATGGAAACCGGCTGCTTTATAAATGTCTGTTAGTCTGAGTCCGGACCCTTTCTGAGGACTGCAGGTCTGATTTACCGAGTTTTACTGATTTATCACGTTTTCTGCAGTCTGAGGTCCACATGTTTCAGACATGTTTTCTTCAGAGGACCCCATCACGCATCAGGAAAGGCCGCTATCTCAGGGGTACCATATACAGGAAACCACTGACCCCTGACCCCCCAGGCTCTGAGCAGATGTTTCAGACACATCTGGCTTTAAGAATAAAGTGTATTTCTCTGTGAAACCAAAACCTTGATCTATACAGGCCTGTTCTGAGGAGAGTCTCTCACCAGCCTGACATGATACCCAACACTGTTCTCCAGAACACAGAGACTTAAGGATAAGACTGTAATCTAAAACATAAACCATGATGAGACCTGGATCAAGGGGTAACGTTCAGACTTCCTCTGTGAATCAGCGTCAGAGCAGCAGGTCGATAAATCCCTCTGATCCCAGAGATGCTCTTTGCTGTGGACGGATTGAGGTGTTTGGTGTCTCTCTGGAGGTTTCCACCCTGACAGTGCGCCAACCCTCCACCCTGTGAACCCCTTCTGCTGCCTGCCCATTGACACACTGTAAACACACACACACTGTAAACACACACACATGCACATGCAGAGTGTGCAGAGAAAGCGCCTGCAGACAGTCTTTACTCTGCAGGAGTTTTACGGGAACAGCAGAGCTGAAGGAGGTTTATTAATGCAGCTCGGGGGAGAAATCCCCGCAAACAAACCATTTTGTTTACATCCAGACTTTCCCATCACCATAAACCACCACAAACCACCATGAACCAGCATGGATCTCTCTGACTCTGGGGCTGAAACACTCATCTGTGGACCTTTTCTCTTTGTTTTTGAGCCTCATTGTTCCAACAGGTTTCATTTACAGAGAAAACCAACCAGAGTTACAAAAACAACCATCATTAGAAAACTTTGACCTCATCGCTCCTGAATCACATGAGCACATCAGAATAAAAACAGACTTTCTCTGTTTGGAAAGCTTCAGTTCATCTTCATAAACGGAGGAAAATAAACTCTCTGACAGAGAATGAACGTGAGAATGAAGAGGTGAGGATAACAGACTACAGAAAACCCTCCAAACACAGAGCAGAAGAGTTCTGGATCTGAGCACTGAGCTGGTTTTCTGCAGCATCCATGGCCTCGGACTAATCACTGGCGTTTACCGTTGTTAGGTTACAGAATGCTGCCTTAAGCGGCACCCTCTAGCCCGGAGAAATGATGCTAATGCTAAAACCTGCAGTTCCCAGAGTGTCCACTAGAGGCTGTTTACCACACACACTCTCATTCAGAAAGCTCATCCTAATTAACATGTCTACAGTTTGGTTTTCTGTAACCTGTTCGTTTTAGAGTTATTAACATTTCCAGTTTAGCAAATCAGAGGCACAGCTAACTTGACTGACAGGGGGAAGTCCTGTAGCTGTTAAAGGGATATTCCGGTGTAAAATTAATTTAGGGTCAAACACACCTTAACACCAAGTTAGACACCCCCTTGAGAGATGAATGTTGCTGACCGCTTGCTTCTCTAGTTATACCAACTTGAGTAATGACCACAGGGTAGCAATAGACAGTGGTCTGAGGAGCCACACAAAAACCTTAACCAAAACACCACTCTATAGCCACAAATAATACCTAACTTCATCAACAGGACATAAAGGGTCACAGCCATAGTACTAGCCACCGAACATCTTTTTAACTTTGCCTAATTTCCTCAGCAAAGAGATTAAACACAACTCACCTACTCTCTTCCAGCAGCCTCTTGTATGTGGGGGGAGCCCTGACGAGTCAATCACAGAGTGCAGCAGAGTTTCGCAGCTCTGAACATTTATGATAATTTCTTTATCATTTCCTTAAAGTAATAATCACCATATTAATCATTTGCACTACAGACGTGGTAGTTCTTCCGCCATAGCGTTTCAGTCTGATTGCATTTCCATGAAAAAATTATCACAAATGTTCTTCCTTGAGCTGTGTCACCCTGCAGAGGTCCGTAATGGACTGGCCTGAGGTCTTGCTACAAACAAGCGGCTGCTGGAAGAGAGTAGGTGAGTTGTGTTTAATCTCTTTGCTAGAGAAATTAGGCGAAGTTAAAAAGATGTTTGGTGGCTAGTACTTTGGCTGGGACCCTATATGTACTGTTGATGAAGTTAGGTGCTGTTCTGAGCATTATTTGTGGCTATAGAGTGGCTTGTTGGTTGAGGTTTGTTTATGGCTCCTCAGACCGATGTGTATTGCTATATATATATACTAAATTAATTTTACACCAGAATATCCTTTTATGGATCAGGCTAAAGACCTGCCTCTTGTAGGCTGATAAAACTTAGGTGAATCATTATCACCAAAAAGGCAACCGTCACTGATAGGCTTGAAAACGCTGCTTCAAAAACAAAAGGGTGATGTCCCTGATCTGTAATTGTTAACCCTAACCCTGCTGGGAGATGTAGTTTAGGATATTTATCTTCATGACATTCTTTAGGTTTCTTTTTTTTTAGAAAGTTAGAACAGAGAAGAAGAGAGAAAAGGGCTGGATAACACGTGAAAGAAAAAGAACCAGGATGTGTGAGTGACCTCAAACCTCCTGCTAACATGGCTGCATGCTAAACCAGTCATCAGTGATCCAGGTGGGATTCTGATGGGCGCATCGGTGTCCCAAAACCATTGCAAAACAAGATGCTGAGCTCTGAAAGTCCTGAAGCCCATTCAGTTTGATCAAAAAACTGCCTGATTTAACCCAGACTATCATGTGACCGACACATGTGACTGTTTCTTTTGTTCGAGGCTGAAAAAGACATTTTTACAAAGACAACAGAAAACAGATGAAGCTAAAGAGATCTGCAGCTCAGTCCACATGCAGATGCCATGCATGATGAGGAGGTGGCACGATGAAGAGGTAAAAGGATGAGGTTGATGTCAGACCATCAATCGTCAGCTCAATGATCCTCACAGAAAGAAAAGCAGCTCTGTGCTGAAATCTGAAACATGATTTATGATCCTACTACGATGTTGTGTTTTAGTCTCTGTGGAACCTTGGGTCCACGGTGACAGCTCTCTGTGAGGATTACAGTCTCTGTTTGTGTCTCTACTGCACTCTACATGCTGGTTTTCCCATGTTTTCACTTCACTGCAGCTGAGATCCAGATGTTCATGTCATGCACGTTTCCTCAGAGGCTTTCAGCTGCATGCAACGACACAGTTAAGGATGTGTTTCGGACTGTTTATGTTCACATTGTCTTTAAATGGAGGAATGGAAACTCTCATCACAGTGAGGCTGCATCCACACTGTACTGTTGTTATTTTACAGGGGTAAGGATAACACAGCAGGGGGTTCAGGGAAAAGAAACAATGACTGTATGAGAAAGAGAGAGGCTTTCATAAACAGATCAGCCCAAATAAAGTTGTCTTCTTCCTGAAAAACATGCGGCTGTAACGGTTTGAGCTGAAATTAGTGAGGAGGGATCAAACAGTGTAACCAATATGAAGTTTTTAGGATGTCTGTCCTCAAGCGTCAGCTTTAGTCACTGACTGATTCATACCAACATTAGTAATCTAAGATGTGTCAGAGTGCTCCACTTTAACCAAAAACTGGCTCCTCAAAACCCACTAAAAACTCCCTGTAATTCTCTCACCTCTCCCTCAGACCACAGATCAGTCAGGATAAGTATTTCAGTCCAAGAGAATAATATAGAAGTCTTCATGTCATGAGTTAAATTTGGTGGTATGACTCTGTTCATGTGTATGTGGTATACCAAAACTTGAGACAGACAGAGCGCAACCCTTCTGTTTCATGTGCATACATGCAAATCTAAAGCAGGGGGAGCAACAGCAAAGACCTTCAAGGTACAGAACAGGCATCATGAGACCAACAGAAACCAAAACTAGACTTAATCAGACCAGACACCTAGGGAGACCAGTTTTGTTTCACCACAGAGGCCATGGTCTAGAGTCTTCTATGTAAAAACCATTATCAAGTTTAATTCTCTGCATGTTTCTCATTTTAATTGTCTTTTTTCATCCACAGCCATCCAAGAAATTATATCAGGACCCCTCTGAGGGTTTGGTTCCTAGGTTGATAATCACTGTTTAGGATGTCCCTTTGGTGACCCTTCCTCTTACAGGTGTATATATGACTTTTGTGCTCACCTGAGCGTTGACTTTGATTGTGGCGATGTCAGACTTTTTGTCGATGTCTTTAATGCTGGCTTCAAACACATCTCCGTTGTGCATCTGGACCTGCAGAGAGGAACCGAACACCAGAGGGTAAACCAATACTCTTAAACCCTGAGCACTGTTCAGGTGAAGAGCTGAGGATATTTGCAGAACAGACAGGGTCTGTACCTTAAGCTGCTGCTGTCCAGACACAGGTGTGGAGCTGGAGACAACATGAGCGTTTGTGACAATCAGTCCATTATCTGACATGACAAAGCCCGAGCCGCTGGACAGTGGGATGTTCCTTCCAAACAGAGGGTGTCTGCAAACAGAGGACAAAATGACTACTAACAAAGGACAAAGAAACTACAAATGAAGGACATAGAAAACACAGAGGACAAAGCTTTACTAACAAAGGACAAAGAAACTACAAAAAGAGGATAAAGAAACTACAAATAGAGGACAAAGAAACTACAAACTAAAATGACTGCTAACAAAGGACAAAGAAACTAAAAACAGAGAACACAGTGTCAACAAAAAAGGACAAAAAAAACTACAAACAGAGGACAAAGAAACTACATATTGAGGACAAAGGAACTACAAACAGGACAAAATGACTACAAACAAAGGACAAAGAAACTACAAACAGAGGACAAAGAAACTACAAACAGAGGACAAAGAAACTACAAATAGAGGACAAAATGACTACTAACAAAGGACAAAGAAACTAAAAACAGAGGATAGAGTGTCTACAAAGGACAAAGAAACTACAAACAGAGGACAAAGTGTCAACAAACAGAGGACAAGGAAACTACAGAGGACAAAGTGTCAACAAACAGAGGACAAAAAAACTACAAACAAAGGTCCAAGTGTCAACAAACAGAGGACAAGGAAACTACAGAGGACAAAGTGTCAACAAACAGAGGACAAAGAGACTACAAACAAAGGAAAAGGTGTCAACAAACAGAGGACAAAAAAACTACCAAACAGAGGACAGAGAAACTACAAACAGAGGACAAGGTGTCTGATCAGAAGACAAACCTTTGAGGGTGTAGGCTGGTTTCCTAGAGAGCTTGAACTGACCTTGGATCAGCTTTTTACTGACAGTTAGAGCTCCATTAGGAATGAAGGAGCTCGTTTTAACTTTGGTTTCAGAGAAATCACAGTTTAAGTTGGGTCACTGCTTCTCATTATAATCTAACCTGGATGAGGATTTTTGAGGTTTATTCAACAGTGAACTGTAAACAGCATGTGAGAGACCAAAGGTGGTTCATGTCTGACTCAAGTTTGTGTGAATAAGTGTCTCTTTAAACAGCTGAGTTTATGTTCTGGTCTATTAGAAACAGAGAGGGACACAGCTCCACATGAAAACACGATGTGTCACTTTTGGCGGAAAACAGCTTTATATACAGGTATGACATCACCAGATGATGTATATTTAAAAGAACTCACCAGCGCCCTCTGTGGACATCCTGAGTATGATTCAACATCTCTAAACCTCAGAGACACTTGCAGGAGGAAAGTTTGCAAGTTTTCCCTGACTTTATAAAGTTTGGGAATAGGTGAACTTTACTTCAGCTTCTGGTGAAGATGAGGTCTTCTTACCTGAGGAAGAGCTCGATGTGGACCACAGCTGGAGCGATCTTCTCCACCACATCAGCAATGAAATTGAACTTGTATCGAGGACTGGCAGAATTTAAAGGACCTGTACAAACAAAGAGTGAAGTTAGCTAAAACATCTTGGAAAATGGAGGTCAGATACATCATTTCTGATGCATTCAGGGAAATTTGAAAACTGACTGGTGAACAGGTTGTTAACTGACCAGATTTCTGTCGATACAGATGTCAAACTAACAGTCAGTTTTAATCAGACTGACTTGGTCCCTGGACGACGTGTCTTCTTTTTTTTAAAGGTGGGTGCTGTGCTGGAGCGACTGGCAGCTCTGATGGAAACTGTTGAATACTGAGCTCAGCCTGAAGTCTCCTCGCTGTTTAACCACTAATAACAAGTTCAGCAGTTCTGCTGTGGTTGATCGTTTCAGAGATCTGGACTTACGGACTTAGAGTTGCAGGATTTTACTCTTTACATCAGCAACAGTATTTCATCTGGAATGATTAGATGGTAAAGATGCTTTAAAACACATTTTAAAAAGGAAATGTGAGGTATTTTCAATACTTTAATATCACAGACCTGAGGAAGGTCAGAGGTCATCCATCCTGTTAATGCTTTTAAAAAGGAGCTTGAAGTATTTTTTAGAGAAAGTACTGCAGGACTTTAACCTGACTAAGGAACTTTCAGCTGTACTTGATTAAAATCTGATCAGCAGGATCCAAACAGTGACCGAGGTGAGGAGGTTTGGTTCTCGGTACTCGTATTTTTCCACTAAACTCATATCTTAAAATCTGTCTGCTGGACGCTGAATAGAAACTTTATCTGACCCGTTTAAAGACTGAGCTCATTTCACTGACCACACCTCAGGATGTAACGCCCCACTGACCCACTCACTGAAGGAGAGAGAGTGTGTATGTGTGTGTGTCAGAGAGAGTAAAGTCAGACTAAATAACAGGTTAGAGATCAAAGAGAGTGTAAATAGAGTGTGTGGTGTACAGGGCTTCCTGTTTCCTCCAAAGATACCACGAAGACTGATGTATATGTTATTGTATGTGTGTGTGTGTGTGTGTGTGGGGGGGGGGGGGGTTTGCAGTCAGTCTGTTTTTATCATCAGCGCTCTCTCTGTCCTGAAATTTAGTTCAGACTGTTTCAGTGACCCTGATCACTGCTAAAGCACCAGGCTAACTGTGCCTCAGCAGAGCAGGAGGAGACAGAGGAGAGCAAGGAGAGGAGGGAGGAGAGGAAAGGAGGGATGAGAGGAAAGAGGAGAGCAGGGAGAGGAGGAGGAAAGAGGAGAGCAGGGAGAGGAGAGGAAAGAGGAGAGCAAGGAGAGGAGAGGAGGGAGAGGAGAGGAAGAGGAGAGCAGGAAGAGGAGAGGAGGAAGGAAAGGAGAGAGGAGAGGAAGAGGAAAGAGGAGAGCAGGGAGAGGAGAGCGGAGAGAGGAGGAAGAGAAAAGAAAAGGAAAGAGGAGAGCAGAGCAGAGAGAGGAGAGAGCAGGGAGAGGAGAGGAAGAGGAGAGAGGAGAGCAGGGAGAGGAGAAAGGTTGGAGAGAAGATGAGAGGGAAAGAAGAGAGCAGGGAAAGGAGAGAGGAGAGGAAGAGGAAATTCTCCCTGTCTGAAATGTTTACACACTTGAAGTCCTACCTGTGCCGGTCTCACACGGTCCCTTATGGACCTGAGTGGTCCCTTGAAGACCCTGCTGAAGGTTTTTCCTACTCGTAGCCTTCAGCTGGCATATGTTCCTGTAGGTCTTGCCGTCACTTCCACACACCTGGCTGCTGAACCTGCACTGACAGAAGCCTTTGCTAATCCGTTTCCCCGCAGGATGTCTGCACTCCAGCCCGTCTCCGCACGGCAGGTCGTCCCTGCGACCGCACGGCTCGCCCTCCGCCTGTGCGCACACCAGGCAGCAGTTGCAGCGGTCAGGCACGTAGCCGCTGGGACAGCTGGGACTCGGACACGTGCTGACGTCACAGCGGGTCGGACACTTGGGTTTGGGCTCCGAGCGTGCAGCTTGTCCGAGGAAGAGGAGCAGGGCGGCGGGCAGGAGGAGCTGCATGTTTGGAGAGAGCTTCTGGAAACTCAGAGAGGGTCAGGCAGCGAGCATCCGAGTCTGAGTCCTCTGGACCCTCTCTGTCTGCAGGATGGACAGAGACTCTCTCAAAAGTACTGGTAAAGGTGAGCTCCTGCTAAAACACACCGATAGACCTGAATGTCTGGACCCGCTCCCTGACCCTCTGCGTCTTTGTTTCTGTGCGTAAAGTTGGAACAGCAGAGAGACAGAGGCTTCTGCAGGAGGAGGAGGAGGAGGAGGAGGAGGAGCTGCGGAGGTCCACGTGTGTCCTCAGAGATCCTTCTGCGGGTCTGTTAGGGACAGCTTGGTTCAGTCAGCAGGATCAGAGTTCTGGTTCTGATCAATGTAACTCTGCGTGTGTGTAAATGAGGATGGATCAGTTTAAGACGGTCTGCTCCACTGGCCTGTTTTAAAGCAGAAACACGGTCAGTGTGGAGCAGAGCTGAGAGATTCAAGGAACATTGATGCTGTGATGTCTTTTATTTAGAAAATCTGTGCGTAAGAATAATAAATCATGAAAGATTTACACGAAATAAATGTTTTAATGCACAAATCAGCCCCACAGGTTACAGAAGAGTGACTGATGTGTAATTACTTTGTTTAGTGCTGCTAAAGGAAAATGTGACAAATAAACTAATGTGATGAACGAAGAGTCCTGGTGATACTGAAGGAGCTCCAGCTGATGCACCTGCACAGAGAAAACATGACTTTCACTCTGAATGAGACAGCAGCTCTTAGCTATCTTTATATACTTTAAGACATGTAGACTTTTGCATTGAGTTAATCACAGAGGCATGTATGACTGTGTTATGGTGCAGCTGTGGGGTCAGGTCTCCTCTCAGCATCTGTGGTTTCCACCCTGAACACGTGCTTTAGATAAACAAACCTGTTCAATAAAATTAAATAAACAGTAATCAGTGGTCCTGGTGAAACAAAACAGAAGAGCAGACTGTGAAGATGTCACGCAGGGGTTTGTCGCCCCCTGATGGCAGTCTAGGGGTTTACACAGAACCGCAAGATGAACCAGTCAGGTAGGACTGTTTTCACTGGACCTTCAAGTTAAATCCCTGTTCAGATTTTTGTCAGATATGTTCATGTCAATCATCATCAGAGCTGCAGTTTAATAGTGATTTATGATGATGACTGACATGAACATATCTGATTTATGAATCAATAAAGGAAACGCCTGGATTTGAAATGGCAGCAAATCAATTACCATCATCTTCATTATTGATTGCGCTGATCTAACATAATCAGATGTTCTTACAGAGGTTCATTAAATCTGATATTTATGACAAGGTTTGTGTTCTCCTGATCTGACTTCAAATCTTAGACTTCAGCACATCTACAAAGAAGTTAAAAGACAGACACAAACACTCACACACACAAACAAACATGTTCAGGTTTTATTTTATTGATTGAGTCCAAATACAGATGAGTTAATCACATCTCAGTCTGTCAAAGTACCAGATCAGATAAAAATATGAAGATCTCTGTAGATGATGCTGTGGTGTTCCTGAAGAATCATTATAAATCTATTAACTCTGTAAAACTCTCTTAACATTAGGTTTTTCACAGCAGCTCAGCGTGATTATGGTTTTTATTGGGTTTTTGTGTGTAAGTATAAACTGGGCTCTGAGGTCCTGTTTTTTTTTTTATTTCAAGAATTTCATATTCCTGACCTCACATGTGATTCAGCTTCTTAAAACTAACAAAAAAAAGCCCCCCTGTCATCTCTCTTGTTACAGGTGATTTGATGGGGTGGGTGTGTCCTCCAAACAGACAGGTAAAGGTGAGTGTCCACTGCTGTCAGGTCAGACTCTTTGATTCTGATCCTCTGAACCATTAAAAATGTTCATTCAGCTGTATATGGAGTTTTTCCTGCTCTCTCTTAAATTCTCTCCATCATCGTTTCATGGAGGCCCTGACCTGTAAGCTGCTGCTTTGCTGCTGGTCAGGTGAGATGTTGACCCTCCGGACGTTCAGCTCGGCAGCGAACGCTCGGGCTTTCTGGTAGAAGAAGAGGGACAGCTCGCGGTCGATCAGGAAGTTGTGGTAGATGGTGGCGAGGCGCGTGCAGAGCTGCAGCTGAGACCGCTTGTTACCCAGATCCATGGCTGCAGCCAGAGCCAGGTGGTAGTAACCTGCAGCATCAAACGGGTCCTGTAAAGACATGACAGTAAAGCCTCCGTCATCAGTATAATGTCAATGTGGTCATTGTGAAGATCAGTATGTCAGACAGAAGATTTGGATTTCACCAATTATTGATCAGATGTTGTGTTTATGCTTGAGGAGGTCAGAGGAAGAAGTGTTTGGATGAGAGAGGACACCAGGAAAGTGAAGATGTTTTGCTATCTTTCTCCTCTGCCAATGAAGAGAAGGAGCTGTTTTTGTGCTTTAGAGAACCAGAACCATTGGGCTGTCAGGTGGACTCTCAGGGCTGGACTCTTGGTAGAACTGTTATGCCTTCTTTACAGAGACTAGGGCTGGGCGATACGGCCTCAAATCAATATCACGATATATTGAGCAGTTCACCTCGATAATGATAAATGGACGATAACTACTCCACAAGCTGCTCACCCCCTCCCACATTAACTTCGTCTACTTCAGCCGCTACAACTTTTGAACTGTCCTCCATCTCCTCACCTGTCTTTCCCTCTTTGTTACGGACTGGATGGGGTGGAGTCACGAATCTAATGTAGGACAGCATTTTAAAGGGACATTAGACCATAGCCTACCTATACACATCCAAAACCAACTTTTATTTATTTATTTTTTTGACTTTGAATATGACGTCAATTATTGTTGTAAATTTCGGTATCTGTGAATTTTCGGTTTATTGCCCAGCCCTTATGGAGACTGCCCCCTTGTGGAGATGCTGATTGTAATATTTCATCCTCTCTACATAAGATCCAGGATGAATCACTTGAACCTTACCTTTAGGTCGTAGAAGATGATGTCCCCCAGCGTCTGGTACACCCTCATATAGTACAGGGTTTCCTCATCAAACAGCAGGGGGCTAGGACACAGCGTCAGGGTCTTCAGGTAGTGGTGTTCAGCCAGCTCATACTGGTCCAGACTGTGGTACAGAGACGCCAGTCGGTGGTACGCCACACGCTCATTCAGACTGTCACCTGAGTGTCCAAACAAACACAAAGACTGACACATGAACAGGTAGATCACCCTGCTCCTGAAATCAGACAACTGTCTGCCTCTGAGGTTTCTACACTGAGAACCAGGTGAATCAGGGGAACCTTAGAGACAAGTTTTAATGATCACTGTCAGATAGTTGGACCCTCCTCCTGTTCAGACAGGTCTCTTACCTAGTTTACATTGAGCCAATCACAGCTCTTCATTTCTAACAAGTTGGGCTCTGCCGGAAACATTAAGTTTTGTATCTCAGTCTTAAACTATCTGGACTGCAGCTCACAGGACAAAAACACAGAAACCTGTTAATGCAGTCTGCTTAAAAGCTGGTCCTAAATAAAGGATCAACAACACCCTAGACCAGACCCTCAATGATTTAGGGAATTAGTGTGAGGACAGAAAACAAACATTTAGATATACTGTAGACCAAATCTAAAAAACACTGACCCAGAGTGATGCTGATGTCCAGAGCGGTCTGAGCGAACTCCACGGCGTCCTCAAACATCTTCAGAGCCAGCATCAGTTCAGTCAGCTTATTACACAGACGAAGACGCGATGACACACCACCACTCTTCACCGCGATGGGCAGAGCTCGGTCCTACACTCAATAGAGAGAGAGAGAGACAGACACAGAGACAAACAAGAGGAGACCAGACAGAGACATGAGTCAATGAGAGACAGTTTTTCTGTGGTTTAAGCAGTAATTCCCAGTCTGTATTTAGTCAATGTAATCTGTGTTTCTCAGGCAGTGTAGTCTGTGTTTTTCAGTCTGTTCTGCGTAATGCCTTCTGTGATTTCAGCAGTGTTTCTCAGTCTGTGTTTTTCAGTCTGTATTTAGTCAGTGTAGTCTGTGTTTCTTAAGTCTGTACTTAGTCTGTGTTTTTCAGTCTGAATTTTGTCAGTGTAGTCTGCGTTTTTCAGTCTTTGTTTCTTAGCCTGTATTTAGTCTTTGATTTTCAGTCTGTATTTAGTATTTGTAGTCTGTGTTTTTCAGTCTGTATTTAGTCAGTGTAGTCTGTGTTTTTCAGTCTGTGTAGTCTGTGGTTTTTAGTATGTATGTAGTCAGAGCAGTATGTGTTTCTTCTTTTATCTCTAATTAGTCTCTGTAGTCTGTGTTTTTCAGTCGGTCTGTGCCGTCTGTGTTTTTTTAGTCTGTACCCTATAGAAGGTGATGGCTTTGTCTCTGTCCTGTCGGCTGTTGAAGAAAATGTCTCCTGCAGCTTCAAGGAGCTTCAGGATAAAGCTTGTGTCTCCGGAGCTTAAAGCCACGTCCTGAGCTGCCTGTCAGCACAAACACAGTGACACTGAGACACACAGACTCACAGACATGCAGGCGTTAGGGTACATGGAGGATTAATACAGTTATAAATGATTAAGAGGTTTTTAAAGTCTTAGAGTCCCTCTATGACAAACCAGATCAGGTGTGTTCAGACCTGCAGGTACAGCTCCACCAGCTCTGTCTGACCCAGTAGGTGGTAGATCTTTCCGGCCTGCAGCCAGCCGTATGCCTCCTTCTCCCTCCAGCCCAGGTCGATGAAAATACCCAGGCTGGTCTTGGTGTGGTCCAGAGCCGCCCTGTACGCCCTAAAGACAGCCAAACAACAGATGAATTCATAAACAAGTGAACATAATAAACTCTTCATCCTTATTCTTTTCTGATGATGTCCAGATTCAGCATTGATCCACATCAGCAGAGACTGAAACTTCTTCAGAGGAGACATTACCTCAGAAACTATGGCGCTTTTATTTTGATAAGGTCTCAATGTTGAGCTGATCAGAAACTCTAACAATGTTTCTGATTCATTAACAATTTTTAATCTCAGAGGGATGCTACAGCTAACTCGCTAACAGTTGCTGCTTTTATGATGAGTGGAAACCAGATTAGAGGACCTCTATTCTGGACTCACTGACTCCCCTCACACAGGTGTGTGTTGGATCCTTCCTCTCACCTGTCTGTCTTCAGGCTCAGGTAAAGTCTGCTGACCTCCTCCAGAGCATCTCCTTCCTGTCCTCTGTCCCCACTGAGTCCCAGCAGGTGGACCCGCTGTTGACTGTAGATCAGGACCTGGACTTGGTCTGGACTTTCAGAACCATAAAGACGAACCAGGTGAGCCGTGACAGTCAGCTGACCTGTAGAGAACAAGAATCAGAAAACAGACAGTCAGCTGACCCGGAAAGGACAGGAAACAGGCAGTCAGCTGACCTGTGGGGTCATGGCTAGGTTGGGTTTACTCACATTCCAACAGGTTAGCTTTGATAGCTAGCAGTAGCGCCCATTCGAAGCATCCTTTCCCATAATGCACCTGTTCGTGGCTGAGGTGCAGCTGTCCCAGCTGCAAGAGAACACTGATGAAGTTCTCCACCTGACCTTCATCCTGGAACTCAGAGAAGAGCTGCACTGCCTCTGTCAGCTGTCTCTGAGCCAGCCCTTTGGCGCCCGCCTTCAGACTCAACAGACCTGCAAGAGGAGGACACAGAGTCAGGTCACCTGACTAATGATGTTAACTTTTAGCATGAAGCATCTTACCTAGGTTAGCCTGAGCCACGGCCCCGTTAGCCATGTCCTCGTACTCCTGGCAAATGTCCACAGCGGCCTCATAACTCTCTGCAGCCTTCCGCAGGTCACCCAGACGCCGTAGAACAATGCCACGCATGTTCAGGACCACACCTACACCAATCATAACAGTGTTAACTGTAGCTGAGCAACCAGGGACCATAACTGGGCATGTGGGTGGAGCTTAAGGAGAGTGATGGTGCTCCTTGTTTTTTTTGTTGTACCTAAAATAACCAGTTACATTTATATTAATAGTATATTCAAATTTAGATATAATATAATATAACATAATATAATATTATAAGATATCATTTAGATTATTATTTATTCTTATTGTTTATTCATATTATTTATTTATATCTATATTTATACAGTAAATTTATATTTAAATTTATATTGTATTCATATTTATGTTTATATCTTCAAGTGTATATTTTTTTATTTTTATTTATAATAGTATTTGTGTTTATATGTAAATTAAATTCTAGGTAACAGAACAACTGACTGATCACTCAACAGGACTTTAAAATCTCTCTAAACCTGGCCCACCTTCCTGAAGTGTGGTGCAGTGTTCTGGCATGGAGTCCAACAGCAGTTCCAGGATCTCCAGAGCCACCTCAGGCTGGTTGTTGTTGATGTGAAGCCATGCCAGCCAGATGAGGTCGCTGTTTCTCTCTGAGGTGGAGGAGGGGAGCTGTCTGTTACTGATGAGGGCGTGCATGTGTCTGATGGCATGTCCAAGCATGTTGTGCTTACACAGGAGCTGGCAGAGTGAGAGGGTGAGCTGATGGACCAGGACTTGGTGCTGCTTGGGTCCTGGCTGTAGGTCTTTCATGGATGACAGGGTGAGGTGTAAGAACGGAGCAAGCTGTGCGGGGATAGAGGTTTCTGGTTCTGTGGTTTCAGAGAGTTTGCTGATACTGTCTAAAGCTAGAAGCGTGCTGCTCACGCGGTCAGTGAGCACAGCGGATAGCTGCAGAGAGGCTGTCCTGGCTGAGCTCACAGAGAGCTGAAGGAGTCCCAGCTCAGTGTAAAGCCTCCCCAGGGTCAGGTATCCATGACTGAGAGATAGGCTCCATGTCTTCTGGGCCTCAGCACCCAGGACAAGGAGTCTCTCCAGGTAGGGGACCACCTGAGCCCCCTCAGAGCGGCTCCAATGGTGCCGAGCCAGAAGAAAACAGGCTCGAGCCTCTGCGATGGTGTTATGAGAGAGGATGGATTTCTTCAGGATGTAGATCAGGGCAGAGTCCTCCTCTAAACTCTGCAGACAGTCCGGGATCCCAAACAGCAGAGCACCCAGCCTCTCTGCCACGCCAAAGAAGCTCTCTGCATTATTCTGGAGCAGGTAAATGCCTGCCAGGTTGGAGTAGACGCTTGCTAGCAGCCTGAGGTCTGAGAAACCATCTTTGGGCACGCTGAGAGCTTCCTCTAAGTAAACCCGAGCCTGGCTGAACTTTGACCTTCCAGCACACAGTTTACCCAGCAGAAAGCACAGGCGGGTCTGAGCCCAGAACAGTCTCTTCTTCCTGGATGTTTCCCTCGCAGCAGCAAGGAAGGCAATCAGCTCATCTTCGTCGCAGTGACCTACGAAGGCCGAGGAGGCCAGGAGGCCTGAGCCCAGTCCATACAAGATGCCCAGCTCGGGTCGGAAGTCTGGACCCTCCAGGAAAGAAAAGAGGGGGATAAAGTCCTCAGAGTTGCAGTTTCCTTCAACAACAGGGTGAGACCTGAAACAAGGTAGAGTCTGAGTTTCAGTCTTTGAGTCCAGAACGGAGACCTCCTGAGTTCTGTTTGTAGTCACAGGTCCAGACTCTTGTGATAGGTCTCTTTGCTGGTCCAGAATCCTCTGAATGCAGGTGCTCAAGTCAGACTGATGAAGGTCAGAGAGGGACGAAGAGCTGACTGAGAGGAAAAAAGGAAAACACAGAGTTTAAACACAGACCCAAAGAACATCAAGATCCTGAGTCCATCCAGACCATCTCACCTTGACTTTTCTTCTCTGAGTCTGTGTGATGAGCCACATCTACAAAAACAAAAACACATGAGCATCAGACAATCACCTCCATCCAAAAACACCTCCATCACCCACATCACCTCCTTCACTATCATTACCATCACTATCTCCATCACCTCCTTCACCATCTTTAGTATCTCCATCAACTCCTGCCCCATCACCATCTACATTACCTCCTTCACCATCAGCACCATCACCAGCTCCATCACCTTCTTCACCATCATCACTATCACCATCTCAATCACCTCCTTCACCATTGTATTCATCGCCTCCTTAGCCATCATCACCATCTCAATCCCCTCCTTCACCATCATTACCATCACCATCTACATCACCATCATTACCACCACCATCTCCATCACCTCCTTCACCATTAGCACCATCACCAGCTCCATCACCTTCTTCACCATCACCATCTCCATCACCATCACATCACCATCTCCATCACCCCCATCAATATCTCCATCACCACCTTCACCATCACTTCCTTCACCATCATTACCATCACCATCTCCATCACCTCCTTCACCATCTCATCACCTCCTTCACCTCGTTCACCATCATCACTATCACCTCCTTCATTTTAATCACTATCACCATCTCCATCACCTCCTTCATCATCATCTCCATCACCCATCACCTTCATCACTATCACATCTCTATCACTCCATCACCTCTACCTTTATCATCTCCATAAACATCTCCATCACCTACTTCACCTCGATCACCATAATCACCTCGATTATCTCCTTCATCTTCTTCACCGTCTTTCACCATCATCTTTTCTATTTCCTCCATAAACTCCATCTGAATTCAGATATTTCAGTATTTTCACATTTCACACACTTGATGAAAAACTCAGTCTGGACCTTTGAGAGTCTGTCAGTCTTACCCAGTTTGTAGTTCAGTCCAGTATCATACTGAGATCTTTCCTTCAGGCATGCCGTGACCTCCTCCACGACTTTGTCCTCATCCAGACTGAAGAATGTGCTCACCTCTCCGTTCAGTAAAATATCTGCTGATCTGGAGCAGAGAGACAGGATTTCCCTTTAAAGACTCAGTGTATAACTGCAGTTTCCACCCAGTCAGGGCACTGTGTGAAATCAGCCTAGCTAAAATTAAGCTTGGCTGGGCTAGGTTCATTCACTCACTCATAAATGCCCTCTGATGGTTTCACCAGACTTGTTTTCACCAGACCCACTTCTCCTGTGGCCTCCTTCTTCCCTGTGAACCAATCAAAACAGTTCACCAGCAGCCCCACGATGATGATGCAATCACCGGGCGCCACGCTCAGCTCGTCTGGACCCTCAGCATCGTACTCTGCTGTGGCCTTGCAGTTTCCTCCAGCTGGACGGGGAAAAGGGAAAAGGAGAAAAGAGATCACAGAGGTATTTTAAACCTTCTATTTCAGAATACTCTCAGGATCTGCTTCTTCTATTTTCACTGTGAGAACAAGGAGCCATTTCAGCTCAAACACCTTTGGAGACAAGCTGAGTGGCTGAACACAAAGCAGACAACAAAACACTGTTCACTTACATCTTTAAAATTGTATGGCAGTTTGTAAATGAGAGTCCAGTTCAGCCACAGTCCACAAAGCAGAGAGCGTGGGTTTGACCCCAACCCTCTGCAGTTGGCTGTCTGTCATCCTCTTACTCTAAACCCTGACCCTACCCTGTCCCTGTCCGTAAGGAGAAGACAGGTGAAAGCAGCAGTGATCAGCATCATGTTCTCACCAAACTGCAGAGGGAAGTCACAGGATGGTTTGCCATCACCCACCAAGACGCTCTCTGCTGCAGATTTCAGGAACCACCTGAGGACAGACAGATAATGTTACAATGTTACAGGGTTACCACATTACAATGTTAGCATGTTACTGTGTTACAATGTTACCATGTTACAATACAACAGTATTAGAGTGTTACAATGTTACAGTGTTAGTGTGTTACAGTGTTAAAAAGTTATAGTGTTTCCATGTTACCATGTTACAATATTACAGTATTAGAGTGTTACAAAGTTACAGCGTTTTAATGTTACCATGTTACAATGTTAGCGTGTTACAGTTTTACAGTGTTACAGTATTACAGTATTACAATATCATTCAGCAAATGCTTTTGTACATGTGACCACAGATCTCTTCACTTCCTGCACCGATCAGAGAGAGGCTGCTGGGTCATGTGATCATACTCACTGGTGGAATGGGTGGACTGGCTCCAGGGCAGGTCTGGGCGCCGTGCCTCTGGATCCATCAGACAAGCAGAGGACGGTCCATCCCGAGCCTAGGAATGGGGGCTCAAACTGGGCTATGTCCCCCTGCTCCAGGTACAAGTCTCCTCCAGAGGTGGAGCTGTCAAACATCTGGTTGGTGCTGCAGCTGGCGAACAGAGAACCTGATAAGAGGAAATGCACGTTACTGTTAACCCTTTATATATTATTGGCAATACTACTAGATAGTTAGTTAGTTAATTGTGATTGGTTAGCTGATGGTTTGATTTGACTGGCCAGCTAAGGGTTAAAGGTGATTAGTTAGTTAATGGTTTATTGTGATTGGTTAGTTAAGGATGGGAGGTGATTGGTTAGGAAGGGGTTAAAGGTGATTAGGGTAACACGATAAGAGTTAAAGGTGTGTGGTTTTTAGTCTCTGCAGACACAGCTGTCCGGCGTACCCTCCTGCATGAGAATCCCTCTGTACATCAAACCCAGAGTCTCCTCCTGAAATGAGACTTCCACAGAGACCTGGTCCTCTGGGGGACTGAGCCAGGACTTCTGCTCCAGCAGCAGGTTCTCCAGACAGAGAGCCAGGAACCCTGCAGGAGGAACCACAGAGATTGTCTCCAGGTTAGTTAAGGATTAGAAACACCATGACTATGTTCAGACAGAGATGGAAATACACTCTGATAGGCTGAACTGAAGGTTTTCAATCATCCTCTGAGGGTTAAACTTCACTCTCAGACGCAACCAGAAAGACAACCTGTTTTCAGGTCTCTCACACCTACCTGTAGTGTAATAGGTGGTGAACTTCCATATTTCCTCCAGAGTTTTGAATGTGACGTAAAATGCGTTTTCCTCACTGTTGATGGAGAGGAGATGAGCAGAGAGCTCCTGCACACAGAACAACAGAAGAGACACACCAATGATACCAGCCATAGGACACAACAATATACCCTATGATGATGATCTGATCTGAACTTCTGGGCTTCCATATGTCTATAAAAGTCATAAAGTCATAAAATATCAAAAGTCTGATGCGTCAGAGGTTAAAGATGTTTGTCTGAAAGTGAAATAGGTCTTTTTTTGAGTAAAATGGTTACATTGACTGTTTCCATTATTTGATATTGAAACATCTGACTGTCAACAATCAGCAGGATCAGTTCATGATAAGACACGTTCCTCAGAGGAGCTTTAACACGGAGCTGAGAGACGTTTGGCCTCTGACACCGGAGCTACAAAACATCCTGATTCATCAACAGTCACACAGGAAATCAGTGTGTGTGTTTTTGAGTGTGTATACCGTGAACAGAGCGGTGACCTCTCTGCTGTCAGTCTGCAGGATTCTCAGTTTTCCTCTCAGAGCTTCCTGCTGTGAGTCGTCTGCAGGAAGACGATCTGCACCCCCAACACACTGCAGGAGGACAGGCAGAGCTACACACACACAAACACACACACACTATTATTGATTATATTTTATAATTTACAGATAAAATCACCTCTTTAATTTTAGGCAGACTCTGGCACACTGTTCATCTCCAGCTCATGTCTAGTTGATTCTCAGCTGCTGACACTCTGACAGGAACTTTGTTTTCCACAGTTGGACAGACTTCAGGAGCTCCTCCTTAGGATGAACTTCTCTGCTACCTGTCCCACCTGACCCAGGAGATGCCTGAGTACTGTTAGGATGTGTCTGCTGTAAACACACTGATAATAAAGATGAGCCCTGGATCACCACAGCCCTAGGTAAGTTTAGGACGTGACCAGCTCACAGTCATATAAGAAGGTCAGAATACCTGGAAGCAAAGTTCATAAACCTGCAGTCTGATGCAAACAGAGCCAGATCATCAAGACAGAGGAACCCAAGATTTCAGGTTTGAAATCTACAACTGTGGCAACAACAGCTAAAATAGCAACATAGATGACTACAACTACAACAACAAACACAACAACCACTAAAAATCAACAACAACAATAAGAAATTCATCAGTCCCTGAGAGACAAGAGGATCCCTTATGACTCAGACCCAAATAAAGCTGAATTAGCCTGAACAGGTGAGCAGGTTTGACTCTTCAGGTGAGTACCTGAGAGTCTGAGGAACAGGAACTTCATGGTGTTTCAGGCATAAAGATCATGAGAGGATCAAATCAACAGATCTCCATTTTTTTTCCAGTGAACTCAGTTTGTGATTAAAAAGAAGCCCAGACTGAACCTCAGATTAATGAGTGACCACACAGAGCCACAGGGTCCAGGTTCAAACCATCCTCTCACCTGACAGCTCACCTGACAGCTCTCTGCTCATGTCAGTCTCATGACTCAGTCTCAATAAAACAGGTATAAAAGTCATTACCCTGAACCACCTCTGGTTTCTTGGATCCTCCTCCTCACTCAGGTTTATACCTCACCTGAGTCAGGTGGGCAGCTGAGTGGACGGAGTCTCAGTGTAACTGACAGGTGTTTCACCTGACTAGAGAGTAGCTAAAATCCCAGACTTCTGTCCAACTTGACACCTTACCTCACTGTATCAGAGGAGAGTAGGACAGACCACAGAGTCCTGAAGTAAAGAGAGGAAGAAAACTGAACACAGGTCATCAGAGACGCTGAGCGGTCTTCATCTGAGGCTTCTCCCCCTGTCAAAATTGTAAAATAGATCAGTCTGTGACTGAAGAGGCTGACAGAGCTGAGAGCGGGTCACTCAGGTTAATGAAGCGTTCTTTGGTGGGGTGGTCTGCATGTTAACGATCCTGTCTTATAATGTTAGCTTCACAGGATCACTGTGGAGCTCAGTTAAGTTCAACCCTCCTGAGCCCAGGTCTTCATTTCTGTCCCTGATCTGACTCACAGACAATAGAACTCTCAGTCAGCTGATCCATCTGTGATCACTCTGATTGGTTGTCTTATCTCTGCTAGAGATGCACTGATCCATTTTTTTCCGATCCAATCCGATACCGATACCTGGGCTGAGCATATCGGTCAGTATCTGATACCGATCCAATACTGCTGTTGAATGAATGAATACCTTCCCGTGTGAGTGAAGGCATCAGGCTTGACATTAGCCTTGTTAAAAAAAGATAACAAATTAACACAGATATAAATTGACTTATTATTTATTAACAAAAAACAAATTGCACATTAGCACACAGCAAAAAGAGGTAAAACTTCCATGTAAACATTTAGTGCAAAGGGAGAGACAGACATAGAATATGAAGTGAACAGAATCGCTGTGTTGCTGTGTATGATATTAATTAAAAGAAAAAAAAAAGACTGGTTCAGAACACTGGATCGGCATCATTTATCAGATATCCGATCCAGTTAATTTGTCAATATCAGAGCCGATATCCGATCCAACTATCGGATCGGTGCATACCTAATCTCTGCCAGAATGTCTTCACTTTATGACCACACATCCAGCACATACAGGCAGCAAGGAAACAGGGAAAACAGGCTGTAAGGAGCAGAGCCTACCTGTCGGACAGGTGTCCTCAGGTGTGGACAGAGACCTCTTCAGACTGGAGGTGTCTTTGCAGGAACCTCGCACTGACAAACATCAAGAAGGAGAAAGAGGAGGAGGAGAAGAAGAAGAGATGGAGACTATCAGATAAGGAGGAGGTTCAGAATAATCATCACTGTTTCTGAGACTCCTTTAAATCAAACTTTTGATCAACTTCCTCATAATCCCATACAGTTGAGGATTAAACTTTCCATTGAATATTCTGCAGAGGAGAAAAAAATCCCTCTGTCCTCTCACATTCAAACAGGTCAAAGTTTTTAACTCTCCTTCATGGAAGTCTCTGATCAGGGTGATCCTCAGGATTTCTGCTGAGATCATTCAAACTGAGTTTAAACTTGAAACACAAACGAACTTCTGAATTTCAACTATACTCATTCACTCTGTTTCTGCTCTGAACTCTTGTAAACTGAAACTCAAACACTATATCGGTTAACCATTTCAGTTTTTAACCGGTAAAATATTCGATCATGTGTTCAGGGAGCTCCTCCACTCAAACCCATGTTAATTTCAACTTTAGAAATCCGGGTCATGTCAAACTGTAGTACCTGCTCTGCTGGATCCCCGGGACCTTTCCGGACCCTCTCGGACCCGCTGCCCGTTTGAAGCCTGTCTCCTCCGGCTCCAGCTGCAGCCGATGTCCTGCTCCGGTCCGGTTGACATTTCCGGTAGACCCGTAAGATGATCAGAACTCCGGACCGTCACGCGCCCCCGCCGATCCTCAGTCCCTGTCCAGGAGATAGGAAGAGCCAGTGACTGTGGCCCCTTCAAAATAAAAGTCCCATTGAGGAAGGCTAAGCTGACCTATATTTTTACACGTGTTCCGAGGGAGACAATTTTAGATTATAATTTAGGTTTGACAAAAACAGAAAAAGAGGAAAAATATACATTTGTTTTTATGCAGCAGATGAATAAATGTCTTTTTCATTTATGAAGAAATTCCCATCAAGTAGCCTTGGGGCCACGGTTGGCCCCATATGCTGTTTTTAGGGGGGGCACCACTCAGCCTCTTGCCTCTAGAGTCCTGATGCTAAAATAATGTGGTGACGAAACAGAAAAAAAATCTACACAGTGAAATAATAGCCTTGTAATTTTTATTCATAATAAAAATATATTTTTTAAATAATGAAAATAATTATGACAAAATACACTAATGTAATGATAAGTATCACAAAAATGAAAAAAAAAAAATTAAAGTAATAATAAAAATCCCAAATAAAATAACGATTATGTTGATTAGTCAAAATATAAGTAGAAATAAACATTAAAAATGAAAATGATTATATAATTAAAAAATAATAAAAATAAAAAATAGATAATTTTTTAAAGATTTTGAAATGAATTTTTAATTAATTAATTAAATAATAATAATAATAATAATAATAATAATAATAATAATAATAATAATAATAATAATAATTTCTTCTGATTTTTATGTTTTTTCAGCCTACATGGGTTTTTCCTGCCATGCTGTTTGAAACTGAATAATGAAACAGGCTGAATGCTCTGACTGTTTGTGGGACTGCCTGACCTTGACTTCAGGATGCAAAAACATTATTATAAACTAGATTTACAGATACTACTCTTACTAGAAGCCTGTTTCTCCTTCTAAGTATTGGGATAAGCCTGTTTGATTTTCTGTTTCTCTGCCGCTCTGTCAGTCTTCATATTGAGGCTGTAGAACTATCAGGACCCGTTTTTAGGTTAATAATCAGTCAGCAAACAAATAAAGCTGCTGACTGTCCATGCTGTGCTCAGAGGGTCCAGCCTGAGTGGACTCAGTCAGTGAGTAAAGCAGCTTCACACCCCCAATACAACAGCAGAGAGAGAGTGTCTGTCGCTGTCCGTCCGTTTGAGAGTCAGCCAACATGTCAGGAAGTCAGTCAGCGCTTCCTTTCTCAGTTCCTCTCTCTGTCAGCAGCCTGCAGATCACAACTGCAGCACAAACCTCCTTTAATCACAGACACTTAGAAAACATACATAGATTCATCACACTATGAAACAGTCAGATTGAAGCTGTCAGCTGACAGAGGTGTGAAGGTCAGAGTGTGTTTAACTGAGTTAGCCATACTCTGAATTTATCTCTATAAAACACTTTTCAGCTGTGAAACACTGAAAACACAACAAAAGGTAATGGTTTAAAAAATATTCAAAGTCAGTATTTAACAAAGCAAAGACCACACACCAAATACTGAAACTATAAAATGTTATTGTTTTACGAAAAATCTCTGCTCCATGCAAACCATGCAAAGACGATATCAGATAAAAACTGGATCCAGAATCACCGGAGACTTCTCTGGACCTGGACCTTTAAGGTGGACTGAGGGGACGAAGAAAACTGTCCTGTAGGCTGATGAATCAATACTTGACATTTCAAAACTTGAAATCATGACTTAGGTCCAGCCAGCCCGCTGTCCGGCCACAGGCGAATTCATGTTCCAGCTCTCCTCCTCTCTGAAGATTTGAGGGTTCAACTGTCCTGTGAGTTAGATACCCCCTCAAGAGATGAATGTTGCCTACCGCTTGCCTCTCTAGTTATACCAACTTCAGTAACGGCCGCATGATAGCAATACACAGTGGTCTGAGGAGCCATAAACAAACCTCAACCAAAACACCACTCTATAGCCACAAATAATGCTCAGTACAGCACCTAACTTCATCAACATTACATATAGGGTCCCAGCCATAGAACTAGCCATCAAACATCTTTTTAACTTTGCCTGATTTCTTCAGCAAAGAGACTAAACACAACTCACCTACTCTCTTCCAGCAGCCTCTTGTTTGTAGCAAGACCTCAGGCCAGTCCATTATGGACTTCTGCAGGGTGAAGCAGCTCAAGGAAGAACATTTATGATCATTTCTTAGTGGAAATGCAATCAGACCGAGACGCTAAGGCAGAAGAACTACTGCGTCTGCAGTGCAAAATGATTATTATGGTGATTATTACTTCAAGTACATGATAAAGTAATGATCATAAATGTTCTTCCTTGAGCTGCATCACCCCACTGCACTCGGTAATGGACTGGCCCGAGGTCTTGCTACAAACAAGCGGCTGCTGGAAGAGAGTAGGTGAGTTGTGTTTAGTCTCTTTCTTAATTTTACACCAGAATATCCCTTTAATGCAAAGCTCTCCAAATAGGTTACAACATTTTGCTAATCTCCATGATTTTTGTCATTTGAAATGCCGCAGTCTAACATTCTCATTATTTTTTAAATGCATTTATTTAATGATGAATTTGAATAAGATCTTGAAAATCAAGCTTCTGTCTGCTTGATTCGACATAAAGGATAAACCTTTAGCCACCATCACAGTGTTTAATCAGGATGAAAGATCAATCAAATTTCCGTCCGTCCTCATTGAAATCAGTGTTTGTCAATAACAAAATTTGAGGCGGTATCATCACCACTTCTGTCGTTTCCTCCTGTTTCCTGAGGATAGCGCTACTGTTGAATATAAACCTAAACTCGACTAAATGTAGTCATGTTCTTATTCTGTGGTATCTGCAGCTTTACATCAATACAAAACAATAAGCTTCCGCTACTAGACTCCAAAATTAAAGTCCGAGACCAACGGCGCGAGTAAAAACTTGAGATTTCTGATTACGCTGCTTTTATTTTGAAATAACATCGGAAGTATAATTCGCGTTGCTCATTTTCACCTAAACAAACTTGACAGTTCCGCTCCATCCAAACATTAGCTTTTAGCTAGCCACCAGCTGGCAGGATTCAGACCCGGTCCAGGTGAACCATGATCCGCAGGAGGACCCAGAGTCTGTCTCCAGACCTCCACCCGGTGTTCTTGGACCCCCCCGGGGCCTCCAGCCGGACTGACGGGGACTTCCTCGACGTGGAGCCAGACGAGGAGCTGCTGTGCTCGGTCAGCGACATCACGGAGCACCTGGGCCGGAACATCACCGTGGTCCTGGACTCGGCTCTGTCCGAGATTCGCAAGATGGTCAGCATCCGGATTCGGGTCCTAAAGATGGAGCTGCGGGAGAAGACCGAGGAGATCGAGGTGCTAAAGGCCCGGCTAGAGTCTGCTCAGAGGGACCTGTACCCCGGAGGACCCACCCTGGACCCGGCAGCGGACTCTGGCCTGAAGAAGCCGGACTTTACCAAAGCTGGTCCCGCGGATCCCCGCAGGAGCCGGTCCGTCCTCCCCGGAGTGAAGAAGGAGAACATTGACGCCATCTGCGATTACCTCATGAAGGACAAAAACTCCAGGGGAGGCCAGGACCAGGACCAGGACCAGGACCACAGCAGCGACAGAGAGGCGCGACAGGACCCGGACCCGCAGTCCCTTCACCTGTGGCCGGACAGCGGGCTGGCTGGACCTGGGTCAGGTCCGGGGGACTCAGAGTCCACCACAGAAGACCTGTTCAGCATGCTCCCATCAGGCAGCAAGAGGATCTATGACTATGATTGGATCCCCCCCATGGAGTTCCCCCCAGACCTGAAAGGTAAGTGGGACCAGGTGAGAGTGGGCGGGGGTCATGGAGAAGGTGTGTCATTGTGGGCGGGGTCACAAAAGCAGGTGTATTATTGTGGGCGTGGTCACAACGCAGGTGTACCAGTGTGGGTGGAGTTACATCAGGTGAATAAGACTGTTAGTAAATAAGAAAGGAGAAACAGGAGGAAAGGGAGGAGGGGAAGAGGAAGAGGAGGAGATGGAGGAGGAGGAGAAAGAGAAGGAGGAGGATGAGGAGGAGAAGAAGGAGGAGGAGTAGAAGTGAGTAAGAGAAACGTAAGGAAGAGGAGGAGGAGGGACGTTCTCTAAACACAATAACTCAGTGTATCAGGTCAATATCAGCACACCTGTACAGGTGCTCTCTGTCCTCTAAAGCAGTGGTTCTCAACTGGTGGGTCCAGACCCAAAAGTGGGTAGCGGACATGTTCTGGATGGGTCGTGAACAGCTGGTCAAAAAAGTTAATATTTAATGCGCTTCTGATGTTTGTCATGTCTTTTAATTAAAAAATAGGTTATTTTGAAATGCATATATGTCAAAATTTTCATTTTTCTGGTCTTCATTTTGTGCAATTTGATATTTTCTGTATATGCAAATTTAGGAGTTGTCATCCTCAGTTCCAGCGCTCTGAGATGCACTCTACCCAATAAAACGGGTGTATTTATGTAAAAGATTTGAGTCTTTACAGGTTTTTTTATATAAAAAATAAATCTGCTTGGTTTGAATTCTGTAAAAGTGGGTGACAACTTAAGGGCCATGAGAAAATGTGGGTCCCAAGGTGAGACGAGGGCTGTGTCCGAAATGGATCCCTAACCCCTATGTAGGGGACTATATGGGGGTTAGCGCCATTTTGAGAGGTGTCCGAAACCTCAGTGATCAATTCCAGTGCCCATATAGGCGACTCAAAATTTCCCATAAAGCATTGCAAAATGTAGTGACCATCTGATGATCACTCACCGGTGGTGGACATCCTGTCATGCATTGCGTCTTGCCATGTAGTGTCCGAAACCTCAGGTGATTGAGTTCACTACATAGTCAACTATATAGTGAAACCCCATATGGAGATTAGGGGTTAGGGATTGAGTGATTCATTTTGGACTCAGCCCAGTTAAGAACTACTGCTCTGAAGGAAACAGGTGGACAGCTGAGGGGAGACAGTGTTGAGTTAAAAACAAGAGTGACAGCTTATCTCTATTATTCTTGTTCCTTTTATTTTGACACATTACAAGGCTGAAGGAGTGATTTTAAGAGCTTCACCGAGAACATAAAAAAACATAGAGACTGAAAATGGACATTGCACATCAGAAAAAAAAGACAAGTTCAAATAAAAACAGACATATTTTCAACACTTAACCCATGATCAAATTGGAAATGTTAGAAACATATTTCAGACATGGTATTCAGTTTTCTTCATACTTTAAAGACAAGCATGTCCTCGTGGTTGGGCATCAGTCAGGTAACGTGTAACATGTTTACTTGGTACAAACTTAAACTGCATCATGATTTTTACCATGTTTTTTAAATTCAGATGAAATCTCTCATTCTTATTGTGAACCGGATGATAATTTGAGTATATGTGAGAAAATCCCAGTATGAGTTTTTGACTCCATCCTGCAGCCCTGATTTTTGTTCGCAGCTCTGATAGCCGGTAGTGAGCCGGGATCTCCTCATATCATCAAGTCCTCCTGCGGTATATTTAATGGTAGTATCATAAGGAATCAAATGTATTAATGAGTACCTGTACCATCTGGTGATAAATTCACTTTTCATCTTCCATGAGAAACAGATTTCATCTTCGGTGACCGTCTCTGCTCACTGCAAATACACACCTGTCAGAGTATCAGACAGTACAGATGTATCTTATGAGATTGAAGCATTGACAGAGGACGTATTCCTGTAGTTTAGAGGGGGTTTATTTAGCACTGACTCTTTGATTGTCCTGCAGATGGTCAGTGATGACTGTCAGGTAAAGGTGAGTCAGTGTGGGTGGGTCTATGTTTTTTTTTTTTTTTTTATCAAACTGAAACAGTCTTCATGCAGAGCAACCCTCCGTCCCTGCAAAACACAAACTAAGAGAGGAAAGTGACTAAATCAGCAGAAACTTTAGGGTGCTTTTATTTTGGAGTTTTTAATCAGTCTGTGTCAAAATCTACTGACACTCAGACCAAACTCAGACTGACAAATGCAGTACAGCATCTGACCAGAGGAGGGGGGCAGAGAGTCATTTTCTATGTTTGTTTCTCAGTGATGAAGGAGTCCGAGTGTGAGGACCCCGCAACTGCTGAGACAGAAGAGGACGAGGAGGAGGACCTATCCAGGACAGAGGGGCGGGGAGTGGACCAGGACCAGGACCCGCTGTCTCATGTCCAGCCTACAGAGTTCTCCATGAAGGATCAGGACTCTCCTGAAGGGGAAGGGAGTCCTGAGGAGGGGTGTGCGGAGCATCCTGCAGGAGGTGAGTTAGAGTCAGGGTCTGGTCTGACATGAGTTTAGAGCATTAAAGGGATATTCCATCGTAAAATTGATTTAGGGTCAAACACACCAGAACACCGAGTTAGACACCCCCTTGAGAGATGAATGTTGCCGACTGCTTGCTTCTAAATTAATTTTACGCCGGAATATCCCTTTAAATGATCCATCAGCAGCTCAATAAATATTGTGAAATATGATTTGACTTTATTTTATTATTATCTAATATTTCACTTTATTACAAACAATGATACTTGTGATAATTTTTATAGGTGGTGTTAGTGTTGTATAAACTTTAATCTGTCCAATTGTAACAGTCATATGACTTTTGTGTGTGTGTATGTGTTATAGGTCCACAGCTCCCTGCCCACACCTTCATCTGCTCTCTTTGTGGAACCTTCTGTCCAGACTCAGCATTCCTGGAGGAGCACATTAAACTGATACACCTAGACTCTGCTGAAGCTCTGCAGGCACTGCAGTCCACTGGTCCTGCCATCCCTTCAGTCACTGAGAGCAGTGGTGAGTCCAGGAGAGGCCGTGAAGGACAGAGTGAGGCTGCAGCAGGAGATGGGTCTCGAGGGGGGCCAGGGCCTGTGAGGAGAGAGGTGAAGATGGATGGGGGGTATGAGTGTGGGGACTGTGGGCGTCACTTTAACTACCTGGGGAACCTGCGGCAGCACCAGCGAATTCACACCGGGGAGAAGCCCTTCATGTGCCCGGAGTGCGGGGAGCGCTTCAGACACGCTGCCCGCCTAAAGAGCCACCGCCTGGTTCACAGTGGTGCCCAAAGCCCCTTTCCCTGCCCACAGTGTGGGAAAGGCTTCTCCGTGCTGTCTGGACTAAAGAGACACCAGCGTGTCCACACTGGGGAGAGTCCCTACGCCTGCCCCCAGTGTGGACGCCGCTTTAAAGAGCTGGGAAACCTGTACACCCATCAGAGGATCCACAGCGGGGCTACGCCCTACAGCTGCCACACCTGTGGACGCAGCTTCAGACACCTGGGGACCTACAAGAGCCACCGCTGCACCCCAAATCAATGACCAATAGATCCCTAACCAGTAACCCTGCAGACCTCAACCAGTAACCCTCAGACCCTAACTGGTAACACTGACCACAAAGCAGTGATCACAGGGCAATAAACCAGTATCCCACTGACTATGACCAAGTAACACTGAAAGTGTGAACCAGTAATCCTAATGGTGCCCACCTAGTAACCTTGATGAACCCTAACTGATGGCCCCTCTAGACTCCCAATCTGTGACACACATCTCTTAATCACTGAACCTTTGTAACTCCAACTGGTAACCTCACGCATCCCAAGAAGTAGCACAATTCCACTCAACCAGTGACCCCACCCACCTTATCGCTGTTCTGCCGACCCTGACCATTGACCTACAGCTGGTACAGGGTCTGAGGTGTAAAGTTATAGGTCAGGGTGCTGGATCGTATGGTGGACCAGGCTGCAGTCTGAGGACATCTCACTCATGCAGCGTCAAACCTAGAATTAAAAGCATTCTTCATCAGGATCTCCTGGGTCATGGAGCTGCAGAGGCTCAAACATTCTCCGAGGATTTTCACCTTTTCTTGTCATCGAGAGTTCACGGTTATTCCTGGAGGTTGAACTGTTTCCTGCCTCCCCCAGTCACAAAACTGAACTTTATTTATAAAAGTCCTTTCCTAAGTTTTTACTAAGTGCTTACATGACAGTGGGGAAAACAGAGCGAGTGTCGGTGTTATCAAGAACTGCTCACAGTGAGTTGAAACCCATATAAAAATAAAGACAAAGTGTTTTTTCTGAAGGAGGAAGAGCAGCTGTGTTGCTGTGTGTTTCGGGGGGAAGAAGGAGCAGTGGTAGAGCTCCACGGTAGAATTAACAATTCATGTCTTACTGTGTATGTGCAGAGACCGAGTTCAGATGAACCTGTTTGGAAATGTAAACACTAAAGCAGCTTAGACAGACTCTTTCTAACTGATGACTGCCTTATTGTAACATAGGACTACAACTCCCATGATCCCTCGCTGCATCATGCCCTTCTTATCTGTATAATGTGTCCATCCATGGCCCATTCTGACCCTCCCTGTGATAATGGAGAAGCAGAGGGACCTGCAGAGCGCCCCCGTGTGGACAGACTGTGTAAGTTTGTCAGTCCCTCTGCTGCTTGTGCTGCTGCAGAGTCTGGATTTGATCTGACACAACGATCCCTTGTTCTGGTTTAATCCATGTTTGCCTGTTTGAAGACTAAAGAAAGAAACCTTTCAAGGAGTCTGACGTCTTTCATCAGCTGATCGGTCTGTTTCTGTTAGATACACCACAGCTCAGTCACAGTGATGGTGTTAGACTCAGAGGTGTACTCAGTAATAATGAGAGTAAAACTCATTCATACCTGTTTTATCAAAATATTGACACATTTGGATTTTTAACAACTGTATTTTCACTGTCATGACCTGGCTCAGGTGGTGACAACAAAAAAGGGGAGACACACATCACGTATAAGAATCAAAACAAATCTTTATTAAATCCAATCAAACCAAATCAGAATATTTAAGACAGGTGTGTAAATCAGTCAAATCAGTAGTGTGTAATGTGTGCATGAGTGGAAGGTAGGTGTATGTGTGCAAGGGTGTTGTACAGAGCAAACATAAACTACAACCAAGCCAAGCCACACCAAACCAAACCCAGTCAAACCAAGTACCTGCAAAGGCGGCCAGGAGAAAGAAAAAAAGAGGGAATTGCAAGTAACTGTGGGAGCTTAAATACCCCCAGCAGCCAGGGCCCAGGTGTACATAGTTACCCTGATTGGTGTGCAGAGCGAAACCAACTAGACGCACCTCCAACAGCAGCATGACCCACAGAGGCATCACAGAGCTAAAAAGGTTATAATTTTAGAAAATATATTTAGAAAGAGCTCAACCTAAACGGTTATAAGATAAAACCTTTAAGTTCAAACCAAGTTCAGTGATTTTTGATGTGTATTCAGGTGTGTCACAGTTTGAACAGGAGTGGTTTAGAGTTATTGTTGGTAAAGTTAATCATTTAAATAATGGAGATAGATTACAGTCTGTATGAGAAAGTCAGTATACTGAGGACTGTTCTACATCTTTTTCTGTATTTCATAATGAATATGTATCCACCATCACAATAACAGGAGAACTTCATTTTCACTGTCAGCCTCACTGAGATACATTTACTCATTTTCAGAAAAGATACAAACCTGCCCTGTATAACCACATACAGTCCAACACTGAGGACCTGCTGCAGACTACAACAGGAAATCACAGGCCAACCACTCACAAAACACAAAGCCCTGAAAGCAAGATTTAAAAGTGCTTCTGCTAAACCGTCTGCTTTTGTCGGAGATCCAGAGATGCTTTCAAGTGTTTGGGATCTGCCATCAGTGGTACCTCCAGGGTGTGAAAACACAAACTAAAAATACACAGAGCTAAGCTAAGGAGTGTAAGGAGTGTCTATGGGTGACACTGAGACAGTGAACAGACTGTGATCAGAGTTAAGAGACCACCAGAAAATCAGAAAATGTCTCTAGAGAGACACTGATGATGTTTTTATGAGAAAACCAGCCATCTTTTCAGGATAAACCAGCTCTTTTCTCTGAGACAATGATTTCTAACAGTTTTCCTAAGGATATTAAATAAACTAATATAAATTTGATAATTAGATAGATAGATAGATAGATAGATAGATAACAATAAAATTACCCTTACCCTATGGATGTTTGTCTGTTTCGGGCCTCCGTAGAACCGCTCTGCAGAACTGTTAACCTTAAACTCTGATAAATGATGACATGGAGTGAATTCTGTTACATATGAAGTATATTTAAATTAGTTTATATTTAATATAATATCATAATGATGAAGAAAAACTTGGGTCTGCACCATCGAGTTCATATGCGCAGAAAGAGGCGGCGCCAGTGTCCTATGTACCTCCTGTTGCCATGGTGACATTTGGGGGTATTTCCTGTCGGTGGGAGTCTCTACTTTCATTTTCTCTGCTGCTGTGTCGCAGTTAGTCTCAGTGTTCAAGTTGAGGTAAGTTTGTCTTTTTACTGTTTCAGTGTGATTCACTACAATGTAAAAACCGCTGGGAGCTAACAGTCCGCCACCGGGGCCTTAAACTGCTCTCACAAAGTCTCTCCGAAGTCTCCAGACCGACGCAAGCAGACGGCATGCTAATGCTATTGACAGGCAAACAGCACGCTTGCGTTGCTGTTTGCCTGTCAATAGCATTGTCTGAAGCAATGTCTGAAGCAATGTCTGAAGCTTCTGTATCTCTGAGGCGCACAGAGAGAGGACGCTGAGTTATCACCGTCTCTGTCCTCTGACATCTAAAACGCAGCTGATACAGAAGTTAAATCGACCTCTTTTTTGGGGTGGAGTGGGTGGGGTAACCTGGTAACCTTTACCCGAGGTCACCCTAACTTGGGGTAACCTTGACCTGAGTCACCTTTACTCACCTGCAGGGTTGCAAGGGGGCGGAAAATTTCCGGTAAATTTCCAGAAACTTTTCATGGGAAGTTAAACTGGGGAATTTTGGAAATATTCCAAATTGGAAATTTTCCATGGGAATTATAGGAATTTATGGGAATTTATGGGAATTAACTGGAAATGGGGGGTAATTTAAACAAACTGTATCATATCAAAAAATAAATGTAAATATTTTTGCTTTGTCATAAGCAGACATCCATGCAAAATAATGCAATTAATGGCAATGAACAGAAATATAGTTGGCTGAACAACTGGAATGGTCTTCAAGATATCCGGCAATTGATGTATAAATTATTTTATGGTTACAGAAGAAACAGCATCACATTTGAGGTAGCTATCACCACCATAATAAGCTAGATCCTTAAATGGTCAATGAAATGAAAAAATAGCTTACATTTAGCACCTATTTTTATTTACTTTCTCCAAGTTAAATATTAATACTATTATAGATCGAATATATTTACCCCATAATATTATCAAAACTTACTTGACTTTATATAGTCTGTGGGCTGAAATGTCTTGTGCTTTAGGCTCAAAAGTGTGGCCTCCAGGGTTCAAGAAATCATCTATGCATGTGATGGAGGAAAGCACAGTGCATTAAATCTGGTTGTTTTAGCCAAGATTATGCTACAATATATTTTCCCCAACTATATTTAAGTGTCCTGTTGAGGGCCAATTTTGTAAATTTTGGATTTATTCCCGTTAATTCCAACTTTGAAAATTCCTGGTATTTTGCAACCCTACTCATCTGTGAGGGGACTGCTGATGCTGCTTGTGGTTTTATTTAGTTGTTTTTTCACTTTGTGTTAATTTTCCTTTCATGAATTATAACTTATAACACAAGCTGTGTGTCTGACCGGAGCCCAAACATCACTCTGAAACTCAGAGCCTTCAACTTCTTCACCCCTGTGACAGGAAATGACTACAGCGCCTAACAGGATGCAGAAAACGTGCTGTTTTGTTAATTGAGGTCAAAGGTCAGACTGATGCACCTGTTTGAAGCTGGTAGTGTACAAGTTATGATAACTGGAGCTTTTAAGGTTTTACCGAGAACTTAATTTTGAAGTTCACCGTAGCTCTTAAGGACATCCAGTAAACTCTGATGTCGTAGTGATAAACTGTGATTGATCCCACAGGTAAAAGTTCACTTATAAGCGATCAAACCCAGGAGTCTGAACAGGACAAAGACTGACAGCAGGTCGCGGACAGATTGAATGAAGTCAGAGAAATCAGCGATAGGCTGTATGAGTGTCTGCACTCCAAACAGATGATAGTGAAGGTGAATCAGCAGCTTCTCCTCTCTGTGTTTTCTCCACAGTTTAACCTACAAACTCTGTGACTGGATGTGACTCCAGCAGCTGAACTCTGCCAGTGTTGTTGCTCTCCCAGCAGGGGGTGCTAAAGCTCTGCTATGGATCCGTGTGAGGTTCCAGAGGAGGAAGCGCCTCTCCCTAAAAAGTCTCTGTGTGAGGACAGTGAAGCTCTGTGGTGAGATGGAGATCCTCATTGTGTGTGCACTAACTGTAAAATGTGTTATAGTCAGTGATGATCTCAGCAGTGGATCTCAAGTCCAGTCCTCAAGGCCCACTGTCCTGCATGTTTTGGATGTTTCCCTGCTCCAGCACACCTGATTCAAATGATCAGCTCGTTATTAAGCCAATACAGAGCTTGATAACGAGCTGATAATTTGAATCAGGTGTGTTGGAGCAGGGAAACATCCAAAACATGCAGCACAGTGGGCCTCAAGGACTGGACTTGAGAACCACTGGTTTAGAGGATCCCGGCCATGACAGAGCTTGATACTAGGGACTCTGACTCTGCTAGTCTTCATGGATTACAGTACCAGCCTTGGTAACATTTGCTGCTGAAATACAAACACTCAGAGTCTTTAATCATGTTGTTTTATCAGGATCCAGCAGCAGAGGGCAGACTCTCCTGATCCCAGAGCTGTGTCCATGAAGAGTGACACATCTAAAGAACACCTGGATATTTTCTTTAAGAGAGGACAGTCTGCTGAGGAGAGGTAAGACCTTCTGCCATGAGCACAGTGGAAAAGTCTGCTACTAAACAGTGATGTGTTCATGACATAGGGGGTTTGTGTTTCTCTGAGCTTCAGGTTTTAAATGGTTTACTAAACATGTCTGTTGACTGTAAATGTTGTTTTATCAGGATCCAGCAGCAGAGTGCAGACTCTCCTGATCCGAGCTGTTTGTCCTTGAAGAGTGACACATCCAGAGAACACCCAGATGTCTTCTTCAAGAGAGGACAGTCTCCTGAGGAGAGGTAAGACCTTCTGCCACGACCGAAGTGGAAATGTGTGCTCCCAAACAGTGATGTGTTCATGACATAGGGGGTTTGTGTTTCTCTGAGCTGCAGGTTTTAAATGATTTACTATTTCAGAGATCCATCAGCAGCTCAATAAATATTGTGAAATATGATTTGACTTTATTTTATTATTATCTAATATTTCACTTTATGACAAACAATGATACTTGTGATAATTTTTATAGGTGGTGTTAGTGTTGTATAAACTTTAATCTGTCCAATTGTAACAGTCATATGACTTTTGTGTGTGTGTGTATGTGTTATAGGTCCACAGCTCCCTGCCCACACCTTCATCTGCTCTCTTTGTGGAACCTTCTGTCCAGACTCAGCATTCCTGGAGGAGCACATTAAACTGATACACCTAGACTCTGCTGAAGCTCTGCAGGCGCTGCAGTCCACTGGTCCTGCCATCCCTTCAGTCACTGAGAGCAGTGGTGAGTCCAGGAGAGGCCGTGAAGGACAGAGTGAGGCTGCAGTAGGAGATGGGTCTCGAGGGGGGCCAGGGCCTGTGAGGAGAGAGGTGAAGATGGATGGGGGGTATGAGTGTGGGGACTGTGGGCGTCACTTTAACTACCTGGGGAACCTGCGGCAGCACCAGCGAATTCACACCGGGGAGAAGCCCTTCATGTGCCCGGAGTGCGGGGAGCGCTTCAGACACGCTGCCCGCCTAAAGAGCCACCGCCTGGTTCACAGTGGTGCCCAAAGCCCCTTTCCCTGCCCACAGTGTGGGAAAGGCTTCTCCGTGCTGTCTGGACTAAAGAGACACCAGCGTGTCCACACTGGGGAGAGTCCCTACGCCTGCCCCCAGTGTGGACGCCGCTTTAAAGAGCTGGGAAACCTGTACACCCATCAGAGGATCCACAGCGGGGCTACGCCCTACAGCTGCCACACCTGTGGACGCAGCTTCAGACACCTGGGGACCTACAAGAGCCACCGCTGCACCCCAAATCAATGACCAATAGATCCCTAACCAGTAACCCTGCAGACCTCAACCAGTAACCCTCAGACCCTAACTGGTAACACTGACCACAAAGCAGTGATCACAGGGCAATAAACCAGTATCCCACTGACTATGACCAAGTAACACTGAAAGTGTGAACCAGTAATCCTAATGGTGCCCACCTAGTAACCTTGATGAACCCTAACTGATGGCCCCTCTAGACTCCCAATCTGTGACACACATCTCTCAATCACTGAACCTTTGTGGTACAGGGTCTGAGGTGTAAAGTTATAGGTCAGGGTGCTGGATCGTATGGTGGACCAGGCTGCAGTCTGAGGACATCTCACCCATGCAGCGTCAAACCTAGAATTAAAAGCATTCTTCATCAGGATCTCCTGGGTCATGGAGCTGCAGAGGCTCAAACATTCTCCGAGGATTTTCACCTTTTCTTGTCATCGAGAGTTCACGGTTATTCCTGGAGGTTGAACTGTTTCCTGCCTCCCCCAGTCACAAAACTGAACTTTATTTATAAAAGTCCTTTCCTAAGTTTTTACTAAGTGCTTACATGACAGTGGGGAAAACAGAGCGAGTGTCGGTGTTATCAAGAACTGCTCACAGTGAGTTGAAACCCATATAAAAATAAAGACAAAGTGTTTTTTCTGAAGGAGGAAGAGCAGCTGTGTTGCTGTGTGTTTCGGGGGGAAGAAGGAGCAGTGGTAGAGCTCCACGGTAGAATTAACAATTCATGTCTTACTGTGTATGTGCAGAGACCGAGTTCAGATGAACCTGTTTGGAAATGTAAACACTAAAGCAGCTTAGACAGACTCTTTCTAACTGATGACTGCCTTATTGTAACATAGGACTACAACTCCCATGATCCCTCGCTGCATCATGCCCTTCTTATCTGTATAATGTGTCCATCCATGGCCCATTCTGACCCTCCCTGTGATAATGGAGAAGCAGAGGGACCTGCAGAGCGCCCCCGTGTGGACAGACTGTGTAAGTTTGTCAGTCCCTCTGCTGCTTGTGCTGCTGCAGAGTCTGGATTTGATCTGACACAACGATCCCTTGTTCTGGTTTAATCCATGTTTGCCTGTTTGAAGACTAAAGAAAGAAACCTTTCAAGGAGTCTGACGTCTTTCATCAGCTGATCGGTCTGTTTCTGTTAGATACACCACAGCTCAGTCACAGTGATGGTGTTAGACTCAGAGGTGTACTCAGTAATAATGAGAATAAGACTCATTCATACCTGTTTTATCAAAATATTGACACATTTGGATTTTTAACAACTGTATTTTCACTGTCATGACCTGGCTCAGGTGGTGACAACAAAAAAGGGGAGACACACATCACGTATAAGAATCAAAACAAATCTTTATTAAATCCAATCAAACCAAATCAGAATATTTAAGACAGGTGTGTAAATCAGTCAAATCAGTAGTGTGTAATGTGTGCATGAGTGGAAGGTAGGTGTATGTGTGCAAGGGTGTTGTACAGAGCAAACATAAACTACAACCAAGCCAAGCCACACCAAACCAAACCCAGTCAAACCAAGTACCTGCAAAGGCGGCCAGGAGAAAGAAAAAAAGAGGGAATTGCAAGTAACTGTGGGAGCTTAAATACCCCCAGCAGCCAGGGCCCAGGTGTACATAGTTACCCTGATTGGTGTGCAGAGCGAAACCAACTAGACGCACCTCCAACAGCAGCATGACCCACAGAGGCATCACAGAGCTAAAAAGGTTATAATTTTAGAAAATATATTTAGAAAGAGCTCAACCTAAACGGTTATAAGATAAAACCTTTAAGTTCAAACCAAGTTCAGTGATTTTTGATGTGTATTCAGGTGTGTCACAGTTTGAACAGGAGTGGTTTAGAGTTATTGTTGGTAAAGTTAATCATTTAAATAATGGAGATAGATTACAGTCTGTATGAGAAAGTCAGTATACTGAGGACTGTTCTACATCTTTTTCTGTATTTCATAATGAATATGTATCCACCATCACAATAACAGGAGAACTTCATTTTCACTGTCAGCCTCACTGAGATACATTTACTCATTTTCAGAAAAGATACAAACCTGCCCTGTATAACCACATACAGTCCAACACTGAGGACCTGCTGCAGACTACAACAGGAAATCACAGGCCAACCACTCACAAAACACAAAGCCCTGAAAGCAAGATTTAAAAGTGCTTCTGCTAAACCGTCTGCTTTTGTCGGAGATCCAGAGATGCTTTCAAGTGTTTGGGATCTGCCATCAGTGGTACCTCCAGGGTGTGAAAACACAAACTAAAAATACACAGAGCTAAGCTAAGGAGTGTAAGGAGTGTCTATGGGTGACACTGAGACAGTGAACAGACTGTGATCAGAGTTAAGAGACCACCAGAAAATCAGAAAATGTCTCTAGAGAGACACTGATGATGTTTTTATGAGAAAACCAGCCATCTTTTCAGGATAAACCAGCTCTTTTCTCTGAGACAATGATTTCTAACAGTTTTCCTAAGGATATTAAATAAACGAATATAAATTTGATAATTAGATAGATAGATAGATAGATAGATAGATAGATAGATAGATAGATAACAATAAAATTACCCTTACCCTATGGATGTTTGTCTGTTTCGGGCCTCCGTAGAACCGCTCTGCAGAACTGTTAACCTTAAACTCTGATAAATGATGACATGGAGTGAATTCTGTTACATATGAAGTATATTTAAATTAGTTTATATTTAATATAATATCATAATGATGAAGAAAAACTTGGGTCTGCACCATCGAGTTCATATGCGCAGAAAGAGGCGGCGCCAGTGTCCTATGTACCTCCTGTTGCCATGGTGACATTTGGGGGTATTTCCTGTCGGTGGGAGTCTCTACTTTCACTTTCTCTGCTGCTGTGTCGCAGTTAGTCTCAGTGTTCAAGTTGAGGTAAGTTTGTCTTTTTACTGTTTCAGTGTGATTCACTACAATGTAAAAACCGCTGGGAGCTAACAGTCCGCCACCGGGGCCTTAAACTGCTCTCACAAAGTCTCTCCGAAGTCTCCAGACCGACGCAAGCAGACGGCATGCTAATGCTATTGACAGGCAAACAGCACGCTTGCGTTGCTAATGCTAATGTCTGAAGCTTCTGTATCTCTGAGGCGCACAGAGAGAGGACGCTGAGTTATCACCTTCTCTGTCCTCTGACATCTAAAACGCAGCTGATACAGAAGTTAAATCGACCTCTTTTTTTGGGGTGGAGTGGGTGGGGTAACCTGGTAACCTTTACCCGAGGTCACCCTAACTTGGGGTAACCTTGACCTGAGTCACCTTTACTCACCTGCAGGGTTGCAAGGGGGCGGAAAATTTCCGGTAAATTTCCAGAAACTTTTCATGGGAAGTTAAACTGGGGAATTTTGGAAATATTCCAAATTGGAAATTTTCCATGGGAATTATAGGAATTTATGGGAATTTATGGGAATTAACTGGAAATGGGGGGTAATTTAAACAAACTGTATCATATCAAAAAATAAATGTAAATATTTTTGCTTTGTCATAAGCAGACATCCATGCAAAATAATGCAATTAATGGCAATGAACAGAAATATAGTTGGCTGAACAACTGGAATGGTCTTCAAGATATCCGGCAATTGATGTATAAATTATTTTATGGTTACAGAAGAAACAGCATCACATTTGAGGTAGCTATCACCACCATAATAAGCTAGATCCTTAAATGGTCAATGAAATGAAAAAATAGCTTACATTTAGCACCTATTTTTATTTACTTTCTCCAAGTTAAATATTAATACTATTATAGATCGAATATATTTACCCCATAATATTATCAAAACTTACTTGACTTTATATAGTCTGTGGGCTGAAATGTCTTGTGCTTTAGGCTCAAAAGTGTGGCCTCCAGGGTTCAAGAAATCATCTATGCATGTGATGGAGGAAAGCACAGTGCATTAAATCTGGTTGTTTTAGCCAAGATCATGCTACAATATATTTTCCCCAACTATATTTAAGTGTCCTGTTGAGGGCCAATTTTGTAAATTTCGGATTTATTCCCGTTAATTCCAACTTTGAAAATTCCTGGTATTTTGCAACCCTACTCATCTGTGAGGGGACTGCTGATGCTGCTTGTGGTTTTATTTAGTTGTTTTTTCACTTTGTGTTAATTTTCCTTTCATGAATCATAACTTATAACACAAGCTGTGTGTCTGACCGGAGCCCAAACATCACTCTGAAACTCAGAGCCTTCAACTTCTTCACCCCTGTGACAGGAAATGACTACAGCGCCTAACAGGATGCAGAAAACGTGCTGTTTTGTTAATTGAGGTCAAAGGTCAGACTGATGCACCTGTTTGAAGCTGGTAGTGTACAAGTTATGATAACTGGAGCTTTTAAGGTTTTACCGAGAACTTAATTTTGAAGTTCACCGTAGCTCTTAAGGACATCCAGTAAACTCTGATATCGTGGTGATAAACTGTGATTGATCCCACAGGTCAAAGTTCACTGATAAGAGATCAAACCCAGGAGTCTGAACAGGACAAAGACTGACAGCAGGTCAAAGACAGATTGAATGAAGTCAGGGAAATCAGTGATAGGCTGTATGAGTGTCTGCAAACAGATGATAGTGAAGGTCAATCAACAGCTTCTCCTCTCTGTGTTTTCTCCACAGCTGAACCTACAAACTCTGTGACTGGATGTGACTCCAGCAGCTGAACTCTGCCAGTGTTGTTGCTCTCCCAGCAGGGGGTGCTAAAGCTCTGCTATGGATCCGTGTGAGGTTCCAGAGGAGGAAGCGCCTCTCCCTAAAAAGTCTCTGTGTGAGGACAGTGAAGCTCTGTGGTGAGATGGAGATCCTCATTGTGTGTGCACTAACTGTAAAATGTGTTATAGTCAGTGATGATGGTTAAGAGCAGTGGATCTCAAGTCCAGTCCTCAAGGCCCACTGTCCTGCATGTTTTGGATGTTTCCCTGCTCCAGCACACCTGATTCAAATGATCAGCTCGTTATTAAGCCAATACAGAGCTTGATAACGAGCTGATAATTTGAATCAGGTGTGTTGGAGCAGGGAAACATCCAAAACATGCAGCACAGTGGGCCTCAAGGACTGGACTTGAGAACCACTGGTTTAGAGGATCCCGGCCATGACAGAGCTTGATACTAGGGACTCTGACTCTGCTAGTCTTCATGGATTACAGTACCAGCCTTGGTAACATTTGCTGCTGAAATACAAACACTCAGAGTCTTTAATCATGTTGTTTTATCAGGATCCAGCAGCAGAGTGCAGAGTCTCCTGATCCCAGCTGTTTGTCCTTGAAGAGTGACACATCCAGAGAACACCCAGATGTCTTCTTCAAATGAGAGGACAGTCTCCCATGAGGAGAGGATAAGACCTTCTGCCACGACCTACCAAACAGTGAAGTGGAAATGTGTCTGCTCCCAAACAGTGATGTGTTCATGACATAGGGGGAGGACAGTTTGTGTTTCTCTGAGCTGCAGGTTTTAAATGATTTACTATTTCAGAGAAATCTAAGCCTGAAAGCATGAACTTGTCTGATGACTGTAAATGTTGTTTTATCAGGTTGCAGCAGCAGAGAGCAGACTCCTCTGGTCCCAGCTGTTTGTCCTTGAAGAGTAACTGGTCCAAAGAGCAGCCGGATATTTTCTTTAAGCGAGAACAGCCTGCTGATGGGAGGTAAGACCTTCTGCCATGACCACAGTGGAGGAGTCTGCCATGTTGTTATCTAATGAGTAAAGCTTTAGAGGCTTGTCATCGTTGGATCAGCTTTTTTTCCGACACTTTGGTTATTTCTTTAACAGGATGCATCAAATCTACATCAATCGTTTTGTGCAGTTAAAAACAATTTTAAAGCTCATTAGCAATTCACCTCTGAGTCGTGGGGCTGCTCTGCACACTCCTCTTCTTGCTAGCTTGCAGCCTAACATTACCAGTGTAGTAGAAGTGGCAGGTAACATAGGACTATTCAGCTCTCAGACACTAATGTCTTTGGGGACATGATGAAAGCTAGTATCATAATTAGCTTTCTTACGAGCATTGCAATCTGCTAACGCACAGGCTTGTTCCGTGATCGTCCTCTCTGCTTCTCTGAGTCTGGCCTGCATAGCGGGGCTCCAGGGGGCATTTCATTCCCTTTGAACTATGTGTTGAGTGTCGACTCTTTCTAATCTTGTCCTGGGGGAAATCAGAGTCTATGTTTGATGTGAAATCCTGATCCCAGTGAGATCTTTTTTTCCAGAGTAAGCAGTGTGAGTCGAACTTTCCATGTCACTAGAGAAAAAGGCTTGATGAGCTACACTCATCCTCAGTTTTGCTTTATAATTAACTTGTAGTTATTGTGTAGTTACTATAGAAACACCATTTCAAAATGTAGCGTTACAAAGTTGATCAATCAAATATTAAACCTGATATTTCGTAGACCTGGTATAAAAAATAATAAGAGCTCCACCTAATCTCATCACTGAAGTTAGTGAATTCTCCATTAGGGATCTTCTCCACATGTGACACAATTTCATGATCAAACAATGAGTGAACAAATAAGTAGTGATCACAGTCAGGGCAGTAATGGAAATCAAAGAATGAATGAAGGAATAAATCTTGAAGCCAATGCTGCTGTTGACAGTGTTCCAGTAAACAAGTCAGAAAACCAGGATAGATGCCTATTGTTAGCCGTTGTCAGTGGTTGTCAGTTGTTGTTAGTTGTTGTTAGCTATACCAGTTGTAAATAACACATATAACACAGTATTTTACTCTCCAAACACCATAGCACTATGTTCACAGTTAGACGTTGGGCAGCACAACATATACCACTGATTTAATTTCACAAACAAGAAAACAGAAGTGCTAATAAATAATACATTACAAAAGCTTTCACTGTTACTCTCTACTGTTGATAAACTGTGCTGCCATCTTGGATTGTGATGTTGTCCTTAAGTTGGGGTTGGTGAGGATCGTCCGACTTTCAGAGTCAGAAATCCAACTTCCGAGTACAACTGGAATGCAGCATTAGCCATCATTGTCATAACCCTGCTCTACCATCCTCTTCCTCATCCTCTTGTCCTTCATCTTTTTTACCATCCTCTTCCTCATCCTCTTCTTCTTCATCTTCTCTCTCTAGTCATTTTGTTATGTTTGCAGATCAAATGTCCTTTTGTCTTGTGTTTCTGTACAGTTTTCTGCACGAGAGCCCTAAACCTCACAGACATCAGTGTGTTCAGCAGCATCAAACCCAACTAGATTCCATCTTTATGGTGAGCTCATCAAAATCTTTTAATAAACTAGACCGGAGCAGAGTTAGTGCTAAGCTAATAGGTGGTCTGCTTGTAAGACTGTCAAAAAAATCCCTTTCTGTGTTTGAATTTTTGTGTCTCTTTCTGTTCCAGGAACTGGAAGAGAAAATCTTCCTCATTGTCAAGGGTGAGCTGAAGAGAGCCCAGAAGCTCTTTAGTCCAGATTACTCAAATATTCTAGAGGGTGAGGAGGTGTTAGATGAAGAGCAGAAGAACACCAGAGAGTCATTCCTGAAGCTCATTATGCCCTGCCTGAGGAGAATGCAGCAGGGGAACCTGGCTGACTGTTTGTGGAACAGTAAGTTTACTTTGAATAGACTGAACATGATGAAAAGAGAAAACAAAGATTCATCCACTCATCATTGATATCATTTTTGACTCTTTTCTTCCTTCAGGAACTGTTGTTCCAGTTTGCCGACGAAAAATGATGTCTAACCTGAAGAAGAAGTTCCAGCGCACTTTTGAGGGGATTCCTAAAGCAGGAAACCCAACCCTCCTGAACCAGATCTACACAGAGCTCCACATCACAGAGGGAGAGGCTGGAGAGGTCAACAATCAACACGAGGTCAGACAGATCGAGACAGTGTCCAGGAAACCAGAGAGACCAGAATCAACCATCAAAAAGGAAGACATCTTTAAAGGCTCACCTGGAAGACAGGAACCAATCAGAACAGTGATGACAAAGGGAGTGGCTGGCATTGGGAAAACCGTCTTAACACAGAAGTGGACTCTGGACTGGGCCGAAGACAAAACCAACCAGGACATCCACTTCACATTTCCATTCACCTTCAGAGAGCTGAATGTGCTGAAGGAGAAAAAGTTCAGCTTGGTGGAGCTCATTCATCACTTCTTCACTGAAACCAAAGAAGCAGGAATCTGCGGGTTTGAGGACTTCCAGGTTGTGTTCATCTTTGATGGTCTAGATGAGTGTCGACTTCCTCTGGACTTCCACAACAATCAGATCCTGACTGATGTTACAGAGTCCGCCTCAGTGGATGTGCTGCTGACAAACCTCATCAAAGGTAACCTGCTTCCTTCTGCTCACCTTTGGATAACCACAAGACCTGCAGCAGCCAATCAGATCCCTTCTGAGTATGTGGACATGGTGACTGAGATCAGAGGGTTCACTGACCCTCAGAAGGAGGAGTACTTCATGAAGAGGTTCAAGGATAAGAAACAGGCCCAAGAAATCATCTACCACATCAAGACATATGGGAGTAGAAGCCTCCACATCATGTGCCACATCCCAGTCTTCTGCTGGATCACTGCTACAGTTCTGGAGGATCTGCTGAAGACCAGAGAGAAGCTGCCCAAGACCCTGAGTGAGATGTACATCTACTTTCTCGTAGTCCAGATCAAACTGAAGGACATCAAGTGCAACCGAGGAGCTGAGACTGATCCACACTGGAGTCCAGAGAGCAGGAAGATGATTGAGTCTCTGGGAAAACTGGCTTTTGAGCAGCTGCAGAAAGAAAACCTGATCTTCTATGAATCCGACCTGATAGGGTGTGGCATCAATGTCAGAGCAGCCTCAGTGTACTCAGGAGTTTTCACACAGATCTTTAGGGAGGAGAGAGGACTCTACCAGGACAAGGTGTTTTGCTTCATCCATCTGAGTGTTCAGGAGTTTCTGGCTGCTCTTCATGTCCACCTGACCTTCAACAACTCTGGAGTCAACCTGCTGTCATCAGCACAAACAACATCTTGGTTGTCTTACTTATTTGGAGGAAACAAAGAAACACGCTTCTACCAGAGTGCTGTAGACAAGGCCTTACAGAGTCCAAATGGACACCTGGACTTGTTCCTCCGCTTCCTCCTGGGTCTTTCACTACAGACCAATCAGAATCTCCTTAGAGGTCTGCTGACACAGATAGGGAGTAGCTCACAGACCAACCAGAAAACAGTCCAGTACATCAAGCAGAAGATCAGTGAGGATCTGTCTGCAGAGAAGAGCATCAATCTGTTCCACTGTCTGAATGAACTGAATGATAGTTCTCTAGTGGAGGAGATCCAACAGTCCCTCAGATCAGGACGTCTCTCCACAGACAAACTGTCGCCTGCTCAGTGGTCAGGTCTGGTCTTCATCTTACTGTCATCAGGAAAAGATCTGGATGTGTTTGACCTGAAGAAATACTCTGCTTCAGAGGAGGTTCTTCTGAGGCTGCTGCCAGTGGTTAAAGCCTCCACCAAAGCCTTGTACGTGCTGAAATTGCAGTTGTTTTAAAAAAAAATGCTATGTTTTATCGTGATTACTTGTTCTCTGAATTTTCAAGTATTTCTGATTCCTCATTAGGTTGAATGGGTGTAACCTCACAGTGAGAAGCTGTGAAGCTCTGTCTCCGGTCCTAAACTCCCATTCCTGTTGTCTGAGTGAGCTGGATCTGAGTAACAATGACCTGCAGGACTCAGGAGTGGAGTTACTATGCGCTGGACTACAAAGTCCACACTGTGAGCTGGAAACTCTCAGGTACATGTACGGCTATTCGACAAGTTTTCATTTGAGCTATTATTTCCCACACACATTAATCGTGGACTGTAACTCCATCATCATGTTTAGGCTGAGAGGCTGCCAACTGACAAAGAAAAGCTGTAAGGCTCTGTCCTCAGCGCTCGGCTCACAGTCCTCCAGTCTGAGAGAGCTGGACCTGAGTAACAATGACCTGCAGGATTCAGGAGTGAAGTCGCTGTGTGCCGGACTACAGAATCCACAGTGTCAGCTGGAAACTCTGAGGTAAGGGTTTTACTGATCCAACAAGTTTGCCCACAACAAATTCATCCACCGTGAGATGTATATCCAACTGACCGGAGGATTTTTTTTCAGGTTGAGTATCTGTAACCTCTCAGAGGGAAGCTGTAAAGCTCTGTCTTCAGTCCTCAGCTCAAAGTCATGTAGACTGAGAGAGCTGGACCTGAGTAGCAATGACCTGAAGGACTCAGGAGTGACGCTGCTATCAGATGGGATACAAAGTCCACACTGTAGACTGGAAACTCTCAGGTGGGCGAATAGTTAAAAACAATGACCACCAAAGCTTTAGACTAGTTCAGATACAGGTGGGTACTTATTCAGGTAGGAGTACTGGGAGGGAGAGTCTGTACAGGGAAGTCATATATATATGTGTGTGTGTGTGTGTGTGTGTGTGTGTGTGTGTAGTCTTTCAGGCTGTCTGATCACAGAGGTAGGTTGTGCGTCTCTGGCTCCACATCTGGGATCCTCCAGTCTGACACACCTGGACCTGAGCTACAACCATCCAGGAGAAGAAGGAGAAAAGCTTCTGAGAGATCCAAATATCCAACTGCAGACATTGAGGTACAGAGGTTCTGTGGTTCTGGTTTCATGGTACAAATTGGTGATAGTGCGTGAAGGTGGTTCATGTGAAATAAAAGATATTGGGGGTGTATAAATAAAAAGTTAACTGTTTTTTTTCTCCCTCCAGTTTGGATCATGGTGGACCACAGAGACTGAGACCTGGTCTGAAGAAATGTGAGTGTGTTAAAGTTTGATTGATGAAAACTCTACTGCACATGCTCAGTAATGAATCTTAATCAGTTACTGATCTGCAGACTAACCTGAGGAGGTTTAAATGAAGCTGCTGCCTTCAACTCCACTCCCATGAAAATAAAAAAAAGGACTTGTATGATGAAACACAGACGTCTGAACTCGAATACGTCTGAGTTTAAAAGTGGAGGTGAGACAGTAGATGATTCACCTCTCCTCTGTGTTTCATGTTTTTAGCTTGATCAGTAAAAATGATAGGGACAAAATAAAAATACCAAGAATTCTGTATTTAATTTTTCTCATACTGGATCAAACATATTTTGTAGCTTGTAGGTTTCACAAATCACACAACATTTGTGATAGGGGAATCAAGTGGATTTCAACTTGAGTCACAATTCTAGCTCCAAGTGATCCTTAGGATTTGATGACTAAATCTGAGTCTTTACTGTGCTGCTCTGTTGGACTTGTTGGTCCTGGGAAGCGGGTGAGGCATGAAGTGAGTTTAACATCCTAATAATGTAACACTATAAAATTGTAACATCATAACATTGTATTATTGTGACAAAGTAACACTGGAACATTGTATTATGTAATACTAACATCATAATATTGTTACACTGTAACATCGAAACGTCATGACATTGTATTATTGTAATATCCTAACATTTTAACATAGTTACATTGTAACATTATGACATTTTAACATCGTAAAATCGCAATACGGAAAGATAATAACATTGTAACACTGTAACACTGTCATGTTCTAATATTGTAACATTGTATTATTGTAACATCGCAACACTGTAACATTGTAGTATTGTAACACTAACATTGTACTATTGTAACATCGAAACATCATAATATTGTAACATCCCAACATTATAACATCCTCATATTGTAACATAGTAGTTACACTGTAACATTGTAACATTTAACATCGTAGCTTCGTAACATTGCAACATCAACATTTTGTAACATCATAATATGTTCACATCGTAACATAGTAACATTGTAACACCTTTGGTCAGCAGCACACACAGTCTTTTTCCTCCTGTGGTCTCTGCTTTGGTTAGAGTTATGCCACTCAAAATGTGGCATAACTCAGGTAAGATTGCATGTGTAACCAAGGGAAAATATACTGCTAATAAGATGAAGTAGTAGAGACCCTAGGAAAGAGATCTTGAGACTGATCTCAGGATCAAGACTGATCTGGGATATTTCATCACTAGGTTTAATAGCTCCATAGCGCACCCAAGCTTTAAGATAAAGGATCAGAGTCTGGTCCCTTACACCATGATGCAACAGATTTGTCTGAAACATGTATCCTGTCTGACACGTCAGCTGTTTGTGTGTGTGGTCCAGACTCCATATACAGAATACAGATACAGTAAACATGGTTACCAAGGGTCAGTGGGATCAGCGCCACATAGTGAACACTCTTAATAATGTGTCACAAAATCGTCTGAGTCCATCATGATAGATCCGGACTACAGCACACTGATCCACCTGGACACAGGTGTGCAGACCTGTCCAGTGCTGTCTGCAGCTGTTGTGAGACTTGGACTGTCAGGGCTGTCAGATATGAATCAGAGCTGAAGATGAATTATGAGTCTGAGTTGTTTTAAGTGTTTCTGAATGAACAGATGATAACCTGCAGCTCTGCTGTGTCTTCCTCAGATGCCTGTGACCTGAACATGGACACTAGCACAGTGAACAGCAAACTCCAACTGTCTGACGACAACAGGACGGTGACATATTTTGGGGATCAGTCATATCCTGATCATCCAGACAGATTCGACTACTGGCCCCAGCTGCTGTGTAAAGATGGTCTGACTGGTCGCTGTTACTGGGAGGTGGAGTGGAAAGGCAGAGTGGTGATATCAGCCAGTTACAGAGGAATCAATAGGGAAGGAGACAGAGAAAAATGTGTCTTTGGATGGAATGATCAGTCCTGGAGTCTGATCTGCTCTGATAGAGGTTACTTTGTCAGGCACAATAACAAGGAAACAAAATTCCCCTTGTCCTCAGTCTCTCACAGAGTAGCAGTGTATCTGGACCAACCAGCTGGCTCTCTGTCCTTCTATAGAGTCTCCTCTGACGTATTGATCCACCTCCACACCTTCACCCCTACCTTCACTGAACCTCTCTATCCTGGTTTCGGGCCCTGGTCTCTGAATTCCTCCGTGTCTCTGTGTCACCTGTAGATCATTTGACAGTCAGATCTCCAGATGTGACAAGAGGGCCACTAACAGATTTAAGTATGGAGAGCATCAATGTCTGATGGAGAGCAGAAATAGGATAATTACAGAGACTCACTGACATGAGAGCTTCAGTCTCCGTGAACCTTCAGTCTGCTCAGTACCACACAGAACATCAGTTTATACATTGATCAAAGCTTTAAGGGGAACATGCTTGAATTTTGGTCAGGTCCATATTGAACTCATTTCAGTGTCATGGCTGAGACTAGCCCACAGCTTTCAAGTAGAGATATATAATCTTATGTACTAACAAGGGTTTGATATGTAATCTGTTATGATTTGTAGAGGTACTGAGTGTAATGATGCCTCTGCCATTAACAATTAATCAATCTATCTCCAGTTATCTACCACCAGTTCAGGTGCCCCTTAAGAGCTGGTCTGGATCATACTCTTTATATGTGCAGAGTCCAACATCTGAGTCTCAGTCAGTAAGATCAGAACCACTTTGATCCATCTTAATCCACCATAAAAGAAACACTTATCAAGTTACAGTGGAGAGGAAGAAGTTCCTTTAACAGGCAGAACCCTTGAGCAGAACCAGACTCATGTTAGACAGTCATCTACTGAGACTGAGATGGGTTTGGAGAGGAGAGAGAGGGAGATGGAGGAAGAGAGAGATGGACAGAGGAGAGACTGATAGAGGGAGATGGACAGAGACACACAGTTGTATAGTTGTAGTGCCAAAAACAATAGAACAAATACAGTATGTGAGCTATTTACAAGACTGAAATCTACATCAGAACATTTATATATTTTTATATTCTATGATTTAATCAACTATCCATCCAAAGCATGTTTCCGACCAAGATAACCATGAATTTTATAACAGCTTATGTTTGTTATAATTCATCTAATGTAACATAATAATAATTTGATGCTAGCATTGGTTATCTGCCACGGGCTTCCCTTTTTTTAAAAACCACATCAGTATCAGCTGTTCAACAGTTGATATCAGGGAACCTGGTTCCTAATCCTCCTAACACACCTATGATCAGTTTTATGATCTACACAACAAGACCACTACCAGTGCAATGTTTGATGTCCTGAATTTAAACTAAAGTGACAAAAAATGCATTTAATGGTCTTTATAGTGCACTTTTAAAAAAAAGTGCATTTAATGTCTGTCATACTTCGCTTTAAAAAAGTGCATTTAATGTCTGTCATACTTCGCTTTAAAAAAGTGCATTTAATGTCTGTCATACTTCGCTTTAAAAAAGTGCATTTAATGTCTGTCATACTTTTATAGAAGTGAATTTCATTTTCCTCATAGTTCACTTTTAAAAAAGTGCATTTAACTTTCCTCATGGTTCATGGTTTAAAAAAGTGCACTTCTTGAAGGAGGGTTGTGAGCATAATGAGATGATACTGTAACAATGAGTACTTGTACTCAACCCAGCCAGTATAATGTACCATTATGATTACTGTTGGCATATACTGACCCTCACAGCCCTAGAACCAGCCTGGCTCATGGTTAGAGCTCAGGCTCCTGGTTCTGTACCCTAAAATGTGTGTGAGCATTAACTAAGTCACAAATAAACGCAGCATGCACTTTACTTAAAAATAAAAGCCTCTGATATGAGTGAATTCTTTGCTTTGACTTGTGGAGAATCTGCAGTAAGTTAAAAATGCTCCTGATAACACAGCTCTGACTGAAGGGTTGGAAATTTTTCTGACAACATGTAAACATTTAGATTGTTGAACGGATGAGACACAAATGGAGCTGGATTGAAATGACAAACTCTATCTAGAGTCAGCCTTTAGGAGGTGCTGCTGCCTTTACTGATGAAACACTGGTTCAAGCGCCTCAGATCAGACATTAACACTGATCACTCACTCTGAGTGGAAAGTTTACAAATGCTTGCCTTATGATGATTCAATTAAAAATGATCACTTATAAAGTTTTCTGCTTTAATCTTCATGTTTGATGACAGTCTAATCGATCTCTGCTGTTTCTGATCAAACACTTTGAATTTTTAATCAGCAGTTATTAAATCAATCATCTTATGTCCCTGCAGGCAAATACAGGCCTTATTCTTTGAAAATCCTGTTGCCATGGTGACAATCAGACTGGAAGTAGTCTGTTGGGAATTTTAACTTTCACTTTCTGCTCTAGTGCAGGTCAGTGTGTTTAAGTGAAGGCAAGTCAAGTCCCCTTTTTATTGTCATGTTTTTAATGTCACTTTTTAATGTTCCTTTTGTGGGTACAAACACAGGAAACCAATAGGACGTTTCTCTCCAGCCAACAATATAAAAATACAAAGAATATATTAAAATATAATACAGAGCAGTATAACACAGTTGAAGAAAGAGTGGTTGATATACATTTTTACAGTATCTACGCACATCTATTCACATGCCTAATGTGTCTGAATATACATTCTCATGCTTATGTTGCTAAAGCTAACAGCACACTCAGGGAGCCGGTAGAGGAGTCAGTGGAGACACATAAATCACCACAGACACCCGGATCTTTAAAGAAACTGTCTTCAGCAGATGTAGAGGAAGATGTTGCTCTCTCAGTTAGACATGCTGTTATTGTGAAGGCTTTAGTCTGTTTAATAGATTTATCTGATCTAATTTAAAGAAGAAAAGGATCCATACGTTTCTTTACCTGAGCCTGCAGCCTTTTACAACTGTAGTTTGGTTATTTCAGAGTCTTTACAGTCAGGTATATTATAATGACTCTCTACGTTGTTCTCTTACAGGTTTTAATTAATGTTATTTTCTTCACAAAAAGATGTTTGAAAAAATTAAATTCAAAATGATTACTACAAATGATATAAATAATATTGTAAAGATGATGATATGATTACAAATAATAATAACGATAATAGTAATAACAAATAACAGAATATATACAAGGTTACAATGCATTGTTATTGTTATTACTATTATTTCTATTATTAATAATAGTAATGATAATAAAAAAAAATAAAAAAAACCCTGCAAGGTTACATGCATAATAATGTCCCCTTTAAAGAAGCCTAAATCCACAGGAAAACCAGTGTGAGTATTACCCCTCTTGCTGGATATAATATGCAACTGCACTATTACAAATCACACATTGGTTTAGTGAGCTTGTGTTTCATATGCACAATGCATTAATGTTTTAAGTTGAGACTTTTGCCTCATTTCTGTTTGAAGTGCATCAAAGTCAGCGGTCTGAGGAGAAGGAGAGCTGGATGAGGACAGAAATAATCCAGCAGAGGCTTTGTTTATTTTCCCTGATGTTACCTTCAGTCGAAATGGTTGTTTTAATGAACCGAAACAAATAAACAGGATCTGGTCTGAACATGTCTCTAAAATTAAATGTTCATTTTGTTAACAATTCATCCCACGAGGAGGCTAAGCAGAGTCTGTTGCCATGGAAACGTTACTGACCGAGGATTCAGACGTACAATTTTTTTTTTACTGTGTAAATTAAGTTTTGTTTTCTGACTTTTTGTCTTTATTTGTGAAAGATAAGACAGAAATGAGCAGGAAACAATCAGAGAGAGGAGAGGTTACATGCAATAGAGAGGAATCAAACCCTGGGCTGACCGCATGAGGCATAACCTCCATATATGAGGGTTGAGCTTAAACTGCCAGGCCAGCTATAGTAATTCAAAAGCTGAATCAGAATTCAGGCAGTGTTTCCACCATCAAAGACTTTATTGGAATGTTTGACGTCCTGTGTTGTCCTCTGGGATTCAGGACAACATGCAGTGGACTCTAAGGCAAAAATGACGGGTAGATGGAGGTGTCCTTGTTCATATGAGTCTGGGGTAATTCAGACTGACACACTGCTCCTCCTGGGACCGCCTCTGTCGGTGAGGCTGTTTGGGTCGATTTTCTTTCAACTTTCTTGGAGGGAATTAAACTTGGAGTTCATCCATCAAACTTAGCGTCAGGTCCTGAAGCTGGAGGACGTTTCTGTCTCTTACTCATCAGAAACAGCTCTGTTTAAATAACAAACATGAGCATCTTATTACCATCCAAAAAAATGTAAGACCCCTCAAAGACAGAAACGTGACACTCATGATTTTGTGTTTTAAGCTTTAAACCTGTTTTTACTTGTTCCTCACAGACAGATTTAGCTCTGCTGACCTTTTTTCCAACATGTCTGACTCAAATGTTCCTGCATCCAGCGTCTATTTTCCCTAAGTAAACATTTTATGATCAGAGATGAAGTCATCCATCAGCCTAACCTTTCACGTAAAAGGGAAAAGCAAGAATGCTGCTTGCAGGCAGCAGTGCGTTCACAGACTCTTTGACAGTCCGTCTTTAAAAAGGTCACGGTCCTGCAGATGACTCTGGATGCTTAGATGCCAAACCCTCCACAGAAACTTAGATGTTTACTCTCTGAGCGACCCCAGGGCTTCACACACCGCTGATCAGTGATAGGTCAACACAACATGGTGATCCAGGTGAGCTGGATGACATCCCTCTAACAGACAGCCTGTCTCTGTGCTTTAGCTCATCACATCATTACAGAAGAAAAGCTGCTTTCCTGGGTTTCTCTATGAGCTTCAGTTTGACTCACATTTATTCTCCTAATCAGGATTTGCAGGTTCATCTCAACAAGCAAGCCAATCAGTAAGAAGCATTTTCCCAGTTATATTCAGAAAGATAATATCTACTAATATCTATTGAAGCCTTTTGAATTTCACTTCAGATGATTTTGTGTCATAGCTTATGAAAATCTGAAATCCAGGACCTCACAATATTAACACAGATCGATCAAAATAAGTTTGAAAAAAGAAATGTCAAAACTTTGTAAAGTCAGTCCAGTTCTCCCCTTGGTCCTTGGTCAGGGCTCCTTTCCCATGACTCCCTGCATCAGCGTGGCATGGAGGAGATCATCCTGTGGCTTTGCTGTCAGTCTGTCCATCACAGACCGATCTCTCACATTGTCCCCACAGACTTTTCTGTTTTCAGATGTTTAGATTTAATCAGAACAAAACTGTCAGTCTGCACAGTCAGACATGAACTACTCTTTTATCTCTTTTGCATCTTCATCCCCATCATCTCCATCTCCATAATAACCATCATCACCATCATCATCTTCATCATCACACATACACACAGACTCCCTGTGATGCTACAGGTTATACAATTCTGGAGTAAACAGATGTCTGCACAGAAGAGCAGTTAACCTGCAGATACAGGTGCAGCTCTCTGTGGGCAACCATTACCATGGTTACAGCCGCAGCAGAAATGTCAGGCATGTGGACACGCACACACTCACACACACACACACACACACACACACACACTCACACACAGAGACAAAGACACACATGCACTTTGTAACATGACACATCTTCATGAAACATTCAGAGCTCCTGCTGCACTCCACCTGAAAAAAAGTATAGAGCCATTCACACACCTGCAGGAGATAGATGGGTGTCAGTGTTTATTACACATGTATGTAAACATGAATGTATGTACATGTACATGTGTACAGTTATTGTGTGTGAGACATCTATATATTTACATGTTTGTAAGTTACGTGGACATAAATATTTGTGTGTATGTGAAATGTCTATATGTTACAAGTTACAAGTTTCAGTTTTAACAAACACCTTAGTGGTACAGCTTGGACACATCTTCAGTGATGAACCCAGGGTCACGGGGTGTTTCGGGTCTTGGATCATCAGACACCCTCACCTGGGCGACCCAGCCGGGGCTGATCAGACCCCGACTTGTGTCCAAGCAGCGCACTAAACCATTTATCGCCCTTCTTGATCAAAAGCCACCTAGAGGCTTTCTCAGCTGCCTCACAGATGTTCTTGGTGGCTTTCCTCTCTTGAGCCCCCCTGATTCCAAGGAGCCTGAGTGCCCGATGCAGGCTCTGTCCTGGGAATCCTCTGCAACCAACCTCAATGGGCTCACAGCGGGCCCTCCACCCATTAAGCCTGCAGTCCTCCACCAGTTACAGGTATTTAGCCTTCTTCCTCTCATAGGCTACCTCGATCCGGTCTTCCCAGGGTATTGTCAGTTCCAGTAACACTACCTGCTTCGAACTCTCTGATGTTAAGACCATGTCCGGCCTGAGTGTTGTGCTGGTGATGTGCTCTGGAAACTTCAATTGTCTCCCCAGGTCCACCTTCAACTGCCAGTCTCCCGCTGAGGATAGAAGACCACCTGGGACCTTTGGCTGTGACTGTGGTTTCTCCCCAGCCCTAACGAATGTGATGTTATGCCTTGCTGGAGGCTGGTGCTTGCTTTGCTGGATCCCAGCACAGATGGTGTCAGCTACTGCCTTCAGCACCTGGTCATGGCGCCACCTGTACCTCCCCTCTCCCAGTGCTTTCGGGCAGCAGCTCAGTATGTGCTCCAGTGTTCCTCTAGCGGGGCAGAGTGGACATGATGGTGTTTCTGCCAGACCCCAGCAGTGCAGGTTAGATGGACTCGGGAGGACATCATACACTGACTGGATCAGGAACTTGAGTCTTGCTGGCTCTGACCTCCAAAGTTCTGACCAGGTGATTTTCCGAGTTAGTGCATGGTCCCAATTGGTCCAAGCTCCTTGCTGGCGCATGGCCACAGTCTTGCTGCACCGCTCCTCCTCCACCTCTGCTCGGACCTCACCCTGGATCATCTGCCGCTTGTCTCTCCCCTGTGCTCTGTCGTAGCGTGGTGTTTTATGGCAGCTGAGTCCCGCTCGCCCAACCGCCACAGAGCCTAGTAGTGCACCATGCCGCAACCTTGCCTCTGCCAGCTGGACTGCCTCCTGCGCTCGCCACTTCCTCCCAGTCCTGACCTCTATGCCTGCAGAGGAGACTCTGGTGTCGGAGGAGTCTCTGTACAGTAACACTTCCCTGGCTCTTGTTACTTTGAACTCCTCTGTCAGACTTGAGAATGGGAGCTGCAGTTTGTTGGTGTGCCCATAAAGGGCAATGCAGCTCAGACTCTTCGGCAGGCCCAGCCATCTGCGCAGGAACTGGCTGATGTTTCGCTCTAAGGCCTCCACTGTTGTAACTGGGACCTGGTACATCAGTAGTGGCCACAGAAGCCTTGGCAGGATGCCATGCTGATATATCCAGGCTTTAAACTTCCCTGGGAGGCCTGATCTGTCAAAGTTCTGTTCAAAGTGACATGTTAAAAGTAAAATGTTTATATGTAACATGTTTGTAATGTTTATTACACATGTATGTAAACATGAATGTGTACATGTGTACAGTTATGGTGTGTGAGACATCTATATATTACATATATTACATGTTTGTAAGTTACGGGGACATAAATATTTGTGTGTATGTGAAATGTCTATATGTTACATGTTTCAAAGTAACATGTTATAAGTAATATGTTTATATGTAACATGTTTGTAAAAAAAACATTTTTATTTGTAACATTTTTCTTAGTAACATGTTATATGTTCACATGTTACGTGTTACATGTTTCTTAGTAACATGTTATATGTAGCATGTTTATATATGACATGTTTGTAAGAAACAATTTTACGTGTCATATGTTTTTAGTAACACGTTATAAATAACTTGTTTACATGTAATGTTATTTATAATATGTTGATACTCACCATGTTAGTAAGAAACATTTTTATATGTAAAATGTTTATTAGTAACACCTATTTTGTTTCTGTAATAAAGACCTAACCCAGTGCTGTTCCTGCTCTGACAGGGTGGACAAGCAAGGCCCTCCCTGTTTGCACAGGGTGGACAACCCTAATGCTGACAGGGTGAACGGCATTAGAGTTCTTCTGCTCTGAGTTGGTGACTGACTGGGAAGACACAGTTGCCAAGGTTAGTCCCTCAATCTCAGTGACACCTGTGGAGAAGTTATATTTGGTGGTATGGTTCTGTTCTGAAAGCTCCCTGTCCTTCACCATGAAACAGAGACAGCACACTTACCTTCTATTTCGTGCATACACACGTAAAGTCAAGGCAGGGAGAGCATCAGCAAAGACACTAGTAAAATCAGACATACTGCTTTAGAAAGTGGGGGAGCTGGGAAGGAGGTGGATTCAAAGCTCTTTGCTCAAGAAGCAGGTATAGTTGAAAATCTCTAAACATTTTACATTTGAGCTGATGTCAACAGGTGCTCAAATCAGCTGACACACTGTGGGTGGAGCACAAACTTTTCGTCTTGCCTAAACTAAATCTATTCTTGACTCAAATTTCTTTGATTATTAGCTTTAACTATTCTGTAAAAAATCACATTGATCAGTGATAAACAGCATGGAAAGATCTGAGTGGTTTAATATTTTTCTGTACTGCAGCATGTTCTAGAGTCAGGTCCCTCTAAAGCAAGCTGCTCTCTGACTGTGTCTGTGTTTCTTCCTGTGATCTTCTGTCTTTATACTCGCTCTCTTTCTCTGCCTCTATCTGCATTATTCCCACTGAACCATTCGTATGCCAAGTGTTCCTCTTCAATTCGTCTGATCTCCACTCTGCATCTCATTATCCTCCATCCCTCTCTTTTTCTCTCTCTCTCTTTCTATTTTGTCTATCTCTGTCCATTTTCTCATCACCATCTCTCCTCTTATCTCACCTCAAGATACATCTCACCGAGCCGAGGACTTAGAGGAAACAGGGAGAAGAGAGCGAGGGGAGGCTGAAACAGAGAGGGAGGGAGAGAAAGAGTGGGTGAGGGAAAGGGAGAGAGAAGAAGAGAGCAGGAGAGAGAGAAAGAGGGGGAGAGAGCGGGAGAGAGTGGAAGAAAGCAGGCGAGAGAGGAGAGGAACAGAGAGAAGGAGAGAGAGATAGAGAGAGAGCATGTGAGTGAGGAGCAGGATCGGAGTCTGACAGCAGCTCAGAATGAGAGCGCCGCATAAACAGACCTCAGATCAGCCGAGGATGACAGAGTGAGAGAGAGAGAAACAGAGACATAGACGGATAGAGAGACAGAGACAGAGGGAGAGACAGAGACGGAGACAGAGACGGAGACAGAGAGACACACTCCTGCAGGAGGACACACACTGAAAACACACAACAGGACAACACACCTGTCTGCTTTATCTTCTTACTGATGGAGAGAAGGAAGAGGAAGAGGGAGTCTGCAGCCGCAGAGAGACGGTAAGACACATGCACACAGGCATGCACACATACACACATACAGTACATACACACAGAGTATATCTACATTTCAGCATCCGAACCTGAGGTGGTTTTTGAAAGCTCACCAGTCTCTCTGAGTTGATCTGAACTCATGAAGCTATCCTAGAACACTTGTACCCGGTCTTGGGGGGCCCAGCGGGTCATTAACATATTCAAACTGCAGGTTTGATGCCAGCTCCTGCTGTCTACATGTTCAAGTGTCGTAAGTCAAAGGTTTTAGAGATGTGCAGAGAGATCAGGAAACGAAGCTGTGAGCTGAGCTCAGAGTGTTTCTGCAGATTCAGATCAATCAAACTAAAAACATCTGCCTCCTGTTACAGATTCAGAGCAAAAAGAGAGGACACAGAGCAGGCAGACCAGACTGCAGACACAGAGCAGACCAGATTGCAGGCACAGAGCAGAAAGCAAACACAGAGCAGACCGCAGACACAGAGCAGACTGCAGACACAGAGCAGACTGCAGACACAGAGCAGACCGCAGACACAGAGCAGACTGCAGACACAGAGCAGACAGCAGACACAGAGCAGACAGAGAGCAAATAGCAGATAAAGCAGACACAGAGCAGACGGCAGATAAAGCAGAGAGCAGACACAGAGCACACAGCAAACAAAGAGCAGACTGCAGACACAGAGCAGACAGCAGATAAAGCAGACACAAAGCACACAGCAAACACAGATTAAACACAGAGCAGACACGGAGCAGACAGCAGATAAAGCAAACAGCTGACAGAGCAGACAGCAAGCACAGAGCAGACGCAGAGCAGACAGCAGACAGAGCAGACAGCAAGCACAGAGCAGATGCAAAGCGGACAGCTTACACAGAGCAGGCAACAAACACAGAGCAGACAGCAGATAAAGCAGAGCAGACACAGAGCAGACACAGAGCAGATAAAGCAGACAGCTGACACAGAGCAGGCAACAAACACAGAGCAGACAGCAGATAAAGCAGACACAGAGCAGATACAGAGCAGACAGCAGATAAAGCAGACATCAGACACAAAGCAGACTGAGAGGCTTTTCGGATGCCACAGCAGCTGCGGGAATGTGTTGTACATCAAACTGGAGAATGTTTACATGTCAAGGTGCAACAGAACGCATGCCAAGTGGCAGTGTTCCTTTATAAAGAAAGATTTCTGTAGAACATGTGCATCTGTGAATAAAGGTGTTCTCCAACATAGCAGAGAGGGAAATCAAGGAAGAGGACGTGACTTTGACATCAACGTTATTACAGTGAACCATGTTTCATTAGTTTTTATGTCCTTCTGCTTTAACTGTAGAGTGTCTGTACCTCTGTCACCACTAGGTCTCAGTATCACTGTATCTGTCTCCACTTGATCTGACTTGCATCTGCACTCATCACTGTAGAGTATGAAGAGCAGGGGGGAGAGGCAGTTAAGGTGTGTCATATGTCAAAGAAAATGTTGACATACACTCTCTGTGACCTGTGGGTGAGGAAATCTAGGAGCCACAGGATGAGCTGGTTGTCCAGGTGGAAGGAAGAGAGTTTGTTGACCAGGATGTGAGGCTGGAGAGAGTGTATGCCTGGGAGAAGTTGACAAAAGGGAGTCTGGCTGAGGTATTAGGGTGGTCCAAGTGTTCATGGAGGGTGTCTAGGATGTATATTTTGGCATCGCTGACACCCCTACTTTTGCAGTATGCAAACTGGAGAGGATCCATCTGTGAGTTAGTTGCACCCACAATGTGATGTTTTATAATCCTCTCCAGTGACCTCCTCACAAGGGAGGTGAGAGCCACAGGTTTGAGGTCGTTGAGTGCTTTGGTGGTACTCTTCTTCAGGATGGGGATGATTATGGAGTGTTTCCACAGCTGGGGGACAGGGTCTTAAAAACACCTCCCAGCTGCTCTGCACAGTACATCAGAGCAGGACTACTGATGTTGTCTGGGCCGGGAGCTGTCTATTTAATTCCCTCTGAGGGCTCTCACCACATCCTCTGTGTTGATGGTGAAGGCAGAGTCATTGGACTGGAGTGTTTCTTTGACTTTGTCGAGTTTCAGATGCAGCATCGGGCCATCAGAGAATAGTAAACACTAACAGGTTAGCTAACCTGATCCATGAAACAGAGAAACTGATGAGCTGAAAAAATCTGGATCAGACCTGAGAGCTGGGGGCTGCCACATCCCTATGCCCCCCTCACTCTGTCTGCTCGGGGACACATGAACACATCTTAGTGGAAACCTCAACTGCCACACCTCAACACTCTCAACTACCTACAAAGATAACCCCACTTTTCAACCTCATTTAAAAACCATTATTATTGTAATTATCATTATTATTATCATGATTATTATTATTATTATTATTATTATTATTATTATTATTATTATTATTATTGTAAACAATAATGTAGTTGCAGTAGCCTGGGAACCAGTTCCCCATCCCTCAACACAGGGACATTGTGTGATCAACATCCACAGGGTCATTACTGGCTATTTCTACCTCATGATTATCTACAAATTATTATTTATGTTCTGGTATTATCACTGCATTGTGGTTATACACAGATATATATTTCTTGCACAACTGCTCTAATGCAACATGAAATGGTGCTCTGCTTTAGAGCTTGCAAACAAACTGTGTGTGTGTGTATGTGTGTGTGTGTGTGCGTGCCAAAGATAAAACAGATAAGGAAACATAATGTAATCATTACATGACCAAACGTCCGCCCTGTCCTCAGTGTTTCCACATTATTGTGCTTATTCAGAGCTGCTGGTGAATATCACTCATTAGTTCAACAAAACACTCTTTCAGATAAAAGACACACAGCCAGTGTGTGTGTGTGTGTGTGTGTGTGTGTGTGTATGTGTGTGCCACGGATAAAAAGGAAACCTAATGTATTCTTTACATGACCAAATGTCCACCCTGCGGTCCTTGGTGTTTCCACATCATTGTGGTTATTCAGAGCTGCTAGTGAATATTACTCATTAGTTCAACAAAACACTCTTTCACATAAAACACAGTGTGTGTGTGTGTGTGTGTGTGTGTGTGTGTGTGTGTGTGTGTGTGTGTGTGTGTGTGTGTGTGTGTGCATGCATATGTTTGTGTGTCACGTAGAGTGTTAAAGACCTCACTTCAGCTCCCCTCCCTAATCCGTCTCCGATGGTTGTGCAGAGGACAGGTTATTCTGCAGAATAGCTGCTGTGACACACACCAACAGTTCATTAATGATTACAATGATGATATTGATATTAGGTACAGGTATGCTCAGGTAACTCTCTCTGCTCACTCTCTGTGTCTGTCTTATTATTCAGCTCTCAGGAAACCAGAGCAGCATTTCTCCTGCAAGACAATTCAACACAGCTCTGATTTTACCCCCCGCCTGCAACCACAGAGGGAGAACAGAGGAGGGAGGAAAGAGGAGGGGAAATAAGGAAAGAGCAGGAGGGGACAAGAAGCAAAAGACAAGTGAGTGGAGGCGACGAGTAAGTGGAGCAGGGATTTGCCAGCAGCATCCTTCAGATTGATGAGCAGGAGAAACTTTGATTGAGCTTTGTTCTGCAGCTGGTGTAGACAGCTGGTGCAGAGACGCTGATGGACATTATTGGAGGACAACAGAGTGCATGCTGAGATAACTGTCCACCAGGACATGCAGAGGAATCTGCAGAGTGTTTGACCTTTATGGATACTAGCTTTTAAAAAGGAGATAACTGATCAGGACTGAGACATCGACGGTCTCAGAGACTCAGAGACTGAAGGAGAAGGGGACAATGAGAGGAGACATTTAGTTTTTTCTGTTATGGACGGAAAGTTTGACAGTTGGAGCTCAGAGGACATAAAAACATTATTTAGTCTTTATTCTGAAGATCTGCATGAGAACAGCGGACACGCCAAGTCCTGACTCTGTATCTGTGAGAGCATCAACGCCTGCAGCTGTATGAGTCTTTCTGACTAATCCATTCCTCTATGTGAGAAGAGTAATCAGTAAAGCTGAATATCAGTGAGGGTTCAAGATTAAGATGAAAGAGTCCGAGTAAGAATCCGAGTTAAAGAATTCATATTTTACAGTCAGGGCCAGACAGTAAGATTTTAAGAAGGTTTACCCTTTACCTGATCCCATCACAACATCCTGCAGAGTCACCGGCAAAGAGTTTCTGGGACCTGTTTTCAGACAGTCAAAAACTGACAATGATTATGCATTAAAAAAAACCATACAATAGACCCTCCAAAACATGTGAAAACACTGTAGTGTGCATGCTAGGCCAGCAGGTGGCAGTATGGAGAATACCATACACTTGCACATAAAGGTGTCCATCAACAGAGCAGTAGGCATACTATAAAAGGCATATCAATGCTTAAAAACAGTGTCCCGAGTCATACCCTCATTCTGGGACTTGTAGTCCTGTAGTAGTGAGGGTGGAGTAGGAGTATGAACATTGTCCATGATCCGTATGTTACCTGCGCTCTCAAGTATATGCTCCTGTTTAAGGTTAGCATCAGTTAGCATAGTGAGACAAGTCCTTCCTCCTGACATGTGCCGTCGGTCCACTCTTAGCCAACCCCTGCTGTGTTAACAACTGGTCCTTCTGGTGCTGATTACTTCCTGTTCTAATGTTCACATGATTGACTTTATAACCAGGACTCGTGTTTGACGTCAGTCTCTGAGAAAACGTGTCAGAGTTTGACTGATTTGTGATGGTCTGGAGGTTCTGATCTTTGACACCAAGCCAACTAAAGGATCTGGCAGTGCCTGAATATAGTTTTGATGTCTCACATCTTTCTTCAGTGGGGATAACAGTCAAATTTTCTGAGGTAAAAGTTTAGCCATCATGGATTTTAACAGCAGTCAGGATGCTGCATCGGACCCTACAGGCCCACCCTACAACAGCAGCATGGATTATGAGGATTACTACCAAGACCTGGACCCCAGTAAGATTATCATCCCGTCCATCTATGCTCTGGTCTGCTGTGTTGGCCTCACCGGGAACACCATGGTTATCTATGTGATCCTAAAGTATGCCAAAATGAAGACAGCCACCAACATCTACATCCTGAACCTCGCCATTGCAGACGAGCTCTTCATGCTGAGCGTGCCCTTCCTTGCCACGTCAGCTGCCATCCGTCATTGGCCATTCGGTTCCCTGATGTGCCGGCTGGTTCTGAGCGTGGATGGGATCAACATGTTCACCTCCATCTTCTGCCTGACTGTTCTCAGCGTGGACCGATATGTGGCTGTGGTCCACCCCATCAAGGCAGCTCGATACCGCAGACCCACGGTGGCGAAAGTGGTGAACGTTTGTGTGTGGGGGTTGTCACTCATTGTCATCCTGCCCATCATCATTTTTGCTGACACTGTACCTGCCCAGGATGGTGATGTGGACTGTAACTTCCTGTGGCCTGAGGCAGTGTGGTCTGAGGCCTTCGTGGTTTACACCTTCTTGCTAGGCTTCCTGTTGCCAGTGAGTGCCATCTGTTTGTGCTACTGCCTGATGGTGGCAAGGATGAGGGCAGTGGGGCTTAAGGCGGGTTGGCTGCAGCGCAGACGCTCAGAGAAGAAGATCACACGCATGGTGTTGATGGTGGTAGCGGTGTTCGTACTTTGCTGGATGCCCTTTTACATCGTCCAGCTGGTCAGTGTCTTCCACCGCCCTCCTGACCCCGTGGTCACCCAGCTCTTTGTCATTCTCAGCTATGTCAACAGTAGCGCAAACCCCATCCTCTATGGCTTTGTGTCCGACAACTTCCGACGGTCCTTCCAGCGAATTGTGTGCTTCCGCTGGCTGGAGTCTGGACTGGACACTGAGCAGGTGGACTACTGCGCCGTGGCCTTGAAAAGACAGACCGCCTGTGGACCTCTGGACCTTCCCAAAAGCTGCCTGGCCTCAGAGATGGTCTTCAGGAATGGCACCTGCACCTCCAGGACCACCACTGTGTGACAGACAGGACCTCTGCTGTGTGACAAACCAGGATGGGATCGAGAACTAAAACCCGGAAGAGCAAAGAATAGTCTCTGCTGAGACAGAGTTTTAAATGTGAGCTGCAACTGGAAAAGTTCACACAGTCAAACTGAGTCAGAGCTGAAAATTCAGGCAGCGGGTCTGAAGAAAAGAAACTGAACATTTTACCACGATACTTTACGGACTGCATTTAACTAAAATTTAGTTTTAAACATTAAAATTTGTTATCAGTTTAATTAAGTATTTTCACATAAATGAGAATTGGGGCAGTGAGTATGTGTGAAGGGGAGGGGCAGGTTGTGACACTTCTGCTGGTCTGCTGCTGCTGCAATCAAGGGGGATCAGCTACACCTGGGAGTGTGGCTGGCTTCCAGGAGTATTTCTTTGCTGCCTGTGATAGAGACTCAGTTTTTCTGTGGTTGTGTGAAGTGTCAGTAAAAAGCCAGAGCTCTGGAACCTGTTGTCTCATGTTTTTTATTCTACCATCCTGCTCTACACACTTTCTGCCCTCTGTTCATCCTGTTTGTGGGGGAGTACTAACATCTAAAACCTTACATTCTGCCTTAGGTTTCTGCCTGTTAAAGGAAGTTCTTCCTCTTCACTGTAACTTGATACATGCTGTAAAGTGTTTCACTCATGTGGTTGAAGATGGGATGGGAGTGGGTCTGATCTTACAGTATGGGGCTCAGTCTGATCCCATCTTGATGCTGGGTCTTAATCATAGACTTTATATATAATGGACGCTGTCTACCTCCTCACTGGGTGAAGCCAACCAGAGAACAGCACCCTCTGGTGACTGGCTGCTGTATAGGTCATAAATCCCTCCTCCTCTAGCAATCCCTATGGAACTGTGGACAAACTTTAGAAATTTATTACACAGAATATACATTTTTTTCTCCCCCCTGGTTGCGATGTTGACATGTAGTTACTGTAAGACTGGTTTGTGCTCAAACCCTCTTTATTCTGTACAAATCAATTTTTGAAAATTATTAGGGGGATCATATTTTCTATAATTGACACTTGATACAGCCTATGGGCTTATGAAGATATGAAGAAGTATTGTGTAGCTCACCTGTGAGGTACGCTGTTTAAGCTGAGCGTCATCACAGCAACTCTCTCGCTGAATGCAATGCTACTGCGCAAGTGGTGGAGTCCGTACAATACTTCTGCACAATGTAAATTTTAGGAAGTGGAGGAAAAAACACGGAAGAGCTTTTCGGCTTCAAATCCGTATACTGGCGGAAAGCAGAACCAAGTTGTCCATAGTATATACAGTCTATGGTCTTCATAAATAGGGTCTGGCCTAGACCAAATTCTTTGTTGAGCATCCAAAGAAAACACTTGTTGTGAATTGGCTCTTTATAAGTAAAGACTGATTGATTAATTCAGTAGTTGATTGATTTAAAATGACAATTAGAATTAGATTTTGTCTCAGATTGTGTTTTAATTTTTTTAATTTATTCTAATTTTTAAAAAAAAATCATCCCCTCCTCAGTAGTTTTTGGATGATCTCCTGTAGGAAATTGAATCTGGGAGTAAAACCTGAACACAAAGAGAATTTTTTACTTGTTCAGAGACAATCATCGTGTTTTTGTTTAGATGTTTGTGTTTGTAAAATCAAATGAATGTATGTAAACTTTCACCTTCAGGTGTTTTTACCTGTTGACATGTTAAAATTATAGAGTTAGACTGTGTGAAGATTCAATGATTAATTAAAAACTCTGAAATTTATTCCCTCTCTTTTCTCTGTTTCGTAACTCTCAGTTAAATCTGACCAAATAAAAAAAGAGTGATGTTTGTGCTGATTTGTTTTCTCAGGTGTGAATCTCTAGATTAAACAGTTTAATATCACCTTCTATAATGAGATAGTCATATAACCAAGTGTATATCTGTATGTCTGACTTTCAATGATTCACCCCTGCAGCTGTAATACTAAGAGTCTCCTCTGGATGGTGCTGTTCAGCTTCTTTCTTTAAAGGGGTCAGCGAGCAGAAACTGTTTTATTCAGAGTTTCACCAAGTCAGAGCTCTGCTACGCCTTCATTTTTACCCAGAGATAGCTGCTCTACCTGAATAACAATAAGGGTATTAAAACTGGATTGTTGTTTTTTCCTTATTTATTTATTCATTTTTTCTAAAACTTGCTCCTGTTTTGATTTTCCAGGGTTTTGCACTTTCAGTATTCCTTCCTATTGTCTGCAGAGGGAAGATAAATTTGCGTTTAGTTCAGTTTGTGGCGATCGGGCTGCAGGTATACAAACAGGTACAGGGGACTCGGTCCTGTCAGGTAAGAGAGAACTGAAGACAACAGGATGAACATCAGGGCAGATGGAGAGACTCTCAAATGTTACAGAATCTCCACCTACTTCTCTATCTGTCAGTTAGATTTGGACATGTTAAATATTTACTGTCTTGGCCTCCTGATGCTGTACAGTCACCAAACTCCACATCTGTAACTTCAACTTATTGTCAAATAGAGCTCAGCTTTCAGTAAGCCTTAGTGTCTAATTTTTCTGAGGTTTCTAAATCACCGCAGTTTGTGAAAAACCATCAACATCACAGACTTTTGCAGGACCGATCTACAGGGATCGAGAGCAAGACTCTACTGTACTACTCTACAACTGTATTTTATCCACAGTAGACAAAAACAAAACAAAAAAGGTCTATCTATGTACATGAATGCACCATGTCAAACCAGGATTAGAACCAGGGTTAGAACCAGGATACTCAGGTCCATGCAACAGAGAGACGTCCCCCCCATCAGACTCCCAGACACCTTCACCCACCCCAACATACACACATACACATACACACACACACACGGTCATAGAGGATAAAACAGTTGTTAGCCATGTGAAGGATCAAACATTAGAAACAGTGAAGTTTTTATTTCACAGACAGAAACAGAGATTTCACAGTCAGTCCTCAGATAAAGACCTACAGTATGATTCATGAGTGGGTATTAAATCCTCCACAGACCTCTGGACTCTTCAACATGTTAGTGCATTTTATACGTCTGATTCTTTGGTCTCTGAACATGAGAGTTTCTGCCTCTCACCTCCCAGTGTGCGCTGTTTTAGTCTGGGTTTGTTATTCAGTGTTTAAACAGAGATTTATCTGCTTCATGTGTCTGAGTCTGCAGACCATCACACCTGGATCTGATCCTGGCAGGACCACTTTGAGGAACTGGCCCAGGGTGAGACTCAGGAGTAAGGTTAGGGGAAAATTCAGGGTTATGGGGGATGAGTAATGGGTGTATCATCAACAGGGTCACAACTAACATCATCCAGCAGCTCTCTACTCACAGTGAACAGCTGACCTTTGACCTCTGAATGCAGAGACAAGAAGAAGAAGAAAAAAAAAGTGCTCAGAGAGCGTTCCCATGTGCTCACTGAAATTCCTCTTCAAAACACAGAGTTTATGAGCTCTATAAAAACACGACTCTGAGTTATTACAGACCAGATACAGGAACAAAAAACATAAATACAAGAGAGGAGATACAACCCCAGATCAAAAACAGCTGAGACGCTGTAAAACATGTTGATAAAAACTGATTTTTACAGTTTGCAAATCATTTAAAGTCTATAAATATGTGAAAACAGAGAAAACGCTGAAAATATTCGGAAGAAACTAAGATCCAGAGAATCTGGAGAAATCTCTGTACAAAAGGGAAAAAGACCAAAACCAAGACTGGATGGTCCTGATAATCAGACTTTCAGGCAGCTTTGCATTTTAAAAAGATAGGACTCTGGTGTGGAAATCACTGCATGGGCTCTAAATAACTTCAGAAACAATTGTCTGTGAGCACAGTTCATCACTGCATCCAAAACCATACAAAGAGGAGGCCAGATAGACCATTTAAAGGGATATTCTGGCATAAAATTAAATTATGTTCAAACACACTTTAAACACCGAGTTAGACACCCCGTCAAGAGATGAATGTTGCGGACCGCTTGCTTCTCTAGTTATACCAACTTTAGTAACGACTGCAGGATAGCAATACAGAGAGCCACACGCTTAACCAAAAAGCCACTCTATAGACACAAATATATAGCACCTAACTTCATCAACAGTACATATAGGGTCCCAGCCACAGCACTAGCCATCAAACATCTTTTTAGCTTTGCCTGGTTTCTTCAGCAAAAAGACTAAACACAACTCAGCTACTCTCTTCCAGCAGCCGCTTGTTTGTACAGAGACCTCTGGGCGAGTCCATCGACTGGGCGGGGTGACGCAGCTCAAAGAAGAACATTTATGATCATTTCTTCATGCAAATGCAATCAGACCGCGACGCTAAGGCAGAAGAACCACCGCGTCTGCAGTGCAAAATTATTAATATGATGATTATTACTTCAAGGAAATAATAAAGTAAACCAAAGTTGGTATAACTAGAGAACCAAGTTGACTGCAACAATCATCTCTCAACAGGGTGTCTAACTCGATGTTACGGTGTTAAAATTAATTTTATGCCGGAATATCCCTTTCAGGTGGACTGAGGGGGAGACAAAAAACTGTCCTGTGAACTGATGGATCAAACTCTGACATTCCTTTTGGAAATCATGGACCAGTAGAGGGACCAGTTGGCTGATTCTTATCTCCCAGTCTAAAGCCAGTATCCCTAATGGTATGGGGATCAGCGGAGTCTGTGCCATGGGTCACTTCCACATCTGTGAAAGCTCCATTAAAACTGAACAATATCTACAGGTTTAGGAGCAACATCTGCTGCCATACAGACAATGACTTCTACAGGGAAGACCTTCATATTTCAGCAAGACAATGATAAACCACATTCTGACAACAGGGATTATAACAGCATGGCTCTGTAGTAGAAGAGACCTGCTGAGAAACTGATCTATCTGCAGTCCTGACTTGCCCCCCATTGAAAACATTTGGAGCCTCATGACACCAAAAATAGGAAAAGGAGACCCTGAACTGTTGAGCAGCTGAAATCCTCTATCAGGCAAGAATAGGAAAACATTTCACTTTCAGACTCCAGAACCTGGTCTGCTAGGTTCACTATGGTCTACAGAGAGTTGGTAAAAGAAGAGTGATGAAAAACACGAACCTGGAACTACTTTTTACAAACATCAGATTTAGAATTAGCAGATTTTTTATAAAAGAAAAACATTTTTTTTCTGTTTAAAGATTGGATTTGTTGTCTTTGCTCTGTTCCTACTTATATTTCAATTCTTTTTTATCAACATTTCACACAGTGTCCCAGCTCTGATGGAACTGGTGTTGTATTTCCAGAGACGGTTTTGTCTCTTTAAGACACAGTGAGATTTAAACTATCTTTTCATATGTCTGCAGATTGTCTTTCAGAATTGGACTCAGCTACTGCTGTGAGAAACCTTCACTGAGTCTGCAGAGATCATTATTTTCAGAGTTTAATGCTTCTGTTGGAAGAAAACTGAAAATGCCTCACTGACAGAATGTCCTCAGGATTTGAGTTTTCAGGCTCTCTGCAGGGTCCAGCTGTGAAACACTTTATTCTCAGGCATTGGCAGACATTAAAAATATCTTTAAAGTAAAAAAATATAAAGTTTTAGACTCAGCTCAGATGTGTGGTCAGTGTTTGAAACCTCAGAGCAGGTTGTACCTCACAGATGTGGTTTTCAGAGTCTCACCCAAACATCTCTGAATTAAGACCAACAGTCAGATATGATGTGGACTGAGCAGCTCCAGACTCTCAGAAACATTTGGTAAGTCCTCCTCTCGCTCCATCTTTCACTCCTGCTCTGACTCAGTCTGTTTATCTTACCCTCAGTCCCCCCCTCTCTCAGGGTCAGACGTGGCTCTTGACCCCAGCTGATGGGTGAGCAGCTCCCTGTTTGTCATGAGCTCCAGAGATCCAGTGGTAGCAGTCTGTGGTGTTCTTGTTTCGAGGCTGGACAGCGCAGCGGGTGCAGTACACGATGCCCAGAGCCACCATCACCACAACAAAGATGCAGAGAGGCACCAGGAGACCTACCAGGAGCCAGGTGCTGCTCTGCATCGGCCCCCGCTCCTCCTCTTTGCCCTCCAGATCCTCCTTGTTCCTATTCCCCCCTCCTGCACTGGTGGAAGGCTGAGAGGGAACAGTGGGGTCCTGGGAGCGTGTGATCTCCTCGTCCTCCCTCCTCCGCTCCTCCGCTGGGAGTTCTGGGTTTTCCCCAAGGGTGGGCTGATCCTCCTCGCTGCGGTTGCTGGAATCTGTCGGGGTGTTGAGGTCTGTGACAAGATCATCTGGATTTCCTGGTTTCTGGCTGAAAGTGGTTAGCCCCTCCCACCAGTTCCAGGCTCCCCCTGAGGTGGTGGAGGTGTGGAGGGTGGGGACCATGGTCATCTCCTCCTCCTCCTCCTCTTCATCCTCATCATACCAGTCAGGGGTCAAGGTGGATCTGATGGTGGATGAAGGTGTGGGGTGGATGGTCGTGGGTGTAGCATCCAGGTCAGACTCAGATCTTTGGCCCAGTTCCAGCAAGTATGCCCCCCCAGAGTCTGCATGTACCTCCCCCTCCTCCTTCTCCTCTGAATCAAAGGGCTCCTCCTGAGGGGAGCTGGTCACCCAAATCACATCAGAGTCCTGGACGCTGGGGGGGTCAGTCTGCCAGTCCAAGGCTGGCTCCTCTTCCGGAGGCCAGTTGGTGTGGCTCTGCTGGGGGGTCCAGTCATACTCAGGGTCCCACATAGGCTGATGTGTCCCCCAGGGAAAGGCAGGGGTGGCGGTGGACTGGTCGTCTTCCTCTCCTATCTTTCGACAGGAGGAGTGATCAGCCATGAGTTCAAACCCCTCCTCACAGAAACACTCGAACCCCCCCTCATAATTCACACACATCTGCTCACAGATCCCAGGGATCTGGCACTCATCGTCCTCCTGGCATCTGCTGGGGTCCTCAGGTGGGGGGGAGTAACCCAGGCGACAGTGGCAGAGGTAAGAGCCCGCTGTGTTCTCGCAGACATGTTCACACGGGTTCACACCGACACACTCATCCACGTCCTCACAGCCTCCCGCCTTGTCAGGTCGGAACCCCTCCCGACACTGGCACTCAAATGTTCCCGGAGCGTTCACACAAATCTGCTCACATGGACTCTGCAGACACTCATCCACGTCCAGACAGCTCCGTTCATCCGATGCCAGCATGTAGCCCTCAGGACAGGCACAGCGGTACCCATCTGGCAGGGACAGGCACTCTGACATACAGGGGGCGTCCTGACAGACATCTGCTTGTTCACAGGACTGACCATCATCCCCGAGCTGGTAGCCGTCTGCACACTCGCAGTAAAAGTGACCTCCTGCAGGTTTACAGTAATGCTCACACCCTCCATTATCCTGCTCGCACCAGTTCTGTGGCTCAGCAGAGGTGGAGCAGAGGGGGGGCTCTCTGGACCACCCCACTGAGCCGTCTTCTTTCTCTGTGCAGAGGACCGACTGCTCCCCATCGCTGCCTTCAGGACAGGGCAACGCGGCTAAAGATCCAAACGGCACATGGGTCAGCAGGGTGCTGAAGAAGCTAAAAGGTGTGGTGTAGTGGGCATTACCTGCCCCCTCACTCCACAGAGCCGTACACATCCCTCTAAAGGTGTAATGGCACAGATACCCATCCACGGACACTGAGCATGCTCCGTCCAGCCATTTTAAGTTATCAGTGTGGTCCTGGGTGTTGTAGCTCATCACCACACAGCGGGACACCGAGCAGGTACTGGGAGAGTCCTCCCTCAGCCAGTTTGTAAACTCTGTGTCCTGGTCACCTGTGGTCCAGGAAAATCCCCTCAGTGGGCGGGCGCTGGTGCATTGTCGAGGCTGGCGCTGCAGGCCGATCCAGACCTGCACCTTAGTGCGGGAGTGTCGCAGGTCCACAGATGAGAAGAGAGAGGCGATGGCAGCAGCGTCCCCTTTGTTTTTGATGGTAGCCAGGTTTCCCCCTCTCTTCTTGCAGGCCCTCCATGAGTCCAGGAAGGTTTTTCTCTGGAAGTAGACCGCAAAGCAGCCGTCCTCCCCACAGAGAGCATCTGTCTCTCTGAGGTCCTGACCTAGAGCAGACCAGGTTCCACCAAGCAAAGTCAGCACGGAGGCCAAGACCAGAGCCGAGGTACCATTCACCAGGACACCCATCCTATCTCCACCTTTCCTCACCTTCAGTCTCTGATCTCCCAGCTCTTTTTTAACCTTCCTCTGTCGTCTTCTTGGACTTTTCTCTCTTCATCTAAACTCTTCTCTGTCTTTGTTTCTGCTCACTCTGCCCCACAAACAGATCTGAGAGCTGCAGACCGTCACAAACCAGCCAGCAGGGAGGGAGGGAGGACGCAGGGGGGAGGGCAGAGGGGAGGACTGTATGATTTCGGAGGGGGGTCGTGTATGTGTGTGTGCTTCAATGGGGGAGGTGCAGAGAACTGAGCATTTCTTTCTCCTTCAGAACGTCATATGGTTTTCATAAGTGGACATAGTTAAAGCTCTCTCTCGCTCACTTTCTTACTCTCTCTCTCTCCCACACACACAGACACACATAAACTTGTCTATTAGACTTTGTGAGGACAGAGGTCTATAAATCCTTCATGTGGACTATGTCTTTTATTGCAGCTGAAAGTGGTTTCTGATCGCAGCCAAAGAAATTCATGCAGGTATTTTACTTTGCAAAATATCCACATAGTTATGAGAGTCCCCTGCAGAAAGGCTATATATCAGGGGTTGGACCTCAGAAGTTCATAAAGACAGTGTCTCATACACACACACATACGCACGCGCGCACACACTTTTCATTTTTTGTGAGGACATTATGATAATATCTTTTACTGACAGTTTGACTGAGACGGTGAAAAACGGAATTTTACCATCAGGGGAGTTAAGAGTTAAGATGTCTCTTAAGACACATTCATACAAATTCCTCCAAGTATTTTATTTATTCAGACTTTAAGTTTCCACACAAATCAGAAGCTCCTCACAAGAGACGCTCTTCATCAGTGGTTAGCCTTATATATATAGGGTGTGTATATGGATGTACATATGAAAAACAAACACAGTAGTGTTCTCCTCCATAATAATTCATTGGAGCTGTATAATTTCTGGAACAGATGCATGATATATACATGATCCTCTGCCTCCTGTAGCCTTGAACTCCTCTCCCACTCTTTGTCTTCCTCTCTCTCTCTCTATTCCTGAGCCTGTCTGCGTGGTCAAAAAGGATCCAGTCTCTGTCCTCGCCCTGGCTCACTGTCCCTTTTCCACATCTGGAGTCCTAACCTGCAGTCAGGACTATTGGCCTGAAAGAAGACACTGGTCCTCTCAGAGTCTGCAGCTGGATAAAACAGACAGGGAGCTGAATGTTTATCAGACTCAGATCAGACTCAGACTAGGGGGGGCAGAAAAAGAGAAAGAGAGAGAGAGAGAGAGAGAGAGAGAGAGTGGGGGGCGAGAGAGGGCCTCTGGGTTTACTAAGAAAACAATGCCAGGACTGGAAATGGAGACCACGCTGTGAGTGTACTTCTCTCTTTCTCTCTCTCTCTGTATGAGTGTGTGTGTGTTTGTGCATGTGTGTGTGTGTGCATGTGTTGGATTAATCAATCCAGTAGTCTGCTGTGTATCAGGTTTGCAATGAAACCGTATAAGGCTTTAGTTTAGAAACACCTGGAGGAGAAACGTGCAAAGGACTCCTGAGATAGTTTTTCATAGTTCGATCAGGACTCAACTTGTAGTTTGATTTGGTGGTATGATTCTGTTTTGAGGGCTCCCTGCCCTTCCGCATGCTTACCTGGAGTGCCAAAGCCTTAGGCGGGGAGAGATTACCTCCTCTCTGTTTCATGTGCATGCATAAAAAGCTACATCAGGGAGTGCAGCAGGACCAAAACGCCCAAAACAACCAAACCAGGCAAACCTCCTCCAGATCTTTTGTATCCACAGACTACAGACAATTGAATTTGCCTTCAGAGATCAATAGAGTTCTTCTTCTTCTTCACCTTCATGAGCTCCATGAAAGTGCAGCAAGGGGAGGGAGAGCAGCAGCAAAGGCAGTAAAACAACTACACAGGCAAATCTGTCTGACCTTCATGTATGGGCCTGAAGCAGCATTTGGAGGAGGACAAATCTCTGCAGCTTGAATGGGAAACCATGGCATTTCCATGCTAAACAGAGGCGAATTAATTTACTGAACAGAGAAGACATAAATGATTATGAAGAAAACCCCAGCAGCTATGCTACAAGATTTATGATATCAGCCAGAAGTTCAAGAGCACTCCTTACTTTTTCACATCAGGACGGTCTGAACCTCATCAGCTGTAGGCTTTCAGTTCTTTGACCACATATGAGCAGACCACTGATTACTAAAGCCCCCAAAACCAACAAAGATTGACCAAATTTAACAGCAAGTAAAGACTCTTGGTTCTACAGGATGAGGTCTGTGATAGCCTTCTAGATACAGGGCTGCTGCAGTACAGATGGATTTCCAAAGAAAGAAGCTTTAAGACTGGATTTCCTCATGAGACCAAGGTTTTCAAGCTTCAAAGGAACATCTTACAGAATTAAGTTTAGTTGTTTCATTTCCTGTTTTGGTGAAATTAGAGCCTCATTTTTATTTATTAATTAATTTATTAATAAAGATAATAAACTATTTTTATGGTAGATGTAGAAGTTAAGAGAAAGAAATTAAAACAGCTGAAGTAGTGAAGGAACTTGTTCTTTTTGTGATCCAGATTATCTGGTCCAGCTCAGACTGGTCTTTCAGCTTCAAATGCTCTCCACAGCACTTTTCTTCTGTGTCTTAAACAAATAAAAAACTGTAAAGATAAAGTGGACGTCAAAAGGAAAGTGGGCCAACACCATTTACACACAGAAACTGGCTCTGTAGATGAAGATGTCCCAAACTTCCCCTCAGTTTACAGAGCCATGAATTAATCATAAAATCGACTGATCAACAGGTAAATTATCTGCAGTTCAGTCTGTATAACTGTCCTGAACAAAGAAGTTATCAATAGAGAAAGTTTCAACATGGGGCTCTTTGAGGACTACTCAATGTAGGGCACAGCCTCTAGTGGACAGGAGAGAGTACTGCACTAAAACACAGTGTTCGTCAGCGCTGTTTTTTTCATCTGTGTGAATATTTTCTCTGATAACTGAGTCTAAATTAAACTGTGCTGACAGCTGGTGCATGTGTGTGTGAGTGGACAGATAACTTCATATAGCTGTCAGACATGCTAACACATTGTTCACAGTAGTGTTAATGTCAGCACTGAGGCATGATGGGAGACCCTCCAGCAGAGACATAATAAAAGTTAGTGTCAAACTGGTGTCAGGTGTGTAACGCCATCGTTAAACACCTGACCTCCACAGGTCATGAGGTCAGGGATGTGTGCGTCTAAAATGTGTTAAATGGGTGGGTGGGCATACTCATTTTGTTTATGTGTCATTTATGGTTGTAACAGTGTGTACAGTAATGTGGCTCATTTTACCACATCAAACTGTATTATGTTTTATCATAGTGTCACAGCATGTATGGTAAAGTAGAGTATAAAATATGATTGTACGGTAAAGTATCCTGTCTTATCCTGTGGTACCCTGTCATAACCTGTAGTACCCTGAAGTATCCTGTAATACCCTGTAGTATCCTGTCTTATCCTGTCGTGTCCTGTAGTACCCCGTCATATCCAGTAGTACCCTGTAGTATCCTGTAGTACCCTGTTGTATCCTGTCTTATTCTTTTGCATCCTGTCATGTCCTGTAGTACCCCGTCATATCCAGTTGTACACTGTAGTATCCTGTCGTATCCTGTCGTATTCTGCCGTGTCCTGTAGTACCCCGTCAAATCCAGAAGTACCGTGTAGTATCCTGTAGTACCTTGTATTATCCTGTTTCATCTTGTCGTATCCTGTAGTAGCCTGCAGTACCCTGTAGTATCCTGTCTTATCCTATCATATCCTGTTGTACCCTGTAGTATCCTGTGTTATCCTGTAGTATCCTGTCTTATCCTGTAGTATTCTGTAGTACCCCGCCACATCCTGTAGTACCTTGTCTTATCCTTTCATATACTGTAGTACCCCGTCATATTTTGTAGTACCTTGTAGTATCCTGTCTTATCTTGTTGTGCCCTGTAGTACCCCGTCAAATCCAGCAGTACCCTGTAGTATCCTGTAGTACCCTGTAGTATCCTGTCTTATCTTGTTGTATCCTGTAGTAGTTTGCAGTACTCTGTAGTATCCCGTCTTATCTTGTCATATCCTGTAGTATCCTCTAGTACCCTGTATTATCCTGTCGTATCTTGTATCCTGTTGTACCCTGTAGTATCCTGTAGTACCTTGTAGTATTCTGTCATATCCTGTATTATCCTGTTGTACCTTGTAGTAACATGTAGTACCCCACTGTAGCCTGTCGTATCCTGTAATAGACAGACAGGATGTGGGAGGGGGCTGGGAGCTGAGTTGTCTCTAACTTTAGCTCACTGTGTTTCTGTTAGTTTTAGATCCAGACGTCAGATTAATACAGTCTGTCATCCTGTGAGTTAAATGAAGAAAGTAAAACAGAGAGAGGAGGTCTAAAAGTGTTTAATGAGACAGACACACAGTGACTGAGATACACTGATATAAAGGTTTCAGTCTTTAAAACTCACCAATAAGAACTGGACTGAACACAGAGTCCACTACAACCTTGACAAACCTGCCTCACAGGAGCTACATTTTTAAAATTTAACGGGATAAATATGATCTGATAAACTCTGTTCACGTTTATCTGGGCTCCTGTGACCCACCAGGAGGATGAATTATCAGAAACAGAACCAGAATACTTCATTTATCCTGGAGGGACATTCAGTACTGAAAAACATCTTACTATCTGTGTCACATTCGCAGATATGAAGAAACAGGAAAACAAGGATATGAGATAATAAGGACACAAGGACATGATAATAAGGAACCATGAATACAAGGATATGAAGACATTAGGTAACAAGGATATAAGGATATGAAACATAAGGAAATGAGGATGTGAAGATATAAAAATAAGGAAACAAGGATACAAGAATATGAGAAAACAGCCCATGACCTGGATCTGTCTGTGCATGGTGGCTCTTAAAGCTCTGAGTCCAGTAGCAGTCCACTCTTTGTGAATCTCACCAAATTCTTGAATGTTTCTATTTTTCATGAATGTGCTGGAATACATCACTCTGTAAACAGCCAGTTTCTTTATCAATGACTGTCTGTGTCCTACTCTACTTGTACAGGGTTTCAATGATGGTTCTCTGGACAACTGTCAGGTCTGCAGTCTTCCCCATGATTGTGTGGGGTGCTG